ACAACGATAATGTTGTGCGGACAGCGAGAAGGATGTCGAGTTTCACGCTTGTCTCGTCTCAGACACAGCACATGTTGGCTGCTATGTTGTCGGACGAGGAGTTTACGGAGAAGTACATTAGGATAAACCGGGAAAGGCTTAGGAGACGGTATGAGACAATTGTGGAAGGGCTTAAGAAGGCAGGGATCGAGTGTTTGAAGGGCAACGCAGGGTTGTTCTGTTGGATGAATCTAGGTTTCTTGCTCGACAAGAAAACGAAAGAAGGCGAGCTCGAGCTTTGGGATGTGATCTTGAAGGAGCTGAAGCTGAATATATCGCCGGGAACTTCCTGCCATTGCTCGGAGTTTGGATGGTTTAGGGTTTGTTTCGCTAATATGAGTGAGAAGACTTTGGAGATTGCGTTGACGAGAATACACGAGTTCATGGACCGACGAAAGAGGTTTTAGATTGATAAATAAAAAGAAGTAAATTAAATCCTGTCTCTTTTTTTTTGGTAAATTAATTTTTTGGGAAAGAGAAGATAATTAATTGAAACCCATGGATGGAAAATGGGTTTCGATTTGTTTCTCTTTTCCAGATATTATTGTTTGTTTTCTTGCTTTGGACAAAGCAAGTTAATTTTATGATTATGAATGTTGATTTGTAATAGTATTTGTTGTTACGGAATTTGTAATTAATTCCTATTTTTATTATATATTAGAACATTTCAAAAATATCTCTGTTCTTCAACTCTGATAGACATACATGGTTTGTTCAGCTGATTAAAAAAAAACATAGTCTGCGGCAAAGAAAAATTGATTATATCAATTCTGTTTATGTTGGTAAGATAGTGATGTACCTCGAAAATCTATTATAAACAGTAGAAACAAATTTTCCTGTTTTTCTTAAAGGCCATTGATATGTAATATTTGTTGACTTTTTTTGTCGATGTTAATATTTGTTGTATACAGCAAATTGGTCTAAATTAAACTATGTCATTGTAGATGTAATTTCTAAAGAGGTTAATTAATGTTGTTATAATGTAGTCAGGTCTTTTTGACTTGGTCACTGTACAACTCTAACAAGTAAGCTGTTCCATTATTTTCTTCTTAAATTTATTTCTCCGAAGACACGGTTTTGGTGAGATTGCAAATTGATTAGTATGTGGCTAACAAGTGAGGTATATATTATGACGTACGATAATTGAATTATTTTAATTATATCGTTCCACTAATCAAGCTTTGCGACCAAGTTACCATGAATCCATATTTGGACTGAGCAATGTGAATTTTGAATTGACTTGTTTTCTTTTGTTGTTACATACCACGACATTAAAGCTTAAAAAACTGGATCCACTAGTTAGATTTTTTTTTTTCTTTGTTCGAATATAACTTTAATTGGTTCATTGCTAGCTAGAGTGGTCTCCAAGTTATATAGTTTTCTTGGCCAAGCCGAGGTCGTATACCACTTGATGAATAAAAACAAATGCATTCAGAGCAAAGACAATGGTCTCTATTAAAGTAATATAAATAATGAAAATTGTTGTTAGAATTGTGTTATTACATTATGAACGAGTTCGTCTATACTCTATACATTTAAAGACACGGAATGGTATAGCTGTAGCCTGTAGTCTAGAGGTTGCATGCAACGGAAATATAGGCATTTCTTACATCATGCACCTATAACAATTGTATATATATATATATATACTTTGACTTATATAACTATGTATTTTATACTTATAATGTCGATGTAAATAATACGTCCACTACAGCTAATTGAGAGAATTATTGGATTTGACTACTCCGTCCAAAAGGAAACCCCATTAATTAAGTTCATTAAAATGGGGTTCGAAAGCGTCAAAGAAGTATTAAGAAATTATGATTAATGGACTTCGCATGCATAATCCTTTCTAAACTAATCACCGATTTGACACTTAGTCTCTTCTATCTGCATGCTTTAAGTCTTTCTAGCTACTTTAATACTTTTGACTTTATACATGCGCATGTCTCTATCTCCGTACGTGTCTAATACAGTTTCTTATATTCGGGGCTTTTGAGGTCAAAATTAAACCACCTTTCCTCCTTGTATATATAACCCGGTGACTTTTTTAGATATTTTATGAAACATTTCAAAATCGACTACGTGCTACTGCTAGGCGTCTTTGAACTGTTTTATCAACGCACGAAATTTGGTACCTCTTACTTAAACACTTTTAAAGTCTTTGTACGTGAATATACTTTTGACTTTGTGTTCATGTCTATTTTGTAATGTACATATTTCTGATATTTGGTTGCTCGTGTATATATGGCCACTGGATTCAATATTTGCATTTGTAGTTTTGTGACAAGTGCAAATGTAAGGATATATAGACTTATCAAACTTTCGTATGAAAAATATACTCGTGAAATATATAATTTCTTTGCAGACAAATAAATTTTGAGGAATACAATATAGATATATTATTATCCATGACTAATGCTCGATCTAATCTAACCCACGAAGATGATCAGAAATAAAGAAAAGTTCTTACGCCTGACTTCTTTTAAGAATTATATTAAGTTGTCATTTCCCGTTTGGTCTTTTTTAGGGACTCTTCACTATTAAGTATTAACCATAAAACCAAAAAGTTTGATCTACCTAAATGTATTATGATTATACTTTGAACAACCGATCTTGCTTTTCAAAATCAAAATGTGAAGAATAAAAACTCGTATACACATGCACACGTGTGATCGGGGTCGTTAGGATTTTTTAACTCGATGCTACTTTTTTGGTGTCAAAGGTCAATTGAACAGCTGGGAGAATCTTAGCCGTCAGATCAGTCCCCACCTCACACGCGGATCACGCTGACAGGCTGGCGCCTAAAAAATCATTGGCAAAGTCTCACGTGTGAACTAATCATCAACGTCGGCATTAATTTTACTACGTTGGTCTCGTCTCCGTGTCGTATAATACGATCGAGCTGCTTCGCAATTATATTTATGGACTTGTCTTTACAACAACCCGAAACCTATAAATTTTAAATGTAAAAAGGAATTCACATAACACATTACACGCGTATTCTTATATGTATACACACATATGGACCCAAATGTGGTTAGGTTATATAAGTGTTTGTATAATTTACTGGATTTGAATCGGAACTTCTATTTTTTTTTAATCTGCTAGTTCGATAATTCATATTATCCATTTTTTTTTTCTCACAACAACACATTTTATTGGATTAAAACCTATATGAAGCAGAACCCATATTATTCATTTTGGTTCTACTGATAGAAAATAAAAAAATTAATTTTCTTTTGGGGTCTGTTCACAGTCACGTACTGACTTACATGAGAGTTAGCTAACCATTAAGCAAAAATGCAATCCAACGACTGATCAACTTGACGAGGCCAGTGACTAATATGTTTGACTAGAAAGCTGCATTGTAGTCTTGTAGAGGACTAAAATATCTCTCTCAAGTTACAATATAATTCGAGTGAACCATTACGATCTGTAAATAAAGAAACAGAAGCTGAACGTCGAAAAAAGATTGGGGAGGGTACAAGGAGTAAACGAAGGTGAAGACGAGCTAGATAAGTACAAAACGAGCTTCGACCAGTATCTCGACAAAGTTTATTTAGCTTTTCAATCCAAGAGAAGACACGATGATGTCTGAATGTGTGACTCTCTTGACGTTTTTTCTTTTTCAGCTCTAAGTATGTAGAAGTGATATTGCGTGACTAAACTTTGTAGCATTTTCTCGAGGGATTGAGTTTTCTTAATTGATTTCGTTTTTATCTCAGCTGGCTTGAGTGTAATGAAAGAATGAAGATCGTCCTCTTTTTAGGTTAATATGAGCTTTCAATTCAATATAAGCCCAACTTCAGAAGCACACGTTTCTATTAATCAAAAAGACAAAAACTATGGGCTTGATTGGTTGTTGCTGTAGATGCTGTACAAATCAATATTTATGTTTAAAGCTCTAAATCATACCAATCATGCTTTATAAACTCTGTCTTTCCTTTATTTGCTCACAGCCAAAATATTTCTTTTTCTTATTTTTTTTTTGCTGTACAAAACATTATTTTCTAAAGCATATAAATTTATGATTTCCAAATTTTACAATTCTACAGCCAAAATTTTAAAGAAATAAAATTTACAGCTACAGCAAAAAAACCTACAACCATGTTTCTACAGCAAAAACATAAAACTACAACTGTTACCAATCAAGCCCTATATTTCTTTTGTTTTGGAGAGCCTCCATAATTCTGAGTGCCAAGTGCAAAGTGCCACTGCAAACTGATTTGAATATCCATAGATGGTAACCGCAATTAAACAAGGAATGTTGTGCCTTTTCTACACTAATCCCATATAATCCAATCCAGATGCGCAAATATACATGATGATTTATTCCCATTTCCATATTTATTATCATTTTAGATTCAGTTTCCTTTATCCTCTCCGATCTAAATCTTGGTAGACTTAAGAATCCGATCACTCGCTTCAAAAACGTTATTAATATTGCAACTTATCCATTGAGTGGACTTCTGTATATTGAGCAAAGAGAGCGTATAGAACTCATCTCAACGATATATTAAACATTTGATCCAAAATTTCCATATTTGGTTGGACATTTCCGATTTTTAGTCTGCGATTCATGTAAATATGGTACCTAAATTTAAGACATAATATTCATTATCTATTCTAACATGCTATATATAAAAAATCTTAACATATAAGAATCAGATCATTTCAATATTTGATATTAATTGTGGATTTTATTATCCTTTCAATATTTGATATTAACGTTTTTAGAAATGATCCGACGACCAAAAAAAAAAGAATCGGATCATTTCTAAAAACGTTAATATCAAATATGGAAAGGATAATAAAATCCACAATTAATCCCCCATTTAATGTCCCCTTATCTCTCTTCCCGGTCTATATATAATAAGAGCGTTTCTCGATCTTCTATACACTCTCATAACTGCAATAAAAAAGTTAGTGAATAATTCTTTGTCTTTCTACCTTTTGAGATGGCTCCAATGCAGATGACTGTCGAGAAGCAAACTGAAGTTGACGTGACGGTGAACCCTAACAGTGGGAAAAGGGCTTACGTCACCTTTCTCGCTGGAAACAAAGATTACTGGATGGGTGTTGTTGGTCTTGCCAAAGGACTTCGTAAGGTGAAATCGGCTTATCCTCTTGTGGTTGCCATGCTCCCGGATGTGCCTGAGGAACACCGTCAAATTCTGGTGGCTCAAGGATGTATACTCCGTGAGATCGAACCGGTCATTCCGCCGGAAAACAAAGTCGCTTATTCCATGGCCTACTTCGTCCTCAATTACTCCAAGCTTCGTATTTGGGAGGTAAAAATCTCACATACTATATATGTATAATATAAACCGTATGTGTTTTATCAAAGAATATTGTACAAACATATATAAACAGCCAAATGTATAGCCGTTGAAGATGTATATTTGTTCAACCATTTTGGTCACATATATAGCGATTTATTAACGTAAATATATATATATATGCAGTTTGTGGAGTATGAGAAGGTGATGTATCTAGATGGAGACATACAAGTGTTTAATAACATTGATCATCTATTCGATAGTCCTTCCGGCTACTTATACGCCGTTAAAGATTGTTTCTGCGAGATATCTTGGTGTAATACTCCTCAATACCAGATCGGTTACTGCCAACAGTCACCTGAAAAGGTGACATGGCCGGTGGAAAGCCTTGGTTCTCCGCCTCCGACATATTTCAACGCTGGTATGTTAATGTTTGAACCAAATCTCGCCACTTACGAGGATCTCCTCCGTGTTGTTCAGATCACTACTCCAACCTGTTTTGCCGAACAGGTCTGATTTTATCTTCTTTTTCTTTATTTGATCTTGATTTTCTTTACGATTCTAATTTTATTGTATATTTTTGTAGGATTTTCTGAACATGTTCTTTAGGGACATTTACAAGCCGATCCCTTCGACCTACAACCTTGTGCTGGCTATGATTTGGCGTCATCCGGAACACGTTGACCTTGACCAAATCAGTGTTGTTCATTACTGTGCAAATGTACGTTTTATTTTGTTTTTAAGTCTTTCGGTTTTATTTTTGAGATATATATTCATGTTACTAAAGTTCTATAATTGTAATAATTAATTTTATAGGGATCAAAGCCTTGGAAATACGATGAAACTGAAGATCATATGGAACGTGAGGACATTAAAATGTTAGTGAAGAAATGGTGGGAGATCTACGAAGATTCGAGCTTAGACTACAAAAACTTTGTCGAGGCTGAATCTAAGTTGAATCCGATCACTGCAGTCCTAGCTTCCAATGAATCGGATGGCGATGTCGTTACGAACCTTGCCCCTTCCGCTGCGTAACCGGTTGGCTATATATTATGCAACTTTTTGTTTTTGTTTTAAAGAAAGGTTAGCTATATATATACAATTTTAGCATAGTTATATATAGCAACCTCGTTTTTATGTTTGTGAGATTAGAACTGGTTGGTCTTGTGTTTTTGTTTGGCTATTGTGTCAATGCCGACCTTGACCAGCTGTGCTTTTGCATCTCTTTCTCCCTTTTTTATCAGTTATTAATACAATAATAAGAATAATGCTCTTTTGGTTTTAATTCTCATGTATTCGATCGTTTGTTTTGCAAAACAAATATTATATTAAATCGAAAAAAATAACTTTTGTATACATCAATGGGAATAACTTACTTACTTACTATATGTATATTTGTGTTTATTTATAATCTGGTAATGACTTACCATATGTATATTTGTCTTTATTTACTTACTATATATGTATATTTGTATATAGTCAAGAATTTTTGCAACATACATATTTAACGACTTATTTACATAATTATATGTATGAGAAGAGAAGGTTATATATCTAGATGGTATAACTTAACAAGCCATGAAGAAACGTTTTACAATACCTTTCATTTGAAGTGGATACGTATATATATATATATATATTTTTTGGTCAAACGAAGTGGATACGTATAGGGTTTTTTTGTTCAATAACCATATTCAATCGAGGAATATAACTATGATATTTAAAAAATTGGTAAACTAACTATGGCCCACAATCAATTATCGAAAATAACCTTGTACTATATGATACTACATACTATACTATATATAATTTTATGGAATAGTCAAATTTGATATAATATATATAAAAAAAAAAAGAAGGAAAGGAAAAACACGAAAGAGAAAGGAAGGAGAGGAAAGCGGAGGTAAAGAGAGGAGAAGGAAAAGATGAGAGATAAGATGAGCCGATGTGAGCAGATGAAAGGAAATGAAAAATGATGAGAAGAGAAGAAAAGATCGTAAAGGAAAGAAATTAAACAAAAAACAAAAAAAGGTAATTTTGTATATATTGTAAAATATATGAAGAATATTATAGCATCTACTTTGCTATGTGCTATGGTTAATTTATGAATTTAGCTTGGAAATATGGTCATATGACCCAATTTCCCATACGCATACAATCTCGAAAAAAAAAAAAAAAGTTGTTTGCTAGTGAAGTACAAGCCACTACGTCCATTTTGGGCTATTAAGATATTATGAAGGCCCAAATAAGACCCGTAATATATAAATTTTTGTCTGCATCCTGTGTTGTTCGTCATCGCAGAAACCTCAGGAAAAGAATTGGTCACAAAACCCCAAAGTCTAAGAAGTCTAGAGATTCTCTCGTTCTCCGGTAACGGTGACACAACAGTACAATCTCCGCCGCCGACGACATCAGCAAGGTTTGAGACCGTCCAATACCTTTTTCCCTTTTTTGTTCGAAGTTTCCTCTCTTCTTTTCCACCTTCCCCTTTTGGGAAATTGACTGATAGATCTGCGCTCTCGGGTCGCTTACTTTGATGCGCGATTTCATCGAGTGTGTGCTTACGAGTTACGAGCGATAATGTAATGTTCATGAAATCTGGCTCTTTGGAAATGATCTGAACTTTCGTTGATTAGGATTTGTTTTTGGTCGACACTCTGATTTTAGGTCGACCTATTTCGATCTTTCCGAATTGGTCACGTACAAATGCTTTTGGTTTCTCGTGTCTGTTACATAATGTCTAAAGCTTAACTCTTTTGATTCCATTTGATATAAATTTTAGTACTTTGGTGAATTGTTATCCCTTAGATGGATCCTATTATCATGTCCCATAATGTCAGCATCATCCACTAGTTCCTCTTTTGATTTGTAAATCGAGTTTGTCTTTTATGGCTTAGGGAAAAAGCTTTGAGAGATGGCATCGAAGTTGCTACAGCTGAAATCCAAGGCCTGTGAAGCATCCAAGTTTGTGTCCAAGCACGGCACAACTTACTACAAACAGTTGCTGGAGAAGAACAAGCAGTATATCCAGGAACCAGCCACTGTAGAGAAGTGCAATGAGTTGTCTAAGCAGCTTCTCTACACTCGTCTTGCTAGGTTTTTTTTTCTTTCGTTTTACTGTCGCATCTTATCCTGGATTCGGTTTGATGTGTTTGTTGAATGATTAACTGTGTGGTAGCTGGATTTTTTGTGGGGGTAGACTTTTGCAGGAGTCTTATGCTTAAAGCAAGGATAGTTTTGGCTCTTCATCTATTATGTTTTATTGTTCTGAACCATGAACTCATCACATGCCTAATAAAGGTCTCTGCTTTACTGCATCTGAACTAGTTGCCAACATTTATAGAGAGAGGTTTTGTTGTAGATTTCTTAATTGTCTTTTCAAATGTTTCTAGATACGTTATTCGGGAACTGCACTTCTTCTTTGTTCATGTGACTGACTTGTTTATTTGGATTTTGCAGCATTCCCGGACGTTCTGAATCATTCTGGAAGGAAGTCGACCACGTGAAGGGCTTGTGGAAGAATCGGGCGGATTTGAAGGTCGAAGATGCTGGGATTGCAGCACTCTTTGGTCTGGAATGCTTCGCTTGGTACTGCGCAGGGGAGATCGTTGGAAGAGGCTTCACTTTCACCGGCTACTACCCTTGAAGAAACAGAGCAACCCCCATAAACAAAAACATTCCGGTTAAAACCATTGAACGCTGAAAATGCCTTTTAGATCATAAATTATTATCTATCTCATGGCTCAACATTAGAAGCTAAAGTTAACTTCTTTTCTGTCTCGATAATTAATACACCAAGTTTTAAGGCTGAGGCATCATCATCACTCATGCTATCTCTAATAATATCAGTCGACAACATGTTTGCTTGTGTGGCTTGTTCGTTTTAGTTTCATTAGTGTGAATGACCATTTTCACATCATACAAAGTGCTGCTTGGCACTTTGAAACATCTTTCTGGTTAATTATCATCGTTATTTACTTCAAATCTCATTCCTGAGAGATGATTAAAAAAAAAAAAATTTCGAAACGCCATTTTGCACGCATTTCCTTGTAGATTCTCCTCTACAAAAGGACGAAAATCTTATTTTAACAACTGTTCGGTGTTTTTTAACCGTTTTCTCTGTCACCGTCTTCAGCAATTTCGCATATAAAGTCAAATCTGATCCGTGTGGAAGCATCAGTCAGAATTGTAGTGGAAGATCGGAAACTGAGACTTCATCTCTCGGGTACTGTCTCTCCCTCTCTCTCGATTATTCATCGGTATAAGTCTTCTTCTCTGTCATGTTCGCATCAACAGTTTTGGATCAGTATAAAAACCTGATCTCTGTCATGTGTTTTCTGTCCGATTGTTTGGTCATAGTAAACCTTTGAACTATAGTCTACGAAGTACGAACTGAGTGTGCTTTGAACAACGGTAGAGAGTGGTGATGGTCAACTTGAAGGGCTGGTCTGGTCTAAGGGTTCAGAAACCTGTTATTGAGTTAGGAAAAAACTCATATTGAACCTGTGTAAAGATGATCCGGCTATAATCTGTGATCGATTTTGCTATTTAGCAAAGTTATATATCATCGATTTCATGAGAAAGATTGTAAATTTCACTAATACAGAATCAAAAGAACCTTTATACTCTGCATAATATGGCATGGTTATTAAGTTATGCCCTATTCCTTGGCCAGATACTTGAGAGTGCGCGTGTTTGGGGAAGAGGACTCTGATAACGATGGCTAAGGATGAAGCCAAGGCATCGGAATTTTCCAACGGACTGCTGCAGAGTGAAGAGCTCTATAAAGTGTGCCTCCACTTTCTCTACGTTTTCTCACATTTCTGATTTTTCCTTTACCATTTTCACATCTCTGATACATTTCTTGAAAAAACGTTGCAGTATATACTGGAGACCAGTGTGTACCCACGCGAACCGGAGGCTCTCAAGGAGCTTAGGAACATTACTCGTAACCACCCTCGAGCTGTAATGGCTACTGCACCGGACGCTGGCCAGTTGATGGGGATGCTGCTGAATCTGGTAAATGCAAGGAAGACGATCGAACTTGGGGTTTTCACTGGATACTCTCTTCTCCTCACTGCTCTTACGATACCAGAGGATGGCACGGTAATGTGTATATAAACAAGAAAAGAGACAGAAGCTTTTCTTCCCTTGTTCTGCCTCTGTATGGTTTCTGCTACTGATTTAGTACACGAGGTATGCAGGTTATCGCCATTGACGTGAACAGAGAGTCGTATGAAATAGGATTGCCAGTTATAAAGAAAGCTGGTGTCGAACACAAAATTGATTTCATAGAGTCTGAAGCTATTCCAGTCCTCGACGAGCTTTTAAACGATGTATATCTTTATATACTTCTTTTCTTTGCCTCTTTCACAGCTCAATGTGTGCACCTTTATTGTCACCCACTTTCTCGGAAACGCATTTTGATCCTTTCTTTCACTTGAGCAAAGCTGAAACGATCGATGTTTTATCCTGAGATGGTCTTTATGTTTTTGGTGTATCTGATGCAGAAAGCGAACGAGGGTGGATTCGATTTCGCATTCGTGGATGCAGACAAGGTGAATAATTCGAACTACCATGAGAGGCTTGTGAGGCTCATCAAGGTTGGTGGGATCATAGTGTATGACAACACTCTCTGGGGAGGATCAGTTGCTGAACCGGACTCCTGCACGCCCGAGTGGAGGAAAGAAGACAAGAAAGCAACCCTCGAGCTGAACCAGAAACTCTCTGCTGATCAGCGTGTGCAGATCTCGCACGCTGCGCTTGGCGATGGGATCACTATTTGCAGGAGATTATACTGAGCTATGATGTCATGCCAAAGCGTTGTTCTTACTTCTTCGTCATCTTGTTCTCTTCTGTTAAATGAGAAGACTAATGTATGCAATAAATAAGAACAAATAAAAAACTCACTAAACTCGTATGTTTCTCTCTTATTAAGTTTGGCGGTTTCTACAAAATTTCTAGATTTTGAGTTGCGAAGAAACACTAAACTCATATGACGTTCATCTGGTCGTGGATCGAGTCATAGGTAGGTACTAGTAGGGCATTTGGCAAAACTAAACTCGGTATTCTGAAAGTTGCGCGGGTTAAAACAAATTCAGGGGGCGTTCCGAGAATCGAACTCGGGACCTCTTGCACCCAAAGCGAGAATCATACCACTAGACCAAACGCCCACTTTGTGCATTTGGATGATACGTTTGTACATCTAGTAACTGAAATTTGTTCTTTAATGGGCCAAACAAATACTCAATTGGGCCATGAAGAGAGAGATCTAGTAAAATGAAAAGCCCAGTGAAATGACTAGGGTTAGTTCTTCTTCTTATTGAGCGCCGTATATAAGCTTACTCCTCCTCCGCCACCACCGTCTGTCTTTCGGCGTTATTGGAGTGGCGAAGGTATTCTTCTCTACTCTCTCTGTCTTAACTTAATTTCACTGATTTATGTTTTATTATATGGCCGATGGATTATTATTCGCATTCTTTCATTTGTATTGGCAATCAAATGAAGTAAAAGTGACGTTATCGAAGTTTAACAGATTGAGTTTGGATATACACGCAGGAACTGAGAAAGAGACATAAAAATGTCGGAGAAGAAGGGAAGGAAAGAGGAGGTGGTGACCAGAGAGTACACCATCAACCTTCACAGACGCCTTCATAGCTGGTAATTTCCTAAAGAAACAAACTAAAACTCCTCTGCTTTCACTTTTTAAGCTTTTTAATGGTTTCCTTAATTCGTTAGCCATTGGATAACTGATTCGCTATTGTTATCAATGTTACGATCTTATAAAGCTTCTTGATCCTTCGGGTTTGACTTGAAAAGTTGGAATTTGTGTATAAAACAGTACCTTTAAGAAGAAGGCACCAAAGGCAATCAAGGAGATTAGGAAGTTTGCAGAGAAGGCAATGGGGACGAAGGACGTGAGAGTGGATGTCAAGTTGAACAAGCAGATTTGGAGCAGAGGTATCAGAGGTCCTCCTAGAAGGATCAGAGTCCGAGTCGCTCGCAAGAGAAACGATGACGAAGATGCAAAGGAAGAGTTCTTCTCCCTTGTCACTGTTGCTGAAATCCCTGCTGAAGGACTTAGTGGCCTTGGCACTAAAGTCATCGAGGAAGAGGATTGAACAATCTTGTATCTCTCGTATCAGATTTTTTCAAGTTTTGGCTTTTTTTACTTTGCAGTTGACTTTCGAATCAGTGGTGCAGTTATTGGAGAGACCATTTATCTTTTTGTTCCCTTGTTCATTACTCATTAGATGCGAGCGTACCGATTAGTGTTTGTTTAACCATCCTTGCATTGTTTCGGTACTGTTGGACCATCTGGTTCGATTCATAATTGATAATGCACATATGTCAAGTGAACTGTTTGAGTTGTTCAAAAATTTATTACACAAGTGGACCAATCAAGAGTTTATCTCTGTGACTTGGAAACTGCTTCATGTTGCCTATGAGACCTGGAATCTAATTCGAATCAATCATGAGTATTTACACAAAATGAATCTTAGTGATGTTCAAGTGGAACTTGAAAGTTTCGGTATGATAAGAGTCAAAACTTGCACTCTTGCTATCACAGATTAACCTCTCAAGAGTATTGGGATGGCTTTGTATCTCTACCTTGCTTTATATGCATACATATAGTTCCTAAGCTTTTTCACTTCTTCAGATGATTCCTCCAATAGATGGTCCACGTATAGACAAGTCCCAGCTCCGCTTCAGTTTCAAACGTACAAGCAAAGTTGACACAAACATCAGTGTTACAAACACATTATATATATACAGTACAAATATACATTATAAGAGATAGATGCACATACCAAATCGGCCCAAATGGAAGCCAGATAGCATCCCACCGGAACTTCGGAAGCCTACAACACGAGTGAGAACAGGTTATTAGCACAACTAGAAATGTCCCTATTGTTGATCCAGCATAAACGACTAACACAAGGATTAATGGTACTAACAAGTTGCAAATCTATGAACCGGCATCTCTGGAGCTATATACACTGACTTTCATTGCACTCTAGCTTCTCTTAAATCTTATAGTAGTACTAGTAATTATGAATATTTATCAAATGTAAGATGTCTTCTGAAATGATGAAATGTATACTCTCTAGTGTACCTCAGCAAGTAATAAAGCCAGAAGATGGTCAATGCAGATCCAGGAAGACAAGAGTACCAGAACCACCGTCTATGATCATTCTTCTTATCTACTAGGCCGACAATTGAGAGGCAGCAAGCCATGACAGCGATCCACTCTGATCCAATAATCAGGTGATAAAAGTGTTATTGCTATAAGAATCAAATACCATGCGAAAAACTAAACAAAATGAACCGATGATCAAGTAGTAAGGTCTTCTGATGGCAGTAAGGTTTCACTATGAGGTTCTAATAACTATACTAGCAGAGAAGCAGTTTCACGAACCTAAGTTTCCAAACTACTAAAAATGCAATCACTCTTTCTCATTCTACAATACTCCACCACTATGAAAAGTGACAGTCAGGAACTATAGCCAGAGATTGGCCATGTGAAAGTATGCAATATGCATCCAACATATCAGTTTGTTTCCCATATTAAGAGACTGGACAGAAACTTGCACAGAAGCTAAGTATTTGCTGAAGCACCATATCGCATGATGAGACAAATGTAAAAAACCATAACTTCAAAGTAGAAACACATAGATGTAAGACAAACCAGCTGAAATGACCATCCATGACTTGAGATCTTCCATGAAGTAGGCATGATACCGCTGCTCAGTAAAAATAAAAATCACATCACTCAAGAACTCATGAAGTACAGACCTATAAGTAAAGACACATCTGTATATATATACATAGTCAGGGCAGAAATTCAGAGCTCTAACTCCGGAATCTATCATTAAAACAACAATCAATTAAGACTTAGTTTTTTAATTCAACTCAAAGATTTCAACTGTGGATTCGATTTATTGGGAAGAGAATCGTAAGAAGAACAAGCTTCGTATACTAAGCAAGAAAACTAGTCCAAGTGCTACAAGGCCACGCTTAGAGAGAGATTATCGTACCAGCTCCCACGGTGCCATGAACTGCTGGAAAATGGAGTAGAAGAGGAAAGCTCCGTAGCAGAACAGAAGAATCGCGAACACGCTCTACACAGATGAGGAATAGAGAAACATTTTCTCAAACACACAACTCTCAAATTTATATAAATTGGATTACTGTTCTTCGATCATACCCTCCATTGCCGACTTTGCTGAGCGTGAGCTTCCTCGAGCGACTGAACGTACTCCTCTTGCTCTGTATAACGACGAAGATCAACGAGAAAGTGTTACCAACTTGCTTACGAATCTGCCGAATAATTCAGCAGGGAGACAGAAACAATACCTTGCGTATCAATAGGCCGAGAATCGACGTCGTCGGAAGTAGGAAGGACGAACTTATCATCTTCGTCGCCGCGACGAGTTCTCCGCCATGTTCTCGCTAACTTCTTCATAGATTTTTTCTTCTGGAGAATTTAGATCGAAAGTTACCACAGGAATTAGAAAAATGTTCAATAAAAATCACTGTTTCAACGAAAAGTCCTCTCTCGAGCCGAAAGCGCTTTTTAGCCACGGCCTATTTAAAAGCCCATACCATTTTGTCATACGCCGGTCCGTTTCTCGGGCCCAAAATTATAAAGATTCCAAGCAACAACAATAAAAGCAATTAAGATAAACAAGAAGATATAATGACAATGTTTTGAGCCAAAAAAAAAAAAAAAAGATATAATGACAATGAAGATCTATATAAGAAAAGTGTAATTAGAATAAGAATAAGAAAAGTGTAATTATAACATATGTATGTATTTGTTCAGCCTTTTGTTTTTTATTGCATAGTCTTTTCTATCACGAAAATCACAGTTTAATAAATATCAAATTTACATTTTTACAAATTTTTACCTATTTTTTATAGGTAACTGAATATTGGATAAACTATGCTTTACAACTTTCTGATTTTTTTTATCGGAAATTTATGGGACTTTTTCAGGTTTAAAGAGCTGTAAGAGAGGCTTAAAACAGTTCTTCATTCACAGTTAAAAACATACATATTACAAAAAGGACATGCAATATACATATACTCACTTTTAATAACATGCAATATACATATACTCACTTTCTTAATAAGAGACATGTAGTAGGGCTTACCTTTCTCGACATCTACATGAACTTTAATAAGATATGCAATTAGTTAAAGTAAAATAAGATTAATTTAAAATTAATTTAAAATGTTTAATCATATTTTCATGTGTAAACCTCTTTGTCAAAGAACATGCAATATACTCACTTTCTTAATAAGAGACATGAGAACATTTGTTATCTTTTTCCTTTTTTATTTATTATATTTTGCTCAAGTTTTTCTTATGTATTACTGAAAAGAAATATGTTTTTCTTATTTATTATTTATGTTTTTTCTGATTTTCTTTGATTATACATAATCATATTTCCATTGAAATGCTTACGGTAAAAGGAATGATATCGTATAATAAACATTGATTGCCTCGAATTAGATTCCAGGTCTCAAAGGCAACATGAAGCAGATTCCAATTCATAAGAAGTAAACTCTTGATTGGTCCATTTGTGTAATAAATTCTTGAACAACTCAAACAATTCACTTGAAATTGGTGATATCAATCACGAATGGAACCAGATGGTCTCTAACTCTGCCGAAACAATGAAATGATAATCAAACAAATACTAATCGGTTATGCAAAGTTTCATTTCGACAACGACACAATACTCAGAAATTATGTGTATAACCATATCATTCTCCTTTCCTCTTCATCAATCATCCATTACACACTTAACGTTAACGTTTGTTCTCATTCTTTTTATCTTCTTTTTCAAATTAAAGACCACACTTTTGCGGTTTTTGGACGAGATGAATATCATTATTAAATTTTTTAAAAATATGATAAAGATCACGGTAGCTATTCACCACCTAAACTTCTCCGAAAAATACTGCAAAAAAGAAGGAGAGAAAAAGGAGATACATATAATCGTCTGATGTTATTAGGTGTATAATTCTCAAGAAAATTCATATATTATGGGTGGACAGAGTTACCGTGTATCAGAGCTGTCAGATGGAGTCAATCATCATTAGGGATTATCGTTGGGGTAATCCCTGCGGATAGCTTCCGCGGAATGAAGTAGGTGTTGTATCTGTGGCTCGTCCAAATCTGGATCGCTGTTCATCTATGACGTTGTTTTATAATATGTGAAGCGTCCCATATGCTCATCATCATCTTATCAAATTTTTTATACTCGGTCCTCATTTTTGTACCTGTAAAACACATAATACATTTAATTTAAATACCTCTTAAATATGTATATAACTTTAAGAATTAGTTCTAGAAATCCTTCAAATTTTCTCTCGTACACACCACGTTTTTGTGATCCATGATTTGTTTTTTTTTGTGTGTAAATGAAGACTTATTATTTTTGATGATGTAATTCAAGATTTTATAATAATTAAAAGCGATTGATTTTGGGATGAATATATCCACCATTTTCTGCTATATAAAAACAGTTAAATATAAAATAATAATTAGTTTCAAGCATTTAAAGCAATAATAATTTGATAATCAAATCAACACAACAATAACACTAAAGTCTCTTCATGGCTTGACACCTCAGATTTTTTAAGCTTTATAAACATGACACCTCAGCAAAAATAATCACTAATCAAAACATTTTATTAATACATTTCATATACTTATTTTAATTTTTAAACTTAAACCCATTAAAAACCCAAATATTTTTTTCTATTAATTTTTGTTTTATTTTTTACCAAACCCAAGCCCAAATAATTAATAACAGCAAATAAAAAATATTATTTTATTTTTTAACAAATCTAAACTCAAATAATAAATAAAAACAAATAAAAAAAATTAAATCATTGTCTCCTTTTTTACCAAAACCAAATCCAAATAATAAATAACAACAAATAAATAATAAAAAAATTCAAGCTATCTATTTGTTTGACATAGACGTATATGATTGAAAAAGTGTAGGCTCAGCATCAACTATGCTTCTATACCAACAACACAAAAAGTCTTATGTTATAAGAAGCTCACACATCAGCAAAAATTTGAACCGATAAAAACATAATAATTTTTTAGTTTTCGCGGGAAAACACAATTTCACGGAAGATAGTGCAATTTTTGGTTTTCACGGGAAATTATAGTTTATTTGTTTTGTAGGAAAACGTGATTCTGCACTTAACGAGACATTTTTTTTTTGGCAGGAATATATGATTTCTCAGTTTTCGCAGAAAAAATAAATTTTTCGATTTTGGCGAAAAATATATATATTTTTTTTATTTTTGCAGGAAGATGAAATTTTTTGGGTTTTGTGAAAAAACGTAATTTCTCGGCTTTGGTGGAAAAACACAAGTTCTCGCGAGAAAATGTAAGTTTAGATTTTAGGTTTGACGAGAAAATTAATTTTTTGGTTTTGGTGGGAATAGCCGATTTCTCAGTTTAATGGGAAAATGAAGTTTTTTTTGTTTTGACGGAAAATGCGATTTCTCTATTTTTGTAAAAAAAAGAAATTTCTCAGTGTTAAATTTCCAAGTTAAAGTATATTTACAGTAACCAAAATTTAATTATTTAACTTTAACTAAAAACGATATTTTAAGAGTTCAAACATAATTTTCTATTTAGTTCTAAAGCAATTGCAATAGTTTTGATATGAATGTTATTGATTATAGTTTGGTAGTTTTTAAAACATATATTTGTAATAAAATATTTGATAAATAAATAAATATATAATTCAAAATAATCATATTAATTAATAAATCTTTTTTTTAAATGGTATTTTGCTTTATACAATTACAAAGGAAGATCATGTGGTAATTTATTGAAGAAAATAGATTACATTTGCCATTAGCATGAAGGTACGAAAAATGTATTGCTTTATTCTTATATATTGTATTCCTATATATATATTTATAATTAGTTAGCTAACTAAATTTAATAGCAAATTATATTTTTGAAAAATATATATATATAAATATAATATTTATTCAGATTTAAAACATATAAATATATAATTTAAGCTAATAAAAAAATAAATATAATACTCATTTATATTATAAAAATAATTTTATTATATTAAAAATATATACAAAAATTAGAAAAATATCATGCAGCATAGCACGGGTAAATACCTAGTATATTATTATTTTAAATATAAAATTATGTTTTAGTCTTATTTTTAACATCAATTATTTGCAAGTGATATAAATATTTAACATCAGTTATTATAAATGTAATAAATATTAACATTATTTATATTAATTGATGCAAAATTTAACATCACCTTTTGCAATATGATGTAAAATATTTAAATCACTACTTTCAAAATCATTTGTTTAAGTGATGTAAATGTTTTTTTACTAATGCAAATATATAATAAGTGATGCTAACCGCCAATTTTTTTGTGGTGAGATTATGCATTCGAATTAAATTATCTATTAAAAATTGCTTACAAAATCATAAGTCTGGTGAATGTGTTGCATCTTATAGAATTCCCCAACTCCCTGCTGTCTTTGACTTGCCGTATTCTCGTAATCCCTAAGAAAAGACAATGAAAAGATTAAAAGAGAAATAAACTTAGCCTTTGTAAGAAAGAACAAACAATTAAATAGCTTAAGAAATTACAAACCTGAAAGTATGTCCCATGAAATTGATTTTAGAGGCAACATATCCATCACTTCCTTCAGAAATTGGAACCACAAATCCTCCCTCCGTTACCAATACATCTTCTCCCGCTTTCTTTTCCTCAACTCTTGAATCTACAATCAAAATCAGATTGATTATTATATCACGATCATGAAGAGGAAAACCAAATCGAGATTCTAAGAAACGAAAGAGACTAAAACCTAAGAATTTGATCAGACCTAGATACAATACAAACATCACCAAACGAATATGATAATTACAAATTCGAACAACCCTTCTTCCAATTTGCTCACACGGCCACACCAATCAATCATCAAATACGAAATCAATTCATAAACACAACCAAAGACCTCAACTAACACGAATATAGTGGTTACCTGAAAAAATGGTATTCATCTAGTCCAAAACCCGTAAAAGTGTGGTTTTTAATTTGAAAAAAAGATTTAAAAAAATGAGAACAAATGTTAACGTTGGGTGTGTAATAGATGATTGATGAAGAGGAAAAGAGAATGAGATGGTGCTATTTATACACGAGGTTGGACAAGAATAATTGAATTTTCAAGTTGGGGGACGATGAGTCAGCAAAACGTGTAATATATTAATGATCTCTTAGACTATCAAATAAAAGCCACCTGCTACATACCAATAAAACGAACCTATTATCAATTTCGTTTTTGTGGTGTTTATTTTCGTTTGTGTGAAATACGTTTGATTTTTTTTTTTTTTTTTCTGGTACGTGTATTGAGGCATGGATAATAGTTGGTCACTGTATCATACATTCATACATGGTAGTTGAATGTAGTAATTATAGCATCAACTATCAACTAGGTGACGTGCGTACGGGTGAAGAAGTTCTGTTTAATTTTATTTTAATTTAGTATTTTATAATGTGATTTTATTATTAGTTTTGAGTTTTTGTGCCATTTTTAGTTATAGAATTTGATATTCTTAATCTAATTGTCTGCAAGGAAGTTAGTAACTAAAATACCAAATTTACATTAGATTTAATTAATCAGTTCGTTTCTCTAATCAGTAAAACAAAGAGAAAGAATTGATCCAATCCACACGAATGATCCAATTGATCCATTAAAAAGAATTTTAAATTTCGGGTTTGTAACATACGTAGAAGGGAATGTGGGTTTGTCTTACATTCACTAGACCACTGACGTAGCCAGTGTATCCAGGCATCCAGCCATTGCGCCATGCACTTGCGCTCTGAGCCAGAAGTGTACAATAAACAGTACTGTTTGACGCATTAACTGCTAGGAACAGCCCATATCATGTATGTTGGATCGGAGATCAAAAAGATAATGATGAGAGAAGTGTGTCAATATGAGGTATCATCATTCAACATATTGAAGTCGACGTGAACCTAACTCCATTAATGATAATTTTTCATGTTATGGTGAATCATGGCCTATAGCTCTTTACTTTATTGACACACTTTTGTGGCTTGTTAAAGAACACACGAAAAAACAATATCCAAAATGGAAATCCGAATTAGGGTTCGAAGACACAATCGTTTTTGTTTCCTTTCGAGCTATTAGTTATTCTCTGATGTAGGATCGGCCGGTCAGCATCTAGCCACCTACAAACCTTGGGGAGACACGATGATCAATAACTTGACTCTTGCATGCATCTTGTTTCAATTGTTATCAATGATTCTTTTAGTTGAAGATATACTGTAGATATCTTTGTCATTTAATCATGAGAAATTATCATTAGTGGATTTTATTTGAACACAGTTTTTCCTAAATGTTCTTTTCCGTCAAACATAATAAATTAGTTCGACGTTTTACATGAACATACAAAACTATTGAAATACAAATCATTACATAAAAATCAAATACAGAATACGATTCAACAAATGAAGAGATATGGATTCGATTTTTGATTTTTGTGTAATACATATTTAAGGTTTATTAACCACAGGAATAATTAGAATTCTTCTGAAATCTGAACTTTGATGAGATTGCTGAGTTAGCCGTTTTTATTGTATTGATAGTTTGATATGTCCACTCAGCGAAACTTTGAACAACAACCGAGAAACAAGACAATAAGATAGTTTTTTCACAGCACTTTGTAAATACTCTTTTTCGCTTTGGGATCTTATGCCCTGGAGCACATACAGGACCCACCAAGGATATCTCCATCGCCCATCGATGGAGATTCAACGGCTAGTTATAATGATCGAGTTCTCAAAATCAAAAAATGCTATTACACGTAGGAAAGATAAGAATCTCGATGCTAAAGAAACTGTGATGACGGTCCACATATATATCAACTTGCAACTTGCACTATACAAACTAGAACAAACAAATACCACGTGAAATCCTTCACGACAGCTAAGTTGCCAAGTACTGGTGTTGATGTGGCCCATTGGTCTGAGATTGAATCGGATGGCTCTAAACCGATGTCGTGGAGGGTTGAAGAAGGAACAAGAATCGTTGGATTAAGCAGCTAAAAATAGACGGACAGGGTCCGTCAAGACGTAATGGGAAGGGGACCTCGTTGCCAAAAATAGAAAGATGGGTTTTATATTCGAAGAAGTCACGTTTGTGTTTATTGAGTGGGGTTAAGTTTTGGCCTTTTGGGACCAGTCTCTGTATTTTTCACCATCTATTTCGTTAGTCACTAATCATTATGCATTAAAAGGGGATGGTATACAGAATCTATTTCGTGATTTGTTTGTACTTAACATTTTCTGATTTTACCTAAACATATTCAAGGTTAATTAACCATATGAATAATTAGATCATTGAACTTTGGTTAGTATCTCGAGATTACTTTTATGTAGTTAAGAAATTATGGTAGGGTCAAAAGTGAAAACCATAATGAATTCCTAGTGATCACAGTAAGACTTTTGATATGAAAAGAAACTAATTAAACCTTTTTTTTTGTAATATATATGTGTTTAACTGTGAATGAGGAACTGTTTTAAGCCTCTTACAGTTCTTTAAACCACTAGCATCAACAAGAACAAAAGTAATTGACTAATCGTAAATAACCAAATTATGTTTTCTTAACCATGGAGTTGTGTTCTTTTGACCATGAGCATTTGGGAATGGTGCTTGAGCAACCTAGTTGAGGATAGCGATCTAGATCTGGACAAGCCTCAAATACAGCATCATTTGCGGAAGCCATCCGCAAAGACTATCCAAATGAAGACTAGTTTCATCTCACAGTTCTGATCCATGGTAAATTAATTTGTTATAATCAGTAAAATGAAGTTAAAATGACACAGATTTCATATATGCAGATGAAAAAACAAAGATTTTGTTCTGCGTGTTGAATATTTTTTTTTGTTTTTATTATATATGATAAATATAATATTATTTTTGAACAAAGAAAGTAATTTATAATATAAAGTAAAGTTAAAATGATACATGTTGCATATTTTTCTCCTTTTTCTTTATTATATTTTGCTCAAGTTTGGTTTATGTTTTGCTTTTTTTTTTTTAATTTAATATTTTCTCTTGTTTCAACAATTTAATAGTAATGTATTGGTATAAAATTAGTTAAAAAAAATATAAACTACCATTCTCGAGAATTTGATGTTTTGAAAGTATTTAATGTATAATTAGGTTGACTATATAAAATTGATGATATCTCACATTTGATTTCACGTTATGCGAAAGAGATTAATTATTTAATCGAATATAATTCAAATTAGCATTTCTCAAATTTTTTATATTTGTTAATATGTTTTAAGAATTTTGATTTATTCTAATTTTTATGATATTTGAAATCATCTAAATATTATACTTTTTCAAAAAAGGTTACAAATAAAAACAATTTATCATTTATTTGTATGCATCTCCGAAACTCTAAGAATTAGCTCTGACCATTAAAGATTAGTCTGTTGATCCACCTATAAATATTTACACATTTTTGAGTTATTATGAATCTATGGTATATATAATTGTATTACTTATCTTATGTTAATTATAAATAAGGCCGTCTCTGAAATGTAATCACAATCATGTCCCTTGGGAATGCTAATTAAGAGTATGTAAGGTGCGATTGATATAGGAATAAGTAATAAAATTTAATTATAATCGGAAAGTATACAAATAAGGCTGGTGAGGTCATTACTCAAAAGATGAGACTAACTGTATTTGTGTTTGAATGGGAAAATGCAAAAAAAATAAAAAATTCTAGTAACAAAAGAACACAATTTTAAAAAACTACAAATAAAATTTTAAAATAAAAACCATATTTTGATAGACATAATTAGTTGTAAGACAACTCTATCATGTAATCACGTTTATTTTAATTTAATGAATTAGCTGCCCAAAAAAAAGACCTTTGATGTTGACATGGTTAAAATTTTGAAAAGAAATTTATAGTAAAAGGAAATAAATATTTTGAAAGGAATTTATAAAGAGAAAGAATGAAAGAAACAAAATGAAGTGAATGAATGTAAATGAAATACATATAAGAAAAAAAAATATTTTTAATTTTTATATAATAAAAAAATAATAATGAATGATCTGGAAAAATTATTACTTGTAAAACATTGTTACAGCCATTTGGATTTAAGTTTATCTACAAATGTTTGGTGATCAAATGGTTGGACCTTGTTAGGATGAATCTTGAAAGATAATGATTCGAATACTCCTACTTTGATTTCAGGCATGGTAGAATATTGTTAACTTTTTAACTGATAGGAATAATCAGTTATTTCTTTCTTGAATATATTATTTCACATGTTATGGAGAATGGTATAAAAATAGTAAAGGGAAATATAAAACGACCTATAGGGAGAAATATAATACTAGTTGAAATGTGAACCAAGATTTATCAGCTCATATGACGTGGGACCAAAGAGTGTGAAGACAATGGAAAGTTACAACATGAGGCATTATACGAGGAGCATTCTTATGCCAAAAGAAAGAATAAAATCGTCAAACTCTATTATTCCGCTCTACTACCTAAAACCTGGGACATCATTTGAAAACAGCCAGGAGCATTAATGTCGTAGCTACTAGCTCTTCTGCTCTGTTCAGTGTCACTTGGTGATCTCTTTGGTGACCGGAGGAACATCGACGGAGCCGTTACAGTTGCCATCGTCCAGGAGCGCCGACATGGGCTTCTCTTTATCATCAGAGACATCTTTTGGGCTCAAGAAACTCGGCTGGTTCGTCGAAGACAGCAGCCTCGCCCACATCCTGTCTGTGATCACCACATGGTTCTGTTTCTCCGTTATTCTCTACAACATCACAACCAATCCACATGAATGATCCATTTGATCATTAACTGAGAGCCATTTGATCCATCAAAAAGAATTATAAATTTCGATTTTGGAACTTACGTAGAAGGGAATGTAGGTTTGTCTTCCGTTCACTAGACCACTGACGTAGCCAGTGTAACCAGCCATTGCACCATGCACTGCGCTCTGAGCCAGAAGTGTACAATAAACATTGTCTGACGCATTGCTAGGAACAGCCCGTATCATGTATGTTGGATCTGAAATTAAAAAGATAATGATGAGAGACTATTGAAAAAATCAATAATGGAGAGAGTGCAAGTGATATGAAATGTACCAATGTACTTGAGGTTCATCACCATCTTCTTCTGATTAAAATGATCCTACAACCAATTAATAAAAAAAAATCGAAGTTTAACACAACCCATCAAAGCTTGCGGCTATAAGTCTCTGTGAATCGTGGTTTACCTTGATGCTTTGTGACAGCCAAAGACCAACATCTTTAAGAAGTTTGTTACCAGATGCATCCTCGAGAGTCTTAGATTCCATGCTCTTGGACATTAGATCTTGTCCTGCACCTTCTGCAATCACAAGCACCATGTGACCGCTCTCCTTGAGCCGTTTCTCTATGTACTCAAACAGTCCGCCTTCTCCTTCCAGGTAAAAAGGCGACTCCGGAATCAAACAGCAGTCCACATCTCTGCTTGCTAGAGTAGCGTACATCGCTATGAACCCTATTGAATGAAGTACACGCACTTGTCAGATATAATCTAACAAGAAAGCTTCATCAGGACTGAAAAGAAGATGCAGAAGAGTATATTACTCACCACTGTAGCGACCCATAAGCTTGACAACCCCGATACCGTTCTCTATACTCTCGGCTTCCACATGCGCTGCGTTAATAGCTCGTTGAGCCTCTTCTACAGCTGTGTCAAACCCAAAAGATTTGTCTATCACCTACACAAAAACAAAAAACGTAAGATTATCGATTTCTTCACATAAAAAACACAGCTATTCTATAGAGGTGAATCAAAGAAGAGAGGGAATACATACAGGTATGTCATTATCGATTGTTTTCGGGATTCCAATAACTGCAACTTTCAGGCCACGTCGTCTAATTTCCTACATGGTTACACTCACAAGATCGGTAAAAAAATATCTGATATTGTACAAACCTGCAAGGTGGAATTGGAATTGGAATTTACCTCAAATATAACCGATGCTCCTCGCTGTGTTCCATCTCCTCCTATAATGTAAACCTGAACGATAACAACACAACCACATCAAGAGTTAAACTTTTTTATACTTCTACGAATTAAATACAATGTAAAATGGCTGTTTATTATCAAAACCTGATTAATTCCTCGATCTTGAATGCTGTCAACTATCTTTACGGTATCGTGGCCACCTCGTGAGGTCCCGAGGATAGTCCCTCCTCGCTTATGGATATCATTCACAACTTTAGAGTCCAAGGGGACAGTATTCTTAGCATAGAAGCCTCTATACCCACCCTGAAAAAAGATTCAAGCCATTAGAAACTGAAACAAACAAGACCCTGGAGATGAAACAAGGTATTACAATCATGAAGACTTACATCTATTCCCAGTATTCTCTTCACTCCATACATATACGAGAGACTGCTCACTATTTCCCTAATCACGGTGTTAAGGCCGGGACAAAGACCTCCACAGGTAACTATGCAAGCATGCACTTCGTCAGATTCGAAGTAGACCTGCAAAGAGCTATATAAGTCAACAACAGATCATGTTCAAATGATAAAAAAGATGATTTTTTTTAAAGGAAATTCCACAAAAGTGAAAAACCTTTTGACGTGGCCCGGCTCGTCTAAAATGAATTCCTCTTGGACCGTCCTTGTGAACAACGATCTAAACAACAAAGGAGAAGAGTCAATAAGAGAAACATGAGCTCTAAAATTCTCAGGCTGCTATGGATATATAATAGAAAGCTCCAAACCAAATATACCTTCTGAGGAACACTGTCATCAGCATCAACAAAGTATTGCCTGAAAAAATTTACACAAAAAAAACAACTCATGTAAAAAACTGCATGCTAATGATTGATGAAAATCACTAGGAACCTTATTTGCATAAATATCAGTGGAAAAAAAAAAGACTCACTTGACCACTGAGTATGCTGGATTGTCTTGCAATGGATTAGGATATGTCTGCAATAACATAAAAACCAACAAAGAAAAAAACTTTACCATTAATCAAACTTAACCTCCATTTGATTCGAGTAAACATTGGTAAATGACTAAAAGTCTAAAACCATTTTACAGATTTGAGTCGGATTCATGATCATTGGGGCTCAAAATGCAAAAGATCCCTCTTTTTTCCTATCTTATATTCTCTTACTTGTTCCAAAAATAAAGCTATCTATCAATCTAGATAAAGTTACGTCCTTCTGCAATTGTATATAGATGAAAGCGAAAGTTAATCGCAGAATCAGAGATGGAGAGGAACATACAGGAAGACCAGGAAGGTAATCGGTGAGATGAGGAACGTCTTCTAGAACATAACCACAAGAACCATTGATGATCTTCGGCTTGCTACTTTCCACAGTACTCATAACGACGCACGAACAATGAAATCAACACTCTTCAGGGGGAGGAAATCAATAATTAAAAAAAAAAACCAACTTTATCTCGTCGGGAGACTTGGAGCTCGTCAACGACAAATCGAATACGAGAACAGGAAGAAACTCGATCTCTGAAACGTAGAAGAGGGAAGAAATAATTAGTGAGATGGAATCAAATCCGTCGATAAAAGACAAGGTGGCCCATTTTTATAGGATCCAAGAAGTTGACCATGGAGTCGGTAAACAAATCAAAGAGAGAGAGAGAGAGAGGAAGAGACCACTAAGCTAAGAAATGGTAATGGTGGTTTTGATCAAAAAAGGCTGATTCGATCAAACATGTGGCGGGTTTAGACGGATTTTGCCGCAATAACATTGGGAAAAATAGAATATTAGAATGTATGCGAGTGTGTAAGTATATGAGTATATATGTAGAAGGACCTTTTCGAATCTCTTTGACAAATGACAGTAACGACGACGACGACTACTTGAGAGAGAAGTCGATATTTTCTAGAAAAGACTATTTATTTATTGTTTTCTATTTAGTTGCCTTAAATTGATTTTTCTTTCCAAATTTTGGGACTTGTTTGACAAGTCGTTTTTTTTTCTTTCAAACCATGAATTATAGAGTACTCTGTTTTTTTTTTTTTTTTTTTTAAATGTTTGTTTATCGAAAAACATCCATTGTGTAGTGTATACAAATAAATAATTTTAGAAAATACTTTTTTTTTAAAAGACCTAAACATAGTATCACTTTCTAAAAGTACATAAAACAACAACAAATAATACATTACATAATCGAGTTTATGATAATTCGATGGATTTCTGTTCAATGCCAATACAATTCTCCGTGTGGGCCTTCCATTTCAATAAATTGGGCCTACTAAAGCCCATTTATAGTGATCTTCCGATATTTTCAATTTATTGTTTATCTATCTTCGCGGTATGTCGCGTTCAAAATTGTTTGTACTTTGTCCGTTACAACTCCAGCACTCGTCTTCTTCCCCCGAAGATAAATCATAAATGTACTTTCTTTCTTCAGAATTGCTTATTTTGAAACCATAGAGAGTGAGAGGTAGAAGAAGCCACAGATCATTCGAAGAGGGAGATGAAGATCAAAACGAATTCGAAGCAGCTTAAGCTCTCCGTTCCAGTTCAGGAACCCCCGATCTCTTCCTTCTTGTAAGTTTTTTTGGAATCCTCCTTTTCGATTTGAATCGATTGAACTCGAACACATTCTGATGCTACGAAATAAGATAATCAATCGAAGAAACTGATTTTCCCCCTCGATTAATCTGAGGATTAAGAACATACGGAGATTGATAGATCTCATAATTCATTGATTTCGGAAAATTCACAGGACTGCAAGTGGAACGTTTCACGATGGAGATTTTCTTCTGAATCAGAATGGGCTTAAGCTGATTTCAGATGAGAAGCAACCAAAGGTAATTTCATTCACTGACCCGAAACTCTCTTAAATAAATCCCCTTTTGAACACCATTTCTCCGGAGAAGAAGCAAAGGTTTAAGGAAACGTAACTAACTATAGTTTCTCTATGAGCAGCATTTTGATAGTAAGGAGCTTGATTTCGAACTCACCCCTGAAGATCTGGAGACTGTGAAAGTCATTGGGAAAGGCGGTGGTGGAGTTGTACAACTAGTTCGACATAAATGGGTTGGCAAATTTTTTGCTATGAAGGTGAGTTTCTAATGGGAAAGTAGAGATTTTGATTCATGTTTGATCACATGGTTAGACTATGAAGTTAAAGGTCACTGATTGATTCCTTGAATGGAGTAGAATTGGCTTTTGAATCAGATTTAACTATGAATTTGCAGGTCATCCAGATGAATATACAAGAGGAAGTCCGTAAGCAAATCGTACAGGAGCTTAAGATAAACCAAGCATCGCAATGTCCACATGTAGTAGTCTGCTACCACTCTTTCTACCACAATGGAGCATTTTCTCTTGTTCTTGAATACATGGACCGTGGATCTCTCGGTGATGTGATCAGACAAGTCAAAACAATTCTTGAACCGTATCTTGCTGTTGTTTGTAAACAGGTCCATTGATTCTTTTATAATCATATCCAAAGTTATTAGCAGTAAACAAACATTCCAAAAAGAAAATGTCTCATAAATCTTTTGCCCATCTTTTGTGTTCACAGGTTTTGCAAGGCCTTGTGTACCTGCATAACGAAAGGCATGTCATACATAGAGACATCAAGCCATCTAATCTTCTTGTAAACCGTAAAGCAGAAGTCAAAATCTCAGATTTTGGTGTCAGTGCAAGTCTTGCAAGCTCAATGGGACAGAGAGACACGTTTGTTGGAACTTACAACTACATGTCGGTATGAAACGCATTTTCAAAACATTTTTCAGTTTTCGTGTAAACACAGTCCCGAGCACGAGTTCTTGATTCCACGATTTTCTTCATTTTGTGTAGCCAGAGAGAATCAGCGGGAGCACATATGACTACAGCAGCGACATCTGGAGTTTAGGCATGTCAGTACTAGAATGTGCCATTGGGCGTTTCCCTTACTTACAATCAGAAGATCAAAAGGACCCGCCTAGCTTTTACGAGCTCTTGGCTGCAATCGTAGAGAATCCACCACCAACTGCTCCTTCTGATCAATTCTCACCTGAGTTTTGCTCCTTTATATCATCCTGGTACTTTCATTATTGCTTCAGCTTGCATAATCATCCTGTTTTCATTCCCAAATGTAAAAAAGAAACAAGAATTGTTGATGCTTGCTGCTTTTTATTTGCATTAACAACAGCATACAGAAGGATCCTCCTGCAAGATCATCCTCTCTGGACCTACTGGTTAGTATATATCTTAATTTCTGATCAATTCTCACCAGTCACTTCCAGTATTTTTGTGCGTCTTTGATTGAACATTCTTGCGTTTTTCAGAGCCATCCGTTCATCAAGAAGTTCGAAGACAAGGATATTGATCTTGAGATTCTTGTCGGAAGCCTGGAAGAACCACCTGTGAACTACCCTGATTAAGGAAGCCCAATTTCTTGCTTCTGGCATGTAGAGATCTGATGTATCTACGATCTCATACTCGATTACATGATATGACGTATCATGTATGGTAATATGATAAAATACAAATGTGTCCCTATATATTTCAAGTATGAACTACTCATTCACCATTTTTTCCCCTGGCTTTGAACATGCACAGATGAAAATATTTTATACTCTTCATTTGTAAGTGTTGTTGATCTTTAACGCAGAGAGAAACCATGGTGTTTGAGGATACTGTTTATAATTGCTATTTTCTCATGTCCGGCGTATAAAGTATAAACATAGGATTACACGGTTAATCATTAATCAAAGGACCATAACACTAAAGAGAAGTACTTTTATCAAAGGAAACACAAACAACACATGAGACATGACATTGACTCAGAATTTTAAAACATGAACCGTAAATCAAAGGAACAAGCTACATATTATTACAATGCATTACAAAACAAAGCTTAGAACTTCAAACCGGAATCTTTGAGCTTCTCCTCCATGATCATGTCGATTTCGTTCCCCATTTCCAGAGTAAGATGATTTTTCCAGTCACCAACTATCCCTTTGCGGAAATGGTTTTTGTAGTCTATGCCATTGATCGATTTTCCGGTCTTGTTAACCTCCAAGCTTCCAAGGTTAGACAGAGAACACATCTCCAAGATCTTAGCCACAGATCCATTATTTTCTTCTTCCTCAGAAAAGGGACAACCCAAGAACTCTGCAAGTTTCTTGAGCTGACCATGAGGATCTGTTTTCATTTGATCGTACCTCATAAAAAGCACATGTTTTGGGTTTTCCACACTACCTTTCCAATAACTCAGGATATGATCCCAGAACGGACCAAACAAGCAAACTCCGCTGCAAAAGGATTCGAACATAGACTCAAGAATGCTTCTGTCCTCTTCTCTATTCAGACAGCGACAGATGATATGCCAACGTGACACCAGAGAATCCTTAGCATCCCTGCAGATGTACACTATCTTGCAAGGAGAGTCCTTGAGAGCTTCTTGCAGCGTATGGAAAGGCGTGTGAGTAGAGAACAGCCTTGGGGACGACGACGAGAGCTTGGTCGTCAAGTCCGGGTTTTGGGTGTCCCGGTATAGATTCATCTCGAGAACCGGTACGAGGTTGTGAGGATTATTGGATAAAAGAGGATGGTGATGATGGCTCGTAGGATCATCGGAAGAACGGTTCTTTGACCTCTCGAAGAGCGCAACTGTGAGTGACTTGAGCCATAAGGTACCGCATTTGGGGAAGGACGCGATGATGACATCGGTGTCTTGAGGCTGAAAACCTCTCTGGAAATTGAGGACACCTTGGAGAAAGCTGTCGTAGTACCAAGAACCTTGGTAGTTGCAGAGGTCTCGACCAAGGTACTGTTCTGAAGGAAGTGAAGAGAATAGAGTCTTTGTTTCTTCGGTTAAGTCTTCGTCTCTCAAGTTTATCCAAAACTCTTTCTTCTCCATTGTTCTTTAGTTCTTCTGTTGGTTACAATTGGTGTCTTTGCTTCAATCCCCTAGCATCACTATTTATATTCAAAATACTACTGTAAGAGAAGTTATGAGATAAAATATTACAAGATTGACGCAAGTTCAATATGTTTTACACATCATTATTATATTTATTTGTTTTCTCACTATAAAGTTAACAGCATAACTGCTCAACAATAATTTAAGAAAACATAGATACATCAAAATTTAAAACAGCCACATCTTTATGCAGTGCATCAGTTCTCCAACATTGTTATTTGATCCTGACTTGATAAGGTCAAGGTTTACTTAACTAGTAATAAACTAAATTAATGTAAAATCTATATGTAGTGATTTGATTTGCAACAAACAAAATTAATTCAAAAGGTTTTAATTTGCAAACATAACTGTCATTAATGTAAAATTTCACAAGTATGAATTCAATTAGTTTTGACATAAATGTTATGAGACAAGAGCACGAAATATAGAGTGGTGGTGAGTCATTTACAGCAGAGAGTAGGAATGTACTTTCTTCATTCTTAAAATTCATATGCTTTATAAGACTTACAAGAAGAAGAAAAAAACCCTTTTCGTTATGCCACCTCTAAATTGTGACTTCAGGACCAATCTTCCCTATTAAAGATAAAATATAGAGCTTGTACGATAGCTACAAAACTTGATTAAAAAAGAAAATAGGGAAATAGAATGCAATGCTTATTGTCCATTAGATAATAGCAGGTTAAAAATCTAGAAAGATTCTAAAGTATTTTTTATTCTGCTGCGAAGGATTCATTTCACTTTACAAATTCACGTGCTCCCTCTTGTCGACGTGCTACCATCATTTCGTACACCAAACTAGCTTCAGCATTTGGCTCATACTGTCCGAATCTGGTCAATATCTATTTGATGGTTCAACTCAATATAAAGCGTCCAGAACATAAATCACTTTAATCGAGACTTTTGTATAAAGCAGTTGCAGCTTTTGTTTACTTCGTAATATTTTCTAGGTACAACTTTTTATCAGATACTTTTTCATATCCTATATCGCAAGTTCGATAATAGGTTCTGCAACTTTTACTTTTACTTCAAGGTAGTTAGATTAACAAAACCAAGAAATATAGTGTTTCGTTATGTAATAACTTTGTAGTTTATACGCAAAATATACGAAACTGAGGGGGTGAAATGCCACTATATATATATTTGTTCTTTAAGAGCGACTAATCAGATTAAGAGAAAGATTTGGAATACTAAATCTAAAGCTCATTCGTAAAACATCTTTTCTAGGTTGATGTTACAATTGTATCAACGGTTAGTAGGTGATATTATATTAGTTTTTTTTTAATGAAGTAAAGTACACGTTGTTCATCATATTATGATCAGGTTTGTACAATAATTGATATGAAAGCAAACCATAAAATTCGTTTTGAGCTAATTAGTGGTGTAATACATGTTGGTTGCTAGCTTAATTATAGCAACAGTAAGTCCAATTTATACAGGAAATTTTGTGGAGCTTCTTCTTTTGGTGGAATTGATGTGGACAAGTACATTGAGTACTTTTATATATGTTTACATCTATTATTGAGTTAAATTTTTATTTGCTTATGAAAACAAATATATATTATTATTTTTGTTATTTATAACACGCAAACCAGAAAATGAAATTACATTTTTAAAGATAAGTACATATTACATCTCTGTTTGTATAAACTTACATTTTTCCTAGCTAGATCATGTATTGTTGTCTCTAATATAAGATTTAACAATGTATCGATTAAAAAATTTGCAGGTGTAAGTAAAAAGGACAGGGAGCCAAAATAAAACAATTAGACTTGCAGTTTTTATTCAATTGTATTATTCCGAATATTTTATTCGTTAATAAATAAATGACGTTGTAAAATAATTTGAGGTTTTTATGTGAGGCGAGAGAAAAATAAGTAATAAGATATTTGAGATAAGAGTTAGCGTTATCCACAGCTTGCACGTAACTAATACCTAGACAAGATCGTTATTCTTTATCCATTTTCGCTTAGCTTATCTACAAGCATGCCGCAACTATATATAACGTATCTATATATAAAAGACTTATCTCTTTTATGATCTTTATATTGTTCAAGAAATTTTCCGTTTGTTTAAGACTTGCAAGACAGATTTTTTTTCAAAAACAAACTTCATTGATAAGAAAAAAATTGATGAGCATTCACGATGGTAATATGATTTGGACAACAAAAGAAGAAGAAGGAGTTTCAGGATCCTCTCCGAAAGGTTCATCATCTTCATCTTCTTTCTCTAGGTATTCAACAGAGGATGCTTCTTCGCCTTCTTCTTCATCTTCAAATGGGGCTTTCGACGATCTTTCAGACCTCATCTCTCAGCTCCCTATCATGTAATGACTCTATACTAATAGGATTCATATCATTCAAAGTAAAACTCATTGCTATATCTTCATTTCCTTACATTTGAGGATCCTTCTCATCGCAAGACTTATGGAGTCATCTCACCTTTGCTTTCATCGCAAAACTCTTTGATTGATCCTAAACATATTGTAAATTTCTTTTCACAGACACGTCGAGAAAGGGCTTTCAAAGTATTACAAAGGCAAATCTCAGTCATTCAAATCTCTAGCAAATGTCACATGCCTAAAGGATCTCGTAAAGAGAGGAGGATCAAGAACGAAGTCAAGGAGCTCTCTAGGGCTGTTGAATCAGAGCTGTAGAAGGGTATATCGCGCCAATACCACAATCTCCATGAAAACCACAAGAGCATCCACAAGCCATTCCAATTCAAGATCAATCTTAAAACCCTTTAATGATTCACCAAAATCAGTTCAATGACATGACAAAACAAACTTCCTGGTTCAGTTTAACATTGTATTCATTTGTATACAAGGTTTCCCAAGCTAAATGAGAAAGAACTTAAAAGCTAAAGAACGCTGTTTTCACTAATTGTGCAGAAACTTTGTCAAAACAGATAAAAACCCTTTTGTCTTTTGGGAGGTTCAATGGGTGAAGGGATGCATCAAATCTTGTAAACAGGAGTAATTCCAAGAAGGTGGAAGCATTTCCGCATGACTATGGCTGTTGCTTCACAAAGTAGGAGACGGCTTGTCTCCTCTGGTGAGCCAATGACCTGTATAAAGTTCATGTTTTAAGTGAGATCAAAAACAATGGTGGTTGATTATGCACACTGATCATCACAATATTAAATAGAAACGTGTAATGTCAAGAGTGCACACCTGACAATTGGAATAGAATGTGGTGTAGCGGTTGGATAATTCGTAGAGGTACGCGCACAGCACGCTCGGCAACAAGGTGGTGCAAGCTTCCTCCACTGTCTGCAAATCGTTCACACATGGGTTGTGTAATTGATCATCTCCTTACCAAGAAAAAGAAGTCAAATACGAAAGTAGTATCTAATGAGCAAGTGTTACCTCCGCAAATCGAAGCAAGTGAAGCGCCAGTGCTCGCTCTCCCTCATGATCCAATGCTAGCTTTCCTGTCTGCAGTAAAGAAGATGTTGAAACGTCAGAACTACTTCTAATCATACTGCATATGGTAAAATTATAACAGTCTTCCTAAGCGGCTAAAATACCTTTTTCAGCTCATCTATGTCTTTGCCAGACTTGGTGATGATTGAAGAGATCCGAGCATGGGCGTAAAGAAGGTAAACGGCTGTATCTCCCTGTTCATGACATGTGTGACCAATAAGCATGTGTATGTTGACTGCATAATGCAATATGTAAACAAAACCGAAAATTACAGTACCTTGTCATTAAGCATTTCATCGAAGCTGAACTGATAATTTGTCGTTCTGTTGTTCTTCAGGTCAGCGTACCTTGAGAGAAATTAAACAAAACCGCAAGTCAGCAGTAGCATGAAAATATTATCAAAACATCTGGAACAATATTCATCATATTTGTGCAGCCTTGATTACAAAAATCACAAAATAGAGAATAGAGACAAATACTTACTTCACCGCACCATATCCAACTGCCTCAGCTGTTTGGTCCAGCTTCTCGGGAGTCCATTCTTTGTCCTTGCCTAAACAAAGAAACAGCATACAAGGGATGAATAAGACCACATAATAACTGAACAAGTGCACGGTTCAACAGTTCAAAACACAAAGTTATATACCGCGCTCGATAAGGGCAGTTTTGCTGCGAGTCTTGGCCTCATCTAACAAATCAACTAGGCGGACTACATCTGTAGACCGAGTTCTAAATCGCTTCTTGTCTTCCCCAACGACCAGACCAAAGCCAACATGGTCAACTCTAGGGTAAGTTTTATCACTCTCTGGAAGCCAACCTGCTTTTCTGGCAGCCTGATTCATAGTAACAGTATAACCACAGTTATGGCAGTTTTAAGTAAGACACATCAATACAATCAAATATTCATCAAAACCCTACTTTGAAGAACATATTAAAGTGCTGCTGCTGGCCGACATCGGTCACATATATAATCCACTCAGCTTTCTCTTCATTTAGCCGATACCTGTGCCAGGCAGATTTTAGCATCAGCAGACAATTATTAAACACAAAATGCAAGTTCAGGTCCACCCACACAAATTCACACACAATAAGTCATAATATATGAGATGCGTTTCCCAAAGATTGCTACTAAAGTACAGATTTCATAGAACAATTAACTGAAAGATAACCCACCAAAGAGCAGTCAGATCTGTTGAGGCATAGTTAAAACCACCGTCACTCTTTACAACCATGAGTGGGATGTTGAAGCCTTCGAGGAAAATCACACGAGCACCCTCACTTTCTTCAACCAACCCCTTGCTATTCAATTCCTCAATGACGCTAGGGATATAGGGATTGTAAAAGCTTTCTCCCTGCCATGGATCAACGTATTTCTCATTAACCATCCATGTGCATCTTTCCCATTCTGTCTCAAATAATATACTATCACTCGATCTATTCTTTTACCTTTTCTTCAAGCTCAACTCGAAGGCGTTTATAAACCATGGCAAACTCGGTTCGGCTGATTTCACAAATCTTAGCCCAAGCCTTGCGGTAAATAGGATCTCCACCCTGCACCGAAGAAACGAAAAAAAAAAAATAGACAAGTGAGTAATTTAGATCTTGCAGTTAAGGCAGCTGTATATTGAAGCATTGCTAAGCAGAAGAAAGCACCAGGAAAATTGTTACTGACCTGTAGACGGACCACAGCCTGTTGTGCTTTTTCCTTAAAGACCGGATCCGAATCAAATTTACTTTTTGATTCTTTGTAAAACGCCTGTCAGATGACATGTAACGTTAGAAACTAAATTGTTTCACATAAAAGTATAATATGCCAATATTGGTACATAAGAAGAAAGAACTGTAAAGCTGGAGAGGCCATATGATGTAAGGCAACTGACCTGAAGATCTCCAATTGCTGTCTCGGTCACACTGTCTGTATCGGGGAACTTCTCAAAGAGGTACTCAATTAGCATGCCGAACTACAGAATAAACACGTCTTTTAATTTCTTTAATAAAATATTGGAATACAACAATACAGCACTTGGTTACAAGGTTAATAAATTATTTAAAGAGCAGAAAAGTAGCTACCTGTGTTCCCCAGTCACCAACATGGTTTCTGCGTAGAACTTCAACCTTTGAGAACTCGAGCATGCGAGCTATGGTGTCACCGATGATGGTTGATCTTAGATGACCAACATGCATTTCTTTTGCAATGTTGGGAGAGGAAAAATCAACTACAGCTCTCTTAACCGGAGGAGCAGGCGCCCATGTGTCAATCCCGTCGATAAGCATATTTTCAATACTCTGCGGATAGATGAGAAAACAATTACGCTTAACATACATTATCTATGAGTAGAAAATGAGTATGCAATGTGAGCAATACAACAGGAGCACCTTGGCCATCCACTTAGCTGATAGTACAACATTAACAAACCCAGGTCCAGCTACAGAGCATGATTCCACCATCTCAGAAGCAGGTACACTCGTCATAAGGGCCTATGTGGAAAAAAAGGAAACAAAATAAGAGTTAAAGGAAATGAAAAATCCAATAAGAATCGGGCTACAAAAGCGACGGAATTGTAAAGACCAAACAAACCACAAACCTGTCCAACAGCTAGAGGAGACTTGAACTGAGTACCCTTTCCTTTAATCTTGGCCCATATGCCCATTGCATTGTTACTGCAGACAACAATATGATGGGAAAAAAAAACTAATTTAACAAACAGAAAGGAACATAATTGGAACTTTAGTTTCATTTGAACTAAGTGAAAGAGGTCACCATTGGTAATCTCCAAATTTTCCAATATCAATCAAGGGCTTAACACCAGGTACATCAGGAGCAGTTGCTTTCACAGACACATCAAAGAGCTTCTCTAACTGGCGTTTTAGATTTCCCGTGAACTCTTGATTCTGTCACAGCACACAAAAATCAGCCATGAAACAAGGGAAGACGAATATTATATATTAAGACTCTCTCCTGGATTAATCAAAAAAACTGTGACTTACAGCTGCCATGGTTGCCACTGACTTTGATTTAGTTGCGAAAGCAAATTTCCTAGTCGTTGCTCTCAATACGCCTGTCTAGGTTACAAAACCCACTTAGAACAATCAGTCCAAGCAAATAGCAAACCCTCAAAAATGAGCAAGAAAAAACAAAAATGAAAACTTGATTGTAATGTTCTCTTCTCTTCTATTATAGTTTCGTCGACAATTCTTAACGAAAGTTTCATCAAAGCACTGCTAGAGACCATGTTGAATAAAAATAACAAAAGCATATCTTCTTCAACATTTGGATGTTTTTGGGTTCTGAAACTAAAGCAAACACAAGGAAACACCACGAACGCTTGCTAAAACAAACAAGCTATCCCAGTTTCATTTCTCAAAATCCCCAAAAAAAAACAGATACACTGGAAAACAAAATCAGAGAATGTTATATTATCTAGCTGAGTATTGCAATCGAATCAATTGAAAAAAAAATGTAGGGATGGGCAGAAACCACAAGTAGAGATAAAGGAGAGAGAAATGGAAGATTAGAGCTCGGAGAGAGTAATTTACCAGTCTGGGAAGAAGATGAAGACAAATAAGCGAAGTGACGGGAACGAGAAAAACGATTGAATGAGAAGAAAGAAGACGGCGGTGAGGAAGCTGTAACCGGAAAAAGGGTTAGGCTTATTGCCATAGCAAACTTCTTTCCTACTTTTTTCCTTTTTTTTATTTTTTTAAAGGAAATTAAATTTCTTTTATTTTGAAAAAAAAAATTAAGCAATTTAGGTGTTGGGCCGCCGGGAAAGAATAAACAGCAGGCCCAGTATGCACATTAGGTTTACTGAGTACGAGCTGTTTCAAGCGCAAACGTGATTTAGCGTTTCAAACATTTTGGCGTCTGCGATCGACAGATTCGAACAATCGGCGAAGCTCAACGAGGAATTTACAGCCGTCTACTAGGAAGATGAAGAAACAAAAAAAGGGAGAAGGAATCATACCACCGTGGATAATATTGGATGATCGGCGGAACACGGCGGCAGGCGAACGGAGTAGAGCCAGCGGCGAGAGCTGTGTCGTTAGGGTTTTTCTTCTGTTCTGGAAATTCTGAGAAGGGGGGTAAATGTTTTAGGAGGACTTTTGAGGGTTCTTTGACTATTTTCGCCTCCACAATTTTCTTAAATTCTTTATTATCTTTTTCTTTTAAATTTGTAATCGACCAAACCATTTGAAAGAAATTATTAACTTTTGTTAAAAGTGGTCGACCCAAACCGAACAAAAATTAAACTGGATTAGAACCAATAGGACCAATATTTCTAATTAACCCAGTAATTCTAATTTCGGCCAGACCCGCCAGTAGGATAATAGCTTTGTGACGGTGACTCTTGATCATTAATCCAATTCCGGTGAAACTTAAAAGTCTCCTAATTTGTCTAACCCAATTCAAAATGCTCTCCAAAATTAAATTGAAAATCACATTTTACAAAAACAGAGAAAGAGAAATAGCAGTAAAATACTATTGGCTAACACTAACACCTATCTTAGGTTTTATAAGAATTAACGCAAGTCTTCATTTGGAACTTGTAATCAACGCAAGTCTCATGAGCTCCGAGATTATGAGAGCTGGAATAATCATTCATAAATACTGTAATTCTAAATTTCTAATCTCAAACCCTTCTCAACATATCCATAGGAGAGGCATTTTTTACGTTAAAAAGTGTAACCCTTATCATTTTACTATTTTACGGTTTTTGGCTACACGCTTGTTTAGTCTTTGGTTGCAACTTGTTATATTATTTACTGATACCTTGAATTTAAAATTCATGTTAGTACAAACTAAATCAATGATACTTTTCTTAGAAGATGCCATGATTATAAAGCTAACAAATTGTTTGTTTGTTGTCTCCTCTCACTAAAATGTCTCCCTAAGCTTAATTAAAATGCTTTCAGATTAAGATTTCAACTAGTGTAATCTTATTTGATCACCAACTTATGCTTAGCCAAGTAAACCACATTTTTTTGTTAAATAGTTTGTCAAAACTATTCTGAATAAAAAGTGATTGAGATGTTTTTATTGATATTAGGATGTGGCAAATCTTAAAACAATACATAAGCGATCAAAATGAAAATGAAATCAAGAATATGATGATTTCTTGATAAACTAAAAAGTCAAAAACAAATTTGCTTAGAAGAGAAACCCAAATGCCAGAGTGGCTACGGTAGCAACAAATGCGGGGATAGACAAGGAAGCGTCGGAGGTAGGGCTCGGAGCCGGAGCCTCCACGGCGGCAGCCTGTTGCACGGCAGAGAAAGCCATCACCGCCACCAAAACAGCCACAAAGAGTTTCATCTTCATTGCCTCCATTGGTGATTCTTGAGAAAGCAAACGAAGAGAAGAGTTTATAGAAGGTTGTTTTGTGGTGTGTTGTCATGTATTATGACTAGTGGGTTATATATACACATGGATGCGTGTTAGGCCAACTGTGTATGTATCACTTTACAGTTTAACTAACACCAACCCGTTTAATCGATTTTTAATTGTTTAAACTCTTTGTCTTTGTTTCAGAAAAACTTGTTTGTCTTCGAATCATAAAATTTCACTGGATTCTACAAAATGCTATGGAATCTCTGTAAATTTACAAACCTTCAGCAAGGTCTTTCCCAAAAAAATAACAAATTACAAACCTTTTTTAAAAAACACTTGGAATTTAAACAAAACAATGATATATATCTTCAGAAAGTTTTGAAAGAGTTTCCAGTATTTTTTTAGAATCTCTTCTTATAAAATGATTTTTGAACATTTTATTGTCAATGAATTTGTCTAATTGTAATATGAAACAATTGGAATCTCACCCCCCTTGTAATATTATCTCTAATACCTACACAAGCTTTTGAATAACATCTATAACTTCATAGAATATACTATTATTTTCTGTGGTTAAAGAATAAATCAATCAATCACTCTTAGTAGAAAAATGCAGTGGTTAATGAACCTAACTTTAAAGTTTATTTTTACATTAAGGTTAAATTGGTAAAGCATTAGACTACATGTCCCGATCATAATACTTTGTATTACATGTCCCGGTGAATGATAGATTTGTTAGAGTTTTAAACCAAAAATTTGATAAAGCAAAAAAACAATTATGAAGGGTATTTAGTTGAGCTCATCAACTAAGATACTTGAAAACGAAAGAAAAATAAACAGCTGGAAAGAACAGTGCAGCCGATTTTAGTTGTCATCTAGTGTTGTTTTTTTCTTGGAGAAATGGATATAATATGTTCGTTCAAAGATTATACAGTTCATAAGGTGTTATTTTTCAATCGATACAGTTCATAATAGGAACGTTTTCTCTAATAAAGGGTTAAAGATATATAGGAACTGTTTGTTTTTTTCTGTGACAGTCGTGAAATGAATAGAAAATGAGTGAAGCAATGGCCAATGAGCTGTTTGGCCGTTTCTTTATAGGTTAAGAATATGGAATTTGGTTGATGGCTCCATGTGCTCTTTGTTATTATATATTGTATAATTGGTTCAATCCATTTCCATTTCACCCCTCAATTATTGCTCAATACTCGATGAAAGAAGAATTTATATTTGTGACATTTCATTATATAACAATAAAAAGAACATACTGTGTTTTTGATGACTGTTGTTCTCTGTAAATTGACAAAAGTGTTTAAACATTTTGTCAAATGTATAAGGACATAAAGAAATGAAGAAGTAGAATCGTGAAGCTCTTTCAAACCTAAAAAGTATAAACATGCTTCTTTCTTGGAAACCAAGAAACCAAAAACTCACAAAACCTAGAGACATGAGAAAGTTGGCTTCAACAAAAACCATACTTAGCTCTTGCTCTTAGAAAGTGTCAGTCACAAACATCAGATACAGTGCCATAAAGATTGAGACTTGTGATCAAATGAAATTTGAAGATATCAAAATACACTCGACCTACTGGATGCATTAGGGAAAGGAACAAGACTAAAGAAATCTTAGAGAGGATCTGCGAGAGACCCAGAAGAGTATATCATCCACCTTTGAAGACAAACTGGGATAATCTACGAGAGACCCAGAAGAGTATCAATGTGGCAAAAACAAGAACAAAGCTCGACGGAAAATAGATCATCAGACTAAATCTGTCTCCCATACATGATTAGCCACAAGTTTCCGAGGATTATAAAAAAAAATGGCAACAACAAAACCGAACCAGCTACTCAAAGACCTCTTGGTCACTGCTCATTTTTTTTTCCCAGAAATATAAGCGAGCAGAAAGAAAATTAAAGACACCTCCGCTAGTCTCAACACTTCGAGATTTCAACGGTGTGTTTAAGTGCAGAGTAAACTCGAATTGATAGCCTAACCAGTAACCATATTCTGAAAATTATATTCACAGGGATTCAAACTGCAATCAGGATCCTGTTTCTTCAACTAAGATAAGGAAACAAGATCCGATTTTTTTGCCAAATCGCAAGAACTACACAGCACTGACACTTTAAAAAAGAAGAAGAAGGAGAAAACAGAGTGACTGCGACGGAAAACCAAAATGAGAACTTTACAGAGGATCCAGTTTAATATTGATCATTCAAAATGCAGATGAAAGTGATTTTGATACGTAGCGATGGAAGCTGAAGCTGAGCCATAAGCAAAAGCCTGATCAACACGATCGTCTTCTACGTCAGCTTCAGGATAGAGCAAACCTGGCGGAGGAAGACAGAGAACAGTCAAGAACCATAAAGCGAATCGACCCAATTCCTGGAGCGGGAAGAAGCAGACGAGCTCAAGCATCTCGCTGCTGCTTATGCGATCCGACGCTGGGATCCGCCGCAATCGCTGCCATATCTCCGCGGACAAATGGGCTACCGACATAACAGTCCCGCCGTTGAACACCATATGTCCGAACAGAGTTATTAAATTCACAAAACGTTACTGGTTTTTTTTTTTCTTCTTTTCTTCAAGGGATGATGATTCCGTGATTTCCGTCGGATTTGTCTATACACAATGGTCGTCGTTTTTTCCAGATCTTCACCGTTCTTGATTTTGCCACGTTGACTTTAAGTTTTTATCAGCATCATTACTCTTTACTCATTAGACATCTGTTAGTGCCTAATCCGGTTTTTTTCTTTTTCATATAATATTCAGCAACCAAAGTCCATTATCTTCCTTTTATTCAATTTTGGGTTAACATCATAACATAACATGCGATTGCTACTACACTATTAAATCCTAAACGGCATCGTATCAATCATTGACGTATTTACCCTCGTCGTTTCGTAGTACCTCATCCCAAACGGCATCGTTTCATAAAGATGATGAAACCGATCGATCATCTTCCTTTTTTATGTGTGTAGGTTTTAGTGGATGAAATCTTGGCTCTTTGTTAACTTCTGGTACAAGTGAGAATGATGGAACTCGCAAGCTGCTGTCTCTTTGTTCTAATTAGAACTCTACAAATTAAGGAACACTCTTAAACTACGTATAGCTCTTAGCTCTAATTGATAACAATCTTTTGTTGCAGCTTTAATGATAAAAGAGAAGCTATAGAACAAAACATGCCTACTCTTAGAGTTAGAGGAATTAAACACTCTATTAACGAGTATAGACCTAAAAGTGAGAATGATGTGACTCGTGAGCCTATGCTTCTTGAATTTGTCACAATGATAAGAATATTTAACATTATACATAACTCATATATAAACTTGAGTGTGAGTGATTTGTAGCAATGTGTGAAGCTAAATTTTTTTCGGATACTCAGGTTTCAGGCCATATAATATATAAATGGGAACTAAGACTGCGCGGTTTCTTGGTGGCATGTCTCTTGCTCTTACATTACTACTGAACTCATCAGTTCAAACAACAACTACTAATGTAATAGTTCACTAAGCCCTAAACCAGTGCAAGAAAACCTTTTCATTAATTTGCAGACTTATTCTTGATTAGCTTTTGGTATGTCTTCGTCGTGATTCTTTTGCAGATTTACGTTGTATATTTAGGCGCTAACCAGCTACAAAGCGCTGCTTTAGCTTCAAGCCACCATCGTCATCTTCTATCCAAAGTCTTTACAAGGTTCCTTTATCTTTTTAATTACCTTCTTCAAAACTCATCTTATTGTCTTGTTCACATCTTTCGCAATGATCTCGGTCGCAAATTTTGGATATCTGGTAATAGCAAAGAAGATGCAGAACGATCTATGTTGTACAGTTACAGCTATGGCTTCTCAGGCTTCTCTGCAAAGCTCAACTCAACACAAGCTGCTTCTTTAGCAAGTAATATTTCCATCTTTACATAATGGCGGCAAAACTATTTCGACCATTAAAGAATTCGGTTTGTTGGTTATCCTTTGACCGAAGATCGTTTTGGTTCAGTTAGACTAACGGTTTGGACATCGTATTTTTTTAAAAAATAATCGGAACAAAGACCGGTTTGGTTAACCGGGAAATTATTATAGAAATGGACCAGGTCATAACGGTTTTCAAGAGCAAAAGCTTGAAATTGCACACGACAAGGAGCTGGGATTTCTTAGGTCTCACCGTCGACAATGCCGGTCATTCTCCTCCGCCGCAGCTCGCCTATGGCTCCGACGTCATCGTTGGAATATTTGATACTGGTCTCTTGTTAATCTCGTAGTCTTCCTTGTTTTCAAAGCTCCGAATGTTAGCATATCGTTGAAATTTATGTTACTTCCAATTAGGGATTTGGCCGGAGTCGGAGAGTTTCAGGGAACCGCTAGAGGCAAAGCCCATACCTCCATCGTGGAACGGAAAATGCGTCGGAGGGGAAGAATTCAACCCGTCCGTGCATTGCAATCGCAAACTCATCGGCGCTCGATTTTACCTCAAAGGATTCGAGGAGACGTACGGGCGGATCGACCGTACGCGAGATCCGGAATACCGATCGCCGCGCGATTACCTCGGTCACGGCACACACACAGCGTCCACCGCCGTCGGTTCCGTTGTCCTCAACGTCTCTGGCTTATCTGGTCTTGGACGCGGCACCGCTCGCGGCGGAGCTCCATCGGCGAGGCTAGCAGTGTTCAAGACGTGCTGGGGGAAGGATCTGGAAGGGTTTTGCACTGAGGCCGATATCTTGGCGGCTTTCGACGACGCACTCCGCGACGGCGTTCACGTGATCTCGGCGTCTTTCGGTTCATCTCCGCCTTTATCTCCGTTTTTCGAGTCGAGCGCAGACATCGGGGCTTTTCACGCGGCGGAGAGAGGAATTAGCGTGGTTTTCTCCGGCGGAAACGATGGGCCTGATCCTGGCGTTGTTCAGAACGTCTCCCCTTGGGCAGTCTCCGTCGCAGCTTCCACAGTGGACCGGAGTTTCCCCACCAGAATTGTTATCGACGGCAGTTTCACTCTCACGGTACTGGTCTTTCCTTTGTGTACCAAAACTAATTTCCCAAAGATGGATTCTTTATAGCCTCAAAATTGTGAAGAACAAAACTTTGTTTGAATTATTCAATCTTTCAGGGCCAGAGCTTGATTTCTAAAGAGATCAGGGGTTCATTAGCTCTTGCAACAACGTATTTCGATGGAGGGTATTTGCTCAACAAAATCCATGAAATTGTATTTGAAATCCATATTTAATTACTTGGCAATTTATAGCTTATTAGCAGAAATGGTGTATTACAGTAAAGACTGCTATGTGCAGGGTTTGCAAATGGGAGAACTGGTTAAAGAAATTGGCCAGTGAGACGATAATTCTATGCTTCTCTACTTTGGGTCCGGTTCAATTCATCGAAGAAGCACAAGCCGCTGCCATAAGAGCGAACGCATCAGCATTAATATATGCAGCCGCACCCACCAAACAGCTCGTCGAACAAGTAGACATGATTCCAACAGTTCGAGTCGATCTCCTTCGCGGGACTATGATCAGGAACTATCTTGCTCGCTCTCCTACGTAAGCCACATTCGGTTGTATACATTGTTTCCATGCACTAAGCTGATATATAGTTCTCTAAAAAACAAACTCATTATATTCCTTTTTGGTAACTACTCAAGAGTGCCAATGGTGAAAATTGGACCGCGCAAAACGGTGATCGGAGAGATTACAGCACCTTCCATTGCTTATTTCTCTTCGAGAGGACCTAGCTCACTATCACCTGATATTCTCAAGGTACAATCATCCACTTTTAGTTTATACAGTATGATGCAATATGTTGTATGCTTGAGTCCTACCGTTGTGTTGATGTATTTGAGATAGTGCCAGATTTCTCAGCTTTGTGAATATTGATTGGTCTTTGGTGTATCTATGGTGTGTGCAGCCAGATATTACAGCTCCCGGCATTGGGATTTTAGCAGCCTGGCCTTCTAAAACTCCACCTACAGTGTTTCCAGGAGACCATCGATCCGTTGAGTGGAACTTACAGTCGGGAACGTCGATGTCATGTCCTCATGTGGCTGGAGTCATGGCGCTTCTCCTGTCGGCTCACCCTGATTGGTCACCAGCTGCAATCAGAAGCGCTATCATGACCACAGGTTCTACTTATAGTATGGACTCTCACATTTTTCTACTTACAAACCCACAAAATTAGATATTGAACTATCTTCTTTCCGTTTCCCAGCGGATACAAGAGACACGAGCAATGATGTGATCCTCTCTGGTGGTTCGATGAAGTCCACTGACCCGTTTGACATCGGTGCTGGGCATATAAACCCTTTGAAAGCGATGGACCCTGGTCTGGTTTACAATACCAGAACCGAAGACTACGTGCTCTTCTTGTGTAACATTGGCTATACGGATCAAGAGATCAAGTCCATGCTTCTCCACTCAGAGCCGTCTTCCACAACATGCCTTCCGTCTCACGCGTATCGAACCAATGCTGATTTCAACTATCCATCTATCACCATACCGAGCCTAAGATTCACTAGGACAATAAAACGTACCGTAAGAAACGTTGGGCCAAACAAAAACACGGTTTATTTCGTGGACATGGTTAAACCAGTGGGAGTGGAAGTTATGATCTGGCCGCGGATTCTGGTGTTCTCGAAGTGCCAACAAGAACACTCGTATTACGTTACATTCAAGCCCACCAAGATATCCTCTGGTCGGTATGAGTTTGGAGAAATCATTTGGACAGACGGGATCCATCGAGTTAGAAGTCCGTTTGTTCTGTTCTTGAGCAACGGTGGGTTTTTCGCAAGCAGTTGAGAAAAACATGTAATGTTGGGCTTTACGTTTTCAACTTATCATGATGTTGCTAGTTGCTGATTATACAAGACTTTGTTTTGGCTGTTATTGTCTTCTGTTATGAATAATTTATATTATGAATGCCCACAGTACAAGGCTGGTATTCTAGAATATTCTATCGTATTACTTTCTTTAAAATATATTTGTTTCTTTAGTATTTATTTACTTGTTGTTATCCCGAATGAAATTTGTTTTCTAGAACCTGAAAAATTGAAACCCGAATATATCCAAACCGAATAACTAAATATCTCTAGTCTACTGCTTTATGAAACACAAAACCCAGACGAAGATGAAACAAGCATAGTAATAGCCTAGGGTTTCTTGGATCCTCTGCTGCGAGACAAACTACAAGGGTTACTCTCCAAACAATCAAACTGTGAGTTTGTGTGATCACTATAACTGTACATGTTTGTTATATTCTAATTCTTTTTTTTTTCTCGAATTCAGGGGATAGTGATTTAGATGGACAGCATCAGTCAACTTTCGGATGATTTGCTCTTACGAATATTGTCACTCACCACGACAAAAGATGTTTTGGCCACAAGTCTTTTGTCCAAAAGATGGCGTTATCTTTGGATTTTCGTGCAACAACTTGAATACGACGATAGCGATCACATTGGTGACTACAATAGCTTCTCGCAGTTTGTTTACAGGTCTTTCGTATCAAATAAGGCACCGGTGCTAGAATACTTGCGTCTGAATCTTGGCGCTGAGTGTCTATTTATAGATATTGGACTATGGATTGATATTGCAATTAGTCGCCATGTGCGTGAGCTGGATATTGATATTCGTTCTTCCAATGAAGGGCCAGTTCGTTTGCCGAGTAGCCTATATACCTCCGAAACGCTTGAGAACTTGACACTCGTCAGTTTCCTTCTTTTGGATGTTCCTGTCAACGTTTGTCTCCCGTCTCTCAAAAGCCTGAGCCTTACGTTTGTTGATTACGCAAACGACGCGTCTCTTCCACGTCTTCTATCCGGTTGTCCGAATCTTGAAGAACTGTTCGTGGAACGATATGATGGAGATATAACATTCAATTCCACTGTCGTGGTGCCTTCCTTGCAGAGATTAACTTTGTGGGACATGAACTCTGCGACATGTGGTGGGTTTGTAATAGATGCCCCTTCTTTGAAGTACCTTCACATTACAGATACTGTGCTTTACAACTTTCGTCAAATGGAGAATATGCCTGAGTTGGTCGAGGCACGTGTTTGCATTACCCGTGGAGGTGCCCTGGAGTTTCTAAAAGCTCTTACTTCTGTGCAACGCCTTTCGCTATCTTTATCACTCTCAGAGGTAATAATAACAATACATTGAATCTTGTGATTGCATATTAATGTATTATTCTCCCTCTCAATAGTATTTATCTTGTTGTATATGAACAAAAAAAAAAAAACAGGTGATGCATCCTTCTGGTATGAATATGATCTTCAATGAACTTGTTCATCTGGACTTGTATACATTTACTGAAGGCTGGTGGGATCTTTTTACTTTTATGCTCCCTGCTTCCCCCAAACTGCGATTCCTCAGACTCACCCATGTATGTGGTCTCTATAATATCTGCTTTTATCCGGTTTAGTTTCCCAATATTGTTGATATTGACTGATAACTATCTCGTTGGTCTTAGAAAATTGAAAATGGTCGACATTCTTGCAAAGAAATCCCATTTGGTTGGAAGCCACCGAGTTCTGTTCCGGGGTGTTTATTGTTTAGTCTCGAGGCTTTTGAGTGGATTGGGTACAGTGGGAGACAAGGAGATAGAGAGATGGCAGTATATGTCCTAAAGAATGCAGCTTGTTTGAAGACTGCGGCTTTCTCTCCGGAATCTAATGACGTGGGAGACAAGTATCAGATGCTCAAGGAGTTGGCATCTGTAGCTACAGCTTCGACTTGGTCTCAGCTTCTGTTCGACTGAAAGATTATAACACTATCAGTTTTCCTGGTGTCTGTTCTTATGGCTGTGTTTACGTTTTTTGTTGGACTGACTGAATTATGTAGGTTCTGATGTTGTTCCTCTGCATATTTTGCCAAACAACACTAAAACCTTCCTCTCACTTATAGTTTCTAAGGGGCACGCTGTACCGATTTGCTCTTTGCCAATATCATATTGTTTCCGAGCACAGATAATGTAGGAACAAGTCTTTTTTTATCCAAAACGTGAGTATGATTATAGTAATCGGAAAGGTGATTATAATTTATAAGATTCAGTACAAGACTTGTGGCTATTTGGACAAAAGGGAGGGAAAGTAAAGTCTATAAGACGTGATGAGATCGTGATCCTTATCGTTTATAATCATGTCTTTGTCATTCTCTATCCCTACCTTTACCCTCTCATCTAAAGTTAGAGGCGGAATATTAATTCGGAAAAGACCCTAATTTTGAAACCCGACCCTGACCGGCTGGTTTGCCTGGTTAAACCAGGATCCGATCACTTATCCGGATCGGTTCTATTCTTTAAATTCGAAATTTAATAACCTGGTAAAATCTAGAAAAACCTGCGAGTAACCCGTGATCTAGTGATCTCTTGACCATGTTAAATTAGTAATTTTACTTTTTTATAATAAAAAATATTTTTAACATAAATAATTTCTAATTAAATTATAGGTTTTTGTTATTTTGTGACTTTTATCGAGTTTTAAGATTTGTAATTTGTATCAACATTGAATTTTTTTTCTCAATTGCTTGTATTATGTTTTGAACAATTTATATTATATTTTTTATATTTAATAATTTGAATAGTTTATGTTATATTTTTTATATTTAATTCTATTTTTCTATTTTTAAAAGTATATAATATATATATATATATTATATAAAGTTTTATTAATTAGTTAATTCGCTGTTGACCTAGATCAACCCAAATAAATCCGAAAATTTAGTGATTCGATAACCATTCTGGTTTGCTTTTCGGGTCAGCTTTCAAAACATTGTTACCAGTTCTGGAAGGTTAATACTTAATAGTATAACTTTCAAATAAATATATTTATTGTACCAGTTGGTAATTTTGCGTTATATAAAAAGTATCATACTGTACAATCAACTGTTCCTGATTTACTTTCTCTTCTAGGGTTTTCTTGTTTGTTTGTTGGAATCCTCTCGTCAATTCTTAGTTCTGATTTGCCAGAAAACAAAAGACTAGAGGAACTACGCATCTCCAAACACTCAGTGTAATCTTCTGTGATTCTCTGCGTGTTGCATTGTTTATTTCTTTTTTGCTTTAGGTTTTCTCACCTGCAGACTCAACTCGTAGATTGATTTATCCTCTCGTCTCTCATCTTTTTGGTTTTGTAGTGTCACATAAGAAGACATGGACATCATCAGCCAATTTCCGGAGGACTTGCTCGTGCGAATACTGTCATTTATTCCGACAAAACATGCCATTGTCACGAGTCTTTTGTCCAGAAGATGGCGATCTCTTTGGACCTTGGTGCCAAAACTTGAATATGATGATTATAATACAAATCAACAACAAAGATTCCCACTGTTTGTTTACAGGTTTTTGAATTTAAATAGGGCACCAGTTCTCGAGAGGCTGAAACTAAGGATATATAACCTTGGTCAAGAATGTCAGGTCCCGGATTTTGGAATATGGATTGGTATTGCAGTTAGTCGCCGAGTGCGTGAGCTGGAAGTTATTGTTCCTTTTCCTCAGAGGGTATCTATCAGTTTGCCTAGTAACCTCTATACATGTGAAACACTTGAGAGCTTGTCACTCAACACAACCAATTGCGTTCTTGTGGATGTTCCTTTTGCGATTCGTCTCCCTTCCCTAAGAAAACTGCATCTTTGGGCTACTGGCTATCCAGATCATGCATCTCTTCATAGGCTTTTATCCGGTTGCCCTAATCTTGAAGACTTGGAATTAATCCGATTTGGTGAACGCAACAATTTGATACGAGACGCAGACAACACTAAGGATTTCACTATTGCAGTGCCTTCCTTAAAAAGATTATCTGTGTTTGACAGGGGTTATGGATCTGTTAGTACTGGACATGTGATCGATGCTCCTTCTTTGAGGTACCTTAAAGTTCATGATAGTTTGCTTTACAAGTTTCGTCGAATGGAGAATATGCCTGAGTTGGTCACAGCACGTGTTGAGGTTACTAATGGAGTTACCAAGAAGTTTCTAAAAGCTCTTACTTGTGCCAGCTGCCTTTATCTATGTTTAACACTTTCAGAGGTAAGCAGCAAAATATGACATATGTTTTTGTAGTTTTTTAGAATTCTTGTGATTTTCTTGGCAATATTTCTTACGGAATTTACAATAAAAAACAGGTTATGAGTCCTTCTGAAATGATCTTCCATCAGCTTGTTCAACTTACCCTAAGTACATGTCCTCCTGGTTGGTGGGATCTTCTTACTCATATGCTCCAATATTCCCCCAACCTACAAATTCTCACACTCATCAGTGTAAGTTTTTTTTAAGAAAAAAATCTGATTTATGATTGGTCTCATAAGTCATAACTATGTTCTTCTTAACTACAAATTCTCACACTCATCATCTCATAACTATGTTCTTCTTAATTGGTCTTTCTAGACATTTGGCCTTCAGGCTCATCCTACTTTTGAGACCCCGAATTGGTGGAAGCAGCCGAGTTGTGTTCCTGTGTGTTTGTTGAACGTTCTTCGAAATTTCAAGTGGATTGGGTATGGAGGGAGACAAGGAGACAGAGAAGTGGCAACATATGTTCTAATGAATGCCACTCGTTTGAAGACTGCGACCTTTACTCCAGAATCAACTGATGACAAGGACAAGTATCGGATGCTCAAGGAGTTAGCATCTGTACCTACGCCTTCGCCTACATGTCAGCTTCTGTTCGACTGAACGAACGTTTTAGTCTAAAAGCTAAGAGATTCTTTACGTTCTTCTTGCTCTGCCAAAATGATATACAATTCTTGTTCGGGTTACTTCTTGATTTTGCCTCTCGTTATCCGGTTTTTACTTGCAAGATTTTAGCTCTGTTTAATTCCGGTTGGATTTTTATTGTGGCATCCAAAACATATATCGTTCGGTTTACTTCTTCTTTTTTTTTTTTGGGGTCAAATATATCGTTCGGTTTACATCTATGATTTCCAATTAATTGGTCTAACTTACATTATCGTTCGATTTACTTTTATGGTTCGAATTGATTGGTCTTACTTACATTATCGTTCGGTTTACTTCTATGGTTCTAATTGATTGCTCTTACTTACATTTTCTTTCGGTTTACTTCTACGTTTCGAATTGATTGGTCTGAGTTACACTGGAATCTGGTTCGTTTTTTCTACTAAAAATTCATGACAAATTTATTTATCTATCAATCAGTATACGGTTCAGTTTATACAGGATGCAGTGAATTTGATGACTTCGATGATTCAATATAAATTATCATATTAAGTGCCAGAACATGGACAAATCACAAATGGTAGTATCTAATACGGAGATTAAAGGTAATTAAAGTGAAATTCAATTTAGTGTAAAGAGTTAAAAAAAAAAAAACTAGGCCTCAGAGATCTTGGTGGTTAAACAATCATCAATTGAAGAAAGTTCTTCATCAAGAGTAGCAAATATTTTCTTGCATCACCGGCCCACTCAATTTAAAAACGAAATTGCAAACCGAAAAAGGGATCAATATGTAATTTTTCTATATAAATGATGATGATGAATCAGAAGTAGCTGGTTGATGATCACATCTTTCCCGAAGGAAATCAATGGGAATCCGAATGATTTCTTTCGTCATCTCTCATCATCAAGATATCTACAGGTTTCAAAATTTCATAAAAAAAAGATCTCAAGCAATTAAAACAAATAAAAAAGAGGGTATGATGATCAAGTCAAAAGTAGCTGGTTTATGATCACATCTTTCCCGTAGGGAAATCAATGGGAATCCGAATGATTTCTTTCATCATCCTCATCATCAGACCCCAGAATATTTCAAAATTTCAAAAACGATATATCACTGAACATTCGAATCCACGACTAAGAGAAAATCGTAATAGAAAAACAGAACCGATATATAGAGCATTGATGCGAGATATGAATACGAACAAGACAGAATAGAAGTTAAATATATACGGCGACGAACAAGGAGCCCTAATCTTTATGTTTGACGAAACGCTGTCGTATTACGTGAGGGCTCATGGGTCGGATATTTTCTTGGTGGGTCATTTTTCTTGGTAATTTCGTACAGTTGTCAAAACGGTTTGTTTTCTAAGCCCAAGTCCATTCAAAATACAGTATATGACATAAGCAAAACATGTACAGTATCTTGAGTTCTTGACAAAGAAAAATGTACGAAAAACGTGATTATACAGCAATAGCAATATAGCATTACAGATTTTTTAACAGATATGGGACAAAAGTGAAGGAGGATACAAAGACAGAAACATGAACACTACTACGTAATGAATATATTTTAGAGCAATATATAAATACAAGACATGATCATGTTGTGTGTTCTTAGCAATAATCATGTTGAGCTGTAATGGATAGATAGATTCAGTCTCCGGTACCAAACGCTTCGGGCCAGAAGCTGCCTGTGAAAGACAGAATTCTCTCCTGAGGGTGTCTCAGTCTAAATATAGGATCATCGGATCAACACTTTTTTGCCTACGAGCTATTTCCGTAAGACCAAAACCTGAGGTTGCCTGCCTCCAAAACGAAGATGCGGCTGTGTTCTAACTTAAATCGATACTTCTTGCTTCAATTCTAAAGCTTGAGGTGTTCCTGCTCTATCCTTGACAAATGTCCTAAGGCACCCGTTGATAATGCGTGGCGCTGATCCATCACAGAACCGTTTCGCGAGATCCACAGCCTTTTCTCACATCATTTTTGTAACAGTGTTAGTTAATAGCAAGATCAAGGTTATCGCATTGCAAAGCTAACCGAGAGAGAGAGAGAGAGACATACCTCGTTTATGACAATTGGGTGTCGGGTTTCAAGGACTGCCACTTCAGACATTGCTAAGTGAAGAATTGAAAACTCTAGTATTCTTCCAGCTGGTGCACTCTGCAAATAGGCGCAGCAACATTCACAAGATATTTATCGTAGCAAGAGATTAAAAGATATGTATACAATCACACAACCAAAATAAGAAGCTGCTTCTAGATGCTCAAGCTATTTCAAAGGCAAATGTTGAGCTCAGGGGTTGTTCAAACAGGTAGTAACAATAAGAGCAACCACACAACATAGGGACAATGAGAGAAAATGATTTCAACTATCAAGAACTTGGCCGGAGTTTAAGTTTCAGTTCATACCTTCCAATCTGGCGGGGAAATTTTCTCGATGATAACGACATGATTATCCCATTTATCAACCACTGCAGCCAAGAGTTTCTTTGCAAACCTTTTTGGAAAACACAGAGTGGGAATAAGATAAGATATCCATAATTTATTTCAGAGTAAGCAGCAATTACTATTCACTGTTACATTTAGTAGATTACCGAAGAACAAGTTTGCTGTAGACCAGCTTCGGGGGAGCTGAAAGCACTTCTGCTTCTGCAGAAACGGAGGATAAACAACAGGTAATAGTAGTATGTCATTTACATGTTAAAAGATGGGAAATTTCCAATGAGCCAAAACCAAACAAGAGTCTCATTTTCAGAGTAAGAACCTACCGATTTTCGATTCGTTTTCATCATGACGAACAAGCTCATCTTCCTCTTCACTTGTTTCTGTTTTAACTGGGGGTCCTCCAAAGCTCATGTGGTTGTATTCCAACAAAGAAGTCTTGTCAAACTCGTAACCAGGCTCTGCATAAAACCAATCATTGTTCACTGAAGCTATATCACAGGCGTTTATATCAAGAAGAAACAAGCAGTATATCCACAGAGCGAGATCTCTGAATCAGGACGCAGTGTAGACAAAACCACATAAACTACAATGAGATTCCTGCATCCATCACATTGGAAACAAAACCAGATCAGGAACATGTTTAGTTGATGCGTACCTCTTCTTGCATTGATCCTCTTCTCAAAGAGACGAATTGGGTCTGAGCCTTCTAAGCATGCGGCATAAAGTATTACCCTGACACGATCATCCAGAAACATGGACCAGAGATAAGAAAATCAGAGGGCAGATTCATCATTCATACTAATAGCAAATAATATCATATTTGTAGTTCATTTTATAGCTGATATCAAGGAAAACAATAATATTTCTAGGCTTAAAGAAACTTTGATTTCAGGTTTGAGTACGAGACACATAGAAGTTTCTGGGTTTTGAGTAAAACCTTAAACCCAGACTCACGGAACTAGCCTTATTCTTGTCCCACGAATCCACAAAGATAACCAAAAATTGTTCCCACTTTAAGTAAAGCCAAATTCTCATTTTCCAGCTAAATTTTCCAATTCCATTCAAATCAACGAAGCGAATACGAATTCAGAAACGAGCATGGAAGGAACCAAGGAGAGAATATAAAAGCATACAGAGCGAGCTCGCGGGCAGCTCGAGGGCTGCTTAGTCGACCGCTCTTATCTATCTTCGGCATCGGGACATCTTTCACCTCCTCCGCGGAAATTTTCGGCGTACGAAGAGCGCCTCTCGTCGGAGAGAGAATCAGCCGTAGTGACGATGACCGTCCGTTTCCCGTTCGCAGGGATACCAAGTTCGTCGGCCGGAGCGAATCAACCAATGTAAATCCCAGAGAACGGTGAGAATCTGATGAAACGTAACTGGGGAAGTAACAGAGACTCGAGGAAGAACGTAGGCAAAGCGGCGAGATGCTTCCCTCCATTTTTGTTTCGAGCTCTCCTGCTTCTTCGTGTTTAGTGAGAAGCAGATAACGATATCCGTAAAATTGAAAAATGAAAAAAAAATATCTCTCGGAAAAAGGGAGAAGAAAAGAAACAAGCAAGAAGCAGCAGGAATACGACGACGTTTTTAATACTTGGTCAGCCAAAATTGTTTAAAAAGTTTGGCCTATACAGGTTTCGAACCTGTGACCTTCGCGTTATTAGCACGACGCTCTAACCAACTGAGCTAATAGGCCTATGCGTTACATTTCTAACGGCACAAAATTAATACGATACCTAATCGACAGGAGTCAGACTATGAGTGACACAACATGATGAGGCAGGTTTCTTTCATCTTCCACACTTCTCTATTTGCATGCATCGTGCATTAATATACCATTAAAATTAAATAGAATTCATTTTCACGTAGTTTTTTTTTTTTTGAACATTTGCTTAATTTCACGTAGTTGTTAATTCAAGAATTACACACATCAAGTGTTCAAATGTTTCAGATTTATGGGTTTTTTTCAATTTAGATTTTGTGACTTTTGATGTTGAATCAAAAGTTCAGAAATAACAGACTAATTTCTAGTTTCTTTTACTTTTTCTTTTTTCTTTTTGACTTCTGTTTTCATTTTCTTTTATTTCATTTTGATAATCTACTAATCTTAATTTTAATATTGTATATATATATATATAATATAAAAAATGGTTAGGGTGTTGGTGTGACTTGAAAACCATATGAAAGCTATAAATAACCAATAATTGAGAAAACCTCTCCATTCTGTATACGCTCTGTCATACGTTGTGGCGAGTCCTTTTGCTGCAACGCTCCATAAACTTTTTTTGGGATCAGAAACATGAAAGAAGTATTCTATGGTTTTCTTGTAACAACGTTTTCTTGTTTTTCTGCGGTTAGGTTTTATAAATTGTGGCTAAAACCACGATTAGCGCTTATAAATCAGCATATGTAACAACGAAGGTTTCAAACTTGTGGAATATGGATTTATATCTTAGGCTAACACTGCAAAGTATGAAAAAAATCAATATGAACTAAATATTTATAACAGAGTTACAGTATCATTAAACCAAACTGAAATACAATATTATTGATAAAATAATAATGCACCATCGCATAAACGATCTGCATATTCGATAGGTATCCAATTTAAGTTCATTATAAAATAATTTATAGAAAAGAAACAAAAACAAAACCGAACATAAGATAGTCGATTACTTGACACTATAGAAATAATGCGGATTAGCCACTACTGGGATCAATCCGTTTTCGGGCGGAGTAACTGCGAACCAATTCATAAATAACATAACCCAATATTATGAACCCCACAACGATGACTGCGATAATTATGAAAGTATTCATACTGTTTCTTCACCACACACACACACACCCAAAAAAAAAAAATTATTCTAACTTTTGTTTGTATCTTCTTTCATTTATATCTTAAATTTTGTAAAGAAGTTGGTGAAATTTTAAAAAGTTTTACATTTTTTCCCTAAAGAATATATTAATTAGAAAAATTGGATTTTTTTTATATTTAATCATTATAAAAAGAAAAATATATAATTTTTACATTTTATTTTTAGTACTTTGTTGATCATACTTCACATATGTGTATAGTGATTTAGACCTACTAAATATTTGAACATTTTGTCACAAGCAACAAATATGAACTTACTAAGTAATTTAAGATTGGAGTTGGAGGTATGCTATATTGAATATAGATGCATTTCTTTCATTTATATCTTAAATTTTGTAAACAAATTGGTGAAATTTTAAAACTTTTACATTTTTTTTCACTAAAAGAATATTAATTAGAAAAATTAGAAAATGTATATATAATCATTATAAAAGAGAAATATAGAATTTTTACATTTTATTTATAGTCTTTGTTGATCGTCATACGTATAGTGATTTAGACCTACTAAATATTTGAACATTTTATCACAAGCAACAAATATGAAGTTACTAAGTAATTTAAGATTGTAGGTGGGCTAAGATTGGATATGCATGCATTTCCTTTTATTCTACAAATTATATTGCTAATTTTCCCACTAATTAAAAGAAATACTAGATTTTATACTAAAAACGGAAATTATTGTTATCATAATAATTTACATAATATAATTTAGTGATTACTTTAATTACTTGTAAACTATGTTGATATTTTACCCTCTACACCAAAAGAACAGTAATATTTACTTTATGTTATTTTTTTCTCATTTGAGCGCCCAAGTAATTATTTCAGCACCCTGCTACTCCATTTAGGTTTGACCAGTGCATATCCCACCAACCAACGGCTTTGCATTTCCACATCAAACGGAAAGAAGAGATTCGCATAATCGGTTCTTTGCTGATTCTCTTTGCCTTGTCCTTCAAGCCAGATCTCTCTCACATACAATACCACGATCCGTTTCCGTGATCGTCTTGCGCTTTCTGTTATTGTGGTGTGTGCTATCTCGAGAGATCTGTTAGTCACTTCCATGGCGATGGAACAGAGGCCAAAGACGAAGATCGTGTGCACACTCGGGCCAGCGTCCAGATCTGTCCCGATGGTCGAGAAGCTTCTTATGGCGGGGATGAACGTGGCTCGCTTCAACTTCTCTCATGGATCTTACGCCTACCACCAGGAGACCCTCGACAATCTCCGTCAGGCCATGCTTAACACCGGCATGCTCTGTGCTGTCATGCTCGACACCAAGGTCAGTCTTATTAAAAACCTGTGCTATATATATGTGCATTTATGTGTGTGTATATATATATTGATTTGGGCTCTGTTCACGCCGGATCCTGATCATTCCTCCATCGATCTACAGTTGGTTCGTGTCTGATCTGATTTTATAAATATTTGTGCATAATATCTCACCTGCTTGTATAATTGTCTTCCATAGTGCCTATGTATAAGTCTTTTTTTTTTTGTTAGTTTATGTTTTTCCTTCGTTTAGAAATGAGAAGTGGACACTATCAGTTTCACTTCCAAGGGTTTAAAATAAAAATATTTGAGATTGAGTTTGATTACCTGTGAACTTATATGGTAGTTGTTTCCAGTCCAAGCATGGATTAGACCCAATCTATATAAAATTGTTTACTGATGATAGAAACCAAATAGAGAATTGTGAATATGACTCTCACCATTGTTGTCTTGAAGAAGACGATAATTAAAATGCGTTGATGGTGTTGTTCATAGTTTCATAAACGCTTAAGATTTTGTATATATGCCTGACAGGGACCAGAGATTCGAACCGGATTCTTAAAGAATGGGAAACCAGTCCAGCTGAAACAAGGCCAAGAAATCACCATTTCGACTGACTATGACTTGAAGGGTGATGAGAGGACGATATGCATGAGCTACAAAAAGCTAGCGGAAGATGTCAGTCCAGGCATGGTGATACTCTGTGCCGATGGTACCATCTCGTTGAAGGTCCTCTCTTGTGACAAAGGAAAGGGTACGGTTCGTTGCCGTTGCGAGAACACATCGATGCTCGGTGAGAGGAAGAACGTTAACCTCCCCGGTGTTGTGGTTGATCTCCCTACTCTAACTGAAAAAGACAAGCAAGACATTCTTGAATGGGGAGTTCCTAATCAAATCGACATGATCGCTCTGTCTTTCGTCAGAAAAGGTTCAGACTTGGTACAAGTTAGGAAGCTACTCGGAGAACATGCCAAAACCATTCTTCTCATGTCAAAGGTAATAATAATGCCATTTCGAAACTCTTCTGTACATTGCAGAAACCACAAGAGACTCAAGTTTTTTTTTTAATGATATTTTGCTTTTGATTTGACAGGTTGAAAACCAAGAAGGTGTGGCGAATTTTGATGACATATTGATAAACTCTGATGCGTTTATGATCGCGAGAGGTGACCTTGGAATGGAGATCCCAATCGAGAAGATATTCTTAGCTCAGAAAGTGATGATCCACAAGTGCAATATCATGGGAAAGCCAGTGGTTACAGCGACTCAGATGCTCGAGTCTATGATAAAATCCCCACGGCCAACAAGAGCAGAAGCAACAGATGTCGCCAACGCTGTCCTCGACGGCACGGACTGTGTCATGCTCAGCGGTGAAACAGCAGCGGGAGCATATCCAGAGCTTGCTGTCCGTACGATGGCAAAGATATGTGTGGAAGCAGAGAGCACGCTGGACTACGGAGACATTTTCAAGAGGATAATGCTGTACTCTGAGGTCCCTATGAGCCCGATCGAGTCACTTGCTTCGTCTGCAGTCAGAACCGCTACTTCCGCTAGAGCCACTCTCATGATAGTCTTGACCAGAGGAGGCAGCACGGCGAAGCTTGTGGCTAAGTACAGACCAGGGATACCGATTTTGTCAGTTGTGGTTCCCGAAATCTCGACTGACTCTTTTGATTGGTCGTGTAGCAACGAGTCTCCGGCTAGACACAGCCTCATCTTCCGGGGTTTAGTCCCGGTGCTTTATGCTGGTTCGGCCAGAGCCTCCAACGACGAGTCAACAGAAGAAACGATCGAGTTCGCGACTCAGTACGGGAAAAAGAAGCAATTGTGCAAGACCGGAGACTCGGTCGTGGCTCTTCTCCGTACAGGTAACGCTATTGTTATCAAGATCCTGACCGTGAAGTGATCTGGCGCTTACGTTTGCGTTTGGAAATTATTATTCATTATGGTGACTAATCTTGAGAATATTAAACTCGAAGTATCTTCTGAATTTTTTGGGATCACTCTGGTTACCAAAGACTTCTTTTTGTTATAATTTACAAAAATGTGTAAGGTAAACTCTTTGGCTCGTGCTTATGCAACTTTGGGATTCCTATTTGAAGATAATGCGATGCAGTCCACAACTATAATCACATGCCTCTCCTTCTCAACATTAAATTCCAGCAAATCTTAATTTGTGCCCATCTTTTCATTTAGTTTTTTTACAAAATACTGTAAAGTTCAAACACAGACAAAACCATATGATCATCATCTTCATCTGTTGCATATTGTAAATAGCTCGAGTGATAACATTTTTACGCAGCACATGAATCAAGCAAGACAATATAAGACAAACGAAAACATTCCTCTAAAGTGTTTATTTATTTATTTTCAACAATCTTGAGTGAAGAAGATTTTATGTACTTGAAGCTGAGGAATAGTGATCCAAGAGAAATGCAGAGATTGTTTTTGTTTCCGATTTTTTCTTCTATCCTGAATAAGAGTTCTCATTGTGCTGAGACGAACCTGATGCCGATGCGGATGACGAAGAGGATGAAGAGAATAATACGCTGAACGGCCATGGAAAAGAGAACCTTCTCTCGCTCCCATTACCATTCCTTGCATCATCTTCCACATTCTCATTACTCACGTTGATCTCTAGAGTTCTTGTTCTCGGTCTTACCAAATCAACCTTCATCTCGTCGTCAGGTGGGAGTTCATACCGGCACACGGGACACGAGCTGTGAAGCTCGAGCCACGGTACTATACACCGGAGGTGGAACTTGTGCTTACAGGGCATCTCTTTAGCTTCACTTCCCTTGTCAAAATCATCCAAACAAACCGAGCACTGCAATGGCTCACATATCTTAACCGTTGGGAGATTCTCCACGGCTTCCTTTCGTGCTGGAAGAGTCCCGTGCCTGATCGGATCATTCTCAGCTAGGTGTTCAAGCAGTTGGTCTAACCCCGGTCCAACAAAGTAATCTCCAATTGCAGAAAGAGAAGTACTGTTCTGGTTTTGATTCAAACCAGCTGACTGAGTAAACGGGTTCCGGTCCGAGCCCTGATACTCGGAATTGATCCCTGCACGAATGCCCTGAAGCAACTGCAATATGACAGCTGAGCTTCTCCTTCTCCTCCTAAGGATAGACTCAAACTCTCTGTCTAAATCAATCTCTCCACCGTGCTGCCTGTGGCGATGAAGACGACGACGATGATGATGATTATCGACATTGCTGATGACATCTTCATCAACATCAGCAGCAACATTGACCTCATCGTTGTCCACACCAGACTCTGTCCTCCTAAACCTTCTGCGTCTACGAGGATTGCTCATCATTCCAAGCAAGATTGGACCCCATAGAGACAATGCACGGTCTGTACCGAAATCGATATCTTGGTCTTGAGCCTCCCTTAGGCTGCTGCTGCCTCCGCCATTTATCTCACCGCTCATCTCCTCGACGAACCCGCTTTGGCAAGATGGGCATTTGATCTCGGCGTCAATGATTGGATTCACCATTTGTGAACACATGTGACACCAATACCTAGCCGCCATTGCCTCTTCCCCTTCTTCTGCTTCCCCACCAAAATCTATCGTTTCTGAATAAAAAAAAGAAACATAAGAAGAACACAGGAAACAGGATGAAAACTTATAAATCGTCCATCTTTCTTTTGCACATCTTTCATCCGTTTAATTTCAGTTTTAGCAGATCTAAACATAGAGAACAGCATTCCCAAAAGTTTCAATAAAACGGGGAGAATCATCGTCATCAGGACCATTTTCTCAAGATTCAGACAGGAAAATCTTATTCAGACAGGAAAATCTTAGAAGATCTTCATATACAAAAACGAACACACTTATTTAATAATTGATCCCCAAGAAAGAAAAAAACTGATGACCCAAAACTGTCTCTAAAAATAAATCAGAGCAAATCCAGGAAAAAAAATCCCAATTCTTGTGCACATAGATTTGTCAAAAAAAAAAGAAAGAATAATCATCAGAAAACAAGAAAAAGCAATACAGATTCATACCTTTTAAAAGTTACTAATTTTTGAAGATCCAGAGGAAAACGTAATCTTTTTTCCTTCTTTAGATCTCCACAACAAGGAAGCTACCCTTTATCTTCTCATCATTTGGAAGGTCTGCAGAAATGGTGGGAGAAAAAGAGGAATGAGGAAAGGAAGACGAAAGAAAGAATTATTAAGATGCAGACCCAATCTAAAGCCCATTAACCGCAATCTGATTTATAAACGGGCCGGAGAGCTTACCCGACCTGAACCACTTCTAATTTGGAATGCAATTGGCTGAACCGAACCGAGTCAAAACGAACCGGTGAAAGTTGAAATTGAAAGAGGAGAAAGCTCGTCTCTGTAGCAGAAAGGTATTCTCCGACGATGAGCGAAACCGAAGCAACCGGCGTTACCGATGATTCGGCTTCAGCGACTGCAGTCGCTGCTGATGCGACGGAGCATAAAGCAATCGGGGTGGTTGATTCGGTGGAGGAGGCCATAGGAGGAGCAGAGAAATGGGTGGATGATTTCCAGCGGACGGTGAAGGAATCGACGGATTCCGCCATTCGCTCTGCTCGTTCCCTCCGTGAAAACTCTACTTCTCAGTTCCGCTCTATACAGGTCAATCTCCTTTATTTCTCTCACCGAAAAGTTCATCGAATCGAGATTCTTTCGCAACAATTTTCAGGATTCAAAAATCAATGAATCTCATAGGCTATTGTTTCTAGAACTGAGTTCGATTCAAAACAGATTCTGCTCCGTTTAGCCGTCATTGGTCTATAGGATAGTGCTAGATTTTGTTCATATGGTAACAATCACAGCGATAGAAGTTATTGGCAGTGATATCAGTCTCTCCTGGGTTCTGATTCTGTTTACTCTTTTCCAATGGAACATTTTTGCTTACAATTCTGCAATGTATCGTTGAGGCATTCTTGATTATCTCCCACCATTGAGCGTATTCGTATAAGTTATAACTCTTCAAAGAAACAATGTCTTTTTCAGCTATTAATGTTGCTTAGAGATATGCTATGGACTATGGAGTAGACCTTATCTGTCTGAAATTTCAGTTCTAGTAGCTGTATATATGTCCGTCTCTCGTACAATCATGTTGTAGTTACTATTGTTTATGACATTGCAGGATTTCATTCCACATGCTTTGACTCAGTATAAGACCTATGAGAACGCTTTCTTCAGTAAAGTAACAGGTAACTTGACGCCAAGTTTCATTCAAAACTATGTTCTTGTAGACTATTTAGATCAAACAATTGAGATATAGCAAATAGTTTCCCAAAACCTTCATTCGTTATTTGGAGTACATCTAATACTGTGCTTAAACTAGAATCTTCTTATCATTCCAGATGGTTCATCCTCTAGCTAATCATGCATAAATCTGACTTACTGTCCCCTGATTTTTTTTTTTTCATCTGCAGAAGAATTGACATACGCAAAAGAGCATCCGGCTGCTACTGCTGGGATTGGTCTCGCTGCTGCTCTCGTTCTTATGCGAGGTATTACCTCTGCTCTTATCATCACTACAGCTTACAATATTCCTTTGATTAGGGGATTCCAAAACGTATCACATCTCTATTTTTTAAGACTTGTCTTGTATAAATTCGGTTCCATGGTTCTACTAATTACAGGCCCAAGAAGATTCTTGCTTCGTAATACACTGGGCCGATTTCAGAGCGAAGAGGTACCTACCATGCCATTGACTTCAAATTTATTTCTTAACCAGTTGCTCTGGTTCGTGTCCCCCTTCTCATCTTTTTCATCCACTTGAATCATCTCTTAGGCACAATTCTTGAGAGCTGAGAAGCATGTCCAGGAGCTGAACATGTCTGTAGACTTGATGAAAAAGGAGAGCAAGAAGTTGCTTGAGAGGTCGGCTTTAGCAGAGAAGGATATGAAACGCGGTCTTTCTGAACTCATGTATGCCTCGACATCGGCAGACCCACTTATTTTACTTAATTGACTTCATTTGCGTTATTAGGGCTACTGTTTTCATATCTGTAGGGACTCTGGAAACAATATACATCGTCTTGCTAAGTCCGTCCACAAGGTTGAATGCGAAGCTACAGGTGAGAAGAATATACATATCTTTTACTCCTTTCTACCTTCCATCAGTAATAGTCATTTATTCCATGTGTTACTGTCGAATATGTTAATGAGTTTAGAGATCCATGCCATATTTTGTCACTACTACATCAGATCTCAACTTACACAGACACTTGAATTCGCTGTAGATTTAATGGACGGACTGCGGCAAATTCCTGGGAGGGAAGCTATCAAGCTTAGAGCCGAAGTGAGTCGCAATAAAATTTCATCTCCCTCATGTTTAGGCTTCATTGCAATGAATGGACATTCAAATTTTCTTGTCTTGAATCATTAGGTGGCTTCCATGACCTCGGTCTTGAGACAGAAGAGGATTGCGTTGAACAAAATAATCATGAGGATGTCTGAGCTAGGAGTTCCCGTCTGATATACAACACAAAACCACCAAGTCTTGAGTTTTTTGTTTTGTTTCCAAGGTATTTCAAGCATATTTCTCGTCAATAATCATCTAACTCTGTCTGAAACTAAAAACCTTAGCTTGAGACAGATATATACCTTATGTTTCTTTTCCTGATATTTGAGTCCATTAATTAGCTAAATTGCTCGAGTTGGAAGAGGAAAGATTTATTATGAGAAACATGTAAAAAGTTACTGAATCAAATCAGTAATGGTTGACATGAAGGTTTTTAAAAGGGCTAAGGCCAGTCCCATAACAGATATTGAAACGTAACTCTATGGGATACGGAGTGTGGGCCATCCACCCACGCGACTAGGTGAACCAACCGCTCTCATCGCGCTAAATCCTCCAGACGAGCAAGAAGCTTGGGTGCTCTGACCATTCCGACCGTTAATGTCCAGCGTCCGATCTCTCCTCCTTAGACGCTCTCTCTTGAGCAGAGTCCCTAACTTATCTTTTCCCGTTTTGCCCTTGACCGGAACCGGTATCATCTCCAAGCCCATCAGCTTCGCAACCACCCCTGTCTCACACCACACCACACTCTCCCCGGCCACGGTCCGAGGCAGGCGTTTTGCCTCCAAGCTCATCTGGCTCGATCCCCTCGATCTCCGTTCTTCCCTGCAGTTTGATCTCCGTCCACCTTGTCTCGCCACATCAGCACCGGCACCAAGCTGGCACCTGAACGACGACCGGTACATCGCATCCTTACCGTCCAGGGAGAAACGTGGGTACTGGTTCAATGCGTTCCTCGCAGACCTTGACGGCAAGCAAATAAAACATGATTACAGATTGTACACAATCCCTTTCTTATAACTACAAATTTTGCTAAAACAATAATTTTCGCAAGAAGAAAAAACTAAAGTTGTAGTCTCCAAACGCATGATTTGTTTATTTTTGTTTCTTCTCTTGAACCACGATATTCATCTTAACGGTTACCATATACTATAGATAATATATATACAAATTTAACTACAGTATTCGTTACAGTTCATGACTATGTATGCACATATATACAGAAGCATGACGCACCTCAAGATATCAGAACTGTTAACGCATGACATCCTAACAGGCTGATATAACTTATCATCATCATCGTCGCAACGATCATAAGTACCGTAGTAAGATTCACGGAGTCTAGCTCTTCGAACAATATCTTCTTCAACTTCTAGCTGAAGTATCATCTCCTCCAGCGTTCTCGGCGACCCTCCACCGAAAGGAGTGTTTTCAGGTGTGACAGATGGTCCCACATCGGTCGTCTGATGTTGGGTTAGTGTGGAAGTCGAGCCATCGCCACCACAAGAGCCGAACCCGCCACGTGGACCTCGTCCTCGCATTCTCGAGGCAAGAGAGTATTTCTTGAGGAAGAAGAAAGACAGATCTTTCATTGTTTTGTTTGGGATATTGCCTTCGAGATTTCAAATTGATGGTGAAGGAGGAGAAGCCATGGTGGTGTGTGGCGTGAGAGGAATGAATTCGGGGTGGTGGGAGATAGTTTCTTCAAGATTTGGGGTAAAAAATATTAGTATATTTTTGTTTTAATGAGTGTCACGTAGTAAAGTGTCATTGGTGGTCACGAGGTTCTCTTTACTCATCTTTCACGTATTATAAATGTTTTGTTTCCCGACCAATTCTTTGTAATTTTTCTTATCTCAAAGTTTGATTAAGGAATAAGGAAGAGCTATAGAAGATATTTCTCCGATTCACTTATACCACAAAATATAGGGAAAAGATTGTAATATTTCAAAAGTTAAGGAAAACACTATAATGTATCCGAAATACAAGGGTTTAGGTCTACTTATTCTCGCATGCGTCAAACGATGTCGTAGATGACATACTATACTAAGCATATACGTACATGGATAACATCAAACCCGAATCGCTGAAACAGCAATCATATAATAGAAACTATCCGTCTTGAGAAATTCTTTGTTGCCAGCAGCTCGAATAGCGTACCGTTTGAAGAGCTTGCGTGTCAGGTCAGTACCGAGATAAGCCTCAATAATTGGCTTCATACCGGCTTGAATCAAGCTAGCCATGGCTCGACCGTAAGAATCGGGATCTTTCATATACTCATGCTTTTTAGCATTCAAAGGGTCAGCTATTTTCAGCATCTCCATCTTCTCTATCCTGAAACCACCACAACGGTCAATCCCTGCCGCTATCTCCTCTGTGTTTCTCAGGTACACCGGAATGTTGAAACCATCTCTTTTCTCCTCGTCTATTAAACCCTTTTTAAAAACTCACCACAAATTAAATAAAAACGGGTTGTCAATTTCATACACAGAACATTAAAAAGAGGGTTTTTCATAAACTAAACATGACGTCATGATGGGCTTTTATTACCTCATCTACTAGATCTTGCCAAGCTTGATCCATCAAAGTGTTGAAAAGGTGCTTGAGACGGGAGTCATGGTCAGTGACTTGGCTCACTAAACCAGAAGGTCGACCACCCATCAGCATAAACAACACTCCTCCAACCACAATTTCTTCTTTCCGACATTTCAAGAACTCGAGTAAGTCCTTCTCTGACTGCTCCGCGTATGCCTCCACAACTTCTTTCTCCGCTCCTTCAATCCACACCGTTCCCTTGTTCCATGTCTTCGATCCTTTCTCCATCACTTTTTCCGGTATCTATCATATCCAAAAATAGTCAAATCCTATACAAGGAAATGTAACACTTTTCGATCCATAGAGACGATTCAAAAAAAAAAAATTAAAAATTAAAAATCCTTTACAGAACGTAGGTTGGTTCGGACATATCTCATAAGAGAATATCATAATCGGACTTAATAAATTGTTGTTTTTGAGATATTGTTCATTAACATTTGAAGAATCTAATTTTATATTATTTTAGAGAGTATAGTGTCACCTAAATTTGTATGTATATTTCCATTTATAGTAATCAATCAGACTCTTCGTTTAATTTCTTAGCCATTGTTGTACATCAGTAAATTACATACATACCCCAAATCTTCATCACTTTCGTATTCACCAAAATCAACATAAGTGAATAAAGTAAACTAATTCAAAAGATACATATACCTGAGAGAGCCATTGTAAGGCGCTCGTGGTCACAACGACATGAAGTTCTTCTTTCGGAAACAGCCTCCTATAGAACGAGCCGGGAACGCCAGCGGCGAAGTACTTCTTGCTCGAGCCACTAATTTTCTCTTCCAACGAGCGAAACAACATATTGAAGTCGTTCGAAGGCAAGTCGGAGAAAAAGACCTCTAACTCTGGCTCCGGCTCCGCTCCGCCGTCAATCACGGCTAGCTTCCGTCGTAACACCTCAACCACCGTGTCCACCGTTGAAAACGTGTTTTCTCCGACTGCGCAGCCTAAATCGGCTATCTTTAGGTGAGATGGAAATCCTTTGGTCAGATTTATGGAGTGGATGGCTGACCTCAGCATTGGTTTGCTCGAGGCTAACGCTGCGGCGGAACCGTAACTGTTTTTGGCGTAGCTGACGTCATCCTCGCCGCCTTGCATGGAGAGCACGTGCTCGAGGCTCCGTGAATAGTCCATATTTTTATATTGTAAATGTGTAAGAAATTTTGTGAACTTTACTATTAGTTAAGTAGTTTCAAGGAGGGTCTTTATTTAGTGTTAATGAAGATGCATGAGAAACAAACGTCTCTATATTTATAGTCGGACAGATTATGCATTCAAAGGCTTCTACGGTGTCGTTTAACTTCAATGTACGTAAGACATGATTGCACACGTACGTCCTGCCAATAAACTTGGAAATAGTGATTTACCTATGCCCAATTCTAAAAATCACCATGTTTTGTTTTGTGTTTCCAAATTAAAACTAAGAATTTTTTTTTTTTTTAACACTGATTTATTAATTTATTGCAAATTATGAGAACTACGAATTATAAACATATCATCATTTTTAGGTTTAGAAATTATTCTAATCTTTTAGAATCGACAGTAAACTATTCAAGATCTCTTACTAAATTTTTGCTTTGTTCAAAATTATAATGTTGTAGGATTTTTTTTTTCTTTTTTTTGGCATATTTTGTGACATTTTCCTTAAACATTCGTTTACTTCTTATTCTACAAAAGAAGTAGAATCTTATGTAATCGTCTTAATAATGTAACCAATGAAATTTGCACAAGTATTCATCAAGTTGTAGCGTAAATTAATTGAATGAAACCGTTGAGTTTGAGATTTTCCATATTGTGGGGTCTGTTTTTGTTTAAGAATGTTCAGTCTCCAATGAATAATTAGTTAATTTGGCATATGGTTGTATATAGGTTGTAGCGTGTAGAAGTGATATTTACCTTAAGCAAAAAGCAGAAAGGTTTAAAATTCACAAAAGCTTTAAACGTTCTCAATGTTTTCCACGCAAATTAAATTAGAGTTTAATCTATATTATGAAATAATGATGAAGATACGTCGCTGTCTCTAGAGTCTAAAAGAGATTAGTAGTTGGTTGACAAAAGTAGAGAAGAAGATATAAGCAGTTGCGTTTTGACTCTGGTATCTATAAAGATGATAAGATATGGTCATTTATATAAGGATAATTTGAGCTGTCGCTGTCTCATGTCTGTTCTCGAAAATTGTTTTCTTCTTTCGATATGCATTTATAAATAAACACAATATTCCCAAGTTTTACGTAAATTTAGTTTTCTGTTAGAAGTTCTCTTTCTCACCACTCTGATCACCTATTTCGCTATCTCTAGCTCTAGCTCTGAACGGCACTGGAGAGAATGTTTAAACAAATCATATAATTTGCTCGTATCATAATTTAATGTGAAGAGATTTTACTAATTCAGCACGAGTTTAATTAACAATATAAAAAATTGTTTTGTGTTTACGTTTGGAGTTGTGTTTTTATATTAATATAATGGGTACATTACATAACATGGAACGTAAACACAAACAGATAATTGATGTCCTCTTCGCTATAAACTTTTTTTTTTGTTTTTTTGCTTTACTTACTAAGAAATACTGGAAAAGTTCTTAATTTCTTTGATGCTTTACCAAACCATCAAGTTTCCGAAATTGTGGTTTTGATTGAGAAAGCGTTTAGTATAGTGTCAACTTCATAGATTCTTTATTCGTATTATATATCCAATATCAGCAAAATTTTGGTTCATGTTCTTTCCAACGAAAACCATGAAGGTTAAAAAAAAGAAGGAGCTATGAATATTGAATGTTGAACGCCAAAATCTCTTATAAAAAGATCTTACATATATTATAATATTATAATTTAATTACAACATTAATTTTTAAATACAAAAATAATTGGACTAATAATATAATGACAGCTTTAAAGTATTTTACTGTTGCTCAAAATGGTTTCTTAATTTCTTAAATAAGAGCTGTATCTAGTTCTCTTTCTTCTTTTTTTACATTTTTAATATTTATTTATATTAAGAAACTTACTTTCGGATACTCTATTGCACCTGCTCTTATATCTATGTAACTATCTGTAACTGCAATAATCTAAATTGATTCGTAAAATTATTTCTCTTCGAAAGCAGTCGAAATTATCAGCAATTGCACTGTAATAAACTTTAAGACTATATTTTCTGGACATCCCATTAAAAAACATAGAAAAAAATATAAAGTGATCAGATATTATATACAAATTCTTGTCAAATATAATATTAAATAAACTAAGTATTATGATCTTGACATTATGTATATATTTTGGATAAAATAGAAATGATACAATCATATCTATAAAGATATAGAATTATTTGTTCAGAAAAAGATCCAGAATTATTTACAATACAATAAAAGACTTTAAAAAAAATAGAAAAAGAATTCGAAATGTTAAAGAGTTAAATAATATGTTATGTTTCCAAAACAAGACGATGGGCTTAGACAGTAAGCCCAAGACCATGCCATGACCCCGCGAGTGGAAGAGATTTATTAAGACCCGATTTTAGGAATTAGGAACGAAGCGAAGCGACAATGACAAGCGCCGGGAAAAAATCTCGAGAGACATCAATGGCGCCTTCTTCCTCGAGCGGCCTCACCTTCAAGCTGCATCCTCTGGTGATGCTTAACATATCGGACCACTTCACTAGGGTTAAGACTCAGCTTAATCCTCCAGCCTCTTCCTGCGCGGCCGGGAATGGCCACAGCAGCGGCGACGCGATGCTCCTGCAGAACCCTAGGGTTTATGGCTGTGTGATCGGTGCCCAAAGAGGTCGAACGGTTGAGATCTTCAATAGTTTCGAGCTTGTGTTCGATCCCACGGCTGACACGCTTGACAGATCCTTCCTCGAGAAGAAGCAAGAGCTCTGTAAGTTTTATACCCTCGCTCTTTTTTTCGTCTCTACTTTGTTCTCGATTGTGTTGCTGCTGTTTTCTTAAGTTCGTCGATTTTTTCGCTGGTTGTTTAGATAAGAAGGTGTTTCCTGACTTCTACGTATTGGGATGGTACTCTACGGGAAGCGACGCTAATGAATCTGATATGCATATCCACAAATCTGTGAGTGCAGTCTCATTGTTGATTTGTATGATTGGATTTTAGGTCTTACTGTACTGATTTGTGCGAGTTTTCTTCATGTCTTTTACAGCTGATGGACATTAATGAATCTCCTGTTTACGTCCTTCTCAATCCGGCCATTAATCACGCACAGAAGGATCTCCCAGTGACTATCTATGAAAGTGGTATGTTAGGTTTTTTATCCTTTCATATTCCTCTTGTTTTACTTGATTGTGTAAACACTTTCTGCCGAGTACTATGCTTTTCATCTTATTGGACCGCCAATTTTATCTGATTATTTTTGATCCTATCATTGTCTGCAACACTTCAAGAATTCCATGTCATCGATGGGATTCCTCAGCCAATTTTCGTGCACACAAGCTACACAATTGAGGTATTAGGACGCGTGATCTGTAACACCTATCTATGATATGAGAGTGGACCTTTAGTAACGTAGCAGTGCTTGTAATGCGTGCAGACAGTGGAAGCTGAGAGAATATCGGTCGATCATGTTGCACACCTTAAGCCATCCGATGGAGGCTCAGCAGCGACCCAATGTAAGCCTTTATTGTACCCTTCATATTTATCATATTCCTCTTACGCATTTGTATGGAATTATGGCTGAATCCTCGATTTTTTTTGCAGTGGCTGCTCATCTTACTGGCATACACAGTGCCATCAAGATGCTGAATAGCAGAATCAGAGTGCTTTATCAATACCTTGTCGCAATGCAGAAAGGTATATTGTATTCTTGCTAAAGTCCCAATTTTTGGCCCCTCTTCAGCTTGTTCATTGAGTAACTGTGACCAGTCCTTAATTGTCGCTGGAACATCTGTATCTGTGTTTAAAAAGGAATAGAAAAGGGTTTAGGCGATGACATTGACCAAAAGTAATGTAGCGATGTACTTTAGGAGGTTCCAAGTGTCGTCCCTGTGGTTCTAATGGCTTGTGTGATTCTGCATATAGGTGATATTCCTTGCGAGAACTCACTTCTGAGGCAAGTATCTAGTCTGCTCAGAAGCTTGCCTGCCGCACAATCAGAAAAGTTTCGGGATGATTTCTTGATGGTAAGTAGTGTCTTGCCGTTTCCTAGCAATGTATATTGAAAACGTGGCATTCGACTCTCTTAAACTTCTCAATTTAGCTTGTTGTTCTGAATGATCTCTTTATTATATGACGCTGTTTTCATTTGCAGGAGTACAACGACAAATTGCTGATGTCTTACCTAGCAATGGTCACAAATTGTACCAGGTATGTGCTCGACATGGATTATTCCATTTAACTAACAGTGATGGTTTTATTTATCTAGGTTAGGAACTAAATATAGGACCTTGTTTAACCAGTAGTTGCTTTAGGCAGACCCAGAGATAGGTTTGTCTATGACCTTGCTCAACGATCCTTGTTACAATCAAATTAGTGAGCTTGTGGGGACCAAAGGGATCTAAACCATACTTCATATCTGATTGTATGCTATACCTTGACCAATCTACTTGATCTCTCACTTTTTGTTTCAAACTGCAGCAACATGAACGAGGTGGTTGACAAATTCAGCACTGCATATGAGAAAAGCAGTCGAAGAGGCGGTAGGACTGCATTCATGTAAAGATCAGCTTCAGCGTAAAACTCAGGGCTTTTCACTTTTTGGAACCAAACAGCTAATGTAGTTCCTTCTTTTGCTAAAAGATTTCTGTAGACGAGACTTTAACGAACAAACCAGCTTCTACCTTTTCTTCAATTTTGAGAACCATTTATTCAAAATACGAACAACCCAGTGAACAAAGAGATTGTGTTTCATATTTGTGGTAACCTACTCATTATATCTCTGTATATCAATGAGCTCGTCGACATTCCAAGTCCCTGCTGTGACCCTGGTTCCACCTTCGGCTCTGCTGCCAACTGTAACATCAGCCCGGCTGCATCACCAATGTCATCAGGCCCTGGCAGGCCGGGAAGCCTCTCTTGCCCGATAGCTAAACTAGGCATTGAAAGATCCAAAAGCTCACTTTGGCCTACGTAAACCGAGAAACCCGAAGGAGGCCTCATGTGTTGCTGGAAGTCGAATAGGGATGAGTTGGCTGTGACCAGTCCCTCGGATCTGCTGCGTGGCGCTGGATACTGCACATGGTGGTTGTGGGTCTGAGTCGCTGAACCGCCTTGGATGGTCCCTGAACTGACGTGGCTGTTGCTGCGTGCTGCTGGTACTTCGTGGGTGTGCTTGCCTATGTAAGTGGTTAGTACGGACGCGAGGTCATCAGAAGCTCTCTCCACATGCTTCGTTACGATACATCCATTAGCTGTGCATTTATAGTAACTCCTGAAGCAGCATTACGTAGAAAAGAAAACAGACTGTGTGATGAAACTCTGCAACAGAGGGAGAGAGAGCAGAGCAAAACAGAGCATTTGAATATAAAAAACCTTGGATTCGGGTTTCCTTTGACGACTTTTTGGCCGTACTTGCGCCAGCGATAACCATCTTCGAGGATGTCAATGTCACTTGTGGTCTGCACCACTACTTTTGGCTCACGGGAGGCTCTGGTCGATCCACTCATCTCCGTTGCATAAGCTTCGAGTTTCCTGATACGTTAATAGCATTCACACGTCAGAACGTCTTGTCTTTCCGAGTGTATTGTAATTGGTTACTAGAGCAACTTTTCTAACCTTCTCTTTGACTCGGATTCATCTACTTCTCCTTCGTAACCCAGGGGAACACTCATGTGGGACGTGCGTTCTTCTTCATCATCATCTTTGAAGAAGGCATCAGCTGCAGCATCACCATGCCCGAACTGAGTCCCGCATTGAACCTGCATTGATCCAGAAAGGCTACCGTATTCGAGCTCTGCGGATACAGGTGATGTCCATTCTATATTCTCATTGGTTCCAGCAAAACCTTCTTGCTCAGCTCCATCTATTTGCATGTCAAGCCCTGTACCGGATGATCCAATGCCTGAGCGGCGGTTAGGTGGAGGTTTCGGATGATTATGAGCCTTTGCGTATATGATCTCTGTAATATGACCTTCCCTAGACCGTTCAACCTTCTTCCTCACCTCACAGTTCGGGTGTGTGCACTTGTAATAGCTACGTGGATACTCGCTTCCTTTAACTAGCTTCTGTCCGTATTTCCTCCAGTTGTATCCATCATCTGCTGCTGCACCACTAGGCGCCGAGTCTCCTAAACCGCCGGGCTGTGTTTGCTCGTAGTCTTGGGACTCATCGGGCTCTACTGTAGAATCAAGGCTCCTTCTTGGAATGGATTGGTGAAAGGCTAAGGATGTGGCAATGTCGTCAAAGAACTCATCTTTAGCTTTTCCATAAGGTAGTGATGAGAGCTTCCCGGTTGTTGGAGATGGCTGGCCTTACAAATTGATAAGAGATTTCAGCAAAAATGGATCTCTGAAAGAGAAGACGATGATAATGAAAAGCGTTGAAAAAGATAAAATTTACCAAAGGGTTTGAGAGGAAAACCGGAGAGTCTAGCAGAGTCGCAGGGCTAACTCCAGGAGAAGAGATGGTTAAACATGGAGACTGAAGAATACTCTCAGTGTTTAGCCTCGGTACATTAAACCCGGCTCTCGCAGCAAGCCTTTCACTAAGACCACCTCGTGAACACCACGGTTTCTCTTGAGAGATGTTTTGCAGAAAGTCCTTATTCTTGATGTCTTCTAAAGAAACCTCTCTATCAAGTTCCGCTTTTGATCTCTTCCTGGTGTAAGGAGTACAGTCTAACCACTCTCCCATTACAGCAACGTTATCATTAAAACCAGCCATTACAAATCCAAGATTCAGCTTCAACTTTGGGATCAACCTGAAATGTTATAATGGAACGAATAAATTCACAGAGACATACACAAACGCATGATATGCCAAAAAAAAAGCTCATAAAATGGAAGACAGGACAGGACAGTAACTTTGTTGTAATAAGCTTCGAGTTAATAAAGTGATATTATGATCCCAAAAACACAACATGAGAACTTTTGAGACAAATATACAACGATTGAGATTAAAAGAGTGATTATATAAGAATGGCAACCATTACCTGAATTATTGAAAACGACACGGATCAAAAAAAAAATTGCCGTTTAAGGACTGTAAGAGAGATCGAAACAAGGGACTGCTCTCTTTCTCTTCTTCCTATTTCTGTCTCTTTGTTCTTATGGATTATTCATAGAAAATGAACAAAAAGGAAAAGAATAAATCTTCTGTAAAAATCTCTCTCTTTCTTGATGATCGTTTGCCCAAAACACAATGAAGATGTGTATATAGGCAAAAAAAAAAAAAAACTACAAGAGATAACACAGCTTGGTTAGATAAATTTTCTCCTTAACTTTCTCAAAATCCAAACAAAAAGTTCAAAAAAAAATTCTACATATGTATTCCACAAAAAAATCCCCTAAAACTTAACTATTTTTAGAAATTTACACTTATTGTGTGTGTGTATTTTTTTGAAAAAAAATAAATAAACTAAATACACATAAAAAAATTTAGTTAACTTAAAATGGCCGAACTAGTTATACTACTTGTGTTTTAACACCGCCACCTTCACCTTAACATACATCAACATAGTTAACTCTATATTATCACAACAAAGACACATTACAATGGTGACACAACAACAACAAAAAGTTCAATTTTATTTGGTGTTTTTGGCTAAGATATACTGTTAACGACATGTCTAATTTTATTGTGTAAAATAACAGTGTTGAGTTTGAGTTTTAAAAATGAAATTTAAACTTTATGTCCCATCAAAGCCCATTTTAATCTACTCTTTTCATAAGGCTTTTGCCCCTTTTAAACACTGCTCATATTTAGCCATTTTTTAGGAAAGCTTTTCTTCTTTGCTCTTTTCATGATGTAGCCTATTTGATTTTCTTTTGCTCTCTTCATGATGTGGTCTTTTTGATTTTCATTTTGCATCTTTTCCTTGTTTCTTTGGGGAGTCTCCATTTTGTTTCTTCTTTGAGTTTCTTAGGCTTCTTTTGGCCTCCTCTTTTTGTTGTTTGAGAACTCTTCTTCTTTGTTTGCTGCTCCTAGATCTTTTGGGTTCACACATGCTTAGCTTGTTGTCTTTCCTTTCTTCTTCTCTTCTCCAAATGAAAAATAAAAAGCACACAATTCCCACACCTAAATCTACTATCCTAAACCTATTTATGACTCAAAGAGAAGAATCATATCTACATGAGAGCTTACCCTTGTCGTGCTGAACCCAACACTTTTTGCTAAGTTCATTCAGAAATAGGCCTTACACACAAGATAGTATTTCGGCTTGAAAGGAGGGTTGGTTTAAGGTGTGGTTAACTATCCTATAGATGAGGATCAGCTACTTGGACTAGCAAGAGTGGCAGAAGGAGAAAGAAAGTCCAAGTATGTATATGGTAGCCATGCAATCACTTTTCAAAACATAAGCAAGATAATTATATGTCAAGATTAGGGTTCTAATAGGTAGAGTTGGAATCAAATCACTGCAAGCATCAGCATAAGACAAGAATATCAATGCAATAATTCAAGATAAGGTGCAGCCTTAACTTCAAACTCATCACAATGCAATCAAACAACTAGATAACCAAGGCACTGATAACAACTCAAACATTATCATCTTGACAAGTGTTTATCATCTACTCCCTATACAAATGTATGTAAAGCTATATGAAATGCATCTAGACTCAAACTTAGTTATGCAGATGCAACTAAATGATCTTTTTGGTTCCAAAATATTGAAAATTTCATGGATTTTTAGTGCACATAGATGAATGCATAAGACTCAGGTATGCAAAACGGAAAATAAGAAAACAAAACACAATGTCAAATACAATGCCCTCCCCCACACTTAAATTACACAGCCTCTTGTGTAATAGAAGCTTGAAAGAGGGTGATAAGGGATACTAAGAGTGAATACAAAAGGTCACATAAGAAAGTAGTAGAGTTAGGTACCTTTAAAGAGCTTGGCCTGCTCGATGTTCCTAGTCGATGTTGGCCAAAACATGCACTAATTCAACAATCCACTTGTTTTGAACTCCACCTGCTCCCAGGATCAAAAGAAAACACAAATACCAAATGCAAAATATGTACAAAGATAATATGAGAATACCTCCTAAGAGTGCTTGTTTAAAGTCAATAAGCTTTACTTTTCACACCCTTGAGATCATGGAGGAAGATGGAGTGAAACTGGAGTTCATTCTCCTTTCTTCTTGAACAATGTAGTGGCTCCATAGTAGAGCTTCTCCTTGGGTTTCTTGACTCTTTTTCTTGGCCCCCTTGGTCCACCATAGAGCTTTATCTTGATTCCATCAAACAAGTCAAGAAGACAAGCACCATCAAATGCTTCACCCTTCTTGCAAATAATAGAACTTCTGGGCCAATTCTGCAAATAATGCTTCATCTCATCTTTTAATAAATATGCCACGCTCCTTCCTTGGTGGGTGACGAGCGTCACCAATTTGGTGACGATCGTCACCATATCGCATACTTTCTTCTTCGGACTAGGTACTTCGTGGCTTCAACTTGAAATGATCCAAAAAGCTCCAATATCTCCAATTATGCTCCATAAATGCTATAACCTGCAAAGACTCTACTAGAACTCTAAAAAGACCAAAAAGACTCAATAAAAAGGACTTATATCATGGTTAAAAAACCATGATATATCAGTAATTGAAGTGGCTAAACACCCTAATCATCCTTAAGCATGAAAGAAAAGATTTTTGTTCACCAAAAATCAAGAACCTCAAAGCTCAACATTAAAAATTCGAAATTAACTAAGCAAGATAAATAAGAAAGCAAGACTAAAAGATTAAAGACTGAAGACTGAAGATTAATCGAAGAGAAACATAAATAAAAGTATACAAAATGATCAAATCTCATCCCACAAAGGAATTATTCTAGTTCTTTGAAAAATCAAAGCACAACTTTGGGGAAGAGAAAAGATAAAGAAAATGAGTTTAGTTCTAACGTATTTATAGGGAGAATCCCAAAAACTACCTAAACAACTAAAAACAAGAAAGTCAAAAATGGTCAACTCCTTTCTCGGATAAGTCCACACCGTGGAGGAACATGATGGTTGTGGTGGGTACATCCGGTTGGTGTGTTCTGATGCGTGTTTAGGATGTTCTATCTTGGCGTATGTGGCTTGGCTGTCTTGCTTCAGGATGTACCGAGCAGCACATGAGGTGCCCTCCTCGGTATGCCTGCTCGGTATGTCCGGTTCTCCATAGCGTGCATGTACCTTGGTGTATGATCATGCTGTCCCCAGTTCAGTCACCTCGGAGCTGGGCCATCAGTGTACGGATGTCCCTCGGCGGTGCTGTGTACCGAGCAGAGCTTAAGGTGCCCTCCACGGTATGATCGCCTTCCTGAGAAGCCATCGGCATACAGACTGGCTTAGCTCGGTATGTCCTGTTTTGCTCATACCGAGAAGGGATATAGTGGACCTCGTCGGTGCAATTCCACGGTACAGGTTCTGGATGAGCTTATCCTACCTTTTTCAGCTTCGTTCTCCTTGTCCAAGCCATTCACCATCCTCCATTAAGTCTTCTTAGCTACAAAAACACCTGAAATAGACTTAAAACAATGCAAAACATGCAATGCTTAGTCTAAAACCTATCATGTCTAATATAAATGCAAAAAAAGACAAAACATGATGAATGAATGCGTGAAAGGAACCAAGACCTGAACTAAATGTATGCTAAAACATGGTAAATATGAAGTTGTCAGCTCTGCTTGTATGATGTTCGATACAAGCTTCGTTCAGTCTTTCCTGCGACTAAGATACTCATGCCAATGAATGGATGGAGCAGAGCGAAGGTGATTCACAACTCAGGCTATATCAGTGTAAGATGATGGGAAGACCAATTGCCAATAGGATGAAGTGTATTGTATAAGCTGTGAAAGGCTTGTGATAGAACACAAATCTTTAACAAAGATTCTCAATTGATTAAGAGAGTAACGAGTATTTGCTAAGGAAAAAAAAATTAAATTTTATTAATAGTTAAAGGTGTCAATTTAAAAAATTTCTAAGAAACCTTATATAATGATTCCACAGTATTAAAAGAGAAATTAAAGATTACAAAAATTCATTGAGAATATTACAAAAATCAATGACTAGATGAAAGTGCTAAATTTAATTTTAATGAAACAAAAATAAAATAAAAATTCATTAATCAAAGCGTAATTGATAAATAAATACTCTCTCCGTTTTTTATTAGAAGATGTTTTAGAGTTTGTTTTTTATTCCAAATTATATGATGTTCTCAATTTTTTATGTAAAAATTAGTTGTATTTTTGTTGTTTTGGCTGTTTGAATTTTACAAAATATGATTTGTTTTGAAAACATATAAAATTAAATAATTCTTAATATATGTGCACATCTCCAAAACACCATCTAATAAAAAAATAGAGTGAGTATATAATTTGATATATAAGAACACTTTGTTGGTTATAGTACTGTGGTATAAAGCAATAATTTGTTATTGTGAATAAGAATAATTTGGTGGTTGTAGAGTGACTAAATTAAAAAATAAAACATAAAAGGGAAAAAAGTTGAAGAAAGTATTACTATGGTAAATGCAATTTACAAATTATCATGCTCGATTACCATTGCTCCTCTCCATCTCTCGCCAGCGCCGATATCAATGGGAACGAGCATAGAAGCGGGACCGGTGCACACGAAATAACTTTGCTTCCCATACTTATCCCACATTGATCCTGGGCATCCCACATAGATATCCTCGAACCCTATCCTTATAATCCTAAAGAACAATCCTCTTCCCTACAAATTTTTGAAATTCAAAACGCATCAGATTCTAACGAATCCAAATAGTGTAACAAACTCTCGCTTAAACAAAACTGAAATAACAGTGGCCCAATTCCTTATTTATGTATTTGGATATTGCTTTCATATTAAACACTCCAATGCAGCATATAGAGTCAACATTTAATTTTCCTTGTTCTTAAAATTGAGTTTTGGATTTTAATATTTTATGAAGATTCAATTTTGTTATTTTGTGATCTAAAAAAACATTATTCTAATTTATGAAAAATTTGATTATGATATTTATAATTTTATAAAAATGTGATTCTGTAATGTTGGGGAAAAATGAAACTCATTCTATTTACACTAAAACCAAATTCAACCGATTTTGCGTCATACAATATTTTTGACGGACAACCCTTATTTTGACATTTCCATGCCAAAATGAAAGTTTATAAGTTTAAATCAAACTACAACTCTACCATCTATTCCATCCATTTTTATTTTTTATTTGAAATAGGATTCTGATTTTATTTCATAGAGAATTTACAATTTTTTGAGGTTTGTTGAATAAGTATTGTTTATTTTATTTCGAGATAATGTAATATAGAGAACCAATTTATAATCTCTTATCACTTGATTTTATAATCATTCAGATCTAAATTCTTTTTCTTTACGATAAATCCATTTTTTTATCTGTAACATTATGATAGCTTTTAATGTTTTTCTATACCCTTTCATGCATTTTATAGTATTTTTTTTTTACTTTTTGTCTTTGTTTTGCTTGTAAGTTCTTTTTAATTTTTATTTAATTCACATTCTGAATATTAATTGTGTAACGAATTATTAATTTTTGGTTTGAAGAGAATTTTTATTTTATTTATTTCTAAATTAATGTTATCTGAAGTCGCAAAATAATTAATTAAATAAAAATATACAGAAGCTCATTAAAAACAAATTGATGTTGTAGACACTCTAAAAAAAATAACTCTCAAATTATATATTATATAGTAAAAGAGAATCTGTGTTTTGTGCGAGTTTTGTTTAATGTGTTCTAAAATAATATACTTTTATTTTTTTAATATTAATTTTTTTATTTTTTACTTTTTAAAATTTTCTTGATATTCTTTGTGTTAGAACCGGTTTTACTACATCTAATGACTAAGCGATACATCATCAAAAGGTACCCTATAAACAATGCACTTATGCACTTGGTTCTCGATAGGTTTTATCCTAGTCAGAAATGTTTGTGGAACCAATAGGAAAAGAGTCTAAGAGTGTATAAAAAGCGGAGGCTCAGATTGAAGGAGATCAGTTGGTTGCACAAGAGAGAAATGGAAAAGAGAAAGATGTAGAATTGTATGATCGCAATGATCTAAACCAAACAAGACTTCTTCTCCTTTGCTTTATTCGGTAAATCCTTCACTGCTGATACCTATGCATTTTACACCATTTAAGCATGCATACATGATAGGTTCAGGTCCCATTCATGCATATTTTCTTTAGTTTTTGTTCTAGTTGTATCCATTTTAGGTTTATTAAGCATTAGGGTAGAATCTGCATTTTTTTGTATGTTTGGAGCGTTTAGCAGGTATCTAGGACATCTTAAGGGGCTTGCCGAAGGATGGGGATGATTAAAAGGCTAAGAGAACCAAGAAAAGATGAAGTAGACGTTTTGGCCCGCTGCATCGGACAGCCAAAACGGGCTAACTAGACTGTTGCATACACTGGGTTCACACATCAGATAGCTACAACGATGCGTCTCCGATGAGAGGCATCTGAGGCTTGTGTATGAAAGACAATTCTTACAACTGCAACAGAATGCCACAACGGTTTGTATCTGAAATGAAGTAACCTTCAGGGAACTTGTTAATGACTTGCAACTAATGAGGAAGTCTGATGCAAGACTTACAACGATCAAGTTCTCACCATGTAACAGTTTGAGTCCGATAAATAATCCATATCAATCACTTCTAATGCTTCGTGTCCATCGCAGCCCAGTCCAAAACGTTTTGCTTTTTGCCTTGGATCCGCCTTTTGAAAAGGATAAGGCTGCATACTGAAGGTTTTTGTGGATCACCTATAAATAGATAAACGTTCTGTTTTTCGAGGGGATCCCTCTTATCATCTCTTTTCTTTTTCTTTTCTGCTATGATCTCGAGACGTGATGTTCCATCCCTTCGCCTTACTAAGTACTTGTTCCTAGTGGGATGTTTCTTACGACAAACACACACTCTTCGTAAGCATCCCGCAAAAATGCTCCTTAATAACCAATGCTAGAAGGAGGTGCAAAGACTAGCCTTCGGCCTACCAAAATCAACAGATGTGAGCGACGTACCAGGAGTGGAAATTGGAAGAAGTTCCAAGATGTCATCAGTAATCAATGTGCATCACCTTGGGTGTTCTTGTTTGATTACGTGAGTTCTCTGCCCTTCAGGGGATAAATTCTATATGTATCCCTCGAACTCCCCAATGAACTTGGTCATGCTCTTTGAGGTATTTGCCCGTATGGGCTTTCCACCATTGCGTCCGGAGGAGCAATTCCTTTCTCCTAAGCCTGATACTCCTCTAATATGATAATATGAGAGCTCGGATCCCCGAGGGTGTATCTTTTTGATAAGCTCTCTTACCGAGCCAATTCGAAAAGTATGTTATCATCCCTTCGTTCCACCTAGGGAATTTATCTCCCCCTGAAACGAAGTATAATCTCTTAACACTATCCTCGCTACATGCAGTCTCTGCCCTTCTATGATATATTTTGTGTGCATCCCCTTAGAGTTCTTATTTGATTGAGTGCATTCTCTACTTTTCAGAGATATATTTTGTGTGCATCTCCTTGGGATTCTTACTTGATTGTGTGCATTCTCTAACATATTCCATGTGCATTCCCTCAGGGTTTTTAAAAAAAAAAAAAATACATGCATTCTTTATCTTTTTAGGGGCATATCACATTTAAGATTTTCATATTTCGCGTATGAAATCATTTTTTTATCAACCAGCATGCTCCTCCGTTACTTGCCTGTCCTTAAGGTTCCTCTCAGAACCAGAGCTATTGCTTCCATGAGCTTCTCCTCTCTCTTTTCGGTCAGCTCCCTCCGAGGAAAACCGTGCTTCCTTTAGCATGCTCCTCTGTGTACTTACTTGCCCTATGGGGTATTGTTCCTCCGTGAATTGAAGATTACTTCTTTCGAGAGCTTCTCTTCCCTTATTACGATCACTTTTTCCGGAGAAGACTAAAGCACGATTCACGATAACCTCCAAACTTTTACCATGTAAGCACAATGTAAATAATATTCTAACAGTTCTCGCATTATCCTTCCGGGACATATTTTGCTTGCATTCTCCTCGGGAATTTGTTTCTAAAATTGCTTGCTTGCATTATCCTCCTAGGGACATATTTTGTGTGCATTCCCTTCAGGATTCTGGTTTATTTGATTGCTTGCTTGCATTACACTTCCGGGATTTCGTAAGTTTCTCCTTCATGGTTCTTATTTTCTTGCTTATATCACCCATCCGTAGACATCCATCAAAGTTTCTGATAGGGCATATATGCTCACACCGATTTCATTCAAGAAATCATTGTATTAGTATCCATATATATATATATATATATATATATACTCGGCCAGCATTCGGATAATAAATTAGTAGGTTTTCTTCCTCCTTTTTGCCAATTCTCTCTAGAGACAGTCATTTTTTTAGCGAGGTCCTCATCAGACTTTCTTGCCCTCCGGGGTACCTTTCCTTAGGGAACCAAATATTTCCTCGTCTCGGAGCTTGTCTTCATTCTATTCACCAGCTCCCTCTGAGGAAAGTCTTGTTTCATTAGGATGCTACTCCTTAGACTTTCTTGTCCTTCGAGTTATTGTTTCTTTACGAACCAGGGATTACCTATTTTGGGAGTGTCTCTTTTCCATTTCTTTATCTGATCTCCCCCTCTAGGGAAAGGGAACGTATGATTCTAAAAACATCAAACTTTATCCGCGTAAGCATAACGCAAAGACTGTTACGGCAGTTTGAAAGTTGGGGAAACGCCATGCTTGCCACAAGCTGGTACGCACATGCTGCGCATAAGCAATGGCTTACCCTCTTGTTAGCTCCCCATGCTTGGGCATGCCATTTTCAACCTCTCAAGGCGCTCATCGGAGCTCTTGGGCAGATGTCACTTAAGCATTGATGTCTCATCATAATCCTCGCATTCAGTCGGGACTATAGGAGAGGAAGGTACCTCCATCGTCTAGCGCCAAGCAAATGGATGCAAGTAAATCACTCTTGGGTGAGCTCCCTTCCGACCAAGTCATGTATATCTCCGAAAAATTCTTTGCATTCTTTACCAATCCCGACCCAGCTCGTACATTCCAGAGATGCGGGGACAATCGGGATAGGTCATGTAGTATCCGTATCAGGGAACTCTGAAATGATCAAGGCCGGACAGGATGTTGTCCGAGGGTTTACTGAGTTCAGTCAAGAGAGAAATCCGAATGGTTGAGTAGTTCAGACTATAGTCGAGTGATGACTAGGAAATAGTCGAAGGATGGCCAGGCTGGCCAAGCAGGATGGACCATATCCGAGAGAAAAAATGGTTCAGTCCGAGAGAAAAAGGAAAGTAACTGAGAAAAAGGAGAAGTCTCCGAGGAAAAGGAAAAGCAATCAAGAGAAAAGGGTTAGGCCCGTGGGCCTTCGAGTTTGGTCGAAGAAAAATTAAAGTTTCCCGATGAGAAAACGATTTCTCGCTATTATGGTAGAGTGGTTAAGGAGATAACTGAGAGAAACTTAAAAATGACCACAAGAAATCCTACTGTGACCGGGAGAAGTCGGTTTAGGCCGGGTTACTTAGGGCTGTGAGTATAAAAAGTCTTGGAGGTATTTTTCAGACGGAGAGCCGTACTATTTGGGAGCAATAGAGCAAGAGAGAGAGAGAGAGAGAGAGAGAGAGAGAGAGAGAGAGAGAGAGAGAGAGAGAGAGAGAGAGAGAGAGAGAGAGAGAGAGAGAGAGAGAGGGAGATTGGTCAAGGGATTACCCGAGAGAATATGAGTATCCTGGAAGTTAGCCGAAAGAAAAGATGATGCCCGGATTCCAGTCGAGTTGTAGCTGGAGTGCTCCGACCATATCCGAGAGAAGTTTGGCTTTGTTCGGGAGAAAGAGGATTTACCCAAGAGAAATTGGAGATCATTCGGGAGAAACAGAGATGATCAGGATAAATAAGGATATCCGGAATCCAGTTGAGTCATCAACGGAGTTGGCCAGTTATAACTGAGGATGGTCCGCGACAAGGTGAATCTAGTCGAAGCGACGTGACTAAGTTCAGAAAAAACGTGACCATCACCGAGTGAATATTGGGATAAGAGATTTTATCCGAAAGAGGATTAAGTTATCCAGGAGAGAAATAAAAATGGTCGGATGTTTCGCGATGATATTCGGGTCATGCGAATAATCCGTGGATTGGATTCTGAATATATCCGAGAGAAACGGATAAGCCGTGACCATATCTGGGAGAAAGTAGAGATATCCGACAAGGAAAAAGAATAGCCGGAAGTATCCCGATGATAGTCGGGAGATACGAAAGATCCGAGGGTCGGATCGTGACAATAACCGAGAGAAACGATTATACTGCGACTATCATCGAGAGATCGCCGAGAGATCTGAACTATCACCGAGAGATCTGGACTGTCACCGAGAGATCGCAAAGAGATCTGGACTATAACCGAGAGAAACGTGTTCTGATCGATCTTTCACCGAGAAAAAGTCGATATTCCATAAGATACATCAAGAGGGATCATTATGCCGAGAAGGTGTTATGGATGAATGGTTAGCTAGTAGAGTCCATCGAGAGATTATGGACATGGTCAGGGAGGTCGTAAAACTGGGCTGACCGGACGAGCAAGGGATAGAGGATCTGAGCCGTCCCTCTTTGTTACTTAGTCCTGTGGGGATGGTTGGTTGAGTGTCTGAATAACGAAGGGGTGATGTGTTATGAGGGTACTAACGACCGTGAGGGTCGTGACTATAGATTCTGATGGTCGTAAGGACCATGCCTGTGTTACTGGCGATCATGAGGATTGTGATTGTGTTTTCTGATGGTCGTAATGATCATGATTGTGTACTGGCGATCAAAGGGGGGTTGTGACTGTGATTACTTGTGATCGTGAGAACAGGGAATGGGATTCCGTGATGATCTGGGGAACCCATATATTCCTCTTTGTTACTTGGTCATGTGGGGATGGTTGGTTGAGTGACTGAGTAAGGAGGGTGTGATGTGGTATTACTAACGTAGTGGCTGAGAGCCAGGATAGCAAAGGAGGCTTATGGAGTCATGTGGACCAGAGTGACTCAAGCAATGCATCCGATATCTGCAAATGGCTAAGGTACAAACTAATCTTAGCTAAGCTTGTTTTGTGCTTAGCAAGTTATATGATTTCAGGAACAAATATTGGGACCGATTTCCCGAGCGCCAATTAGAAGGCTCCATATAAGCTGAACGTCCAACTCAACATGGTCCCTAAAGAATCTGCCCCGAAAGGTTTCAGACGAGGGCGAACACTCCAGGTTGTTAAAGGAATCTGAGGCTAGGGCAGTTAACCAACTCTTTACACTGCAAGCCTTGTCGGCAGAGCTCGCGGGGGGCCAATAGGAATCCCGTCAAAAAACAATATAAATAAGACCTCAAATCTCAGAAGGAAGAGGGAAGGTCGGTGAGCCTTCAGTCAAGATCAGACGGATGGATTATTGAGACTAGAGAGAGATTAACTTGACTGAATTAGGAGGAGGAAATGTCGGAGAGGCTTCAAAGAATCTCTCTAAGACCAAGTCTCATCCCTCAGGATGCTTAAGATCTCTTACCTAACATTTCATGACCAGATACAGCATTCTCTGGATACGTTCTCACTGGCCTGCCCAAAGGATTTTCCTGGGAAGGTACATTGATCTTCTTCCCCTGTCTTATCCATCAAGAGATTTCCGACCCCCTTCTCAAGCCTGTTTATAGCCTCTTCGATCACCAAACAGTGGATGAATATCACAATCCTCGAATGTGGTATTACACCCCATAACCTCACCAAAGAGTGGATGATATATATTGCTTTTGCTCTCAAATGCAGCAGCAAACTAGAATACCCAATTGACAATACGACTAAAATACCAGAATTTATATAGCCGTAAAGTTACCTGATCGATGGTTTCATATTTAGATGGGGGAGTGGTATAGACAGGCTTTAATCTCTCACCCGGAGGAGCACCATAGACTCTACTCATCTTGTTCTCAAGAAGTGTAATCACAGAGTCTTCTACTGCCCAAATCCCCGGCTTTTCGCCTTCTTCTGACCCTAACCACCCGGGCGATTCTGCCTTCATCGCCTCGGAAGGAGAGAGGAGTTCAAAAGGCGATGGTAAAGGAGGGTCGGGACAATAAGAACATCCTTTAAGCCCTTGAATCCCAGCCCCATTCCGTTTCTTGAATCTCATGTAACTCATAATACCCGGTTTAAGGGTAACCGACTTGCGTCCGTTGTTTTTCACCACCAGAGCTGTAGCCATGCTTACAGGGTAGAGAGATATGATATAGGTTATGTCAAGAAACCCAGCCGTACAGCTCAGTTCGATCTGAGAACCATTAACAAATATTCCATTATTTTCTGAACAAGATTGGATTACTTGGGGGGGGGGGGAGGGTTTAAAATCAATCACCTGAAGCGCATCAACGGCGTCTGAATCAGTGTCCTTGACACTCCAATTACAACCTGAGATTACCGAAGTTGCTTGTTCTCCGTTTACAATAACAGGACCAACTCCACCACCTATGCCTTTATCACTATCAAATGTGTAAAGGACTTCCTCGAACCCGTCGTCTTTCCAGTATACCTTAGGCTTATATGAAACCACATGAGCGTCTGATAGACTCAGCTTTAAAGAACTCCCATTTCTGACCTTAAGCTCGACCATGGGAACGTTGTTTCGTTCAGAGAACTTTATGCCTTTTCGTCCAAATTTCTCTTCAAGCCCTTCGATTATTGTTTTGGTCTGAAGAGCTAAAATTGTTGAGTTTCTTACGGCTTTTGGTTTTGGGAGAGGAAAAAAAGAGATAAGAGAAGCCATTGATGAAAAGTATGGAGCAGAAAAGATAAGACCAGTGAAGTTGTAGAAGCGCTGAGCCTAATCCTTTTTTTCCAGCATTTATATTTTTTCAATTTGTTTTACAACTGTTTTATTTAGCTTGTCGTGTACTGGTTTCGTTGTCCTTATGTTGTGGCTTTTCACTAAGAGAAAACTCAGGGATTTTCATTAAATCTCAGGGCTTTTCACTAAGAGAAATTTAGAACTCAGGGCTTTTCACTTTTTGGAACCAAACAGCTAATGTAGTTCCTTCTTTTGCTAAAAGATTTCTGTAGACGAGACTTTAACGAACAAACCAGCTTCTACCTTTTCTTCAATTTTGAGAACCATTTATTCAAAATACGAACAACCCAGTGAACAAAGAGATTGTGTTTCATATTTGTGGTAACCTACTCATTATATCTCTGTATATCAATGAGCTCGTCGACATTCCAAGTCCCTGCTGTGACCCTGGTTCCACCTTCGGCTCTGCTGCCAACTGTAACATCAGCCCGGCTGCATCACCAATGTCATCAGGCCCTGGCAGGCCGGGAAGCCTCTCTTGCCCGATAGCTAAACTAGGCATTGAAAGATCCAAAAGCTCACTTTGGCCTACGTAAACCGAGAAACCCGAAGGAGGCCTCATGTGTTGCTGGAAGTCGAATAGGGATGAGTTGGCTGTGACCAGTCCCTCGGATCTGCTGCGTGGCGCTGGATACTGCACATGGTGGTTGTGGGTCTGAGTCGCTGAACCGCCTTGGATGGTCCCTGAACTGACGTGGCTGTTGCTGCGTGCTGCTGGTACTTCGTGGGTGTGCTTGCCTATGTAAGTGGTTAGTACGGACGCGAGGTCATCAGAAGCTCTCTCCACATGCTTCGTTACGATACATCCATTAGCTGTGCATTTATAGTAACTCCTGAAGCAGCATTACGTAGAAAAGAAAACAGACTGTGTGATGAAACTCTGCAACAGAGGGAGAGAGAGCAGAGCAAAACAGAGCATTTGAATATAAAAAACCTTGGATTCGGGTTTCCTTTGACGACTTTTTGGCCGTACTTGCGCCAGCGATAACCATCTTCGAGGATGTCAATGTCACTTGTGGTCTGCACCACTACTTTTGGCTCACGGGAGGCTCTGGTCGATCCACTCATCTCCGTTGCATAAGCTTCGAGTTTCCTGATACGTTAATAGCATTCACACGTCAGAACGTCTTGTCTTTCCGAGTGTATTGTAATTGGTTACTAGAGCAACTTTTCTAACCTTCTCTTTGACTCGGATTCATCTACTTCTCCTTCGTAACCCAGGGGAACACTCATGTGGGACGTGCGTTCTTCTTCATCATCATCTTTGAAGAAGGCATCAGCTGCAGCATCACCATGCCCGAACTGAGTCCCGCATTGAACCTGCATTGATCCAGAAAGGCTACCGTATTCGAGCTCTGCGGATACAGGTGATGTCCATTCTATATTCTCATTGGTTCCAGCAAAACCTTCTTGCTCAGCTCCATCTATTTGCATGTCAAGCCCTGTACCGGATGATCCAATGCCTGAGCGGCGGTTAGGTGGAGGTTTCGGATGATTATGAGCCTTTGCGTATATGATCTCTGTAATATGACCTTCCCTAGACCGTTCAACCTTCTTCCTCACCTCACAGTTCGGGTGTGTGCACTTGTAATAGCTACGTGGATACTCGCTTCCTTTAACTAGCTTCTGTCCGTATTTCCTCCAGTTGTATCCATCATCTGCTGCTGCACCACTAGGCGCCGAGTCTCCTAAACCGCCGGGCTGTGTTTGCTCGTAGTCTTGGGACTCATCGGGCTCTACTGTAGAATCAAGGCTCCTTCTTGGAATGGATTGGTGAAAGGCTAAGGATGTGGCAATGTCGTCAAAGAACTCATCTTTAGCTTTTCCATAAGGTAGTGATGAGAGCTTCCCGGTTGTTGGAGATGGCTGGCCTTACAAATTGATAAGAGATTTCAGCAAAAATGGATCTCTGAAAGAGAAGACGATGATAATGAAAAGCGTTGAAAAAGATAAAATTTACCAAAGGGTTTGAGAGGAAAACCGGAGAGTCTAGCAGAGTCGCAGGGCTAACTCCAGGAGAAGAGATGGTTAAACATGGAGACTGAAGAATACTCTCAGTGTTTAGCCTCGGTACATTAAACCCGGCTCTCGCAGCAAGCCTTTCACTAAGACCACCTCGTGAACACCACGGTTTCTCTTGAGAGATGTTTTGCAGAAAGTCCTTATTCTTGATGTCTTCTAAAGAAACCTCTCTATCAAGTTCCGCTTTTGATCTCTTCCTGGTGTAAGGAGTACAGTCTAACCACTCTCCCATTACAGCAACGTTATCATTAAAACCAGCCATTACAAATCCAAGATTCAGCTTCAACTTTGGGATCAACCTGAAATGTTATAATGGAACGAATAAATTCACAGAGACATACACAAACGCATGATATGCCAAAAAAAAAAAGCTCATAAAATGGAAGACAGGACAGGACAGTAACTTTGTTGTAATAAGCTTCGAGTTAATAAAGTGATATTATGATCCCAAAAACACAACATGAGAACTTTTGAGACAAATATACAACGATTGAGATTAAAAGAGTGATTATATAAGAATGGCAACCATTTACCTGAATTATTGAAAACGACACGGATCAAAAAAAAAAAATTGCCGTTTAAGGACTGTAAGAGAGATCGAAACAAGGGACTGCTCTCTTTCTCTTCTTCCTATTTCTGTCTCTTTGTTCTTATGGATTATTCATAGAAAATGAACAAAAAGGAAAAGAATAAATCTTCTGTAAAAATCTCTCTCTTTCTTGATGATCGTTTGCCCAAAACACAATGAAGATGTGTATATAGGCAAAAAAAAAAAAAACTACAAGAGATAACACAGCTTGGTTAGATAAATTTTCTCCTTAACTTTCTCAAAATCCAAACAAAAAGTTCAAAAAAAAATTCTACATATGTATTCCACAAAAAAATCCCCTAAAACTTACTATTTTTAGAAATTTACACTTATTGTGTGTGTGTATTTTTTTGAAAAAAAATAAATAAACTAAATACACATAAAAAAATTTAGTTAACTTAAAATGGCCGAACTAGTTATACTACTTGTGTTTTAACACCGCCACCTTCACCTTAACATACATCAACATAGTTAACTCTATATTATCACAACAAAGACACATTACAATGGTGACACAACAACAACAAAAAGTTCAATTTTATTTGGTGTTTTTGGCTAAGATATACTGTTAACGACATGTCTAATTTTATTGTGTAAAATAACAGTGTTGAGTTTGAGTTTTAAAAATGAAATTTAAACTTTATGTCCCATCAAAGCCCATTTTAATCTACTCTTTTCATAAGGCTTTTGCCCCTTTTAAACACTGCTCATATTTAGCCATTTTTTAGGAAAGCTTTTCTTCTTTGCTCTTTTCATGATGTAGCCTATTTGATTTTCTTTTGCTCTCTTCATGATGTGGTCTTTTTGATTTTCATTTTGCATCTTTTCCTTGTTTCTTTGGGGAGTCTCCATTTTGTTTCTTCTTTGAGTTTCTTAGGCTTCTTTTGGCCTCCTCTTTTTGTTGTTTGAGAACTCTTCTTCTTTGTTTGCTGCTCCTAGATCTTTTGGGTTCACACATGCTTAGCTTGTTGTCTTTCCTTTCTTCTTCTCTTCTCCAAATGAAAAATAAAAAGCACACAATTCCCACACCTAAATCTACTATCCTAAACCTATTTATGACTCAAAGAGAAGAATCATATCTACATGAGAGCTTACCCTTGTCGTGCTGAACCCAACACTTTTTGCTAAGTTCATTCAGAAATAGGCCTTACACACAAGATAGTATTTCGGCTTGAAAGGAGGGTTGGTTTAAGGTGTGGTTAACTATCCTATAGATGAGGATCAGCTACTTGGACTAGCAAGAGTGGCAGAAGGAGAAAGAAAGTCCAAGTATGTATATGGTAGCCATGCAATCACTTTTCAAAACATAAGCAAGATAATTATATGTCAAGATTAGGGTTCTAATAGGTAGAGTTGGAATCAAATCACTGCAAGCATCAGCATAAGACAAGAATATCAATGCAATAATTCAAGATAAGGTGCAGCCTTAACTTCAAACTCATCACAATGCAATCAAACAACTAGATAACCAAGGCACTGATAACAACTCAAACATTATCATCTTGACAAGTGTTTTATCATCTACTCCCTATACAAATGTATGTAAAGCTATATGAAATGCATCTAGACTCAAACTTAGTTATGCAGATGCAACTAAATGATCTTTTTGGTTCCAAAATATTGAAAATTTCATGGATTTTTAGTGCACATAGATGAATGCATAAGACTCAGGTATGCAAAACGGAAAATAAGAAAACAAAACACAATGTCAAATACAATGCCCTCCCCCACACTTAAATTACACAGCCTCTTGTGTAATAGAAGCTTGAAAGAGGGTGATAAGGGATACTAAGAGTGAATACAAAAGGTCACATAAGAAAGTAGTAGAGTTAGGTACCTTTAAAGAGCTTGGCCTGCTCGATGTTCCTAGTCGATGTTGGCCAAAACATGCACTAATTCAACAATCCACTTGTTTTGAACTCCACCTGCTCCCAGGATCAAAGGAAAACACAAATACCAAATGCAAAATATGTACAAAGATAATATGAGAATACCTCCTAAGAGTGCTTGTTTAAAGTCAATAAGCTTTACTTTTCACACCCTTGAGATCATGGAGGAAGATGGAGTGAAACTGGAGTTCATTCTCCTTTCTTCTTGAACAATGTAGTGGCTCCATAGTAGAGCTTCTCCTTGGGTTTCTTGACTCTTTTTCTTGGCCCCCTTGGTCCACCATAGAGCTTTATCTTGATTCCATCAAACAAGTCAAGAAGACAAGCACCATCAAATGCTTCACCCTTCTTGCAAATAATAGAACTTCTGGGCCAATTCTGCAAATAATGCTTCATCTTTTAATAAATATGCCACGCTCCTTCCTTGGTGGGTGACGAGCGTCACCAATTTGGTGACGATCGTCACCATATCGCATACTTTCTTCTTCGGACTAGGTACTTCGTGGCTTCAACTTGAAATGATCCAAAAAGCTCCAATATCTCCAATTATGCTCCATAAATGCTATAACCTGCAAAGACTCTACTAGAACTCTAAAAAGACCAAAAAGACTCAATAAAAAGGACTTATATCATGGTTAAAAACCATGATATATCAGTAATTGAAGTGGCTAAACACCCTAATCATCCTTAAGCATGAAAGAAAAGATTTTTGTTCACCAAAAATCAAGAACCTCAAAGCTCAACATTAAAAATTCGAAATTAACTAAGCAAGATAAATAAGAAAGCAAGACTAAAAGATTAAAGACTGAAGACTGAAGATTAATCGAAGAGAAACATAAATAAAAGTATACAAAATGATCAAATCTCATCCCACAAAGGAATTATTCTAGTTCTTTGAAAAATCAAAGCACAACTTTGGGGAAGAGAAAAGATAAAGAAAATGAGTTTAGTTCTAACGTATTTATAGGGAGAATCCCAAAAACTACCTAAACAACTAAAAACAAGAAAGTCAAAAATGGTCAACTCCTTTCTCGGATAAGTCCACACCGTGGAGGAACATGATGGTTGTGGTGGGTACATCCGGTTGGTGTGTTCTGATGCGTGTTTAGGATGTTCTATCTTGGCGTATGTGGCTTGGCTGTCTTGCTTCAGGATGTACCGAGCAGCACATGAGGTGCCCTCCTCGGTATGCCTGCTCGGTATGTCCGGTTCTCCATAGCGTGCATGTACCTTGGTGTATGATCATGCTGTCCCCAGTTCAGTCACCTCGGAGCTGGGCCATCAGTGTACGGATGTCCCTCGGCGGTGCTGTGTACCGAGCAGAGCTTAAGGTGCCCTCCACGGTATGATCGCCTTCCTGAGAAGCCATCGGCATACAGACTGGCTTAGCTCGGTATGTCCTGTTTTGCTCATACCGAGAAGGGATATAGTGGACCTCGTCGGTGCAATTCCACGGTACAGGTTCTGGATGAGCTTATCCTACCTTTTTCAGCTTCGTTCTCCTTGTCCAAGCCATTCACCATCCTCCATTAAGTCTTCTTAGCTACAAAAACACCTGAAATAGACTTAAAACAATGCAAAACATGCAATGCTTAGTCTAAAACCTATCATGTCTAATATAAATGCAAAAAAAGACAAAACATGATGAATGAATGCGTGAAAGGAACCAAGACCTGAACTAAATGTATGCTAAAACATGGTAAATATGAAGTTGTCAGCTCTGCTTGTATGATGTTCGATACAAGCTTCGTTCAGTCTTTCCTGCGACTAAGATACTCATGCCAATGAATGGATGGAGCAGAGCGAAGGTGATTCACAACTCAGGCTATATCAGTGTAAGATGATGGGAAGACCAATTGCCAATAGGATGAAGTGTATTGTATAAGCTGTGAAAGGCTTGTGATAGAACACAAATCTTTAACAAAGATTCTCAATTGATTAAGAGAGTAACGAGTATTTGCTAAGGAAAAAAAAATTAAATTTTATTAATAGTTAAAGGTGTCAATTTAAAAAATTTCTAAGAAACCTTATATAATGATTCCACAGTATTAAAAGAGAAATTAAAGATTACAAAAATTCATTGAGAATATTACAAAAATCAATGACTAGATGAAAGTGCTAAATTTAATTTTAATGAAACAAAAATAAAATAAAAATTCATTAATCAAAGCGTAATTGATAAATAAATACTCTCTCCGTTTTTTATTAGAAGATGTTTTAGAGTTTGTTTTTTATTCCAAATTATATGATGTTCTCAATTTTTTATGTAAAAATTAGTTGTATTTTTGTTGTTTTGGCTGTTTGAATTTTACAAAATATGATTTGTTTTGAAAACATATAAAATTAAATAATTCTTAATATATGTGCACATCTCCAAAACACCATCTAATAAAAAAATAGAGTGAGTATATAATTTGATATATAAGAACACTTTGTTGGTTATAGTACTGTGGTATAAAGCAATAATTTGTTATTGTGAATAAGAATAATTTGGTGGTTGTAGAGTGACTAAATTAAAAAATAAAACATAAAAGGGAAAAAAGTTGAAGAAAGTATTACTATGGTAAATGCAATTTACAAATTATCATGCTCGATTACCATTGCTCCTCTCCATCTCTCGCCAGCGCCGATATCAATGGGAACGAGCATAGAAGCGGGACCGGTGCACACGAAATAACTTTGCTTCCCATACTTATCCCACATTGATCCTGGGCATCCCACATAGATATCCTCGAACCCTATCCTTATAATCCTAAAGAACAATCCTCTTCCCTACAAATTTTTGAAATTCAAAACGCATCAGATTCTAACGAATCCAAATAGTGTAACAAACTCTCGCTTAAACAAAAAACTGAAATAACAGTGGCCCAATTCCTTATTTATGTATTTGGATATTGCTTTCATATTAAACACTCCAATGCAGCATATAGAGTCAACATTTAATTTTCCTTGTTCTTAAAATTGAGTTTTGGATTTTAATATTTTATGAAGATTCAATTTTGTTATTTTGTGATCTAAAAAAACATTATTCTAATTTATGAAAAATTTGATTATGATATTTATAATTTTATAAAAATGTGATTCTGTAATGTTGGGGAAAAATGAAACTCATTCTATTTACACTAAAACCAAATTCAACCGATTTTGCGTCATACAATATTTTTGACGGACAACCCTTATTTTGACATTTCCATGCCAAAATGAAAGTTTATAAGTTTAAATCAAACTACAACTCTACCATCTATTCCATCCATTTTTATTTTTTATTTGAAATAGGATTCTGATTTTATTTCATAGAGAATTTACAATTTTTTGAGGTTTGTTGAATAAGTATTGTTTATTTTATTTCGAGATAATGTAATATAGAGAACCAATTTATAATCTCTTATCACTTGATTTTATAATCATTCAGATCTAAATTCTTTTTCTTTACGATAAATCCATTTTTTTTATCTGTAACATTATGATAGCTTTTAATGTTTTTCTATACCCTTTCATGCATTTTATAGTATTTTTTTTTACTTTTTTGTCTTTGTTTTGCTTGTAAGTTCTTTTTAATTTTTATTTAATTCACATTCTGAATATTAATTGTGTAACGAATTATTAATTTTTGGTTTGAAGAGAATTTTTATTTTATTTATTTCTAAATTAATGTTATCTGAAGTCGCAAAATAATTAATTAAATAAAAATATACAGAAGCTCATTAAAAACAAATTGATGTTGTAGACACTCTAAAAAAAATAACTCTCAAATTATATATTATATAGTAAAAGAGAATCTGTGTTTTGTGCGAGTTTTGTTTAATGTGTTCTAAAATAATATACTTTTATTTTTTTAATATTAATTTTTTTATTTTTTACTTTTTAAAATTTTCTTGATATTCTTTGTGTTAGAACCGGTTTTACTACATCTAATGACTAAGCGATACATCATCAAAAGGTACCCTATAAACAATGCACTTATGCACTTGGTTCTCGATAGGTTTTATCCTAGTCAGAAATGTTTGTGGAACCAATAGGAAAAGAGTCTAAGAGTGTATAAAAGCGGAGGCTCAGATTGAAGGAGATCAGTTGGTTGCACAAGAGAGAAATGGAAAAGAGAAAGATGTAGAATTGTATGATCGCAATGATCTAAACCAAACAAGACTTCTTCTCCTTTGCTTTATTCGGTAAATCCTTCACTGCTGATACCTATGCATTTTACACCATTTAAGCATGCATACATGATAGGTTCAGGTCCCATTCATGCATATTTTCTTTAGTTTTTGTTCTAGTTGTATCCATTTTAGGTTTATTAAGCATTAGGGTAGAATCTGCATTTTTTTGTATGTTTGGAGCGTTTAGCAGGTATCTAGGACATCTTAAGGGGCTTGCCGAAGGATGGGGATGATTAAAAGGCTAAGAGAACCAAGAAAAGATGAAGTAGACGTTTTGGCCCGCTGCATCGGACAGCCAAAACGGGCTAACTAGACTGTTGCATACACTGGGTTCACACATCAGATAGCTACAACGATGCGTCTCCGATGAGAGGCATCTGAGGCTTGTGTATGAAAGACAATTCTTACAACTGCAACAGAATGCCACAACGGTTTGTATCTGAAATGAAGTAACCTTCAGGGAACTTGTTAATGACTTGCAACTAATGAGGAAGTCTGATGCAAGACTTACAACGATCAAGTTCTCACCATGTAACAGTTTGAGTCCGATAAATAATCCATATCAATCACTTCTAATGCTTCGTGTCCATCGCAGCCCAGTCCAAAACGTTTTGCTTTTTGCCTTGGATCCGCCTTTTGAAAAGGATAAGGCTGCATACTGAAGGTTTTTGTGGATCACCTATAAATAGATAAACGTTCTGTTTTTCGAGGGGATCCCTCTTATCATCTCTTTTCTTTTTCTTTTCTGCTATGATCTCGAGACGTGATGTTCCATCCCTTCGCCTTACTAAGTACTTGTTCCTAGTGGGATGTTTCTTACGACAAACACACACTCTTCGTAAGCATCCCGCAAAAATGCTCCTTAATAACCAATGCTAGAAGGAGGTGCAAAGACTAGCCTTCGGCCTACCAAAATCAACAGATGTGAGCGACGTACCAGGAGTGGAAATTGGAAGAAGTTCCAAGATGTCATCAGTAATCAATGTGCATCACCTTGGGTGTTCTTGTTTGATTACGTGAGTTCTCTGCCCTTCAGGGGATAAATTCTATATGTATCCCTCGAACTCCCCAATGAACTTGGTCATGCTCTTTGAGGTATTTGCCCGTATGGGCTTTCCACCATTGCGTCCGGAGGAGCAATTCCTTTCTCCTAAGCCTGATACTCCTCTAATATGATAATATGAGAGCTCGGATCCCCGAGGGTGTATCTTTTTGATAAGCTCTCTTACCGAGCCAATTCGAAAAGTATGTTATCATCCCTTCGTTCCACCTAGGGAATTTATCTCCCCCTGAAACGAAGTATAATCTCTTAACACTATCCTCGCTACATGCAGTCTCTGCCCTTCTATGATATATTTTGTGTGCATCCCCTCAGAGTTCTTATTTGATTGAGTGCATTCTCTACTTTTCAGAGATATATTTTGTGTGCATCTCCTTGGGATTCTTACTTGATTGTGTGCATTCTCTAACATATTCCATGTGCATTCCCTCAGGGTTTTTTAAAAAAAAAAAAAATACATGCATTCTTTATCTTTTTAGGGGCATATCACATTTAAGATTTTCATATTTCGCGTATGAAATCATTTTTTTATCAACCAGCATGCTCCTCCGTTACTTGCCTGTCCTTAAGGTTCCTCTCAGAACCAGAGCTATTGCTTCCATGAGCTTCTCCTCTCTCTTTTCGGTCAGCTCCCTCCGAGGAAAACCGTGCTTCCTTTAGCATGCTCCTCTGTGTACTTACTTGCCCTATGGGGTATTGTTCCTCCGTGAATTGAAGATTACTTCTTTCGAGAGCTTCTCTTCCCTTATTACGATCACTTTTTCCGGAGAAGACTAAAGCACGATTCACGATAACCTCCAAACTTTTACCATGTAAGCACAATGTAAATAATATTCTAACAGTTCTCGCATTATCCTTCCGGGACATATTTTGCTTGCATTCTCCTCGGGAATTTGTTTCTAAAATTGCTTGCTTGCATTATCCTCCTAGGGACATATTTTGTGTGCATTCCCTTCAGGATTCTGGTTTATTTGATTGCTTGCTTGCATTACACTTCCGGGATTTCGTAAGTTTCTCCTTCATGGTTCTTATTTTCTTGCTTATATCACCCATCCGTAGACATCCATCAAAGTTTCTGATAGGGCATATATGCTCACACCGATTTCATTCAAGAAATCATTGTATTAGTATCCATATATATATATATATATATATATATATATATATATATATATATACTCGGCCAGCATTCGGATAATAAATTAGTAGGTTTTCTTCCTCCTTTTTGCCAATTCTCTCTAGAGACAGTCATTTTTTTAGCGAGGTCCTCATCAGACTTTCTTGCCCTCCGGGGTACCTTTCCTTAGGGAACCAAATATTTCCTCGTCTCGGAGCTTGTCTTCATTCTATTCACCAGCTCCCTCTGAGGAAAGTCTTGTTTCATTAGGATGCTACTCCTTAGACTTTCTTGTCCTTCGAGTTATTGTTTCTTTACGAACCAGGGATTACCTATTTTGGGAGTGTCTCTTTTCCATTTCTTTATCTGATCTCCCCCTCTAGGGAAAGGGAACGTATGATTCTAAAAACATCAAACTTTATCCGCGTAAGCATAACGCAAAGACTGTTACGGCAGTTTGAAAGTTGGGGAAACGCCATGCTTGCCACAAGCTGGTACGCACATGCTGCGCATAAGCAATGGCTTACCCTCTTGTTAGCTCCCCATGCTTGGGCATGCCATTTTCAACCTCTCAAGGCGCTCATCGGAGCTCTTGGGCAGATGTCACTTAAGCATTGATGTCTCATCATAATCCTCGCATTCAGTCGGGACTATAGGAGAGGAAGGTACCTCCATCGTCTAGCGCCAAGCAAATGGATGCAAGTAAATCACTCTTGGGTGAGCTCCCTTCCGACCAAGTCATGTATATCTCCGAAAAATTCTTTGCATTCTTTACCAATCCCGACCCAGCTCGTACATTCCAGAGATGCGGGGGACAATCGGGATAGGTCATGTAGTATCCGTATCAGGGAACTCTGAAATGATCAAGGCCGGACAGGATGTTGTCCGAGGGTTTACTGAGTTCAGTCAAGAGAGAAATCCGAATGGTTGAGTAGTTCAGACTATAGTCGAGTGATGACTAGGAAATAGTCGAAGGATGGCCAGGCTGGCCAAGCAGGATGGACCATATCCGAGAGAAAAAATGGGTTCAGTCCGAGAGAAAAAGGAAAGTAACTGAGAAAAAGGAGAAGTCTCCGAGGAAAAGGAAAAGCAATCAAGAGAAAAGGGTTAGGCCCGTGGGCCTTCGAGTTTGGTCGAAGAAAAATTAAAGTTTCCCGATGAGAAAACGATTTCTCGCTATTATGGTAGAGTGGTTAAGGAGATAACTGAGAGAAACTTAAAAATGACCACAAGAAATCCTACTGTGACCGGGAGAAGTCGGTTTAGGCCGGGTTACTTAGGGCTGTGAGTATAAAAAGTCTTGGAGGTATTTTTCAGACGGAGAGCCGTACTATTTGGGAGCAATAGAGCAAGAGAGAGAGAGAGAGAGAGAGAGAGAGAGAGAGAGAGAGAGAGAGAGAGAGAGAGAGAGAGAGAGAGAGAGAGAGAGAGGATTGGTCAAGGGATTACCCGAGAGAATATGAGTATCCTGGAAGTTAGCCGAAAGAAAAGATGATGCCCGGATTCCAGTCGAGTTGTAGCTGGAGTGCTCCGACCATATCCGAGAGAAGTTTGGCTTTGTTCGGGAGAAAGAGGATTTACCCAAGAGAAATTGGAGATCATTCGGGAGAAACAGAGATGATCAGGATAAATAAGGATATCCGGAATCCAGTTGAGTCATCAACGGAGTTGGCCAGTTATAACTGAGGATGGTCCGCGACAAGGTGAATCTAGTCGAAGCGACGTGACTAAGTTCAGAAAAAACGTGACCATCACCGAGTGAATATTGGGATAAGAGATTTTATCCGAAAGAGGATTAAGTTATCCAGGAGAGAAATAAAAATGGTCGGATGTTTCGCGATGATATTCGGGTCATGCGAATAATCCGTGGATTGGATTCTGAATATATCCGAGAGAAACGGATAAGCCGTGACCATATCTGGGAGAAAGTAGAGATATCCGACAAGGAAAAAGAATAGCCGGAAGTATCCCGATGATAGTCGGGAGATACGAGAGATCCGAGGGTCGGATCGTGACAATAACCGAGAGAAACGATTATACTGCGACTATCATCGAGAGATCGCCGAGAGATCTGAACTATCACCGAGAGATCTGGACTGTCACCGAGAGATCGCAAAGAGATCTGGACTATAACCGAGAGAAACGTGTTCTGATCGATCTTTCACCGAGAAAAAGTCGATATTCCATAAGATACATCAAGAGGGATCATTATGCCGAGAAGGTGTTATGGATGAATGGTTAGCTAGTAGAGTCCATCGAGAGATTATGGACATGGTCAGGGAGGTCGTAAACTGGGCTGACCGGACGAGCAAGGGATAGAGGATCTGAGCCGTCCCTCTTTGTTACTTAGTCCTGTGGGGATGGTTGGTTGAGTGTCTGAATAACGAAGGGGTGATGTGTTATGAGGGTACTAACGACCGTGAGGGTCGTGACTATAGATTCTGATGGTCGTAAGGACCATGCCTGTGTTACTGGCGATCATGAGGATTGTGATTGTGTTTTCTGATGGTCGTAATGATCATGATTGTGTACTGGCGATCAAAGGGGGGTTGTGACTGTGATTACTTGTGATCGTGAGAACAGGGAATGGGATTCCGTGATGATCTGGGGAACCCATATATTCCTCTTTGTTACTTGGTCATGTGGGGATGGTTGGTTGAGTGACTGAGTAAGGAGGGTGTGATGTGGTATTACTAACGTAGTGGCTGAGAGCCAGGATAGCAAAGGAGGCTTATGGAGTCATGTGGACCAGAGTGACTCAAGCAATGCATCCGATATCTGCAAATGGCTAAGGTACAAACTAATCTTAGCTAAGCTTGTTTTGTGCTTAGCAAGTTATATGATTTCAGGAACAAATATTGGGACCGATTTCCCGAGCGCCAATTAGAAGGCTCCATATAAGCTGAACGTCCAACTCAACATGGTCCCTAAAGAATCTGCCCCGAAAGGTTTCAGACGAGGGCGAACACTCCAGGTTGTTAAAGGAATCTGAGGCTAGGGCAGTTAACCAACTCTTTACACTGCAAGCCTTGTCGGCAGAGCTCGCGGGGCCAATAGGAATCCCGTCAAAAACAATATAAATAAGACCTCAAATCTCAGAAGGAAGAGGGAAGGTCGGTGAGCCTTCAGTCAAGATCAGACGGATGGATTATTGAGACTAGAGAGAGATTAACTTGACTGAATTAGGAGGAGGAAATGTCGGAGAGGCTTCAAAGAATCTCTCTAAGACCAAGTCTCATCCCTCAGGATGCTTAAGATCTCTTACCTAACATTTCATGACCAGATACAGCATTCTCTGGATACGTTCTCACTGGCCTGCCCAAAGGATTTTCCTGGGAAGGTACATTGATCTTCTTCCCCTGTCTTATCCATCAAGAGATTTCCGACCCCCTTCTCAAGCCTGTTTATAGCCTCTTCGATCACCAAACAGTGGATGAATATCACAATCCTCGAATGTGGTATTACACCCCATAACCTCACCAAAGAGTGGATGATATATATTGCTTTTGCTCTCAAATGCAGCAGCAAACTAGAATACCCAATTGACAATACGACTAAAATACCAGAATTTATATAGCCGTAAAGTTACCTGATCGATGGTTTCATATTTAGATGGGGGAGTGGTATAGACAGGCTTTAATCTCTCACCCGGAGGAGCACCATAGACTCTACTCATCTTGTTCTCAAGAAGTGTAATCACAGAGTCTTCTACTGCCCAAATCCCCGGCTTTTCGCCTTCTTCTGACCCTAACCACCCGGGCGATTCTGCCTTCATCGCCTCGGAAGGAGAGAGGAGTTCAAAAGGCGATGGTAAAGGAGGGTCGGGACAATAAGAACATCCTTTAAGCCCTTGAATCCCAGCCCCATTCCGTTTCTTGAATCTCATGTAACTCATAATACCCGGTTTAAGGGTAACCGACTTGCGTCCGTTGTTTTTCACCACCAGAGCTGTAGCCATGCTTACAGGGTAGAGAGATATGATATAGGTTATGTCAAGAAACCCAGCCGTACAGCTCAGTTCGATCTGAGAACCATTAACAAATATTCCATTATTTTCTGAACAAGATTGGATTACTTGGGGGGGGGGGGGGAGAGGGTTTAAAATCAATCACCTGAAGCGCATCAACGGCGTCTGAATCAGTGTCCTTGACACTCCAATTACAACCTGAGATTACCGAAGTTGCTTGTTCTCCGTTTACAATAACAGGACCAACTCCACCACCTATGCCTTTATCACTATCAAATGTGTAAAGGACTTCCTCGAACCCGTCGTCTTTCCAGTATACCTTAGGCTTATATGAAACCACATGAGCGTCTGATAGACTCAGCTTTAAAGAACTCCCATTTCTGACCTTAAGCTCGACCATGGGAACGTTGTTTCGTTCAGAGAACTTTATGCCTTTTCGTCCAAATTTCTCTTCAAGCCCTTCGATTATTGTTTTGGTCTGAAGAGCTAAAATTGTTGAGTTTCTTACGGCTTTTGGTTTTGGGAGAGGAAAAAAAGAGATAAGAGAAGCCATTGATGAAAAGTATGGAGCAGAAAAGATAAGACCAGTGAAGTTGTAGAAGCGCTGAGCCTAATCCTTTTTTTCCAGCATTTATATTTTTCAATTTGTTTTACAACTGTTTTATTTAGCTTGTCGTGTACTGGTTTCGTTGTCCTTATGTTGTGGCTTTTCACTAAGAGAAAACTCAGGGATTTTCATTAAATCTCAGGGATTTTCACTAAGAGAAATTTAGAACTCAGGGCTTTTCACTTTTTGGAACCAAACAGCTAATGTAGTTCCTTCTTTTGCTAAAAGATTTCTGTAGACGAGACTTTAACGAACAAACCAGCTTCTACCTTTTCTTCAATTTTGAGAACCATTTATTCAAAATACGAACAACCCAGTGAACAAAGAGATTGTGTTTCATATTTGTGGTAACCTACTCATTATATCTCTGTATATCAATGAGCTCGTCGACATTCCAAGTCCCTGCTGTGACCCTGGTTCCACCTTCGGCTCTGCTGCCAACTGTAACATCAGCCCGGCTGCATCACCAATGTCATCAGGCCCTGGCAGGCCGGGAAGCCTCTCTTGCCCGATAGCTAAACTAGGCATTGAAAGATCCAAAAGCTCACTTTGGCCTACGTAAACCGAGAAACCCGAAGGAGGCCTCATGTGTTGCTGGAAGTCGAATAGGGATGAGTTGGCTGTGACCAGTCCCTCGGATCTGCTGCGTGGCGCTGGATACTGCACATGGTGGTTGTGGGTCTGAGTCGCTGAACCGCCTTGGATGGTCCCTGAACTGACGTGGCTGTTGCTGCGTGCTGCTGGTACTTCGTGGGTGTGCTTGCCTATGTAAGTGGTTAGTACGGACGCGAGGTCATCAGAAGCTCTCTCCACATGCTTCGTTACGATACATCCATTAGCTGTGCATTTATAGTAACTCCTGAAGCAGCATTACGTAGAAAAGAAAACAGACTGTGTGATGAAACTCTGCAACAGAGGGAGAGAGAGCAGAGCAAAAACAGAGCATTTGAATATAAAAAACCTTGGATTCGGGTTTCCTTTGACGACTTTTTGGCCGTACTTGCGCCAGCGATAACCATCTTCGAGGATGTCAATGTCACTTGTGGTCTGCACCACTACTTTTGGCTCACGGGAGGCTCTGGTCGATCCACTCATCTCCGTTGCATAAGCTTCGAGTTTCCTGATACGTTAATAGCATTCACACGTCAGAACGTCTTGTCTTTCCGAGTGTATTGTAATTGGTTACTAGAGCAACTTTTCTAACCTTCTCTTTGACTCGGATTCATCTACTTCTCCTTCGTAACCCAGGGGAACACTCATGTGGGACGTGCGTTCTTCTTCATCATCATCTTTGAAGAAGGCATCAGCTGCAGCATCACCATGCCCGAACTGAGTCCCGCATTGAACCTGCATTGATCCAGAAAGGCTACCGTATTCGAGCTCTGCGGATACAGGTGATGTCCATTCTATATTCTCATTGGTTCCAGCAAAACCTTCTTGCTCAGCTCCATCTATTTGCATGTCAAGCCCTGTACCGGATGATCCAATGCCTGAGCGGCGGTTAGGTGGAGGTTTCGGATGATTATGAGCCTTTGCGTATATGATCTCTGTAATATGACCTTCCCTAGACCGTTCAACCTTCTTCCTCACCTCACAGTTCGGGTGTGTGCACTTGTAATAGCTACGTGGATACTCGCTTCCTTTAACTAGCTTCTGTCCGTATTTCCTCCAGTTGTATCCATCATCTGCTGCTGCACCACTAGGCGCCGAGTCTCCTAAACCGCCGGGCTGTGTTTGCTCGTAGTCTTGGGACTCATCGGGCTCTACTGTAGAATCAAGGCTCCTTCTTGGAATGGATTGGTGAAAGGCTAAGGATGTGGCAATGTCGTCAAAGAACTCATCTTTAGCTTTTCCATAAGGTAGTGATGAGAGCTTCCCGGTTGTTGGAGATGGCTGGCCTTACAAATTGATAAGAGATTTCAGCAAAAATGGATCTCTGAAAGAGAAGACGATGATAATGAAAAGCGTTGAAAAAGATAAAATTTACCAAAGGGTTTGAGAGGAAAACCGGAGAGTCTAGCAGAGTCGCAGGGCTAACTCCAGGAGAAGAGATGGTTAAACATGGAGACTGAAGAATACTCTCAGTGTTTAGCCTCGGTACATTAAACCCGGCTCTCGCAGCAAGCCTTTCACTAAGACCACCTCGTGAACACCACGGTTTCTCTTGAGAGATGTTTTGCAGAAAGTCCTTATTCTTGATGTCTTCTAAAGAAACCTCTCTATCAAGTTCCGCTTTTGATCTCTTCCTGGTGTAAGGAGTACAGTCTAACCACTCTCCCATTACAGCAACGTTATCATTAAAACCAGCCATTACAAATCCAAGATTCAGCTTCAACTTTGGGATCAACCTGAAATGTTATAATGGAACGAATAAATTCACAGAGACATACACAAACGCATGATATGCCAAAAAAAAAGCTCATAAAATGGAAGACAGGACAGGACAGTAACTTTGTTGTAATAAGCTTCGAGTTAATAAAGTGATATTATGATCCCAAAAACACAACATGAGAACTTTTGAGACAAATATACAACGATTGAGATTAAAAGAGTGATTATATAAGAATGGCAACCATTACCTGAATTATTGAAAACGACACGGATCAAAAAAAAAATTGCCGTTTAAGGACTGTAAGAGAGATCGAAACAAGGGACTGCTCTCTTTCTCTTCTTCCTATTTCTGTCTCTTTGTTCTTATGGATTATTCATAGAAAATGAACAAAAAGGAAAAGAATAAATCTTCTGTAAAAATCTCTCTCTTTCTTGATGATCGTTTGCCCAAAACACAATGAAGATGTGTATATAGGCAAAAAAAAAAAAAACTACAAGAGATAACACAGCTTGGTTAGATAAATTTTCTCCTTAACTTTCTCAAAATCCAAACAAAAAGTTCAAAAAAAAATTCTACATATGTATTCCACAAAAAAATCCCCTAAAACTTAACTATTTTTAGAAATTTACACTTATTGTGTGTGTGTATTTTTTTGAAAAAAAATAAATAAACTAAATACACATAAAAAAATTTAGTTAACTTAAAATGGCCGAACTAGTTATACTACTTGTGTTTTAACACCGCCACCTTCACCTTAACATACATCAACATAGTTAACTCTATATTATCACAACAAAGACACATTACAATGGTGACACAACAACATCAAAAAGTTCAATTTTATTTGGTGTTTTTGGCTAAGATATACTGTTAACGACATGTCTAATTTTATTGTGTAAAATAACAGTGTTGAGTTTGAGTGTTAAAATGAAATTTAGTACTTTGTTTGGGTGCTTTTCTACAAATCCAAAAAAATATGAGTATACTCTTAAAACACTTAAATAATTAGTGCTTTAACAACAACAAAAATGAAAAAACACTTAAATAATTAGGGGATAATTTTTCATAGATTTTATTTTTTTGAACCTTATTATTTTTCATAAAGTTTAATAGATGTTATATAAGTTTCAACTGAAAATGAGACGAAAAGAAAGGATTTTGCTTGATAGCCATTTCGTTTGAGATGATGAGATCTTATTGTTAACTCTAATAGTGACGACAATTACTGTTCTCCACATATAGATTCCTATTTAGTCTTCACGCAACGCCACGCATAAATCGATCATAAGCCTATATTCCGTTTATAGAATATTTTACAACTTTCAACCTACAAGAAGGCGATATTATTGGCAGATTTAGGGTCTTCTAAATATTATCATTATGTCAAAGTGAGCATAGTCTACATTGGTTCTACTAATAGGAACTGATTAAAGTCTGCTTGAAAAAAAAAGTAATTGTATTGCAATTTGTTGTTGGTGTTACTATAGTGGTTAGAAAAGCATGGAACAAAAAAATCTATTTTGCCAACAATTTTTAGTATATAAGTGATTAAGTTAAACTAATCTATTTAAGGGACATAAAATTGTCAAAAATATTACAACCACTAGAAATTATTTATTACATTTTTGGGTAGAACTTGTTTATTTATTGATTTAGAGACTATGGCCAATTTGTTTCCACACTTGTACTGTATATGAGTTTTATCATTACCGTTTCAAATAGTTCTGACTTTTCTGACAGAATACATCCTAAATATCCACATTTTATCGTTTCAGTTCAAGTCGTGTACTTTTGTTGTTGTTCTGACCAACAAGTCGTGGACATAAAATCGACAATGAACTCAAAGTTGGTTTATTGTTCTATTCAATGTGTAATGATGATCATCATTGTATATTTCTATATCTTAAATATAATGTATCACCTAAACTAATAGGCTTTTGAATTCTGACAGCGCGTATCATATTGACCATGTAACTATTTTAGAAATTTGCCATCAATTTTGTTAATAAAGAGTAAAACATTTGGCATTTCTGATGTGGTAAAAATAAATATGGTTTTGACTATATAAAACTTTGTATTCAAGTTTAATCAAACTATTTATGCAGTCAAGTAAAGAGATTCGTTTAATTACGTGCAAGTGCAAGTATAAACTGTGAATAAACAAAGAACGGAGTTTTAGATTGAAATTTCAATGTTATTCAACTTGATTTTTTTTCTTACAAAGAGGTTCCTTTTATACATTTTAAGGAATTCTCTGATCTTAGGATCTGATTACAAGTGTCGAACATCTAGCTATTCTCTAAAGATAAGAAAGAATCAAATTTGTTATTCAGTACAATCGTACAGTTTTCTCCAGCTGGTTTTTCCGTTCTACTTTTCTGTACAATGGTACCTTTGTCTTTTGTTACAAAGGAAGAAGACGACCGTTGTTGAGTAATAATGGGCTCGATTGCTTTCTTCGTTTGTATTGGACCTTGGTCTTCATTTGCATTCTGGCCCAATGTGATTGTTTCACTTTCATCCCCCCTCAAATTGATGATGGGAGAAATCCCAACATTCAGTTTGGATCGCAAATGTTGGAATGATTGACGAGGGAGAGATTTAGTGAAGATATCTGCAAGTTGTAGAGCAGAAGGAATGTGTTGAATTTCTAGAACACCAAGAGCCACCCTCTCACGAACATAGTGACAATCAACTTCGATGTGTTTAGACTTGCTGTGAAGAACTGGATTCACCGATAAATGCACGGCTGACAGATTATCACATCGAAGAATAGCAGGCGTAGACTGAGGGATCCCCAAATCACGAAGAACTGCTGAAATCCAAGTTAGTTCAGAGGCAGTGGTTGCAAGTGCCCTGTATTCGGCCTCTGTAGAAGACCGAGAGACTGTCGCTTGTCTTTTGGCAGACCATGAGATTATGTTGGAGCCGAGAAGAGCACAGAAACCTGTAGTTGATCTTCGTGTGTCTTGACAGCCCGCCCAATCACTATCGCTGTAAGAAACCAAATCCAGATTACTGTTTCTGGAGAAGTGAAGACCCATATTTGATGTTCCTCGGAGATAGCGGAGAATGCGTTTTAATAAACCAAAATCCGATTCAGTGGGAGAGTGCATCCGTTGACAGATGAAATTGACTGCAAACTGTATATCATACCGAGTAATCGTAAGATACTGTAACTTTCCAACAAGACTTCGAAAATAGCTTGGTTCTGAGAATAATAGTTTGTCGCGGAAGACGTGATCAAGCCGTAATGGTAGAAGAGTGTACATCGGGTTGCAAGTTGACATGTTGGCATGGAGAAGAATTTCTTCAACATACTTCGTTTGACTGAGAAACAGACCATTATCGTGAGATTGAACCTGAATTCCAAGGAAGTAGTGAAGATTACCCAAGTCTTTCATGGCAAATCGATTACTGAGTTCTTCAATTAGGGAATTGAAAAGGCTTGGATTGGAACCAGTAAGTAGAATATCGTCGACATATAATAGCAATAGCAAAGTATCTCCATTGTGATGATACACAAAGAGGGAAGGATCAGCTTTACTGCAAATAAAACCGTACTCAATCAAAAAGTGACTGAATTTGTCAAACCATGCCCTCGGAGCTTGTTTAAGACCGCAGAGGGCCTTTTTTAGTGAACAGACATGATTAGGGCGAGCCAGATCTTCAAACCCTGGAGGTTGTACCATAAAGACGGGTTCATGTAGTTCACCATGAAGGAAAGCATTCTTTACATCAAGTTGAGTGATGTTCCGATCCTTTGCAGTTGCAACAGCAAGAACAATCCGAATAGTGGATGTTCGAACCACCGGGCTGTAAGTTTTGATAAAATCTACACCTTCTTCTTGAGTAAATCCCTTGGCAACAAGTCTTGCTTTGAGTTTGTTAAGTGAACCATCAGCATGTAGTTTGACTGTGAATACCCAACGACACCCTAGAATATTCATCTCTGCTGTTGGAGGAATCAATGACCATGTATGATTCTGATAGATAGAGTCTAGTTCTTCTATCATGGCTTGACGCCATCCAGGATGAGCTAGAGCTTCTGCAACGGTTTTAGGTAAAGAATGAATAGTCTTGCTTACAACATGAGCGTACTTTGGATTTGGTTTCCGAATGCCATGTCTTGATCTTGTAATCATAGGATGCATTTGCGTATTGACCACTTGTTGTTCTGGTTCTGTAATCTCTGCGTTTTCTGGTTCCATCATAACACGTTGACTGGATTCTGTAGATATTCCAGGTGATGAAATTGTAGAACCAGGACTCTTTGGTGCCATTTGTAGATCTTGAGGATAATGAGCAACTTGAGGTGGGATAGTGGGCAGATGTTGAGAGATCGGAACCTGATTATCGGCTGACTGCCAAGCATGAAGCAGACCAGTTGTATGTTGATGAGCTAAATGCTTGTACTTGTCGGTGAAAGGAAAGCAAAGCTCATCAAATATCACATGACGACACACATATACACGACCGGTTGGAGGGTATAAACAACGATAGCCTTTGTACTGAGCATGATATCCCAAAAAGATGCATTGAAGAGAGCGAGGATCGAATTTGTGTTGAGCAAAAGGTCGAAGACAAGAGTAGCATGCTGAGCCAAAGACCCGCAGAAATGTATAGTCCGGTATTTTCTGGAACAGAACTTCTGATGGACTTTTCTGATTCAAAGAAGCTGAAGGCAACAAATTAGAGATGAAGTTTGCTGAGTAAAATGCTTCTACCCAATATTTCAGAGGCGTTTTGCTGTGAAAGAGCATTGAGAGACCGAGTTCAGTGAGATGCCGATGCTTTCGTTCAGCAATCCCGTTTTGTTGAGGAGTTGATGGACAAGACAGAAGATGAATAATACCATGATCTGTAAGGTGTTTTCTGAAACATGTACTCATAAACTCTCCTCCACCATCACTGTGAAACACTTTGATCTTTCTATTAAACTGATTCTCAACTTGTCTTTGGAAGGCGATAAACACACCATAGAAATCAGACTTAAGCTTTAAGGGAAAAATCCATGAATATCGAGAATATTGATCCACAAACACGGCATAATACTTGAAACCTTGAACAGAAACAACTGGAGAAGGACCCCAAAGATCACAATTTATTCGATCAAGTGGTTCCATCACACTAGATTCAGAATATGAAAAAGGAAGCTGAGAACTCTTTCCCATTTGGCAAGGTTCACAAACGAGAGAAGTGCTGCTCTTATTGATAGAAATTGCCTTGCTGGATTTGAGAAGTTGCAGAATCTGAAAGTTGATGCCAAATGATGTCACTAGCAGCACACTGTTGGTTTGAGTAGAAAGCCAAGAATTCTGGATTCTGCAACACATAAAGACCCTCACGACGTGGTCCCCTTGTCACCACTTTCTGAGTATCGAGATCAATAATATATACAACATTAGCATCAAAGAATACTCCACAGGGATAATCCTCACAAAGTTTCGAGACTGACAGTAACGATTTCTGCATTGATGGACAAACAAGAACATCGCAAAGAGGAATACTACCTGCAGTCGTGGTGAGTGTAGTGGAACCAACGTGAGTGATGGGGAGGTAGTTACCATCTGCGACCATGACCGTCTCCGAGCCATTGTAAGGTATCACATTTTGCAGAGGAGCAGCAGTAGAGGTAATGTGTGCAGAGGCGCCAGAGTCGGGAAACCATTCCTGACCAGTAGCATCAGATACTCGAAGAGCAGCAAGAGCTTGAGGAGTGTCATCACTCTGATAAGCATTATCAAAGCAATTCCAACACTTAAGAGCAGTGTGGCCAATACGACCGCAAATTTGACAAACAGGACGTGTATTGTTTCTGCCTGCAGATCCCTGAGATTGGTTCCAACCAGAACAGTTAACTTGCTGCGAAAAACCCCTGCCGCGAGTTGAAAAACCACCACGACCTCTGCTGCCGAAACGAGAATAGGAGTTCCCACGACCTCTTTGTCCCTGTCCAGAGTGGTTTTGCTGCTGAGCTTGAAACGCCGTGAAAGGGGTGACATCAGCCGGAGATTCATATGACTGAAGACGGGTGTGAAAACCGGAGATTTCAGAAACGACATCACTGAAGTTAGGTGGGGGAACACGAGACATGGAGCTTTGAACCACTGTAGAGATTGGATCGTATTCCCGACCCAAACCGTTGAGAAAAGTAAAGATCTTCATGGATTCTTCAACTGGCTTTCCAATAGAGCTGAGTTGATCACAAATGGCCTGAAACTCACGACAATAAACTAGGAAATCTTTGTTTCGAGTTGACAACAACTGGAGTCGGCGACGAAGGTCGAACTCTCTAGCAACGGAGCTTTTGTTGAAGTTATCGGCAAGAGAGAGCCAAACATCTTGAGATGTGGCTAAACCATGGACATAACCAAGCACTTCTTCTGTAAGAGTGCCAAAGATCCACAACTTGATGAGTTGATCAGTGCAGGTCCAAGCTTCAAAAACTGGATTTGGAGACGTGACGACAACATTGTTAACCGTGGCTGTAACGGTAGCCGCCGGTGGAACTATTTGGCCAGTGACAAACCCAAGGAGTTTCTGACTCCAAAGATGAGACTCAAACTGAGTTTTCCAGAGGAGGTAATTGTTATCATTGAGCTTTAGTGTAACAGAACTGGAAACATGAAGACTAGAAGGGAAAGGGTAAGGATCGAGAGCCTCAGCCATGAAAGGGTAAGGATCGAGAGCCTCAGCCATGACAGCACCTGTTAAGGTTTATGTGAGCTCTGATACCATGTGAATAAACAAAGAACAGAGTTTTAGACTGAAATTTCAATGTTATTCAACTTGATTTCTTTTCTTACAAAGAGGTTCCTTTTATACACCTTAAGGAACTCTCTGATATTAGGATCTGATTACAAGTGTCGAACATCTAGCTATTCTCTAAAGATAAGAGAGAATCAAATTTGTTATTCAGTATAATCGTACAGTTTTCTCCAGCTAGTTTTTCCGTTCTACTTTTCTGTACAATAGTACCTTTGTCTTTTGTTGCAAAGGAAGAAGACAACCGTTGTTGAGTAATAATGGGCTCGATTACTTTCTTCATTTGTATTGGGCATTGGTCTTCATTTGTATTCTGGTCCAATGTAATTGTTTCACTTTCATAAACTATAACGTGTGGCAAATGGCAATCTAGATTTGGTTTCCTAAAAACCGAGTTACAGTAACAAAAATAAAATAATATAAAGTAGAAACTAACAATTATCTTTAGGAGAAAACCTAATTTTTTTTGTAAATTCAAAGTCCACTCTTTCAACATCGTAGAGAGATATTTTCTCTGAATTGTCCAAATACAACGTAGACACATTTGGTAAATGGTAATGGGTTGGATTGTGATTGGGAGACTGGAACTCACGCGTGACGTAGGGCGCGTGAACTAGAGAAGAACTTAGTGCCAGTTTACCCAATAAAAAGCTGACGTGGCAACTTCATGCTTTTCCCGTCTTTTGCTAATATCGTAGAAAAAAACTTTGAAGACGCAAATAAAAGAGAACGCGAAAAACCCCAAATAGGAATCAGCGCTCTGAGATTTTTCGCCGCTGAAATCTGGAGACTGAAACTACTGCCTCGTGTGTTCGTCATCATCATCACAGATCCTAGATCGGAATTACTTATCCTGATTCCTGTTTGCCCGTAACTTTTTTGACTGAAATTCCATTGAGATTCCTGCGAATTCTAGGGTTCTTATTGACGAAGTGAAATGACCATTAAATCTCCCATCAGACGTTGTTTTCCTTTCCTTCTACGGAATCTGACAAGGGGACCTAATGATCGTTGGGTTCGGTAAGAGAGAAGGTTAGATCTTTACCGAATCTGGAACCACGAGATCCGTCGTTTTGCTTGATTTTCTTATTGTTTTTGCTGTGACTGAAGAAGGACTGGTTCGAGGAGTACAAGTTGTGTTCTTTGTTTCTGTCAGAGACTGATTTGAGGCTGTTATTTTTTTTTAAAATAACTACTTAAGCTGTGGGTTTGGGTTTGAGACGATTGGTTTCACCACTATTGTGATTACTTAGAATCAGAGCTGTTATTAAGTGTTTTTTTATATTTTGGGACAAAGATGCATGGCAGACAACGCAATGTTGGAAATGGGTACAGATCTGGTTCGATCGGAATGGGTATGTCTGGTTCTAGAATTTCCCCTGAGCGTCCTATGAGAGGTCATGGGTTCTATGGTCCGGACCATCAGCACCGTGGGTTTAACCGTGGATATGGACGAGGCAGGGGACGCTCGAAATCATACCAGAATCAGCTGCCTCCGCCTCTGCCTCCTCCACCGATGCAACGTCGAAGCGGTGGCGGCGATGTTTTCATGGAGGCGGGTCGTCTAGCGGCAGAGTACTTGGTCTCTCAGGGTGTTCTACCAGAGACTGCGCTTTCCAGCAAATGGCAGAATGGTAATTTCAGGAAACAGGCTGGAGAGTTTCAGAGTTCCAGGTCACAAGACGCAGCTCGAGCGGATGTTTCAGCGTCTGCTGCAGATAAAAGGAGGTACGTTGATGGCTACAGCTCAGCTGGCTCCAGGAATAGTTTGAAAGGAAGGAGGTCTCACCGTTACGACTCTGATTTCGGGAGGAGCGGTTCTTGGTCGGAGAGAAGTAAAGCTTTTGAGGTCGAGACTGGTGACGACTCTGTGTCTGGGCATCATGAAGAGCAGCCGCTTGCTGAAGATATCGCTAGCTCGGTTCAGAGGTCTGCCTCCGGTGAGTGTATGAGAAAGCGTGAAGGAGCTGGTGATTCCGAGTCTGTGTTGGATAAGTACAGCCTCCAGGACGAGGCACAGTCTAAGACAGGTTCCTCGAGCGCTGGGAAAGAGATAATGCACGACTGTGAGATCTCAAAAGTGTCAGAAGGTTCTTCTAGCTTGAGTGCTGGATCAGGGGAGATGAAAGGTAGGACTGGTGGTGAGAATGATAACCAGACTGCTATCGAAGATGCATCTGTCCATCAACACTGTGAAGATGCATCTATCCATCAACATTGTGCTGATGGTGAACCATTCACCGAGAGTGGTATTGATTTGGCAACGCTGTGTAAATTTGAAAAGGTGCCTACAAGGACACGCTCTTCTCTGACTGCGAAAGGCCCAAAGCTGTATCTGAGTCAAAATATCAGGGAAGCCTCACTTAATTCCGGACTTGTAGAAGAAGATGAAACCAAAAATCATGGCCAGTCATCTGGAAAGGCCGGTGATGAAAATTTCAACGACCAAGTTGAAGATATGGCTCTTGTTCAGTTTGTTGAGAACACTAAATGCCACAGGTCTAATTCTTTCCCTACTAGCGTTCTCAGGGAAGATAGTGAGAAAGATGCAGAACTAGAAATGCCTAATCTGCATAGATCATATTCGGTGGAGAAAGTAGGCGAGAAACGGTCTCACGAAAGCAGTGACCAAGAGGAGGGAGCGAAAAGACAGAGAGAGTGGGTGCCTGTGCCAGTGTCTGAAGCCAGTGAACGCTTCAACATATTAAAAAAAAGCGAGATGCAATGCGATGCGGAAGAAGCAGAGAAGACAGCCTCGTTCAACAGGAGACTGATTGACGGCGGTGTTGGCAAAACGGCGAGCCATGAAAATTTGGTGAACAACCCTACACGCAATAGTATCCTCAAGGGGAAACCAGGTCCTGTGTATGCAGAAGAGCATCAGCTGTTTCCTGCTTCGTTTAAGATCTGTGACCTAAACCTAGGGGGAGGGTCTGATGTGAATGATGGCAGAAGGGAAGCTAGTCAAGCTGTTGATTTCGACCTCTCGATCAGCAGTTCAAGCAAGTCTCTTGAGTTCAGTACTAATACTCGGATGAGCAATGGTAAAGAGATAGAAGTGATTGATTTGGACAACGATGATTCCCCTGACGTTGTCAAATCCAGCAATGAACCTGGGAAAAAGTACGGCGAATTCCCTCAATTCTACACCTCTGTACACACATCTTTTTTTTATATATTTGGCTAATGAGTTTGTTTGACTGAAACATCCTCTTAACAGGCAAGAAGCTGCGCCATATATGGGCATCGATGACGTTCCAGACTACAATGAAGGGCTCATGATGGTAGAGTATCTTGATTCCTTTGGAAACATTCCTCCAATAAACCCTGGAATCAGTACTGTGCCACAGAACAACGACGTTGCTCTTCAACAAGACCGAGAGGTACTTACTCTACTTGTCAAGTGTTTTAGTGACAGAGAATGGGTTTTGGTGCTAACTTAAAAACGTCTCAGGGTGCTCTTGAAAATGACCAAGTAGCAAATAATACAGACGACGATTCAATATTCATGTCGCTCGGAGAAATACCATTGAGTAAGGAGGCCACATCACTGATTAGCTTTTTGAGTTTTTTTCTGTCGTTCAGTTTTCTATTAGCTACTTAAAGGAGCTTTCTTCATTCATGTTGCAGCATTCTTGCAAGCTTGGGACCAACCTCCGGCTCGAGGCTATGCGAAGCCTTTCTGATTCGCTTTTTTTTTTTGGTTTTAGTTATTATTATGTCACGGGGTCTGTGTAATGAATGTGTAGCCATTTCGTTTGTGCTAATCCTCGCAGATGTAAGATTTGAATACTTTTGTGTTTATGATTTCCTTGTAATTCTCTGTTTATTAGTCACATGTCTCCCATGTTTTAGGCGTGATATTGATACGCATTGTCTATGATATAACATGATAAGTTAATAACCAAACATTAAATGTTTTGGCTCACAAAATCTCAGTCTCACGAAAACATAACTACAATATGAGGATGTCGAATCTGACGGTCACAAATGTGACTAACTTGTTGCTGAGAGGGCCAAGGATTTCACCACGTGTTCTATTGCACTCGGTGCCACACGTCCGTGTTTTGTCTAAATAAAAATACAAATGAATAACCGTAATTTAAAAAAAAAAAAATGAAAATTGATCGTGAGGGAAAAAAAGGTCGAAACTTTCCACATTGAACGGGTTACAGATCTGCTCGAATCCGATCATCGGATTAGGGTTTTCACTTTTCACCCTCCTCTTTTATCTCTCCGTGTTAGCTTCACGTCCTGCTGTTTCCCGTTTGTTCAAATTAGCCGTCTGTAGTTTCATTGAGCTGGATTCTCTACATGTTGGATTTGATTCTCTTGAATCATTGCTTCTTGATCCGGTAGGTGGTTCGCGGTAGGAGATATTATTGTATTTAATCGTATAGGAGCGAATGAATCGTAACTTAGTGAGTTGACTTTTGATTGCGTATGATCGATTTTGGGTCTGTTGCCACTGGAAATGATGGTGTTTGGTGTTGATATTTTGATCCGATGTGAATTTGGAAGATTTTGATTTGAGGGCAAGATAGATTTTTTGTGTGTGTGTGGAGTCCCATGGATTTGGAGAGTGAAAGCTCTGCGCTTGAGTCTGTTGATGATAATGGTTTGATCCAACAAAGTTCCATCAACACTGCTGATGACGGGTCCTTCTCAGATGAGAGTGTGAAACTCGTTTCGTCTTCTACAGCGAGAATCAGTGGCAATGAACTCGGTAAAGCTATGAATTTTGATTCTTTAGGTAGTAGTGCGTACTCTCCGGTCTCAAAAGGCCGTGGCTTGAGGAAATGGAGGCGGATCAGGAGAGACCTTGTTAAAGACACGTCTGCGAATATGGAGAATAGTAAAGTTCTGAAGAGAGGGTTGTCGGGTTCTGCTCATCCACACGGTAAACAAATGCAGTTTCAGTCGCCGGAGCTCGAGCAAGATAGTCAGGGATCTGTTGGGTCTGTGAATATGTTAAGAAACGCCGCTGATGAGTTTGAAATACTTGGGAGTGGATATGATTCTAGGTTTGTGGCTGGGGTTGGTTTTTCAGCTGGTGTGGATGATGATCGGAGTAGCAAGTCATCGACCGCTGCAAGAGCCCCGAAGGTTATTAGGTATGAGAAGCCAACGATTAGTTCAGGAGGCCAGAGAGGGAAAAATCGGGTAGAGAATAGTAAAAAGCATAGAGGAGAAAAGGTCGAGATCGAGAAGGAGAACTCTCAGTCCAGCTTGGAATCTGATTCGAGGAAGCCGAGTGGAAGAATGATGGACCACGATGGGAAAAATGGCGATGAAGCCGATATGAATGATAATGCGAGAGGAGAAGGTGAAGAGTCGATGAACAATAATAATAATCGTTTTTCAGAGGAACTGGATCCATTAGCAGAGGCCATCGACGGTTTCCTCGCCTTGCAAGAGGCTCTTGTTAAAGGTAGCTATTCCGATTTTGTTGTAATACCCATTTCTTGTTCTGAGTCTGTATTCTAATGCAAGGCAATATCAAGTCTAATGTGACTCTTTATGCTATTCCGTTTGCAGAGGTTCAGCAATTCCGGGAGATTGGGAAAGAACCGATGCCAGAACACCATGAAGGAGCCGGTGAAGTAATCTCACCTCGCTCGGAGATTGTAACCCTTGTGAACAATGTCGAACAACTGGAGGTCAAGCTACAAGAAACAAGGTCCATGCTTGAGGTGAAAGAATCACACATTCGTGACCTTGAATCCACTACTCACCAAAACAGACACTCACGGGGAGAAGCAGGAAACGTTCATCAAGGAACAGAGACAGTGGTCGAAGATATGTTTCGGCAAAGGATTGAGGCCGAGATTGAGTATCTGATATACTCAACATCCATTGATAACTTGAACTGTCAGATGAAGCTGGTTGAAGCACAAGAGGCATTGGCAGAAGATCAAGCTCATGAGACGCTGAACAAGCTCGAAGAAGTAGAAACGAAGGCTGCAAATTTAGCAAACAAAGCTCAAGACCTGCAAAACGTGTGCACAGAAACCCCTGGAACCATCAAGAAGAGAGCATGTAAGATCACTTCGTGCTTCCTTATACAGTTAGTATTGCTGCTAACGGTAGTTTTGTTGTTCATGAACCAATTGTTGCCGGAGTCGGATATTGTCGTACCCACATGAACTTTTTCAGTTTTTGTTGAACTGAGATTTTTCTTTTTTTTTTTTGGCTTTTCCACATTTCTTTTAAACATTTCAGCTGTAAGTTTTGCCTCTGGTTATAGAATTAAAGATAAGCCTCGTCGCTTCTTCATTTGTTTTGTTGGAATGCTACTTTTTACAAGAAAATAAGATATGGAGATGTAATACAAAAAAGACAGAACTGTTTCTTAACTAGCTAGTAACATTTTCCTTCATTTTACGTGGTCGTTAAGCCAACACTAGAAATATCAAAACAGCGGTCACAGCAGAGGTGAAGAGCGGTAAGAATCGAGGAGCGGTTGAAGCGATGATGGTCGGAGAATGTGGAGAAGAAGGACAAACAATTCCATCTTTCCTTTCTTTGCACTCGTTAGCAAAAAGACCAGGAGGGTACTTTCCGTAAACGTTCAAGTAGCTGAACATTGTCTTTGCACAGTCACTACTCCTGTCGTTGATCTGATTCACGAAAGGACATGCAAACTCTTTAAACGCCGAGCAACATTCTTTCGCTGGAAACCCCGGTCCTCTGCACTGATTTATCATCCCTGTGTAGTTCATACTCTCAAAATTCACTTCACATTCTGTTCCCAACCAAACAAAAAAAACAAGAGTCTCTAGTGTCAAACTTGATGTATACTGATCTCATCGGTTTTGACACCGAACCAAATAACCGGTCCATATACCAAACCGATGGTTTATGTGGTATACATACGTACATGAGGATGCTTTTACAACATACTTACTTTTCATTGCAAGTAGGTTCCTTCCACTAACCGACGTCTGAGATTCGAACACACTATCTACACAAAGCGATCCAATAGATAAATATCACCATCTCCATATCCGAACTGGAAGTTCAGAGAACAAAACATAAATTGGGGAGGAAGAAGGAACATAGAAAAATAACATACCCGATATGGAGGTTGAAGAGGAGAGAGTTACCAATAATGCCATCAGAAGAAATGAGAATTTTAGCTCCATGAGATTGTTTGTTACAGAAGCTTGTAAATTTTAGAAGAAGGAAAGGAGTTATGGTGAAACCACCATACTAGGGAGAGAGACAGAGAACATATGAGAAATTAATGTCTTCCAAATTTAAACGGTAGTTGTCTTGAAAACGCCAATATCAATTAAATAAGTTAACAACTACAAAAAAATAAACTCTTAAAATTTGTGTTTGTTTAATAAGAAGCCTAAATATATCTAATAATTTCTTTTTAAAAAACCTTAATTTTGAGAGGATGCTTTAAAATGTACTCTAAAAGACAATGTCTTTGCCACTAGATCATAATCAAATTAAAAGGAACTTCAATATCATAAAAGAGGATGATTATCTTGATTACATATGAATGATTACCATTCTGTATAAAGACTTGCTAGTACTGACCATTTACAAGAGATAAATAGCTATCTATGCTAATTGATGGTGGAAAAGACAAAGAGAAAGAGGTTGCATAGAGCACCTAACCTTCTAAAGACATAGCAGCTCATTTTTTTGGGGTGATAATGAGAGAGTTGACACATAAGTCATCCTTATTGCCCACTCTACAAATTGATTGATATCAGCTATACCATTTTTGATTGATTGACAGAATATTAGTTTCTATCATTTTTTTGGTATATAGTTTCTATCATTAACTAGAGCTTTTTTCTTCAAAATAATTAATCAATGAATAGATTACGACGATTTATTAATTAATTGTACATACTAAATAAGTATTTTTTTTTTCGTGTCAATTCAAATGAAACAAAAATATTAAGTACAGTATAGATTTTTATTAGTGACATATTACATGAACAACGAAACAATGAATGAGTAGTTAATTAAATAATCTGTAGGTTTTATAAGATCCCATCCCTAGAGAGATAATTTTTCTCTAGTTCAACTCTTCTTTCTTTAGCTTCTATCGTGTATGTTCACAGTTCACTCCTTTCGTTCTTTGGCCAACTTTATCAAACAATATAACATAGAAATCATATTCATCTAATTTTATCCCTGCATTTTCATTAAAAAGTTTTTTTTTGCAGAAATAATAATAATCAGTAGGTATTCTTATTCAAATATTATTGGTAAGTAACTAATACCATTCCATTTTTATAAATTCCATTTAAAAATAATAATAAAAAAAAGATGGAGAAAAGTCAGAGATGATAGAGAATAATTAATGTTTAAGATAATTGATGACAAATGAATAATCGTTTTTTAAGATGCGCAATTACGTGGAATCTTCAGCGTTCTTCACGCCATTACAAAACTTCTTCTCAGACATTAAACATCTTACATCAAATATTTTCTTTTTCCTGGTAAACAATAACAATAAACAGATCTGTGATTGTGTTTTGATCTCGTGACAAACAAGAAATTAACACAGGTTCTTCTCTTCTTTCTGTCTACCACTTTTTCGTCCTGACTCTTGTGACATCTATCGTCTGATGTGAAGCTTGTCCTTTATATGTTGTTTCGATTTAGTTTGTTTTTTCCTTTGTATTTATTGAATCTCTGAGTAGATCTGGTTTTGGTAATCTTGGAATTATTAAACGGCGTTCTTCTTCTGATAAATCAAGAGATTATTAAGCTGCCTTGTCTTACAAGAAACTAGATTTGTCTGTAGCGGGTGAATCAACGATCTGATCTCGAAGCTCGACCAAAATAACAGAGACATGGGAGGCGCGGTGACGAAATCTGAAGCTCTGCAAAAAGAATGGGTTCCAGAGACAAAGCTAGAGGCTAAGATCATAGAAGCCGTGCAACGCAGGGCATCGAGAGGCACCACAATGAAATCTTTCAACAGTATCGTTCTCAAGTTCCCGAAGATCGATGACGGTCTTCGAAACTGCAAAGCCATTTTCCAAGAGTTCGGTGAGTGCACTCGCAGATTCTAAATCGCTGGTTATCTCATGGTTTTGATGGTTGTGTTTACTTGCTTGGTTTGAGCAGATGTGGATGCGAACGGGTCGATTGATCACTCGGAGCTAAAGAATTGTTTCAGGAAGCTTGAGATCTCGTTCGAGGAAGACGAGATTAAGGATTTGTTCGAGGCTTGTGATATTAACGAGGACAAGGGTATTACATTTACTGAGTTCATTGTTCTTCTCTGTCTCGTCTATCTTCTTAAGGACGATTCATCCACTCTCCAAAAGGTAAACCGCAAGCAATACTATCATCAATGTATTATCCAATTGAGTTTCGGTTGAGTGGTACTTAAGACTTTTTCTCACGATGGATAGAAATGGAGATTGGGAATGCCGAAGCTGGAACCAACGTTTGAGACGCTGGTGGACACATTCGTGTTCCTGGATGAAAATAAGGATGGATACGTTAGCCGCGAGGAGATGGTCCGAGCCATTGATGAATCTGGAGAACGATCCTCCGGTCGGATTGCAATGAAGCGATTTGGTCCAGTCTCTTAACTCCATCTCTATATTTCTAAAGCTTTCTCTCCTTTGTCGATTATTGATTTTGACTTATTTGTTTCCAGAGGAAATGGACTGGGACAAAAATGGAATGGTGAACTTCAAAGAGTTTTTGTTCGCATTCACGCAGTGGGTCGGGATAGATGAGAATGAAGAAGACGAGGACGACAACAATGAGAAGGCTTGATGTTGTGTGTGTTTCTAAGTCTAATTCTATATATATGCGTTTGTGTTTGCAGAATGTAGAAGTAACAAAATATATTAGTTGATGAGATCTATGTAATACAAACAGAATAATTCATTACCAAACACAAAACCATGATTCTTTTTTAGTTTTTACCCCAAAAACTGGCTTTAAGCAACAAAGCTTATTAGTAGTCTCCACTGAACCAAATAAATAAATAAAAAAAAAAAGCAAAAGCAAGCCAAAATTAAACCTCGGACAGAGACACAGACAGAGGCAGAAACAGAGACGGACTCATCCCTTTGCACTGCCTGTAGTTCTGTCCTCCAGACTCTCTCCGGGACACGACAAATTAAGTAGACACAGATTCATATACGACGGATGTTTTTTTTTTGTTTTTTTTTTATTATTCCAGGGATAAGAGACAGTACCGGTAGCCGATGGGAAGGATGAGGATGGGATGGAGACAGAATCTCAAAAGCCTTCTTGTTCGAAGAAGGAAGCAGTTACGGTGCATATATACCTTCTTGGAAAGGTGAGAGACGCAAGTAGAAAAATAATGAAGTGAGACGTGATTATTAGCCCCTTGTCTTGGCTCTCTTCATGCCGAGGCTATCGTAAGGGGAGATGGAACCAGACATTGGGGACCCTTCTTCTCGAAGGCTTCCGTTGAGAAGGGCCAGTTCCCGGAGCTGTTGTTTCTTGTAGAAATCATGGGTTTCCTCCTAAAACAATATACATAAAAAACGTAAGTGTTTGTTATATCGAGACAAATACTACATGAATCTATGGTTTAAGATCTTTTTGAAGAGCTTAGTAACAAACCACGGGAGTAAGTAGATCGTCGAGTATTTCACGAGCTTGCATGAGACGTGCATCCACTATCTCAATGGGTAATTCTGCCTCGACTAAAATGTGGAGTGGTTCATTCAGGTGCTCATAACCTGGCTTCCCTCTCATCATTTCCTCCTGCAAAACAAATGCTATAGAATGAAGATACAGATACGTAGTGAAAAATATTATAATCTGACGCGAGACGAAAGAATGTAATTACCTTAACCGGATCTTTAATGCTGCCTCTGCCCCTTATCAGAACACGACAATCAGTACTAGCTTCAACTCGTTTGAGGGAGTTTCCTCTAGGACCCAAGAGGCGACCAACAAAATTGTACTGCAGATTATCCAATCAAAGTTTAGAAACTAATTACAGTTCATTTAAAATCTCAGCAAGGAAAGTTAAAATTCATACGTTTGGGTATTTGTCGACCGGAATATCCACCCTGATCGTTCGTTTGACAATGAGACCAGACGAGCTACCAGGAGAGTTTAGCCAATTTGGTGCTGGAGATGATGAAACAGATCTCTGCAAAATGAAACGATAAACCAACAACAAACTTGTTAGAAGCCATGTCAACCACAAGGCATAAGTATATGCTACAGACATGATTGCAGAATCAAAACCACAAGGAACATTAAAATAAATCTTATCAAATGTTTCGTCCACGGAAAAGGGGCAATGTATTGCGTTGTTAGCAACCTGTAATTGCTTATCCTAATTCATATGATAATCACAGAATAAGTAAACATATTAGAGAATGCTATATCCTGAAGGTAATGGAGAATATACTATCTGGTTAGCACATTGACCTAAGATTAAAAAAAAAAAACATTGCACAACAATACAGATTATGAGTGTTTGCCTAGACTACCTGTCATGATGAACTACGAGTAAAAAGTAAGTCAAAGCAAGTTATGTCAGTACAAACTAGAGTCAACAAAAGGTATAGTATGAATTAGATGGAAAGAGTTATGTTAATGGTTAGTAGTCATACTTCTGATGGAAACTGAGAGGGCCATCCGTTCATGTCAGCTCTTGCATTCTGAAATATCCCTCCAGAACCCAGAGGGCTAGGGTGATCAAACCTACTCTGACTTATTGCATTCTCCAACAGCGTGGTTACACGCAAAATTTCTGTTTCAAAAAATGTCAATTTTCAAGAGTAAGACGCACCAGTTAGAATTAGTCAACAAAGCCCATCACCAAAGACATTGGAATGGAGGAGACAGCTACAGTCTCGATTAAGTTAGTGAATATTAACTTTCACACTACTGTTATATATAATGTAACAGGCAGCAAACAAGGATACTAATCTAACTATGCTATGATCTCTACGAAGAAATTAGATTTCAAGTAAAATTCTTAGTAACGGGACCTGAAAATCAAATCTACATCAGTTAAAAGTCATTTCTACACATTACTAGACAACAATTCAACTGAAATACCCCCGCACTGTCGTTGTACTTGTATGTTCTAAGTCATTGTAAGGGAAGGAAGACTAATTGTCTCTTTGGATAGTAAAATATCTTACTTATGGGAGTATACAATTACTCTGTCATGTTTTTTTTCTAACAGCTAGCTAAAATGATCTCCCTTGGAAACACCACTAAAATGGTTATCAAATGTACAAAGATAGTAGTTCTGAAGCAAGAAAAAAAAGGAATTTAGGAGATCTTATGAGGAAAGTAAACCATAACGTTTCCTCTTATAATAAGAGTATGGCTCACCTTGGTTCATCAGCCGGCAGACATGTGGAAGCACAGGCAAGAATGGAGTAAGCTTGTGCCGCTCAGCAAGTAACTCGGAAAGATACCTGCAAAAACGGGAAATTGCAGATTATCCAAATCAGTATGACCTTTGACTACACAAGATAGAAAGCAGAGCCACTCATTTCCACTCAACAATCAAGTTTAATAAGCGAATATCAATCTCAAATGTTTAAACTAGATTCTCAAACATCAGTATCTAAGCAGAGTGGATCTAGTCAATCTCCAAAAGCGAAGACTTTATAGCTCTACATGAACACAAGTCAACAATCACAAAACGAATAAAACCAAATGGTTCTATAAGATCATGTGGCACTGACAAATCCATTGCTCAATCGATACAAACTGGGTTTAAAGATTCAGAAATTTTGTTTTTTCAAGTTAAAAGTATATTACTTTAACAAACTCAGAGCACAAATGAAGTAGATTGAGCTGTAAAAGAGCTAAATTTGCAGTGGTAGGTAGTAACTCAACTCAAACATTATCGAAGATCAATGGAAGCAACAGAAACAGAAACTATAGATCTCGGTACGAGTAACAAGAACTCGAAATGAGAAATTCGATACAAACAAACAAACAAACAAAAAAATCAGATTTGCGATAGAAAGTAAAACCTCAGGATCCAATCAGTAGAACAAACAAGCAAGTCAACTACAAGACAGGGGAGAGAGAAAGAAGAAAAAAACAGAGGATTGAATTACTTCTCCTGCTCAACGAGGAAAGAAGGCTGTGATCGGAGACCACCAGAGAAGTTAGGTGACTGAGGAGCCGACGGAGGCACAGAAAGAGGCGGCGGATACGTCATGAATCTACCTCCTCCGCCACCACCACCACCACTACCACCTCCTCCGCCTACACCAACAACACCACCACCACCACCACCACCGAGGGACGTCATCATCATCATCACGTTTGACCTCAGCTGCTTCTCTACCAACCTATATCCCTGGAGATATAGCAGAGAGTCCCTTAGAGATAAACGGCGGGAGATCGAGATGGTTTTTTGCGGCGGCGGATCAGAAGAGGAGAGAGTTTAGTGAATCTGGCACACACAAGTTTTAGCCCTCAAAAATCTTAAATCTAAACTCACAAACACACGTCGGTGGATGATTTTTTTTTTTTTTTGTGTGTTTGGGCCTAGCTGTGTGGGACTCTCTTGAAATCATTTCGATTCATTTTTTTGCTTTACCTCTTAACAAGACTACACCAGTTTTTTTTTGATTTTTTTACCGCTCTTGTCCTCCTCTAAGAAGCTTCTTACTGACTCAGAGGGTCTGGATCCAGCTGGAGACCTCTTCATCATTGTCATTTCTGAGGCTACCTACTTGACCGGGCCCGCTTCATTTTTCAGGTTTTTCTTCCTTCTGAAACCGGTCCAGTATTCGTCAAAACGCTGCGTTTCCAAGCAAACAATGGTGTGGTGGTTATAAAATTCCACGGCTATTTTTTTTTCTTCTATCAACTTTTACTCTCAAAAACAAAAAAAAAAAACTAGATTCTGCTGTTGAACAAAAAAAAAAAAACTAGATTCTGCAAAGAGTCTCTAAAGTTTTGGACTAAAAGGTAAAAGAAGGTTGGTCGTCTATGCTTTACATCTCCGTAGTACATTTCATTGATGTTTTAAGCGCAATTGTTGTAATATATGCTTCATTGTTATACTTCAGGCGTACTTAGGATTCTCGATTATTCCATTTCTTGATTGGTGGCATGTAAAGGCATATGGATATTGTATGTTTAACGGAACTTTTTAAAATATGTATATGGAACCAGCCAAGCAGAATAGGAGACAGAGCCACCAATAATCACAATTAGCGCAGAGATCGATCTCAACAACTAATAAAGATATAGCCAACACATTGACAAAGACAGAGCAAAGGCTAGAATGAGGAATAGAGAATTATAAAATTTCTCGATTTTAAACTAGGAAGAGTGAGCGACATGAGGTGAATCATCATCTGCCTTTTTCCACAAGTAATGGCTCCATTCTTGACCTAATTCCTTAACCCTAACACCCATCCACCCTACAATCGTCTCAGCCTCTCCGATCTGCTTTCCGGACCATACCAGTGATGATATCCCAGCCACCCACATCCCTCCGGCTACCAAGAAACCGGCCATCACAGCCGCTAGAACCGCCACCGCCTCAATCAAAACCGGGCTGAAAATCAGCAGAAGCGGCAAAGAGACCAGAAACAGAGTCACGGTCGGAACGAAGCTGAAACACATTAGAGCTAGAAGCGCACACCCACTAAAACCGCTGCATATGTTGCTCCAACCAGCGATCTCGTCGTCATCTGGCGAGTCCCCTCGATGGGCATCTCTCTTACTCTCTCTCAGGATACTCCATAGCAAGCCTCTAGATGAAACTTTAAAGTGTTTGTTTTATAAGATGTGTATTATGGAAATGGGCCGATATATATGAGATGGAGACGTGGCTTGGTGGATGTTGTGCCATGCCACGTTATGGGTCTTTTAAGCCGAAGAGGTTTGTCGTTTCTTTCAATGTTGTCCAATATTCGATCAGCCGCCGAAGAAAAGTCCAAATAAGATGTTATCACGACAGATCTAAGGACTGACACACATTTGTCTAAAAATCCAAATGTTTCGATCTATTGAACAAAAGCATTACAGTAGCATAATCACTTGAGTGAAAATGGGTTACCTACAGCCATTGAGATGATTTGATTTCCGTTGTTTTGTAGATCATGTTGATATACTTGTATTTTAACAATTTGATTAATCAATATGATATATGAATATGTTTGATCCTCAAAATCATGGGGGATTTGCAAAAATATCACAAATCTAAGCATAGTTTGTTGAAAACAACAATACCACATCTCCTTTGTTTAAAAATGGCGTTTCATGAGTCTCCCCATTGTTTTCTTTTTGATTAATTGAATTTGCTTTTTCAAGTTTTGATGTAAGAGTTTAATTTATTTGACATTGGGTGGCTATTTCTTTACGCAGTACTATCTTTTATTAAAACATCGGAGAGAACATTAATGATAGTATTAGAACCAAATGAAAAAACTCTATTACTGTAAAAACAAAAATTAGTTTATAGGTTACGATGATATATAAAAGAGATTGAAATTCAGAGAAGATGGGATTGGAGTCGGATCAATGTTCTCGTTCGATAAACATGAGAGTAGAACATAGTCCAACAGGGAAGTTATCATCACTCCTACGTCCACCACTCCCTCTCTTGTTGGTATAACCCGGATAATGACTCAGTTCGAACTCGGACTCCTTAGCCAGCTTCAAACCTTCTGCTTCAGCCAGAGTCTTAATCTCCCAATCGCTAAACGGATACGTTGTCTTGTGTGTGATATGAATCTCTCCGTTCTCTTTCAACATCTCCTTAGCGTTCTCGAGGAACCCCTGCACTAGCACTTGGTGACCCCTGATCCAAAACGCAGCATTTCATCGTTACGTCGATCCAAATCAACTACATCGAAACTATATAGTATATTTAGTGACGAGAACTATATATATATATATATTTACTCGATGGCTCTAGAGGAAAATTCACGTCCGAAGAAACGAGACCCTGCGTGAGGGAAATTAAAGACAATGCGGTCATAGCGTCGCAGGCTCAGGCTGTTATCGAAGCTCATCGTGTGAACGTTAACCTCGTGCTGGACATTGCACCCGAATCTCTTCAATATGCTTACATTGTCCATCGCGTCCATATACTTTTTGCACAGTTCATCTATACATGTAAGATTTCATTGATTCAGGTCGACCTTACTAATAATACTTGTGAGATGAATATATATATATATATATATATATGTGTGTTCATATATAACGGGTTTTATAATGAGTACCTTCTGAGTCGAGAGACGTCGCTGTGATGTTTGTGGCCGAGCCAAAAGCTGAAGCTAGACATAGTGAGAAAGAGACGTCGCCTTCTCCAACAAGAAGGATTTCATGTTTGCTACTATAGTGTCTTATCATTTTTTTTTTCTGAAACCTCTATTATGACTTCTGAGGACTAAAATTTCATAAACCATATATATATATACACACTCATAGATCAGTCACAACTCAAACGTTGCTTCAATGCTATTTAATTTTGGGTTCATTGTTTTTATTTCAAAATTTGGCTCTTAGACTTCCGTGCGCGCGGGTTTGTATTTTCGAAGTTACTCAACCTTTCGTTAACCCACCCTTGTATTTGTAAAACCGTTTCACATTTATTTCTTCTTATAATTAGGTTTTAATCCAACAAATAAGATCCGAAACATTCATTTTCGGAATATATTAAAAACGAGTTATCGTCAATCTTCAAACAACATGACGTTTGATTAAAGATATTACGTACTGTACTGATTATATATTATCTCTTCCACTATAATAATTTCTTTTGTACTCTAGTTATCGTTTTTATCCGTCACAGTGAACGAAACCTATATATCATTACGTTCTTGCAGATTTAAAAGAGTTATCTTTTTCATGCTTCTTGCTAAATAAAGTATTGGGCATTGGTAGGGTAAGTCCATTCAAGCAAAGAAAGCACTATACCTACATCATGCATAAAAATGATGTAACATATTTTCTGTTTTTCAATTCAGAAAAATACGGTTGACCATAAATTTACAGAGTAAACAAAAGCTGAATTTATGTTATTTTCAAAAAATATGTGATAAAATAAAAATAAACGTAAGAATGAATTTTTTTTTTTTTAATGAAATTTTTTATTTACTATGACAAGCATGTCAAGACAAAAATGGAATTCTAATAACTTTATAATATGGAAGAAAAGCTTTTTCTTAGTGCTGAAGTGTTTTACGGATTCGTAATACAACAACCAAACAAAAGTGAAAGAAGAAAAAAAAGCACACTTACCCATAGGAACAGCTAAAGATAAAGCCGAAAAATGAATTATCAAACCTTAGACTAAAACTAAAAGCAACTTAAAGATTAAATTTGTATTCATGCTACTTGTAAGAAATTTCAAACATTATAGGTTTTCAATCTAAAAAAAAAACTTGGATAACCAACATATATTTCTCCTGAAAAGTTATATTGGGTGATTTTACTATCTATTATCTATTACCCTTTATTATATTTCATGTGGAAAAAACTTTACTTTCTTAACCATGATATGGAATTTAGTGGTTTATTCTACTACGATCATTACATCTTCATATAAATTGAAACTCTTATATTGCATAAACAAACTTTGATGTATCATTATAGACCAAACTTCCATATAAAATTGGACATGGACCGGAGATGCATGCATTTAACAATTCTTTTAAAACTCTGATTTTTAAAATGTAAAACAGTTCCTTAATTAATTAATTAAAAAATATTGTGCTAATTGGGGATTACATCCTTTTTTCTAAAAACAACCTACTTTTAATTTTGTTCAATTAATTAGTATATGTCCTCTGTAATGTGTAATCATCAATCAAAACTCTTGTATCTTCTTAGTTGTTACATTTAATCAGGAAAAGCCACTTGTTAAGAACTAATAGAAAGAATTCTTATTTTTCTTGAAAAAACGCATGTAGTTTTCAAACTTTAATGCCACCGAGATTTGCTTTACTAGTTCTTCAAAACGACACGCATGGTCCCACTCATTACATAACCAAACCCCATTACACAAAAGCTCCTTTCTTTTGCCCAAACTCCTTTGGCTTTTTTAGATTTTACACACAACAAAAACAAAACTTTAGTTTTGCTATTTAACCCAAAACCATAACACATTTCCAAATTTCCTTTCATTGATCACATAACCCATGTCAAACTCAAATCTACTACCTGTACCTCCTCCACAGCAGTCGCAACCTCCCGAAACACCTCCATGGGATACGCCGTCTTCTATGTGGTATACTCCAAGAACCACGCCATGGAGAACACCACAGAGTACACAATCCACACCACCTAACCAGATGGTTTTAGCAAAACCACCGGCGGTTAAATTCAACGGTCTTGATGCAGAGCCGAGGAAAGATACGGTGATGCTCCGACAGCCACGGAGCAGCAGGACCAATCCGTTGATATGGTGTGTTGCCGGTTTATGTTTTGTGTTCAGCCTTTTGCTTATCTTCTTCGGCATCGCCACTCTGATTGTGTATCTTGCGGTTAAACCAAGAACCCCTGTTCTTGACATCCCAAACGCGAGCCTACACACAATCTACTTTGACTCGCCGATATCTTTTAACGGCGATCTATCGATGCTGGTGAATCTCACAAACCCTAATAAGAAGATAGAAGTGAGGATTGAGCAGCTTGAGGTAGAGCTCTTCTTCTTCAATAAATTGATTGCGAGGCAATGGGTCCAGCCATTTTCGCAGCGAAAACGCGAGACTAGTTTGAAACCAGTCCGTTTGATCTCGAGCTTAGTCTACTTGCCTGTAAACTACGCAATGGAGCTCAGGAGACAGATGCAGGACAACAAGATAGAATATGAGATTAGATGTACCTTCAAAGTCAGAGCTCATTTTGGGATGATTCATTACTCTTATCGGCTGCACGGGAGGTGCCAACTTCAGATCACCGGTCCGCCAGCCGGGGTCTTAATTTCTCGTTACTGCACGACAAAGAGACGATAAAGAAGACAAGACGGTTCTCTGAGTCATCTTCAAAGTCTCTACTTTGGTATGTTCTTCAAGTATAGATCTCTTTTTGCTTACCCTTCAAATGTATAATAGAACAAGACCTAGTGAACTCTATCCAATAACAGAGATCGAAGTTTGTACTATTTCCAAGATCAAGAAATTGGGAAGATCGTATCTTTCTAGGCAACAGATTTATAATCAAACCATTGGACACAGTTTCAAGAACAGTAGTTAATTTTTGTACTGTTGAACATACCTGAACCACCAGAGAAAAGATTGAAGACCAAAAGCAAAAGAGGTATCAAACATTAGATTTTTATGTTGGTTCCCTTGAGGGCTTAAAGTAATCATAATCACACAAACAACGAAAAGGAAGCTCACCCATTTTCTAGCACATGCCAACATAGATGATTTTTTTAAATTCAAAGTTTTATACTTTGTATAGGAAACTTCAAGTATTAGATAGGAAACTTCAAATACTAGATACACTGGCCTCGCATAGCGAAAAGTTCTGCAGAAATTGATTGGCTAAACAGTAGAGAGACATGTAACGTTGATTGTATATAATACCACAAAAGTCTCAGCTAATGGGGGATTTAAGAAACATCAGTCTAATGGTAGACTGAAACAGGGGGATCAACTGAAACACCTTTCACATTTTTTAACTTTTATCAAAAGAGAGGAATAAAGCAACCAAATCTCTTTCTCTCTCTGCAATCCTGAAACCAACTTGACTATCTAGAGGAAAAAGAGATGACCACGACACTTCACCTTTTACTTTCCTTAGATGCTGTGATCCTAGCGTAAAAAAACTAAGCCAAATGAAGAACAATCTTGAACACAGACTGATCCTATTCATCTCTTGAGAAGTCTCAAAGTGTAGGCATTTAAACTTACTATCAAGAAACCATAGCAAAATAAACAAGACATTGACGCTACGCTAACAAAGACAAAAAGGCATTTCAGTTTGAAAATGAAGAATTATGTAGTGAGAGCATTATATATATATATGTCCTCCATGAAAATTCAATCAGTTGGCACAATCAATATCATTCTATCATCTAGAGAATCTATATATAACATGATCCTGATGAATCTCTTAAGCGTCAACATTATTAAAAGGTCCAGAGAACAAAATTCAAATCAAATGGACTAAAAGGAAGAAAACGAATCTGGAACTTTCCTCTTCCGTTGCAACGCCATCAAACCTCAGCCGGGATCTTAGCCACGATAGAGAGAGCATGTAACCCGCTCTGCAACTCCTCTTGCAACAAGTCATATATCATCCTATGTCTCTTGACCAAGCTTTTACCTTGGAAAGCCTCCGAAACGATTCGCAGGTTGAAATGTGTTTCGCCATCAGCACCAGCACTACCTCTAACCGCGGCATGTCCTGCGTGCTGGTAAGACACATCTTCAACTTCTAACTCAACAGGGTTTAGCTCCTTCTCCAATATCTCTCTTATCCTCATCCCTCTACTCCCTAAAGCAACAATGTTTGACCCACTATCGAAATCTTCAACCTTTTCTGTTCCCAAATCCTCAAGTACACTAGGTTTGGACTCCGAATCCTCCTCCGGAACATTTGCTTCGTCGTTTGTTTCAGGAGTAGATCCTGATGAACTTGTACCCTCCACAGCTTGGACATCCAGAAAAAGAGCTTTCTTCTGCATCAGCTTGAGCATATTAAGGAATCCATTGTTTCTAGAAGGAGTCAGGCTCTGCTGCAAACCGAGAAGAACCGCGAAATCAGGCGTTATCCTCAGAATCTCCGGCACGGGTCTTCCAGATAAACCCTGGACTAGAAGAGCAGCTAGCCCTTTGACGAGAGCCGAATCGGAATCGGCTTCGTACACGACGTTGCGCTCCTCGTCAAAGAAGGCCCTGACCCATACCTGAGAAACGCATCCTTCTACTTTGTTCTCCCTCGTCTTGAATTGAGAATCGAGCGGTTTCAGATTCTTCCCGTAGAAAAGCAGCTGCTCGTACTTGGCCCTGGGATCCTGTACCGATTGGAATAGCTTGACGATCTCTTGTAGCTTCGGAGGAAGCTCTTCGATGGGTTGAAGATCTTCAGAGCTCGACGGAGATGATGAAGCCGAACGCGGAGGAATAAATCCGGTTGATACTTTCTGGAACGTGACGATCGTCCGGAGAAATGAGGGAATTGGCCGCAAAATCAGGGTTTTGGCCGGATAATGAACGGAAGAAAGGAAGGTCCGTTTGAACGGAATTAGACGAAGCGACGAGGCGCAGCAAGAAGAAGACATCGCTGCTGCCATAGTCGACTTGAAGCTTCGAGAGAGACGGAGATGAACGAATGAATGAATATTCCAAACCAAAACCACAATCGCCAATTGAGTTTTACCATAAGAAAATACCAGTTTTAGCAATTAAACCGGAAATATACCGGAATTGCTGAGAGTCCACGAAAAAATGATTGATGCAAATAACTTGCGGGGTTGATTCTGAACCATTGTAAAGTAGACGACTCTTTTCGCACAAAAAGAAAAAAAAGAAAGAAAAGATATCTAGATTCTTCCATTCTAGCTTCGTCTTCCTTCTTCTTCGTCTTGCGTTCGTCATCTCACCACGCTCCGCTAATATTAAATACCGAATCAATCATGTCCGAATCCAGCTTTTTCTTGTCTAAACAATAAAACCTTATGTACTTGTAATAATAATTAATAAGATTTAAATTTGTCCCTTTCTTTCCTGTGATTCTATATATTGTTTAACTTCCAGAGAAACTGCATCTCCATTTTGATTGAGGTTTCCTGGGATCCTTCAAAGCGGAGCTGAATCTGGGTAATTTTGAATCTCACTTTGTGACTTCATTGCAGTTTCTGACAAGCCCTTTGCTTTTCTCTCTCCTAAACGATCTGTTTATGTTACATAATACGATTTCACCCTGCTGAGATGTTCGATACAGGCTTCGGTTTTGATTACATGTGATAACTAGAAGGGTTTAGATTTCGCATTGGCTGATCTATGCAAACAAATGAGTTCGGTTTTACAGTGCTATTCATGGTTCTTTGTATATTTTCAGCTAAATTTTCACTCTTCTCTTCTCTGTTTTGCTGGATAAAGCGGGGTTCGATTCACATTGTAATAAGAATAGTAAGTTAGAATTGTAAAAGTAAACTGCAGGAGAATACTCGGAGATTTTCTCTGATCTCTACGTGTAAAAAACTCTTATCTTTACTATGATTGTATATTATCACAAACTTTATGAATTGAGAGCAATACGCACCATGTAAATCTAGTTGACGGGTTCTGAATAATCAAGTTTTTTCTTTCTGATAGGGTGGTGTAATTCTCTGTTTTTTTGTTTGTTTGCTTCTGCATGATTATGACAGAGATTGAGATATTTTTATGTCGCTTACCTCTATGTTCAATGTCCAGGATTCTCGTCGGGATGGGTTCAAAGTCGGTGGTTGACATGATACAAGCCTCCTCGGGGGTTCATTTTTCTGGTTTCCATGTGAATGGCTTGGAACCTCAACCAAGAGCAGTTACGGATTCCACTTCTGCATCAGAAGAGATCCAAAGACAGCCTTTTGTAATAGGTGAGTTCTGCTATTACAAAGCTGTCTTTTTGGCTCAGTAGACCGGTTGTGGATAAATAAAAGCTTGACGGATGATCTTGATCTGAGATGTTGTGGCTTGAGTTTTAATGGTTAGGTGTTGCTGGAGGTGCAGCATCAGGAAAGACCACTGTTTGTGATATGATAATACAGCAACTGCATGATCAGCGTGTTGTCCTTATTAACCAGGTAATTTTGTTTCGTTAAAAATACATCATTACCTGCTAATAAAGTGTATATGGCTGAAGTTTAACATGGTTTAAACCTTGTTGTGGCTGTTGTTTTTAGATATTTGTCTCAGTGTATGTAAATAATTCTCAAATACTTTTGTCATCATGATAAACCACAAAGTGCTCCTCTAAAATATCCAGTGATAAATAATTTGGCAGGACTCATTCTATCATAGTTTGACTGAAGAAGAACTTGCTAGAGTTCATGAATACAACTTTGACCATCCGGGTGAGAATAATTTAGAATGGGGCTACTTTCTGTAATCTGCTCTTGTCAATTCATATTCTTCAGTGACATCTAGTGATTGGTGTATTCTCTTTTCGATATCTCGTGATTTCAAAGGAATTGCATCCCTGACAATACCATATATTTTGGTTGGTCTCAATTCTAATGATTTATTATTGTGTTTGTAGACGCATTTGACACAGAGCTATTGTTGTCTTGTATGGAGAAATTGAGGCAAGGGGAAGCTGTAGATATTCCAAAATACGATTTCAAAACATACAAGAGCAGTGTTTTCAGAAGGGTACTGCCATCTTCCTTCTCAGAATCGCTCATAATCATATTATGAATTATATTATTTATGATCTTAGAAAAATGATTGATACTTGAGACGCCTTTTTCCTTTTCTTACTGCCCCTTCCTGAAACAATAGCAATGTCCTAGATGTTGTAACTGGCTTTTATCTGGTTAATCTAGCCAGATATACATTTTTATCTTATTGGTAAGAGAAAAAAACTGCAGGTAAATCCTACGGATGTAATCATTCTTGAAGGGATACTTTTGTTTCATGATCCACGTGTTCGAAGATTGATGAACATGAAGATTTTTGTGTGTACAGGTAATTTGTTGCCTCTTCCCTTGATAATTACTGTCAGCTCTTGTTTCTACTACATTCCATTTCCCTTTTTCATTTTAATAGATTCACTTGGCATTTTCTGCTAGTAGAGTCCACATGAAGGAGCTAGTTCTAATGCTTTAAGAAATGCTCTAAAGTTTTCATTTTTCAAAGTTCAGCTATACTTTTTCTTGTGCAGATGCTGATGTTCGTCTGGCAAGAAGGATAAGAAGAGATACTGTCGAGAATGGTAGAGATATCGGCGCAGTACTTGACCAGGTTAGCCTGTGTTAGTTTTGTTACTGCTCATATTATCTTCAAGAGCATATGTTTTCTGACTATATGTAATGTTGATGTCAATCTTTTAATGCAGTACTCAAAGTTTGTGAAGCCTGCTTTTGATGACTTCATTCTTCCGACGAAGAAATATGCAGATATTATAATCCCTCGTGGTGGGGATAATCATGTAGCTATTGACCTAATTGTGCAACATATTTGCACCAAGCTGGGTCAACATGATCTCTGTAAAATATATCCTAATCTCTATGTTATACACTCAACATTCCAGGTAACTCATCGAACTACAGCATTTCGCATTCTCTTACTTACCAAACAAAACTTTCACTACAAACTGCTTTCTCTTGCAGATAAGAGGGATGCACACCCTTATACGAGATTCTCAGACAACCAAACATGATTTTGTCTTTTATTCCGATCGATTGATTCGGCTGGTAGGATTCTTGAAGCTCTTTCAAATGGTTGAACAAATTTCCCTGTTCCGTTGTGTAATTGTTTTCTTACATTTATCAGGTCGTAGAACATGGTCTTGGACATCTTCCCTTTACTGAAAAGCAAGTAGTAACTCCAACCGGTACGCTTATTGGGAAACTCCTTTCTGTTTTGCAATTTGTTAGTGAAATCACAAGATTTTTTAATGTATATATATATAGTGGTTAAAACAGTTGTTAATAATCATAGATATCTCCTTCACTTGTTTCAGGATGTGTATATTCTGGTGTTGACTTCTGTAAACGGTTGTGTGGTGTCTCTGTGATTAGGAGGTACTTTCCTATATCCTAACTTTAGTTTACTCTGAGAGGAACTTCGGCATCTTTTAAATGTCTCGTTCTCTCACAAACTTGACGGTATTTTGAAATAATGCTAGCGGTGAGAGCATGGAGAATGCGTTGCGAGCATGTTGCAAAGGTATCAAGATCGGGAAGATCCTAATTCACAGAGAAGGCGACAATGGTCAACAGGTAAACGAGTCACTCCAATTTCAGCCCAGGTGTTCTCTTTCACTGGTGCTTGATGTCTAAATCACTCTGCAGCTCATCTATGAAAAACTTCCAAACGATATCTCGGAGAGGCACGTCCTGTTGTTGGATCCTATCCTCGGCACAGGTAATTGACCTGCCTTCTTCATCACAGAAACCACTTTATTTTCTCTTAGTTCTTGCTCTGATGCACACGGTTAGTCAAATTTTACACCTTTTGAGTCCCTGATGAGCAAAAGATGGTTCATTACAACAATTAAATTTAACATCTTTTTCAGGAAACTCAGCAGTTCAAGCTATCAATCTCCTTATTAGCAAGGGTGTACCCGAGGGTAACATCGTATTTCTAAACCTCATCTCGGTAAGCTAACACACACCCTTCGCATATCATCTATAGTTCTATACCCTCCTTGTGGTTACTCCTTATCCATGTTTTGTCCATAAGAATGCAGATGGATTGAGATATTTTATGTTCTCTTTGTTTTAACCAGGCACCTCAGGGTGTTCATGTGGTCTGCAAGAAATTCCCAAGACTAAAGATTGTGACATCTGAAATCGAAGATGGGTTAAACGAAGAGTTTCGTGTTATTCCTGGAATGGGCGAGTTTGGGGACCGATATTTTGGCACAGACAACGATTAGGACAGTGTGGTCCTGCAGCATTAGTTGTCCCTTCCATGGCCTGCAATGCAGTTTATCTATGCAATCACCATCTATCCGCTACAACACAACGGCTACACAAACTATCAAATGAATCGCCTTTAATGTTGGTTTTCCCATCTAAACCTCCTCAAGATCTTGGGAACAGTTTTGATTTACTTTTGAATGCCCAAGTAAGGGGTTGATCGAACCCGGGACTCGGTACTCTGAAACTTGTGTACCATAACAATATATAAATTATCCTTGGAACACACTTGATACTCCATCTGCAACTCCTGTGTACCATAGATAAATATCTTTGGAACTCCACATTGATACTCCATAACTATATTACATCATTTGGCTTCAATGTTCAGAAATATCTCTTTTGTGGATGCACACACGTGTGGTTCAAGTGTGTGAGAGAGGTACTATACAAATGACTCTGCTTTTGTTTTGTACCTATGTCTTTCTCTTCTCCACATATCCAAGACTTTGGGGATAAAGCTGGGATCATTGGCTGCCATTTGGTAGTAGAAGCAATGCTTTATCCGAGGTTGATAAATTTCCTCGGGCTCTCCTTCTGACACGTATGTCAGAATTCTAACAGTATATTCCTCGTAGATATTACCTATATAAGTCAAAAGTTGCAGGTACTTAAGGCTTTGTCTTGGCGTCCTCGTCCTCTTCAGCAAGAACACGTCTCTCTTGCACTCCAAAAAGCAACCATGTCTGCTTTTGTTGGCAAATACGCAGGTACGTAACACTTAACATGCACCAACTCTTTGTGTTTCCAGTGTCTACAGCTTCTCTCTTATGTGCTTTCTGAGTTCAGATGAGCTGATCAAGACGGCCAAATACATTGCAACACCGGGAAAGGGCATTTTGGCGGCAGACGAGAGCACAGGAACCATCGGGAAACGATTCTCCAGCATCAATGTTGAGAACATTGAGTCCAACCGCCAAGCTCTCCGTGAGCTCCTCTTCACTTCCCCAGGCGCTCTCCCTTGCCTCTCCGGTGTTATCCTCTTCGAGGAAACTCTCTACCAGAAAACCTCTGATGGCAAACCCTTTGTGGACTTCCTCCTGGTCCGTCCCTGAAAAACAGAACTCCAGCTCTAGTCTTGATCATTGGGATCAAGACTCAAATGAAACTTACGGTTTCAATTCGGATGATTCTGATTCTTTTTTTTTCTGTATCAGGAGAATGGAGTTATCCCCGGGATCAAAGTGGACAAGGGTGTGGTTGAGCTAGCAGGGACCAACGGTGAGACCACTACGCAGGGTCTAGACTCGCTTGGTGCACGTTGCCAGGAGTATTACAAGGCAGGAGCCAGGTTTGCCAAATGGCGTGCAGTCCTTAAGATTGGGCCCACCGAGCCGAGCGAGCTCTCGATCCAAGAGAACGCCAAGGGGCTAGCCCGCTATGCCATCATCTGCCAGGAGAATGGACTGGTCCCAATCGTTGAGCCAGAGATACTGACTGACGGGAGCCATGACATCAAGAAATGTGCGGCGGTGACTGAGACGGTTCTTGCTGCCGTGTACAAGGCCTTGAACGATCACCACGTCCTCCTCGAAGGCACTTTGCTTAAACCTAACATGGTCACTCCCGGCTCCGACAGCGCAAAGGTAACGGATAATCCGGTTTGGTTTTTGGTTCAGATTTTCCAAGTTCTCAGTTTTATTGGTTTTCGTAAATCTTAAACCAAATAAAGTGATATCGGTTTGATGCAATTATGGTTTCGTTCGGTTTGTGTTAAATTCGCTTTTATATAAAAGTATATAACAAAATTGTATTTAATTTAATTAATTTAACATAGAATAATAAGAGCATTCAACCTGAAACTCTCACTTGAATCAGAGAAAGTATGTTTTAACTAAAATTTTGGTTTATTTAGTTTGGTTCGGTGACACTAGTTTCGGTTTCGGTTTTAGTTTTTGTCTTTTTGAAATAACAAACCAATCAAATGAGTGCCAGAGAAGATATCATAAATCTTAACTACGAATTTAAGTTTTAACTCGCTAACAAAAACCATAAGTTATTCTTCTAACAGGTTACATCAGATGTGATCGCGGAACACACGGTGACTGCTCTCCGGCGCACGGTCCCAGCAGCGGTTCCAGGAATAGTGTTCCTCTCAGGCGGACAGAGCGAAGAGGAAGCGACGCAAAATCTGAACGCAATGAACAAGCTCGATGTGTTAAAGCCATGGACGCTCACTTTCTCCTTCGGCCGAGCCCTTCAGCAAAGCACCCTCAAGGCTTGGGCCGGTAAGACCGAGAACGTAGCCAAAGCTCAGGCCACGTTCCTGACCAGGTGCAAGGCTAACTCGGATGCTACCCTCGGGAAATACACCGGTGGGGCTTCCGGTGACTCTGCCGCCTCCGAGAGCTTGTTTGTGAAAGGATACAAGTACTAGGACCGTTTGAAAACAGGCGTCGCGTTTTATGCGGTTTGAGTATATATATATATATATGATGTTTCTTGGGCGTTTAACTGCTTAAATGTTTTTCGATTTGGTTTAGCGTTTGACCAAACTATGTTATGTTCTTATGCTGTGCCTGCCCTCTCTCTCCCTCTCTCTCCCTCTCCCTGTTTAAAGGTTTGTGTCATGGTTTCTTTCAAGTTTTCGCGCCATAACATAACCGTTAATTTGGTTCAAAAAGTTCGGTAATATCCCCTCAGTGGGCCCAACAAGGGGAGTCTATCTTCTTCTTCACAAACAGATAGAGTTACTTTCCAAGGGATATACATTTTACTTGCATAATGCAAGTTGCATTATTAACATTAATTTTAAAATTTTGTTTCGAAAACTGAGGGTCATACGAATTGCTAATAGAATATAGACTAATTAATATGGCCATGGATTAGGGCTTCAACATGATTTTATAATGTGAACACAATTGATGAAACCTTAAAATTAAGACGCATAAAATTAATGTTAATAATCGTACAAAACAAAACAAAATGGTGTTATTTTGGCTGGAAAGTGATTGTTATTGAGACAGCACATGCTCATGTGATGAGAGGGTGGCGCAAGGGTCCACGTGATCCACTCGCTTCTGTCTTAAGCCACTCTTCTTCTTCTTCACAATTTCACAAATCGTTATAATTAACAAACAAACAACGACAAAAACAAAATGAAATACGAATCTTTCTCGTAAGTAACTCCAAATACTTCCTTGCCAATAGTTTTTTTTTTTTCTTCTTCTGTAATACCAAATTTATCATTCTTTACTTCCCTCTTCCCTTTCCAAATTTCCTTCATTAAAATATATTTGATCTAGTTGTATGTTAATATAAATCTGAACATGCATACAAGACAATATTAACAAAACGATAACATCTCCGTATAATGTTCCCTAACCACCGCAATTAACATGGAACAGTTCCAATATATAAATGAAAGAAAATTGTAATGATATTATGCTTTACAAAAATATTAAAATGGTAGCTCACAAATCACTGCAATCAACAAGGAATATCGAAGATCTGGAGAGTATGCGTCTATATACACATGAATATCACGGCACGTCGTATTTAATTTGAAACATACACAACTTATTGCTCAAACTACTCCCAATCTAACTAGTTTATTAGGAAAAAAGACACTTATGTCTGTTGCAATCGTCACATGTACTTGTCAATGGCTCGTCAGATACACAAAAATTGTGGACCAAAAACTCGAGATTTTTTTGATGATAACTATGATATTTATTTATATTTATCCACATATAATAGATGATTTGATCCAAAAATATACTTAAATGTGCTGTATACAGATAGTATTGCTTAATGATTATCCAAAAATAGTCAAATCGGTTTTGGCGAAAACAGAAAATAACAGGCAACTAATTAGAAGAATAAAGATTACATATGTCTTAACCAAAAAAAAAAAAAAAAAGCTGAGGGAAAATAGATTACATAAGGTCTTAACTTGTTTTATTTTGATTAGAGTAGCTTTTATTTAGTTTGTTATCCTCAATTTGATTATACAAGAACTTTGAACAAACTCATAGCACAAACAAAAATATATTCACACAACTTTGTAAAAATGACATACAATTCACGCTTTGATCACCACTACATTTCTTTTTGTTTCTAAACGGAATCATCCGAGAACGTAAATGAACAATTAGACGAACCGTGAGAAATAATAATTTTCTCGTGCGATATCAATTGTGGCTCTTTGCTTCCGCAGCTACCACTTTTTATCTTATCAGTCTCCGATCGTCCAACATCAATATGCCTTATCTCTGTGAGCATTGCCACAACATCTTTCATCAGAGGCCTTTCACTTGCCTTGTTGCTCACGCATAGGAACGCTACCGCAAGAGTTTGAAGCATCTCATGCATAACCGGGTCAGTCCGTCCATCTAGTCTCGGGTCGAGAAGCTTGCTCGGATCCTTTTTCTCGGCCAAATGATCTCTCACCCACTTAACCAAATGTGCACCTCCGGGTAGATTCGGATCTAACGGATGCTTTCCGGTTAAAACCTCTAATAATAACACTCCGTAACTATATACGTCGCTATTCTCGGTTATATGTTGCATCGAAGCATGTTCTGTCCAAAAAAATCAAACAAAACATATTAAAAACGATGATAAACCAAACTAGGTAAGAGTACTAAAGTTATTCAAGCTTACCCGGAGCCATGTAACCGTATGAACCAGCTAAAGGAGGCCGATTGCTTGGTTTAGTTAACTCAATTCCGGTATTTGGATTACCGGAGACGGTTCTTGCTAAACCGAAATCGGCTAAGTATGGTTCGAATTGAGGACCCAATAACACATTCATAGCTTTAACGTCACCGTGTATAATAGCGGGGAGACAATCGTGGTGGAGATAAGCCAGCGCGTGGGCCACACCTAGGACGACGTCGTATCGGGCCTCCCAATCAACTCTTCCTCCTTTACCAGCGCCGTGAAGCCGAGAGCTCAGGCTTCCGTTGGGGAGATAATCGTAGAAAAGGAGTTTCAGATTCCGGTTCGAGCACCAACCGAGAAGACGAACGATGTTCCTGTGGCGAATCGATCCCAGAGTGTTGATCTCTGAGTTAAACGCACCGCTTTGTTCCCTCGCCCACATCTTCTTCACCGCCAGGGTCTCGCCCGACGGAATCGTTATACGGTAAACTATGCCGGAGCTTCCGGTTCCGATCACGTTTGCCGACGTCAGATTCTTCACGACGTCGTCGATCGAGAAATCGAGTTTTTGGTAAAGCGTCACCTCCCAGGAATCTATTTCTTCCTCGATGAGTCGTTTTTCGGCGACTCGTGCCCTGACCAGAGTGTAAACCGCCAGGAGCACAAGGACGGCGGTGACGGCGATGAGGATAGAAATGCCTAATTTAACAGCGGAATTGTTCCGGTTTGAGGATCCTATACCGTCGGGTCGGGTCGAGATCCCGTTGGAGATGTAAAGCCCTTTGTTTGAGGCGAGATCGGAGAGTGGGAGTCTCCGGAAGAAGGGCGTGTTGGGCAATTCGCCGGAGAAATCGTTGAAGGAGACGTTGAGGGAGACGAGGTTCTGCATATCCGATAAGACGATTAAGTTTCCCGTGAGTCGGTTGTGAGAGATGTCGAGCACTCCTAGGTTTTTCAAATCGGAGAATCTCGACGGGATTTCTCCGACGAACCCATTGCAGCTGAGATTAAGAGATATTGCTAGAGACGGGATTCGACCCAATTCCCCTGGGATTTCTCCGGTGAAGGCATTGTCGCCAAGATCGAGGAGCTGTAGGCCTTGGCAGGTGGAGATTTGTCTAGGGATTTCACCGGAGAATTGATTCTTCGCGAGATTGAGCTTCGTGAGCTCGGTTAACAATCCGATTGCCGGAGGTAGAGGACCGGACAGAGAATTATCAGAGAAATCGATGAACTTCAAACTCTTGGGGAGTGCACCTACCAATGAACCGGAGAGACTGTTTGAGTGAAGATCCAAGAACTCGAGGCTTTCACAACCAGCGATCGCCGGAGAGATTGTTCCGACGAGACGGTTTTCGCTTAAATCTACAAAGTTCAGATTTTTCAGGTTCCCAATTTCCGTCGGAATACTCCCGGCAAGTCTGTTTCCGTTGAGCCTCAGCCGGTAGAGATTCGTACAGTTACCAATATCCGGCGGTATGAATCCGGACAAATCGTTGGAGAGAAGAAGAAGTTTGGTGAGGTTTCGTAACTCAAAGATCTCTTTTGGGATGGAACCAGAGAGACTGTTGTAAGAGAGATCGATGGCTTGAAGCTCTTCACACTCCGAGAGACTCTCGGGGATGTTTCCGGTTAACTTGTTCTGCCACGCGAAGAACATCGCTAAGCTTCTAAGGTTACCCATTAATGGCGGAATCTCGCCGGTGATGAGGTTATTGTCGATCTCTAAATGCGTAAGCTTCGTGCAATTCGCTAGCTCTCCAGGGATCGTTCCCGATATCTGGTTTACGCTCAGCTGAAGCTCCTGCAGATTCATGAGGTTCCCGAAGCTCCTCGGTATGTTTCCGGTGAGGAGATTTTCAGACAAATCGATAAGCCAGAGCTCCGGGCAGTTCCCTAGCTCGGTCGGGATTTTGCCGACGAGATTATTCTCCCATAAGAGTAAGCTCTGCAGCTTCTTTAGTCCTCCAATGGTCGCAGGGATCGATCCGGAGATGGAATTCTGGTACAAGTACAGGTTCTGGAGCTCCGTACAGTATCCAATCTCATCCGGAATCGGACCAGACAACAGTGACGTATAAATTGCTATTGTCTGAACGCGTTTCAGTTTACCAATCGACGCTGGGATTCTCCCGGAGAGACTAGTCTCGGCAAGACCCAGCATAATCAGATTCTCGCAATTGCCTATCTCCCAAGGAATCTCACCTCTTAGATTCTTGTTCCCACCGGCACGGATGATTTCTAGATTCTTAAGCTCTCCGATACTCCTCGGGATCTCTCCGGATAGCTTGTTGTCGAAAAGCATGAGCACGACGAGGCCCGAAAGGTTCCCTATCTCCGTCGGAATCACACCTTCGAGATTGTTCGTGTTCAGAGACAGAGTCTCGAGTTTCTTGAGCCTGAAGATTTCCACCGGGATTTCGCCGGAGAGAGAATTATCCGATAAATCGAGTACTCTGAGCTCAGTAAAGTCTCCAATCTCCTTGGGGATTAATCCGGTGAGATTGAGTGAAGATAAAGTGAGGGAAGTAAGAGACTTGAGGTTCCGGAGAATCGTCACCGGCGGCGAGCCTTGCAAGTCGAAGCCTTTGAGTTGTATCTCGGAAACTTGTCCTTTCTGGTTACATTTTACGCCGACCCAATTGCAGGGAGATGAGTCGGCGACGTTCCAGGAGGCGAGAGCGTCGCCGGAGATGTTCAACTGGGACTTCCATGAGAAGAGAGCTTGACCCTGTTCGTCGAGAGAGAAGCAGTGGATAAAGAAGAAACAGAGCAGGAATGGGAAGAAGGAGAGTCTAGAGAGATATGGTGGCATCGGAGAAGACGAAGATGAGTAAGAAGGAGAGAAGTGCGTTGGGATTGTAAAGCGAAGAACCCCATGGATTTTGGTTTTTCTTTGTTTATGGGAAATATAAATAAAACACAGAGCAGAGAGAGAGAGAGAGAAGTAGCAAAGGAAGATTTGGATCCCAAAAAGTGCTTCTAACTCTTACCCTTACTAGTAGTATTATTTTAATATTTTCTTTTCTTTTTACATAAAAAACTAATTTATTAAACTCAAAATTTTTAAAAGCTAGCAAAGGCTCAAGGCTCTCTAGTAATTTTTTGTATTTTTTTCCGAGTTTTTTAATATCTCTAAAATACAAACACACTAAAATCCATTAATTAGAGAGCATCGTGTGATGGATATAACATGTGAACGAGAGAGTGTTCTCCACTTCGATAAAAAAAAAGTCAGAACTTTGCTTTTAGAATAATGTTATACAATATGATCTTGCACGACATAAATAATTGACCAAGTTATTAAGAAATATATAATTTGTATATAAATTGACGATAAGAAGAAAAAATCGACAAATATTTTCTAATTATTTGCGTTTATTGTGAAATGAGATAAATGAACTTTAAAGAAATTAATGATTTACTATGTGAAGACATATGTGGATTTAAAATGGTTGCAATATAGTTATTGTTCAATGTGGCCAGTTTAACCGTTATCAAGCAGTACTGTCTTCAAAACATTGGATGGCAAATTAAACTGATGTAATGTAAGAAAGTAAAAAACTAGTTACTTAAATATAATTATTTAATCAATCATCTAAATTATATACATACTATTTTGAAATAAACACGAGCAAATATTATGGGCGATGGTGCTCCCCGGCTGCACCGTTCACCGCGAAGAAAAACTATCTCGTGGAACTTAGAAGCGGCACGATGGACTTTATTATGCTTTTGGGGTTTGTTTAATAATGTGATAAATTGTTAACGTATCCTAAACACATGACGCACCGCGCGAACATTTTCACCACTAAAATCCACGATATATATAGTACGTAATAGCATTTAAAAAGTGTTAATTCTCATATATATTAAGAACTGAAGCATTCAAATCTCTTAAACTACTCAATGTCGACATTATGCTGTGTAACTGATAACAACAAACCCCATGCATTTGCATTAGAAAAATTACTATATGTTCTATGTATAGTGGATTTCGTTTTCATTTCGAGAGGAATTCAGAAGTGTGGGTAAATAGTGGTTACATGAAAACAACGATAATGTTATTAACGTGAAAGAAAAAAGAAAAAATATAGATCATCTTCTTTGGGTCTCTGTAATATAAACTAAGTAATACATGGAATCTTGAAGAAGAGTGAAACTGCACATGCAAGCTAGGAATTTTTGTGAAAGATTAAAGAAATAATTAGATTACAACCCTGTCCCTCTTGCTCATCTTGTCGGTCATTTTATATATATATAAAGTATATCGACCCGTTCCAGTTCCAATAGATCCGTCTTTATTGGTATGGCTATGATATTAATAATTGATTTATTTTCCAAAACTGATATAATAAAATTAAAACTTATACATATAACAAATGATTTTAAATTTAACGGGTCAAGCAATTATATATGTAAGATCAAACACTGCAACGTAAGGCACATGACATAGAGAGGTCATGTGCATGTATATTTTATATACAGTACGTACCGGAAGATATTAAGTGGGAGAGAGTTTCAATTCGACTAGATGCCACTTGAATTTTGTATATGTATTTCTCAAGCAGCCGGTCCACATATTTTTCATATCTAAAAGAAATAATTGATGATATACGTATTAATGATCCAACATACATAATATATTTTAGAAAATTAATACAGTTTGGTATAGAAACATAATATGTTTTCTTTTTAAATCATAAAAATGAATTTTATCTACAAACAAATTATGGATATCCGATATCCTGTCGTTTGTAAATTGTACGGTTTACCTCATGATATAACCCAAAGTTATATGAATGTGTGATTGGACTGAGTAAAATCTATAAGAAAAAAAAAACAGCAAATATTTTGATAAAGAAAGAAATAAATGGTCCCTGAGAGAAAAAAAAATAAGGGGAAAGAACAAAAACCAACAAACAAGAAGGAAGTAAAGAGAACAAAAGTTTAGGGAGAGAAAAGACAAGCACTCCAACTGTACTTCTGCCAAATCAGTGAAACATTTCTTTCACAAATCTTATGATTATCGGTATTAATGGTCCCTATTTGTTGGGTGACAAGACCCTTTACATCCAAACATTACTCCTAAATTCTCTACAACAATAACTATAAATATACACTGTATATAGCCAGCCTCATCATTAAATGATACGATTACATTTATTTGTGCTAGCTCAATTCTCATTTTTTCGATATCTCTATCGTGTACATTGTCAAAATTTACCAAAGCTAATAACGATCTCATTCACCAATCAGTCTATCTGCTCAGTTGAGTGGAGATCATTATGGTCTATCTACTCAGTTGATTGAAATTTTACCACAACTTATGTTTCTTCGACCAATCATTACGTCACTCCAGTCAAAGTAGTTTCCTTAATTTCTTTTCACTAATTTTCTTTTTTTTTTTTGACTCGTAAGACCATTTCCCAATTGTATCTTGCATAAATCAACTGATGCCAAGATTTTCATGATTTTGCATTTTTGCTTACCATACAATCAAATGTTTGGGTATCATATTTTGAAAGAAAAACACTACAAGAGAGCAAATCTTATTAATAATTGTGCTTATTAATAGTTAACATTTACAAATACTAACATTATTTGTGACCTAAAGTTCAACATAAGTTCCACAATTATGATGACTCTCAAAACTTTGGTCTATGGGATTCTTAAATAATCGCCAAATATAATGATTTTTTTTTTGTCCTAAAAGCACACATGTTATGATGAGTTTCCATTCTACTTTTATGTTTTTATATGCAACTTCAGCTCATACAATCTTTTTGATCATCCGTGGTATCTTAATGAAAACGATTTCAGTATATTATTTTAGGGTCTTTGATTGTTTTTATTAATAGTTACATATAAATATTGACATTATAATTAGTAATCTAAAATCCAACATAAGATTGACAATTATTCATACCATAAGTTTAGATACTAAATATTGACAAAATAAATAAAGTCTTAAATACATACAATTCATACTAAATCTTAGATACTAGATTCTGTCCGTTCCAGTTACTTACTCTCCTCCGCCAAGTGATGATCCAATCTGTTTATGGAGTCATATGAGTGATCTTCGCTGGAATCACAGTATCCTATACGATAGACATGTGGTGTATCAAGTTCGAGGAATATGCTGATCACTGATATGATTTCTTTTTTTTTTCTTTTATTGAATATTAAAATTGTCTTTTTTTTGTTTGACGGCGAACATTAGTATTATCTATTCAATTGATATTCCTCAATGTATAACTCACTATTTATAAAAAAAATGCAATATGGTTTGCTTCCCTCACACGACTTACAAAACATTGGTTCAATATAAAATTTCACGCAGTTCTCAAAAAAAAAATATATGAAATTTCACACTAAAACAGTATATGAAAGTAGTCTACAGGTAAATCTGATGACGAGGATCACGATACTACATATAAGTGTAATTATATTAAGAAAAGCTTCAATGCGGATAATAGATGAAGACAATGTAACAAGATCTAGATCTAATCACGATTCTATTAGGTCAGATCAGATCTCATCGCATGTACATAAAAGATTAAGCTCTGTTAAGTGGCTTGTTCAGATTTAAGTGAGTGAGAGAATTATAATAAAGAGTGTTGGGACTTGGATCAAACCTAGATATGATGGGTTAATTATTATTTTTATTACATAAGGTTTTGTCTGTATACTTCTCAATTTTATTTAACTAATTTTTGTTTTCTAATACAAAATGGTCCTTTGTGGGGGGTATTCAGCGGCAGAATCAGTCCAAGAATGCAATGGCAGTACTGCAGAAGTGTGAAAAGAATTGGGATATTTCATCAAAAATATTTATCTCATGATCCAATGAATATAAATTTAACATGCTATATAGAGATTTAAGACCATTTTGATATTTACTGTAGTAATTACTTATCATGCTTTCTGCATAATTTAAAACAGACAATTACAATACTTTTACAGTGTTTTTTTTTGTATAAAAGAAGACTTTTACAGTGTTTTACTTAATCTTTCAGCTTCTCCAACTTTCCGCTAGAAAATTCTCCTTTCTTCCTTTCTTTTAGTTTTTTGCCTAACAATGAAATTTTAGTAAGAGATTTCAGCCTTTTAAAAGCCCTTTTAAAAAAATAATATACAACCATGGATTTCTTAGATAGAGAAAGCGAAAGCAATATGTTTCAGTACTAACATTTGTGCAGATTAAAACAATAATCTTATGTCTTTTTAAAGTAACATTGCTTAGTGGAGAAGATGGGCTTTTGCTTTCAACTAATATCCCTCTCTCAAAAGCTTTAGATTAATGAAACTAAAGGGTCATTATTGATGTTTAAATTACAATTATCAAAAATAACAGTGTTCAAATAATATCGCAAACCTTCTGATATAAGTAATACAAACAAATACGTGTAGTGTAAGGTGTAGATTAGAGGTCAAATGTTCCTGCTCCATTGTTTCCGTATTTTCAGGAATTGGGTTTCCCGCTCACTAAACATTATACCCCAGCATATAAACAAATTGTACATCAAGAATTATACTATTACTTTCTTACCACTCCACCATGATTATGATTGATAGAAAAAACAACTTATATCATAATGGTTCAAACATAAGTATTATTTTGTGCTTAAAAACTATATACTAAAATATTAGTTGTGTTCACATTCTGATATTTTCAACATTTTAATATTTTTTGGAAAACGTATTTAGAATTTATCAACGAAAGTTCGCAACATGAAGCGAAATTCAAATGTATAATTTGTTTGATATAAATATATATATTATTTTCATTTGAAAAGAAATATACCAAGACCTAACTATTCATCTTTGCTATACTTTACTAAAGATGGTTGCTAAACACACTACTTTTGACTGATGGTCCCATAACCCATTAATTGTAAAGGGCCAAACAATCTTTTATTGGGCTCAGCAGTAATAAACAACAACAAAATACACCAAAGACTTGATGAATTGTGAGGAACATAGGAAAAAAAGAAAAAAAAAAGAGAGAAACCATTAGTAATAGACTATAGTAAAGTAAGCATACTACAGAAAGAGAAGGAAAATTGGAAAAATAAGCAATAACCTTCGTTCTGGAAATTCTAGCTAAAATGTTTTCGTAAACTAATCAATCAAACAGTTCAACACAACTCTTCTTGTGAATTGGGAAATTTGGTTAGCCAATTTTCTTGGTTTTGTGAATTATTGTTAAATGATTTTGTGAAATCGCCTGCAACTAAAGCAAAAAGGATTAAGATAATGATAGCAACACTTGGGTTCTTCCTTCAAACATCTCCTTCAAGATCATTTTTGTCTTTTCGAACATTTTCATCAAATCTATATGTTAAAAGAGAATACGAAAAAGGCTCAGACATCTTTCTTTATACACCAGATAAGTAAACTTTTGTTCTTTCTCCCAGATTGGCCGCGAAAGCTCATCTCCCGAACACTCTTAACACAGATGAAGTAAGAGCAGAACTTAAGAACTTCATGCCAGATGATCCACCAGGGAAGTAGGATATACAGTAGTAAACCAAAGCAAGAACCTGTCCATTAGCACAAAGAAACAGATGCCGGAAATTATGAGATTCAGTAGAATGTACGGTTTTATCAAGCACAAGTTCATAAACAGATATCTTTTTTCTACAGTCCAATGAACCAGATAAGCAAACGCCAGTTACGCCACCCGTTCGAGAGAGTCGATGTTTGTTGCTAAAATGTGGAGGAGATTCATGAGATTCCATCTCAAGACCGATTTGGCAACGAGGAGAGTTACTATATGATCCTAAATACCTTGATGAGGTCCAATTTTTCAACTTGCTCATACGTAGAAACCCTCATTTTGAGAAACATTTAGCCTAAAATCTATTACGGGTTGGAAGATGAAGTACCTGTAACACAGAGAAGAGCACCGAGAGAATGTAGCTGTGGAGAACCATCGATACGTATATGGTACCAACCATGGTGGCAATGAAACCTAGGGTTAAAGGGAGCCTCTGGAGAAGTAGACAGAAAGTTAGAAAGAGAGAAGGAAAAATCACTCTTTTGGCTACAAGGCACGACACATTTGATAAACAATGTAGCGTACTACCTCCATCGATGACATGTGTGCGAGCTGATTTTGTGGGCCGCGGAGTGCGAAGAATGATCCGATGATAAAACCACATCCAAGGGTGAAACAAATGGCGAACTTCTGTGGCATAAGCACCATGACCGGAAGAAACATTGTGAAGGCGATGAAGATGAAGAAGACACCACTTGCGAGAAGTAAGCCGAAATACATCAGCGCTTTCCCTGAAGGCATACTGCTGGTTGCTGACTGCAGGTTCCCCGGAATATCTCTAACTCCCTTTGAAACCCTGCCGTCGTTACACGTTGCAAAATCAAACAAAGGAACAACAATTTCATAAGCGAAAACAAAAGATAGATTATAGAACAATTTCCAAAAAAAAAACTGCTTATCCGAAGCTAAACACAAATCCTTCACAAAGTATAACACGTAGCATAACAGAAGTTTACAGGTCCATTAGAGTGCATAATGAAACGAAATGCAGCTAAATATCAGCTACGGATCAAGCAAATACATCAACCTAAAGGTCTAAGGAGATATAAGAATCTGAAAATTAATAGACAAGAACATCTTTTCAGCAAATCAGAATGAAAATCATCCAGAAGAGAGCTTGTTCATGTTGAAAACTCACAACTACAACCAAAAATTGCTTTGATGGGAGAGAGTGATGAACACACAACTACACAACTGGATCCATGAACTCGCATGTAAATAATTGATCAGACCTATTCACTAACTATAAATCCATTGGTATGCAATGCTCATAAAACCATCTCCACAATCAATCTCAATTGCTCAGATTCACTAAAAACCCCACTTGTCAGTAACCACCAAAATCCTCATCTTCTCCGATTCAGGCACGAAATCAAACACCCCGAGGTGAATAATTGCATTGTACAATTCCGGATTTCGGGAAAGAGATCGATGACTTACACACTGAAGGTGCCCGAAACAGTGTCGTTGGCAGATCTAACGGCGGATTCGATATCGAACCCGAAGCTTCCACCACCTTCCTCGACATCTCTCGCGGCTGCGTAAGAATTCCAGTCCGCGAGCAGAGACGAACCCTTTTGCTGCTGCTCCTGCTGCTGATCTCCGCTGCTACTCCCGCTCATCGAAAACCATCCTTGCGCCATTTTCTCCATATCTTTTTTCAGCTTGATTTCAATAAGTTTCAATGGATGCAAACAGGGTGATGCCAGAACGCCGGTGATCGCAGTTTTTTTGGTGGACGTTAAGGTTTCGGTAAATGCCGCAGCAAAAGGAAATTTCGGGAAGAATAAGAGAATCGATGCTGTAACGCCGATCGGTGTGAAATGTTTGTCTTGAACGGTGTCGTTTTTTTTTTTATTTATTTTTCCATACGAGTTAATTGGTTCCTTTCTCTCTAATTATAGGTTTAACAAATTACTCCCAAGTAAATTCACCATCAACCAACTAAGCATTTTAATCAAAGTTTTAGCAGAAAAAGATTACTCATGAGATAGTTGGTTTTGGTTGTATGCAGTATGTTTTACAGATTTACAATATAAAATTAAACAAACAGAGCCAAATACTTCATTGACATTGTCCGAAGAAGAAGATCATAATACTTTCAAGAGCTGGACCTCAAAGACCAGAGGCTCATTCGCGTGCGATAGAAGGCTGCGTCGTGGTCCAAACTGCATCCACAAACACACATGTCAGATGGTTTTCGAGACATGCGCATATGTATCAACTTTCATTCTTCTTAGGGAGGAATAAATTAAGAGTAAGATCTGGGTACCTCCTCGGGCATTGGCTTCAATTTCTCGTTTATGTACCCTACTGATGGAGGTATCAGTGCTCTACGCTTCCCTGGATCCATAAATTGAGTAATTAGAAACAGGAGATTCATCTAAAGACGTTGTTGTTTCATGGTTTTACCTCCAGCTTTCATTCCCAACAAGACTTCCTTCAAGCCCTCAATGACCTGTCGTGCCAAGCAGTTTGTTAGTACGGGCTATGCTTGGATCGCTATGTTACACGTAAAGTCGAGTGCGAGATCTAATTACGTCATTGTCGTCAAGAAAAAGTTTGACAGGAGCGCTTTCGCCACTGAATTGGTCCACAGTGCTGAATCAAGAAGCGATGAGAGTTAGAAAAAAAGAGGCATCAAGCTTTGAGTGAAAAAAACTAATCAAAGGTATTTGAAGTTTGGCATGGACTCTCTCACCTATGAACGAAATATCCATTTGCACGTCGACATACATAGTTTAGCTCAACCAGATCCCCTTCACGAGCCTCTCGTCCTTCCCCTTCAATAATCTCTGAAAATCAAAAATTTCCATGAGTACCAAATTAAAACTGCCTTACATAATTTAATACGAGTATTCATTCCAAGCCTTTGGATGTTTCTAAGTTAATCATAATTGCTATCAACAGAAAGAAGAACAGACGGGATTCCTGTGAAAGAGAATGTACCTTGAATCCTCACACCACTCGGGAGCTTCAACGTCCTGGACACTTCAATCACCAACCAAAAGGGAAAAACCTAGAATGAGGAACTGGCTCCAAAATACAATCATATTGGAAAAATAAATGTTCACATCTTCCTTATACATGGGGTTCTCAAGCAACAATGACGCACATTGAGAGCAATATATATAGCAGCTTTGCAATTACTTATTTTCTGGTTACCTATAGCTACTTGTGAGAACGTTCACCGAAGAACACAAATCATAAGAACGTTCACCGAAGAACACAAATCATAAGAACGTTCACCGAAGAACACAATTTTGTTGTTTCTACAGATTTTCCTCAATGTTATTCCACAATTTCCATTGACGTACGAACGCATTCTCCACAAGCAAAAATCCAAAATCAAATAGAAACTAGATAGCTAAGAGACGAATCAATTCTACCTGATAACTTCAGGTTCCTTCATTTCAGGGACTGGCGCCGCTAAACCAGGAAAATCCAGAAGCGGCAAGACCGAGCCCAAACCAGCGAGCTGCATAAACATCCTTCTGGGTAGATGTACGGCCGGAATCGAATATGATCCACCACGAGTGATTCCAGAGACGCCGTTCCTAGATTTTCCGACGCTGCTAGTGAAAGTTCAATCTCCAAGCAACATTTCACTCATATCAAAGGGAAAAATGTGTTTACGAGAGTTGAGAATCGAACCTTAGTTTCATGGATGATCCGACGAGAAGTTGAGCAATCCCCATAGCCATATCGCCGTCGTCGTCAATCGTTTTTCTTCTTTCTCTAGATTCTGGATAAGAAGAGGAGGCGCCAGATTTCTTCGGATCTATGGAGCAATCCATCGTTAAGCTTGTGGGCCTGTGGGACCTACACTGCCATAAATCAGGAAATTTCGTTGTGAAAAATTATCACGCGCTCAACTAGCGCTATGAAAACTTTACCTTTTTATTTTTCTTTTTTTCTTTTTGTCCAGTTTTGATGGAAGGATCTAGAAACCCTACGAGTACCCACTATATAAAGATTGTTCCTCTTTCACTAAGCAGCCTCGCTCTTTTCAATCAAGAGATAAACCCTAGATTTCGTTTTTCTTACGTCTATTTCTCGACCTTCCGAAGCGTAAAATCTAACTAGCTCCGGGATCGTGATGTCGGACACCGAAACGTTTGCCTTCCAGGCTGAGATCAATCAGCTTCTCTCCCTTATCATCAATACCTTCTACAGCAACAAGGAGATCTTCCTTCGTGAGCTCATCAGTAACTCTTCCGATGTGCGTTTGTCCCTCTCACTCTTTCTCTTTCGCTCTTAGGTTATATGTTTCGTGTTCTGATTCGTTTTACGTGTAGATCCATTAACGAGGTTAGATGTTTAGAGTGTTCACTACTTGAGGTAGATATGTAAAGAGCTCAAACTATCCTGTAGCGCCTAGTAGTATTTATGATGAGGATTTACGTTACTAATTTGTTGAAATTAAGTTCGATTGTTGAATTTTAGGATTAAGCCTCTTCGATTCTGTTTGCTTTCATTCATCGTCTTCAATCCATCTGGTTGATAGATCTTTTGACTTGATTGGTTGGTTTCATTTTCTGTCGATTGAGATAATTCGAATCTAGATGAATTTGAGATCTCTGGCATCACAATTGGAGGATTGTTTCTTAGCGTGCTGCTATCACTGGATGTGTATTTGTGTTTTACTTGTACCTCGGAAGCTTAATATCAAGCACGAGTATCTGATCTTTTTTTTCTCAATTTTTTTCTGGTGAATAGGCATTGGACAAAATCAGATTCGAGTCATTGACTGACAAGAGCAAGCTCGATGGTCAGCCAGAACTCTTCATTCACATCATCCCGGACAAGAGCAACAACACCTTGACCATCATCGACAGTGGTATTGGGATGACCAAGGCTGGTAAGTATCATTATGAGGACGAACTAGTTCTTAATTGTTTGCTGTTTCTACTGTTTTATCTATAAGCTTATCGTATTTGCTGATGCTTGATTGTTCTTGTGTATAGATTTGGTCAACAACCTGGGTACAATTGCCAGGTCTGGCACCAAGGAATTCATGGAGGCGTTGGCTGCTGGTGCCGATGTCAGCATGATTGGACAGTTTGGTGTTGGTTTCTACTCTGCTTACTTGGTTGCCGAGAAGGTTGTTGTCGTCACTAAGCACAATGATGACGAGCAGTACGTGTGGGAGTCCCAGGCCGGAGGATCCTTCACTGTGACCAGGGACACCTCTGGTGAGGTCCTTGGCAGGGGTACTAAGATGACCCTTTACCTCAAGGAAGACCAGTTGGAGTACCTGGAAGAGCGCCGTCTTAAGGATTTGGTCAAGAAGCACTCTGAGTTCATCAGCTACCCGATTTCTCTTTGGGTTGAGAAGACCATTGAGAAGGAGATCTCAGATGATGAGGAAGAGGAAGAGAAGAAAGACGAGGAAGGAAAGGTTGAGGAAGTAGACGAGGAGAAAGAAAAGGAGGAGAAGAAAAAGAAGAAGATCAAGGAGGTGTCTCACGAATTCGATCTTGTGAACAAGCAGAAGCCTATCTGGATGAGAAAACCCGAGGAGATCAACAAGGAGGAGTACGCTGCCTTCTACAAGAGTCTCAGCAATGACTGGGAGGAACATTTGGCTGTTAAGCACTTCTCTGTGGAAGGACAGCTTGAGTTCAAGGCGGTTCTGTTTGTCCCTAAGAGAGCTCCATTCGACCTCTTTGACACTAAGAAGAAGCCCAACAACATTAAGCTCTACGTCCGTCGTGTCTTCATCATGGACAACTGTGAGGAGATCATTCCTGAATACCTTGGTTTCGTGAAGGGTATTGTCGACTCTGAGGATCTTCCTCTCAACATCTCAAGAGAAACTCTGCAGCAGAACAAGATCCTTAAGGTTATCCGCAAGAACCTTGTGAAGAAGTGCATTGAGCTCTTCTTTGAGATTGCCGAGAATAAGGAGGACTACAACAAGTTCTACGAGGCATTCTCCAAGAACCTCAAGCTCGGAATCCACGAGGACTCTCAGAACAGGACCAAGATTGCTGAGCTGCTCCGTTACCACTCTACCAAGAGCGGAGATGAGTTGACCAGTCTCAAGGACTACGTGACCAGGATGAAAGAGGGACAGAACGACATCTTCTACATCACTGGTGAGAGCAAGAAGGCCGTGGAGAACTCTCCCTTCCTTGAGAAGCTTAAGAAGAAGGGATACGAAGTCCTTTACATGGTTGACGCCATTGATGAGTACGCCATCGGTCAGCTTAAGGAGTTTGAGGGAAAGAAGCTTGTCTCTGCCACCAAGGAGGGTTTGAAACTTGAGGAGACCGAAGACGAGAAGAAAAAGAAGGAAGAACTCAAGGAGAAGTTCGAGGGTCTGTGCAAGGTGATCAAGGATGTCTTGGGAGACAAGGTCGAAAAGGTCATCGTCTCTGACCGTGTTGTTGACTCACCCTGCTGTCTCGTCACCGGCGAGTATGGTTGGACCGCTAACATGGAGAGGATCATGAAGGCTCAAGCCTTGAGAGACAGCAGCATGGCTGGGTACATGTCTAGCAAGAAGACCATGGAAATCAACCCAGAGAACTCGATCATGGATGAGTTGAGGAAGAGAGCTGATGCAGACAAGAACGACAAGTCTGTTAAGGATCTTGTCCTTCTCCTCTTCGAGACTGCTCTTCTCACCTCTGGTTTCAGCCTCGACGAGCCTAACACCTTCGGAAGCAGAATCCACAGGATGCTTAAGCTCGGACTGAGCATCGAGGAGGATGCAGAGGTCGAAGCCGATGCTGACATGCCACCGCTCGAGGATGACGCTGAGGCTGAAGGAAGCAAGATGGAGGAAGTCGACTAAGCGCCAATCCAGAAGTAGAAGTTGAAGCAGGCTCGAGCGACTCTCTCTCTTTCTCTATCATCTGTTTTATTTTTGTTTTTTTGACTAGTTATTATTTTGTGGGTGTTTTTTCTCGGCCTCTTGAACTTGGTTTCTATGACTTATCATGTCTGCAACGAATTAGATTCCTTTGGAATGCTACTAGTTTTGTCGTTCTTTTTTGCATCATATGACGACTGTCGAGCGTACATGTGGCTTATAATTTGCCTCTTGATTAGTTTCTCAGATGTCGCTAGCTAATTTTCATAAACAAAACATTGGCGTTACGATGCGCACAATCAAATGTAAGAGTAAACTTGAAACTTTTCTAATTAAGCGTCTGTTTTTTGAGGTGACTGGTGTGTATCTAGACGAAGTCGTGTACAAACTTTAAACTCTTCTTTTTCTGTGCTTACATGATAATTTTACGAACAAATCATCTTAATTGGTGCTTTATAACTGGCAGAGTAGTGGGATGTCAAAGTTAGCAATGGTCAGAGCACATAAACAGATGCGAGGAGAAAACATAAACCAAATCAGCAACAGAAAAATATAACTTTGTTTATTTTTTCACAGGAAACAACAAAATCGATAAAAATGGAGTACCGAGAGAGTGAAACAAATAAACATGATACATATAACTCAGAAAACAAACACAATAGCCACATTGTCTTCTCTACTATCCTTTTTTTTCTCAGGTATCTTCCACCTGCGAGTGAAACACAAAGCTCGGAAACGTAGTCGTGATATCCCTGCAAAGTAATATAAGAGGTCCGGTTTTAGTAATAAGTGATTCAGAATATTGGCTTAAACCTCTCGGGTAAGTCTTGGTTTAGGAACTCACTTGAGATATTGGAGAGTCATGTTCTTAAGAAGCGAAGGATGCCTAAGAACGAGGATCCTCCACTCTTCCTTGTCGATCCGCCCGTCATGTTTTGTGTCAGCTTCCTCAAATGTCTGCCACAGAAGAAACTCAAGAAATCACTCTTTACTTCTTAAACGAGTTGGGAAAATAGTACAGTGGTACCAGAAAATAGTATCGAGTGGGAAAAAAGCAGACCTTGTCGATTATACTCTCTATGACTTCGTCTGACAGGTTCATGCCGGACTCAGCAAGAGTAGCCACCACCATTTGCTTCACCTGAACAATGATTACAAAATTAGGCACACATGATCTTTAGGGACTGAGAGAGGCTATTGAAGATGTACGATATATAGGAGCTTTACCTCCTGCCTCTCGATGAAACCTTGCTGCTTAAGATCATATAGCTGAAACGAAACTGCAAAATAAAATTCCAGGTAATGATTAATAGGCTCTCATGGATTATATATATAGCATGTGGACATTGGATAACTTGTTATAGATCAGAGACATAGACGTACAGTCAATCTTGTCTTCTATGGGAGCATTTGGATGAAAGACGGAGAGAGCACGGGCAAATTCCTCAAACCCCAGTATTCCATTATGCTTTGTGTCGAACAAATCGAATACCTGTGACTGGGGATGTCAGCATATCTTTAAACAGGATCGTTGGCAAATGTATCACCAAAGACTTATTGGTAGAACAAAAAACATACCCGGTCTGCAAACAAGCTCTCTTTTTTATTTGTCTTGAATAAGGCTAGTTGAAACTCTTCCTGATACAATTACAACAAAGACGAAGGAAAATCAGACGAACTATCCAATAGAAGTAGCCATATGAGTGAAAAAAGACAAAAAAGTCAGTACATACCTTGTTTATCAGCCCATCATCAATCACAGCACTGCTGATTTTCTTAAACAGCTCATAGAGAGCCTCTATTTCACTCACGCTAACTGCATCCAAACCACTCAAACTATCAAAACTCAGAAAAAAGATTCGTACCCCTCTCAACAGAGAGCATCAACAAGAGGTATAGCGTGCCTTTGAATCATATAAGTGAACAAAAACAATGCATGAAAGCTAAAAGAAGATGGAAAAGAAGCAGAGAGCATACAAACTGTCTCTCTCGCAAGTAGTTCAGGGTCTCCAAGGCCTCCAGATTGTTTGTAAATATCGATATCAAAACACCGTAACAGAGAGTTGCATGCATGCTTGAAACCGTCTACGCACTGCGACATGATATCTCTTGTAAATCAAAACTCTCCATACCTGTCATATATAACAAAAAAAATTGTAAGAACTTCCGAAACAGCTTGAAAGAAACTAAAGACAACATGAATACAAACAAGACATGTACCTTTTAACCATTTCCTAGTTCGTAAGAAAGGCAAAACGCTTTGTAGACCTCAAAAATATCTGCCATGGAAAGGGAATGAAAATGGAATGTAGTCAGTTTAATCTTTAGCTCATAAATACCAAGAATATTGCAACACAGATTAAGAAGATTGACACTAGCAAACAAGAATCGTCATTTTCAGATCTGAAGTAAGCTAAGGCCATCATCAGATTCATTTTGCGTAAACAGAAAATAGGCATCTTAACTTTTTTTTTTTGCGTAATCTATGAAGTCCAGATTCATTTCCAGATTAACCAATGTGTTCTTCTCTTGTTAAAACATCACAGTCTTGGAACAATCATAGTTTAAGCAGGAACCCACACCCAAATCTAGGAAACAGCTCAAAAAACTATGTGAGCTAGAAAAAACTAATCCAATATCACGAAACTATTCAGACGAATTCAATCTTCTGGAAAAAAAAAGAATCATGAGGATCGAAACCTGAATCTAGTCACGAAATGAAATATACAAGTGATCAAACCAAGTAGAAACGACGTATATGAGAAAGAGCGATCCAGCTAGTTAGATTCGAAATCGTCGGATTCAGATATAACAACTCAGAGAGACGGGACGAATCTCGTTATATAGCTCGCAAACAGCACAAGGATCTATCAGCTTCCGAAGAAATTCCAGCGAATACAACAATATTGATAATTTAGTTGCTTCATTCTCAATCTCAAATTTTAATTTTTTCCCATCGCGATTTTCCCGGGAAACACACGAGGAATCAACCGACCGCGAAATCGTAGGCAACGGAGAAGAGAATAGAAGAGAAAAAAAAAGCCTTACGCCACGGCCGATGAAGAGCCTTCCTTGCGGCGGCTCCGGCGGTTGAAGCTGACGATGGGTTGCGGTGAAGACGCCCAACAAACAAAACAAAAAACTCTATTGGTTAGTGAGAGAAAACGCAAACACGATTCTGTCTATACGCAGAAATTGCAAAAATTTAAATATGCAAGATATTTTTCCGACAATTAAAAAGACCAGAATTTTTGTTTGTTGGCATTTTTATTGATTTTTTATTAAAGAAGATAATTTTTATTTATTTACTCGATGTTGATACAGTTGTAAAAGGAGTGATTAAAACAGCTTATTACATTCACTTTCACACGTCGTCTAGTGGGGATGCTCTCTGTGTCACAGTTTAACTCTCATATACGACGTCGTATATACTATTTGAGTTGAGTCTGACTGTTGCATGGTTAGTTTGGACTGTTCGTTTCAATTCGGTTTAAATTGTTTTAAGATCTCCCAGAAAGGTATCTGAAAATATGAAATTCTGTCAAATATTATATAACAAATAATCATGAATGAGTAAACTATATTGGTAAACAACACAACGATTATTAATTTTGATTTTTGTACATCTTTATGCTTGTTTTCAGGTATAGTTACGGTTACTGGTGAGCTCCTTTGTACACAAAAAAAAATGAAAAAAAAGAAAAAAGAAAAGAAAATGACACTCACACAAGTAACCGTGTGTGGACGACAACAGAGAAAACAGTAAACGTAAGAAAAAAACAACAAAAGTATGGAACATGGTCAGAAGTTCAATCTTGTGACTCGTGACTCGTGACTCGTGACTCGTTTAGTTGGGGAGATCTTGTTTGCAGAGAGGACAAGACGAGATAATACGAAGCCATTGATCTACGCATTTGAGGTGAAACCTATGCGAACATGGAAGCTTTCTCACTTCTTCTTTATCCTTGTACTTTGCCAAACATATGCAACATTCCTGCAAAAAAATTGCCATCACATCATATCAAAAACTCAAATCAATCTGCAAGCATAGCTGTATGTTAAATTAGTGCATTCCATTTCGAATTCCATCAAACTGGTGGTTTCAATTTCTGACGATGTAACCTGTTTCAAAATTAAGATAAGAGCTTACCGGATCATCAGTTGCTTGAGCGGAATCAGAACCAGAAGTTTCATCAATGAGTTTGTACTTCCAACTAGGGAGACTGGAGATTTGGTCATCTGAAGCTCCTTTGTCGGAAGATCCAATGTTCATGTTGTAGCCGAGGAAGCTGCTAATGAGAGGCACAACACAACAGAGCAGGAGGAAGAGCAAAAATGGGAAGGAGTAGCAGAGAGCGTTCCAAGCGAGCAGTGAGATGCAGAGGACATGGAGGTTTGGAGCATAGTGGAAAGAACCAAACCGAGAATCAAACACCCATACGTTCCCTACCACAAACCATATCGCAAAGAAAAGCTCCAGCGATGTCCTGCACCTGTTCATCAAATGCGAGCACCTGAAACACACACACACACAGAATCTATCATTTGCATTCCAAGTTTTATGATCTTTTGTTCAATCTTGATTCGGGGATTGGAATTCAAAACAAAAAAAAAATTAGATCTTTGCTAGTAACCTGGTCTCTTCTCTGCTTCTCTGTTGCTGCTCGATGTCACCAAAGCTAAATCCATTTCCTTGGCTTTGCTGACGATAGCGACCGTATAATAGCATAAGATTGAGCAGACATCCAACGTTGTAGCCAGTGATCCAGAGCCTCACTGGCCAAATAGGCCGCTCGTTCTTCGACAAAGCCAGTGTGGTTGTTATCACAGTGATCTGTAAAAGTAAAGCGACGAGCTCTGATACCATCCAGGTGACTGAATCGAAAGGATTGGTGCCAAGATCTGATCTTGAGCCGTTCTGGTAATGAAACACTCTTCTCAAGAAAATGAACCACCTTGCTCTAGATACCCTCATGGCTAGTCTCATCAAGAAGGACGATGGAGAGCTATCGCGAGTGTTGAAATCTGAATCTATGTGACGGTTATCATCCCGTGTGGTGGAATCTAGTGAAGAAGATGATGAGACGGTGATGGATGTAATAGCTGATGATTGCAATTGAGTGGAATAACGGGTGCTCATATCGGAATCTTTGAAGCCAAGAAAGAGAGTTTGATTTGATCTCTCTTAGGACCTGAGAAAGACGAATAAAGGATTACCACACCTAGGAAAGTCACGAAAACTCTTGAATTTGCAATTAAAATGTGGATACTTGAGTGAGTCATTTCATCAAATACCTTATCTTCGCTCCGTACTCTGATTATTTTGACATAACCAGAGATGTTTTAGAATTATCAACCTTGAAAAAGAGCGCGAAACATAGGAAAATATTTAAAGGCTACGAACAAACTGATAAGATCCCAGAAAAGAGCTAGTTTTGGTGAGAGCTGTAAAACCCAGATGGAGCACGTTTTGATATATTGAAGAAATTATTAAAAGCAGAGAAGTGATGAAGAAGAAGAAGGAAGGATGGTGTAGGGCTGATGTCAGAGAAGGTGAAGTTGGTGGAGTTGGGATGGCGACGAAGAATCAACCAGAAATGGATTTTTGCTTAGGTTTGAAGAATGAGAAGCCAAGAAGGAGAAGATAACCGTTGGCCTGTAAACCCAACAACCTGAGTTTTTGCCTTTGAAGCAAGCAATACTCCGACAGCAACCGCTGCTTTTAACCGTTTCTCGTTTTTCCCTAAAACTCCCTCTCTCCCTCTCTCCCTCTACGCTAAAAGGCAAACATTTTTGGATTAGAAAATTACTAAACATTAATTTTGTCATTAAACAGCATTCTTAATTATTATTTGTTGAATTTTTTTAAATGCTTAATGCAAGAATCTCTCTCTCATATCAAGTCCTACTTCAGTTGATTGAGTTTATGTTAAAAGCTATGATCTTTTGCTGTTCTTAACTTGCAAGATGCATAGTTAAAAATCTTTAAAATATTCTAAATTATTTTCTACATTGTTTGAGTTCCTTTCTTCTTAAGCTCACACAGAAGTCTCTACACAATATTATTATGATCACCAAACCATTTGGCAGAAGCAGTCACTCATCTGCAGGTCTCTACAGAGCAAAGCTCTTTAGAACACAGGGCAGCCCATGACGACAATCCCTTTCTCTGTCGGGCAATTCGCCAAAGGGCAATGGTCTGAGTTCTCACTCCCCCACCAATTGGGAAAACTTATGTTGTTGTTCTGTAACGCAAAGTAGATCAACACTCCCATGATCGCAGTGCCTGCATCAAGACCTGCAGAGAGTATGTAGTTGTGCCTTGCCCACCATCCCTTGTACCTCTTGAAGATATAGTAGTTGAAGATGACCCCAACAGTGACCCACGACCAGTAATGCACAGCCTTGGCCATTGGCATGGCGCTAGCCGCTGAGAAGATCAAGGGAACATGAACCTGCTTTATCCACTTCTTCTCCGGGAACTTCCTTGCAAAGAACCAGACCGGGACAGGAGCGAGTAAGCCGATGAGGAAGAACCAGTTCATCCCGGGGTAAACGCCTTTGCTTGTGAACATCCTTGCAGGACCGATGACTCCCCAAATGATCGACGCATGGTAGAACAGTTCGTCCCCAGGGCAAGTCCATGGACTACTCTTTGGGAGCTTATCTGCGTTACAGATGTTCTCGACTGTAGAAAGCAGCCACCATGTGGTCCCAAAGTTGACAGCGGAAGCAACAATAGTAGCAACAAGCTGAACAAGGAACATAGATCTCGGAGGAATCTTCATGTAGTGACCAAGTTTGAAGTCTCCAACAAAAGACAAGGCTTGGGACATACTTATGTACCCGTAAGTCTTGAAAGTCACATTGGCAAGTGGCTTTCCCGGGTACAAGTACCCGATGATCAGTTCAGTTATAACGTTAAGACCCATTTGCTGGTTTGTAGTCGCTTGGATGACTCCGATAGGCAAAGTGAAGGTAAAGGCAATGGCACAAGCAAGTAGAAGTGCCCACCATGGAAGCTGAAGCTGTTTGCCAAATCCTTCACATGCGTAAAGAGCTAGCACAAAGGAAACAATGAGAACCGACAGGAACCACCATTGAGGTACTTCCTTGTAGTTCTTCTTCATCAGTCTTGTATGCACATCTCCAAATTTGTCCTTTGTTGCCGAAGTCGCCTTCTTCCACATCCTCCATATAGACCTTCAAGGAGACAAAAATTAGAAATTTGTTATGGAAATTACAGATGACTTGGTCTATATTAATTGAGATAGTACTTACTTTCCGTCAAAGAGGGCGACGTGAGAAATGGTTGCGGTAAGAGTACCGAAGCTGAGTCCATAGATGAGAGCAAACAGAACGCTAAGGTAAAGCTTGCTATAGCTTTCGTAGGCGGCAAGATTGACGTCGAATGTTTTCTGGTTGATGATACGGGTGGTGTTGAAACGCTGACCGGTGTAATCAAATGGACTAGAGGTATAGAGAGGAAACTTCTTTGCCTTGTAAGCGTTGGTCCAGTAGAAAATAGGAAGGATTATATAGAAGAAGATGACGAATCCGGCAAAGCAATTGGCTATAGCGAAGAAGGGTACGGCTAAAGGACTGCCTAAGAAAGCTGCAACTGTGGACCAGTCGAGACCAAACGAGCCAATGCCGAGACCCTTCGTACCTGAACCGATCTGTTGAACCGTCACGGAGCGTTTCCATATCCAGCAGACGAAGGAGAGGGATGAAATGGAAGGGAAAATGTAGCCAGGTATTATGTAGTACGCAAAGCTCGTGAAGAAGACTATTAGGAAGAATCTAAGCCTCGTTTGTTTCCATTCACATTTGTCCTCCTTCTCATGTAAGGCTCTAAGCAATACAAATTTCACAAACAAACATTAACAAATTTGAAATGATTTTGCAAATTTAATTAAAGAGAAAAATACACCAACCTAAAGAGAGAGACTTGAACAAGATTTGACGGCCACCACATGTACGGTGAGTCCACCAAGAATTTCCTGAACATACCGGCCCATCCGTACCCTAACAACTATGTAATACAATACAACAACAAAATGTAACTGTTGATTATTAAATTACTTGTAGGTAACGCTTGCCGAAACATGAGTATATAGATAGAGTTAACGGCCAATTAAAAATCGGCTTTTTTGGTTATTTTAAAAGTCATACCTGAGTGGTTTGCATAAGCAACATGGCGGCGGCGGGATTGAGATCCCGGTGGTAAAATGCTTTAACGATGGTAACAATGCTGGTCGCATAAACTCCTCCGGCACCGGTACTAGCGAATATAGTGATCAACACATGTTCCTTTATGTTGAATGGTCCGGGATTCAACGAACCGGACCAATTAGTACCGGGTAACCGGAATTTTCTCGTCGGTATAGTCGTGACCATGAGCTTTCCTATTGGGAGAGTTACGATCTGAGCCACGACTCCAGATACGATGAGCGGGTTCGATCGGTAACCGAAGAAATTGTTCACGAACGCGAGTACCACGCACGATATCATTCCTAAGAACCATGTACGGAATGTTAAGACCGGTTGAGACGGATCGTCGGTTATCGGTACGGTTAACCGAACTTCTTCTATTGGATTGTCGTTTTCCTCCTCGTCTTCTTCATCTTCTTCACCGCCAAAAAAAAAGTCATTACGTATAGACTTATTATAGTTTACAATAATCTTTAGGATTTGGCTTGTGTTGGAGAAATTATGAATATCCAGAATTGTAGAAATAAAATCAGTTCATATTCTGCCTTAACCGTTGAAATACGGATTATATCAAACCGAACCAAAATTGAAAGAAACAGAACCCATTTTGATTTACCGGCTATGACGATGTTGGATTCAAATTTCTGCTCCGGGGGCTTGGATTCAGTCCCTACGACTTCGAGAGACTTTACCATTTTTCTATCTTCTTCCACAAAAAGTTATCGGAATCTGACGTTGGCTCCGGTGAGGATGGCAGGAGAATGAAAGAACGAGATCCTAAACTTAAAAACCAGCCTGTGTACGTTAATGACTTGACATTAGAAGAAATTTTCTCTGCAGATTTTCAAGGAAAACTCTGTAGTGGCAAAAACACTAAACTTCTATTTTTGAAAAATATTACTAAGAAATGATGGAGTATTAGAGAAAACGTTTTGGAGATTTCTCTATGTAGAATGAGGACGTACGTTGTTTTATTTCAAGATGAATTTGTTTATATACACTTATTGAATTAGTGTATAAAAAAAACAAAATATTTTTTACATAGTAGCTTAAGTAGCAAAAAAAAAAAACTCAAAAAGTTTTAACTTTGAGGTAGTAAGTGAAAACTTTAAATTCAAGTATAAGGGTCGCTAGATTTCTACATGTAGTATCTTACTCAAACAGATACTTTAGCCAAAAGAGTAAACACATACTAAATATAGAAATTATATACTAGCAGTCACTAATTAACTGACCCTAGAGCCTCTAGCATTGATTGAAAAGAAATAAAAATCAGCTCTATAGAAGACAAAGTTCTATATAGTGTAATTATAGAAAGTGTAAAATTCAGAGATTGTACAAACTTTCATTCAAAGTAAAAGTTGGGATAGACAGGGGAAAACAGTAAAATACAAATAGAAATTGAGCATTTCAATAATAAGTACCGGATGTTTACAAAAAACCCCCCAATTTTTTTTTTGAATTGACTATTTTTGGAAGTTAGCTACATATCATATATATCATAAACTCGGTTCAGGTTCGGTGGGAATACTAGCTGGCACCGCTTCATCCATCCCGAGTTTGACTCGGATTCCTCATCACAGTTGTATCATTGTGTTCTTTGTTTTTGGTAAGTAGTATCACTGTTTTTTTTGTTTGGATATTTATCAATATGCATCATCGTTTCCATAATCGATCGGTTATACGATATAACACGCATGTTGCACGTTTCCACTTTTACTCGATTTTCTAATTTTTATAACCAATGTCTCTTTCAATCCCATTTCATTAGACTGTTAGTAAATTTGTACATAACCTACAAAATGATATCATTTCATATACAATATAAAATTTTGTTCAACAATTCAAATGAATTAATACAACCGAGATCTGAATTCACCAGTATAAAACTCGTGTCTCCATTATGTGTTTTCAAAAAAATAGTTTGCATGAACCAGTTAAGATTCATTTGAGATAATTACGTGAACTGAGTTTTCGTTATCAACTTACTCAAAGTATGCCCTGCATAGACACTCTTGTTGTGACCGTCTCTACTCGAAGGAATTAATGCACGAATAATGGCAACCGTCAACCTCTATACACGAACACTAATAATTAGTTGCATACATTCGCGAATTATTTATTAAGGGATTTAGGTCAATATAGTGTTTTAATCACTTTAAAATTTTAACTAGTCAGTGTATATAAGTCACCAGCGGTGAGTTTCGGATCATTCAGAAGGGACCATGAGTTACACGACTCAAGAACTATGGGGAAAACATTTGGATTCAATCATGAAATAAATGTATTTTAAAAAAGTAAATATTTGACGCTCAAATTAGCAATAAAAACCATATAACTGACGAAATTTGGAGCCAAAACTATAAAGATGTGAGGTGTGAGCTACAAAAGGAACGAAACCGATGCTCTTCACTAAGGTCAGATTTTATATCCTTTTACTGTCTGAAGTAAAAAACGTTTTACATCTCATAATATAGTGGGCTAACAAATAATAGGTTAAACTACGGCCCAGTTTTGGCTAGTAGTAATCAGCCCACTAAACAAGGTTGTCTGTCTCGTCTCCGTCCTTTACCAACTTCTTCTTCAAGCTCTGCTAAACCCTGGCCGTGATAAACCCTAAGCCGTTAACCGTCGCTATGGCTCCTCTTACGCGCAATAAGAAGAAAGGACCAAAGTCTCAGACTCCGCCACGGAATAAGAGGACGAATTCGAATACCACGCTTCCACTGAAGAAAGCGGCGAAATCTCACAAGCCTCCATCGAAGAAGCAGAGGAAGGGTATTTCGGAGGAAAAGCCCCTCGAGAAGCCTGAAGTTTCCACGGGAGAGGAAGAAGAAGAAGAGAATGAGCAGTCTGATGAAGGAGATGAATCAGGTTCTGACTTTTCCTCAGATGGTGATGGAGAAGAAGATGAGGATGTGGATACAGAACCCTTGGCCGACGAATTTCTTGACGGCAGCGATGATGAAGAGGGACCTCTGGGTTCTGATTCGGATTCTGACTCTGATGGAGCCGATCTCGTGAAGCAAAGTAAAGCTATTGACGAAGAACGCAAAAGGCAGGAGCAAGATGCAGAAGATGAATTCCAGATGAACATTAAGGAACAACCTGATGAGTTTCAGCTACCAACCAAAAAGGTAATTTTTTTTCCTACGCTTCAATCATGAACTTGTTCATTTTCTGTTTCTCTTTGGGAATGACATTATTGATCAAAATCTTATCATTGCTATTATTCTACATTGTTTAGGAACTTGAAGAAGAGGCACGTCGGCCACCAGATCTTCCTAGCTTGCAAGCGAGGATAAAAGAGAGTGAGTAACATTTTCAAATCTTTTTTCTGTTAAGCTTCATGGTGTAACTTCGTTATCGCGACTGTTTCGGATCTGCCAAGGAATCAGCCTCTCGGTTCTTAGTTTAATGGTGCTAATTTGTGTATCAGTTGTTAGAGTGCTGTCGAATTTTAAGGATTTGAGGCCAGAAGGAGCCAAGAGGAAGGATTTTATTGAACAGCTTAAAGCTGATCTTCGTTCTTATTACGGCTATAATGAGTTTCTTATTGGAACTCTTGTTGAGGTTAGTGCTTTGACTTTAGTTCACTTTGTTCTCTTTGATCGCTCTGACTTTAGTTCACTTTGTTTTCTTTGATCTAAAGCTACGTATAAGAGAGAGCTAATTCTGTTAACTCATATATGGTGAATTGGGATCTTTTGGCAGATGTTTCCACCTGTTGAACTCATGGAACTGATCGAGTCTTTTGAAAAGAAACGGCCTACATCTATACGTACCAACACTCTTAAGGTGGACTTACTTATACTCTGGAGTGTCTAGACATATGTATTTCTCAACTGTTGAGATATGTAATTTTATGGTGATGTTTGTTTTTGGTTAGACTCGGAGACGGGATCTGGCTGATGTACTTTTGAACAGAGGAGTTAATCTAGACCCATTAAGCAAGTGGTCAAAAGTAAGTAGTGTTTTCAGATTTTCCTCCTTTCGATTGGCAAGTCCTTTTTTTTTGTGAGCCATCTGTAGCTAACCATGTCATAAAAATGGTAGGTTGGACTTGTCGTTTATGATTCACAAGTTCCAATTGGTGCAACTCCTGAGTATTTGGCTGGTTTCTATATGGTACGTGATTTCTTGATCTTATTCTACTTTCGGCTTACACTTTATGGGTATTCATAATTGTTTTATTGAAGTCTGTTCTTGGTGCATTTGCAGTTGCAAAGTGCTAGTTCCTTCTTGCCAGTGATGGCTCTTGCTCCTCGAGAGAAAGAACGGGTTGTGGACATGGCGTAAGTTATTGATGATCTTACATAAATGCACTGTATTTGTGTCTAAGGCAACCATACATAATTATCAAGTGTATGTTGTAATTTGTATCATGTGTTATGATGCAAACTGCTAATAAAACAGAAAAGCTGTTCCATTATGTTAGAGATGCAACTAGTTTAATGTGATATATGGTAACAAGGTTTTATACTCTCTGCCTGCAGTGCTGCCCCTGGTGGTAAAACAACTTATGTTGCTTCCCTAATGAAAAACACTGGTATGCATTCATTGGTTTCTTCTTCCTCGTAACCCCATGTGATATTTTTATATTTGGTTATCCTAATGTTTTAATGATAATATAACCAGGCATAATATATGCAAACGAGATGAAAGTACCTAGGCTTAAGTCACTTTCCGCCAATCTGCATCGCATGGGGGTGACAAATACCATAGTTTGTAACTTTGATGGAAGAGAGGTTAGCTTTTTGAACCTTTATTCTTCTATCGGTGATACATGTGTGAGGATGAATCAGTCTAACGGAAAGCTTCTCTATTATTCCCATTTAGTTTCGTGCTTATCTCATTTTCTTTTCCTTTCAGCTACCCAAGGTTTTGGGTCAGAACTCGGTCGATAGAGTGTTGTTGGATGCTCCTTGCAGTGGAACTGGAGTAAGAATCTTTCGTTTCGGTGTAGCTCTCAAGTTTTTCTCACTTTTTGTAGATTAATGTCTTCTTCTACGTAATGCAGGTTATATCAAAAGATGAATCAGTCAAAACTTCCAAAAGTGTTGATGACATAAAGAAATTTGCTAATTTGCAAAAGGTATGTCTGTGCCTGATCATTCTTTACATTCCCAGACAAATATCTAAAGATGAAAATAGGCTTGTAATGCTAACCATACTCTCTTTTATTGCGCATAGCAACTTATACTTGCCGCTATTGACTTGGTGGACGCCGATTCTAAAACAGGTGGATATGTTGTTTACTCAACATGCTCAATTATGATTCCCGAGGTTGGTTAACCGTTTTCTCTTTTCTTTTTTTCTTGGCATCCTCATGGTTTGTCACTATTTTGATTTATACAACAAAATTATGCAGAACGAAGCTGTAATCGACTATGCTCTAAAAAAGAGGGATGTCAAACTCGTTCCATGTGGACTTGATTTTGGCCAAGCAGGGTAAACAATATACATTCTCATCTGCATGGGAACATTTCATGATTCTTCTTCTAAACACAAAATCTTTTACTTCATGTCATTCAGATTTGTTAGATTTAGAGAACACCGGTTCCACCCTACTTTAGAGAAGACCAGACGTTTCTATCCTCACGTACACAACATGGACGGATTCTTTGTGGCAAAGGTATATTCTTGGGCTAGTCTATGAAAGAAACTTTTTTTTGTTGTTGTTGAAGAAATATCAATAGTGATCAAACCGCAATGTATTTCTCTCTGTTCTGTGATGCAGCTGAAGAAGATGAGTAATGCAAAGCAGGCCTCAGAAGGTGATGAGCCGGTTGAAAGAATAGAGAAAGCTCAGGTGTCTAGTGATGACGATGATGAGGCTGAGGCCATTAAGGAGTTGGAGAAGCCTTCTGCTGCCAGTGGGAAACCCAAGCTAGAGAAGAAGAAACAAATAATTCCAAGCTCAAAGGAGAACAACAAAGGCAAAAAGAAAACCGGAAATGGTAATGTGGAAGAACCCAGGAAGCAAAAGAAGAAGAGATCACAATGGAAGGCTGAAACTAGGGCTGGCAAAAAAACACCATAACCGAAAATAAACCAAAATACGTGATTTGGTTTGGTTATGGTATAACTATAACCTAAAAAATCCATGTGATGATTATTTTTTGTTAAGATTTTGGTTTCGGTTTGATTTAGTAGTATACAATGGCTTTTGTACTGTAGTTTAGTTAATCCACTTAGCAACCCAACATTAATAGACTAAAAACTATGAGAAAGAAAGAGCGACACTCACTCCTATGGCCTCGAACAAAAGTTTTTGTATCAATCTCATGAGATTATTGTGTGAAGCTGTTTCTACTGTTTCTGTTATTTAATGTTGGAGTATAAATTAGTTGAGAAAACAAAGATGAGTCCCTACAAAGTGTTTGAAAGGCTATGGATTTTTCTGATTATAGCAACTCTTTGTATAAAAATATATAAATCTTGGACGGAGTGGTCCAATGCCACAACATAAAGGATAGAATAATAGAATTGAATTAATGAAAATAAAAGGGAACAAGTAGTGAGCTGTTCATTGTTAGTGAGAGATGTGAAGGTTTTCTAAAGTGGGACTTAAGTGTTTGGAGAAACAAACATGACAATATCCCAATTCAATACTTTCATCCATCTTTTTTTGTCAGCTTCTTTCTCTTTGGGGACCTTACATTTACTCTTCTCTTCTTTCTTGTTTCTATTTATAGATTTTCAGCAACATATTATCCTTTGCTGTTACACACACTCACATGCACATTGAGAAAGTATCATCGTATGTATAATTGCTGTATGCACTTTATTTATACTATTGCATATGGAACATACCAAAATCCGATAAAGATTACAGAAAAGAGATTCCTTTGCATAACCCAAAAGATACAGCTTTTTAAAAGCAGAGAGTAAATTCTCATTTCTAAAGCAACCTTCTTGCTAATATATTAGTAACTAACTTGTGGACTAAGGATAGAAACTAGTCTTATAATCTGATAAAACTGATATCCACGAATCTCTATATTATGTGATTTGTATAAATTCTATGATACGTAAATATTTGGTTCCCCAGTCATTACGATTTACTACCATGTAAATATGTAATGTAATGGTTTGGAGTATACATATCTTTATATAATTTGAGAAAATGATCGCAAATTACAGAGCAGAAGAGCATCCTTGGAACATTTTGTCTTCCTTCAATTTCGGGAAAAAAAATAATAATGAAAAGCCCTAAAAAAAAAGTCGAAAACTTTTGATTTGACCACCTCTCCCCTCTTTTCATCGTAGACCCAACTCTCTTTTGCTCACTCTCTGATTCATCTCTCTCTCTCTCTCCATTTCCATGGAAGGAAGGTGATGATGGGTTCCTCATTCTCTTCTATTTCTCTTTAGAGACACATGATCAAAGTCCTATCCTTCCTTTTGATATCCCTTTTTTTTATCCTTTCTCTGCCTAATTCCTGAGAAAATTTTGTGTCGAGATCTTTCTCTACTAAAGCTCTTCTCAAGGTAACGATTTTTGGGTCTTTTTCCTCAATTTCCTTTTTTTTTTTGTTTGCTTTTGTTTCTGTGGGTTTTAGCAACTGGTACCTGTTTAGATCCATAAGAGCTTCTCTTGATTGTTCTTACTTTTTCTGAGATCTGTTTGAAACCAGTATAAAAAAATCTACTTTGCATGAAATCTCTGACTATGATTTAGGCTAATTTAGGTAAAATGGAGAATCAGAGAGTTTGAAGTGTTTCCTGGTGTGGGAATAGTGATATTGCTTTGGGTTGAGCAAGTGTGGATTTCTCAATTGATTCTCTCTGTGATTTTGAGCTCGAGATCCTTAATGTTGGACCTGCTTTGAAGTTATAATTTAATTTGATGTTAGTTCTTAATTTGATGAATAACGCTTCATGTTGTGATTCCATCTGGAATCACTTAGCAATGATTGAGCCATGGCCTCTGCTTAAAAATAGCAACTTTGTTGGGTTTATGTGTTTATCTGCTCAGCTGCATGGTAAAGTATGTTTCTTGATGAGAGCCTCAGATCAATCTGTGATTGTTGATCTTCCCATGATTTTAGCTATATAAAGGAGCCCAATTTTATGTTATCTGATTCTGAAGCTTATTGTTCTAATTAGCTATATAAGACCCGTGTTTCTTTTTCTTCTTCTGAGTTTTCTCTTGAGACAAAGTTACAGAAGCTATGTTTTACGCAATGCAGAGCTCAGGTGACAACTGCGATAACTGGAGTCAAGGGCAGTTCTCTGAGTCTTGGGTGCTAAGTAGATAGTTATCCGTTCATGGCCTCAAAGTCTGGTCCTGAAGTTCTCCCAGAGAATAATAAGAAAAAGGGCGACAAGCAAACCTCGGAGGCATCTGTATCCAGTTCCAGTCAAAGTATCTCTGTCAGCAATTTTGCAGATCAACTATCTTCAACTTTGTCTTTTGCTCGAAGCAGTGACAGTAAAATCAGCGGAGAAGTTAAACTTAATGAACAGTCTGATCTTGCTGAGAACGGAAAGAGTAACACATATAGACCAAGCACAAGCAGTGATATCAGTGATGAGAGCATATGTAGTAGCTTAAGTAGCAACAACAAGCCTCACAAGGCGAACGACGTGAGATGGGAAGCAATACAAGTGGTTCGAGCGAAACATGGTGTTTTGGGTTTGAACCATTTTAGGCTCTTGAAGAGGTTAGGGTGTGGGGATATCGGAACTGTCCACCTTGCTGAGTTGCACGGAACAAGGTGTTATTTTGCAATGAAGGTTATGGATAAAGGGGCATTAGCTAGCCGTAAAAAGCTTCTTAGAGCTCAGACCGAGAGGGAGATATTGCAAGGTCTTGACCACCCATTTCTTCCAACTTTGTATAGTCATTTCGAGACCGAGAAGTTCTCATGTTTGGTTATGGAGTTCTGTCCTGGAGGTGACTTGCACACCCTTCGACAGAGACAGCCCGGGAAGCGATTTTCTGAACAAGCAGCAAAGTAAGAATTTTTGTTGTATCATAATCAATCCAATGTTTCTTATAGACCGCTTTTTGTGTGTCAAATCATTTTGGCTTTATACTTTTCCAGGTTTTATGTAGCGGAGGTACTTCTTGCGATGGAATATCTTCATATGCTCGGGATCATATACCGCGATCTTAAGCCAGAGAATGTTCTTGTGAGAGATGATGGACATGTGATGCTTTCTGACTTCGACCTCTCCTTGAGGTGTGCTGTTAGCCCCACAGTGGTCAGATCAACTGCGCTCGCGTCTGAAACCTTGCAAAGGAACTCAGGTTATTGTGCTCAACCTGCTTGCATCCAACAGCCGTCTTGCATATCAGCTCCTACATCATGCTTTTCTCCGCGGTTCTTCTCAAGTAAATCCAAGAAAGACAAGAAGATGAAGAACGAAGCTGGGAACCAGGTCAGTCCGTTGCCTGAGCTCATTGCTGAGCCCACAAGCGCTCGCTCAATGTCATTTGTCGGCACACATGAATACTTGGCTCCTGAGATCATCAAAGGTGAAGGGCATGGGAGTGCGGTTGATTGGTGGACTTTTGGGATCTTTCTGTACGAGCTGTTGTTTGGTAAAACCCCGTTCAAGGGCTCGGGAAACAGAGCAACACTCTTCAACGTTGTGGGTCAGCCTCTGCGTTTCCCTGAAGCTCCAGTTGTCAGTTTTGCTGCTAGGGATTTGATTAGGAGTCTGCTTGTGAAGGAGCCTCAGCACAGACTAGCGTATAAGCGTGGTGCAACCGAGATCAAGCAACATCCTTTCTTCGAAGGAGTGAATTGGGCATTGGTTCGATGCGCAAGCCCACCAGAGATACCCAAGCCGGTTGTTCTTGAGAGTGCTCCTGCTACTCCAGCAGCAGCTACATCTACCAGTGTCCAGGCTGATCAGAGTAATTATCTCGACTTTGATTTCTTTTGAGACTTTTCAGCATCAAAACTGCTAATAGATTATCAAATTGTTATCTACATTTGTGCAAATCCGTTTAGTATTCTGAAAATGTGAGAATATTCAATTCTTTGTCAATGCCATTCTTGGAAAATTTCTGGATGTTTTCATCTCTCCCGAGGAACGCAAAGAAGCTAAATGTTATCCAAATATGAACTCAAAATTGCCCAAAACTGTTATCTTTCCACATAAACGATCAGCTCTAAAGAATCTTGCGGAGTAGAAGCACAGAGATAACAAGGATACATATAATCTAACATGAATCCTCCTCTTGAAACTAAGGGGAAATGTAGTTTGAGAGCTGAAACAGAGTCGCAATGTCTAATAAGAACACAATACACAATCAGCTTAGGATACAAATCTCTTCATTACAACTGTTTGTAGCAAGTATAGGCCACAGCCACAGAAGCAGCGGCGCAAGCAACAGCGAGAGCGGCATATGTATCTTCTCGCTCCCAGCTCTCTAACCATGTTGGTATTCCGCAAACCTTACGTGTTGAAGATCCTTTCTCACTATTTATTCTAAAGAAAGTCTTTTCTGCAATTTTTCTTCCCGGTGTAAGCTTCTCCGTGTTGTTTTCACTTTCGAGTTGATTATCTTCTGAGGTCTCCAGGGACAACATCAGACTTGTGTCTTGACAACACGAGGAGCTGTTCCCATTTTGTTGGCAACAACCATTAGGTTCTGAAGCTTGTGATTGGCAACAGGAAACATCGGCGCTGTGAACTGATGATTCCTGAGTCAATTTCCCATTGTTCTTCACTGTATTGACTGCACCGTTTAGCTGAAACCGTCGTTCTTGAGATTTCTTCTGATCGTCTTCGGATAGACCCATTTCACCCCTAAAATTTAGAAATAGCCATAACGTGTTATACTAATTACCAAGTGATTCGGAAACTGCGAGACCAAGAAACTTTGAACTTACCTCCATAGCCGGTCTACAATCTCGCCTTTGATGATGTGCTGCTCCAAGAGAACAGGTACATCATCTGGTTGCATATACCCATACCTTGACACAGGAAATATCAATCATAAAGTCAAAACTAGGATATGATTAATTCGGACATTGCAGAGCACTTCCGATGTCCTAATTCCACTTGATTTGTGAAGATACCAAGTAAAAGATCACAACTCTTTATGAAATTAACTCTTTTTCAAATGCATTCTTGACCTCTTTATCCAAACTTAATATAAAACTAACATGGAAAAAGATGAATGTAACCACAAACTCCTCGAGAAATTTGTAATTCCTTACTCACCAGTGTCCTGTGACTTTCCTGTGGATCTTTGATTGGTAGATGATAACATTCCCAGCGTACTTGTGACCACCTATGTGAGAACATGGGCTAACTGACACTTTACCTTGAAGACCATAAAAATCTAGTTCTTCTCTGAACCTACTGACCAGCGACGGCCCACAAACCCCACATCGTCGGTCTCGGGATCCATGGGAACATACAAAGACATACGAGCCTTTCAGCAATTCAGGATTTCCAGGCAGCCATTCACCATCCTTCACAAGCACCTCTTCCACAAATGTGTCCACATCAAAATGAGTCAACCTTCTGCATTTTTTAATGAATTGAAACTGTCAAAAATGATCCCCGGCTGTTGAAAAACAAGAGCTAGGAGGACTTCGACCCTTGCCTGTATCTGATCATATCAGGAAAGATAAGTACATCGCCATTGGATGTCTCTGTTCCATCATGGCCTTCACATATTGTGAGCCGAGTCTACAGAGCAATAGCAGAAAAAACAATGAGAGCACAGAGGTAGAAAGACATTCATGATTCAGGCAAAAGAACATAGGAAGCCACAGCGGAAGGCCTCATCATAAGACTATCCGATGATAAGCATCCATTAACATACATCAGAGACTCCATTTCCACCTAACTTCATCACTGACATAAGCACATGAAAAAGAGTAAAGCCACTACACATAAAGCTCAAAAGCGGAGCTGTGTCTTCTATGATTCCATACTGAAGCATATAGACAAGTTTTTCATGTTGTTACCCATAGAATCTTGCCAAAAATAGGCACTTTCCCTTATCCCAACAGTCCCTGGATAAAATTATTTCATGATCGATTTAGATCTTAAACAGATACTTTAACTAAGCCAAAACAACAGAAATCAAGTGTTTTTTGCTTATTTGGGAGACTAGAAGAACCGGACCATTATGACTCTCAGAGTGAGTAAATATGAGTTCGAATCACAAAGCCATGGATGAAACGATCCAAACTGAATCCATGAGAATCAAGCAATAATCTTGGGATCGAGATTCGAGTGAGCAGCAAAGAAGCTGAATCCATCATATGAAGATGGTATAAGAAATCGATAGAGTAGAAAACTGACCTCCTTCTTCATGCTACCTTTCCTGGCCAATACGGCGGCAGAGAGTAGCCTGGGCAGTCGGTCGAACTCAGCCGCCTCGATCCTGGCGGGCCAAACGGAGGGCTTTTTGTAGCACAAGAAAACATGCCTCTCGTAAAACTGTACGGTCCCAGCGAGTTGCTCCGATCGGAAATCGGGACGAGCGAATCCGAAATCAGCGTCGCTGAAGCTATCTCCACCGCCTCCACCGAGCAAGCTCTCGCTCTGAAAACTCCCGGAGCGAGAGCTTGGTTCACCGAGAAAGTTGTCGAGGTAATCAGATACAGTGACCGGAGAAGAAGCCGATGATGGATTGCTAGTAAACGATATAGGGTCGTCTCTATCTCTTCCACTTCCCATTTGAATTCGATGAGAAGTTGAAAACTTTTATAGATCGAAACTGAAACTCTGGAGAGAAGAGAGAGAGAGTAAGAAGAATAAGAAGTGAAATGCTTCAGTGCTTTGCTTCTCTACTGAGCGGTCCAAAGTATATTCCGTACTAAACGGTACGCTTACTCCGGTTTAGTCCTTAACAGAGAGATCACTTTGCAATCGAACCGGTGAATTTCACCAAGTTTGACCTCACAGTAGGCCCACAGATCATGGCCCCATAAAGTCAATGAGTTGAAGAAATGTAGCACACGCGCTAAGACCCGCGTGGTGGATAATTATCCAAAGCTAATATATTACTATTATCCACGTGTTTATTCAGTTTTTAAAAAGCATTTCTGGGTGCGTAATGCGTATGAGAGAGTTCTTCTCTAATCTTGGCGAAGAAAATCGAACTAATTTCTAAATAATTTAATCTGAAGAAAAATTCCCAAGAACAAGTTCACAAATTTCCCAGATTAGGTTTCTTCTTCGCATCAGATTCAGACCTTTTTCTCACATATACACTCTGGATCAAATCTGCAACCTTTAGATCTAGTCGGTCTCTTAGAATTGAGTAAAGCTTCAGATGGATCAGTTCCATCGGAACGAGGCGATCTCTGCTGTCGCCGACGATGCTTTTCTCGTTGAAGAGGACGACGATTACGAGGATCTTTATAACGACGTTAATATCGGCGAAGCAGGTTTGAGAAAGCAGGAACAACAAAAGGTTAGCTTCGAGAGGAGCAAAGAAAGTGTTAAACCAGCTGAAAGTACACCAGAACGTCAAGTGTTGATACCTGGTGTGGTTGGTGAGACTTCAACAAGTGCCACCGATGCTTCAAACGGATATGGAGCTCAAGGGCATACAGGAGGAAATGGTGTTAGCCAGCAGGTTCCTGGTGGACCAGTCGCTGGTCTCAGAGTTGAGCTAAGGCAATCTACTAATCGGGAAGATGATGTTGACATTCCGGAGCAAATCGTCGGAAATAACGAGCCTTTGATCAAGCCCGGGATGGGTAATGGCAATGGCGTCACTATTCCTGTTAGGAGCACGATCGGGAATGGCGGTGGTGGCACTATTCTGTTTCTGGGGGAGTTGCATTGGTGGACAACAGATGCTGAAATTGAGGCAGAGCTCTGCAAGTATGGGACAGTGAAGGAAGTGAAGTTCTTTGACGAGAAAGCTACAGGGAAGTCGAGAGGATACTGTCAAGTGGAGTTCTATGAATCTATGGCGGCTACGGCTTGCAAGGAAGCGTTGGATGGGCATCTGTTTAATGGTAGGCCATGTGTTGTTGCATTTGCTTCTCCATATACTGTCAAAAAAATGGGAGACGCACAGGTGAATAGAAGCCAGCAGGCACAAGCTGTACTTGCGCAAGCTAAGAAAGGGGAACCTATTGATCCTCCTAATAAGCTTCCTTCAGCTAACAACATCACCACCACTGGGAATCATCAAGGAGGAGATGGTAGAGGTTTTGGTAGAGGGAACTGGGGTAGAGGGAATGCTCAAGGAATGGGTGGAAGAGGGCAGGTTGGTCAGATGAGGAACAGGCCTGTTGGGATGGGTGGAAGAGGTTTAATGGGGAATGGTGGAGGTGGGTTTGGGCTTCCTATGATGCATCCTCAAGCAATGATGGGGCAGGGTTTTGATCCAGGTTTTGGTGGACGGATGGGAAGCTATGGAGGATTCCCAGGCCGTCCATTTCCAGGGGTTTTGTCTTCATTCCCTCATGTTGGAGGAGTTGGTTTGCCTGGAGTAGCACCTCACGTGAATCCTGCATTTTTCGGAAGAGGTGTGCCGATGAGTGGGATGGGGATGATGCCCAATATGGGAATGTGGGATCCTAACGCAGGAGGATGGGGCGGTGAGGATTTGGGTGGTGGGAGAGCTGCAGAGTCGAGTTATGGGGAGGAAGCTGCATCTGATCATCATGATAGAGGAGCTCGTTCTAATCCCATCAAGGAAAAGGATAGAGCTGCAGAAAGGGAGTGGTCAGCTTCATCTGATAGAAGTAACCGTGATGAGAAAGATGGTGGTTATGAAAGGGACATAACTAGGGAGAGAGACGTTAGCCAAATTCATGATTGGCCAGAGAAAAGACGTCGTGATGATAGAGACACTGGTCGTGAGCGTGGAAGGGAGAATCATAAGGATGGAGAACGATCCAGAAACTGGAACAGAGAAAGGGAGAAGGAGAGGGATCGTCACAAAGAAGAGCGAGAAAGACACAAGAACGAACCGGAGCATGGTAACGAATGGAACAGAAGTCGATCATCCAGAGCACCTAGCAGATCACGGATGTCTCGGGAGGATAACCATCGCTCAAGATCAAAGGAAGCTGATTATGGAAAAAGACGGCGACTTACCTCTGAGTAGTTATCACAGGAAACACAAGTAAGCATTTAAGTTTTTGTGTTCTACATTTTCAGGCGTGCCTTTTTTTGTCCATTCTTTTTCATGTTTTTCTTGGTTAGGCTGTTTAAGTAAGAAGAATTAGTTACAAACATGATCCCACTGCGTATTAATGGCTCTATCTAGTTGACTAGAATTGTGTATGTGCATTTATCTATATTTTTGATATCTTGATTATCTTTCCACCATTAGTAAGCTTGTATTAGAGCTGTGGGTATGTGATAACTACTCAACAGTGTTTTCAGGTTTTGGCTTGTATTCACTGAATAATTTAGAACGATCAGTTACTGACCTAAGGTTTTTTATTGTCTTATATAATTCAGTAGCCTTATGCAAAGCTCTGAACCCTCACAGAAGACAGGATGACACCCCAGCCTGTTAGATTCGTACCACGAAAGACGCCTCTCATGGTGAGGCCCTCTTCAGACACATCTCTTAGTCATGCAGAGGTGCAAAAGAAACTCGGCCGAAGTTTGGTTATTTAAGTTACTTAAAACAGTTTTGCCTTTTGATGTTGATTTTTGATAGAAAGGAAAAAAAAAAGAAAAATTTAAAGCTATGTGTTATGTTTCTCGGTTCTTACATTAGTGTTTAGAAGTTCATGTTGACTGATTTGTTACGTAGTTTGTAGTAGCAGTAGCAGTAGCAGCAGCAGCCAGAATGGCTAAACCTGGAAGAGTGTTACTTGTAATTCTCCATGTTTAACCATCTGGTTTGTATTGTATGCAACATTGTATTTGTAGCGTCTCCATTACACCACAAGCTGGTTCTGACTGTTAACAGCAGCATTTACATCCTTTTCGGTTCTGTTTTTTTGTGTGTTCCCAAGGGGATGTAGAAGAAGAGCACAGATTCCTTCGTTGACTCTTAACAAGTGTAAAGTTGATTTTTTGATCCTGTAAATATTCTCTTTGTTGTTTTATTGGTTTTCATGAGGTCACTAGTGCTGAACAATTACTACAATTCTTAGATTGGATTTGCCTTAGTAAGTTGACAGATATATTATAGATACTGTAAGAGGATTCATGATGAGCATCAGATGCTACTGTAATATTCAGATACCAACATGAAAACATAAAGGGAATCAAGATAATCATATTATTCATTTATTACCATTGGCCTTCCCTATAACAAACAGAAAGGAGGAAACTAAAGAAAGCTGGACAATGTCTGAAAAGGTAGCCTCACAAATCAAAAGACAATCCAAGGAGGCTTTTATGTTAAATGGTATTACACATACAAGCGACCTATCCTTTGGCTATGCAGCTTCTTCCTCTTGTCTCGACCAAAAGTAACGCTGCTTTGCGCAGTTCAGACTCGAACACACAACAAAATATTACATCCACAGTTTTTACTTATACATTTGCCAGATGACTACTTGGCATTAGGCAACAGTACCTGTGATTAAATAGTAGGCTAGAGAGAGAGAGAGAGAGACTCGGTATGTGCGATGTGATCAGAAAGGAGTTTAGGCTTTCACCTCCTCGCCAGTAGCAGACGTTCCTGCTTTCTCCTTCCCTGCATCTTCTTCTTTCTTCTCCTCCTCCTCTTCCTCTTCTTCACCAGCTTCTTCTGCTAATTTGGTGAGCTCACTTTGGATCATCAGCTTTATAGATGACTTTCTTGGGGTGAGATCTTCTTTGAACTTCTTATCTGAAATACGGGTAAAACAATGTGTTTTTACATATATCACCAGAAAATCACTGCAGAAAGAAATGACTGAAACCAATCTCTGTTCATACCAAGTTTTTTGATGATGTCCGTGAATGTAGCCTGCAGAAGAACAACAATGCTCTTATAAGGTTATCTAGACATAGATTATAATTCACAGTTTGTATAGATATTTAACAACAAAGTCTAATTAGCTTTAAGAAATTGCAGGATCTTTCCTATAACATTATAACCAATTAATTTAATCGACAGAATCCCATTTTGTTTTATTCCACAAATCCCAAGTAGGTAAGTGTGTCGAAAATAAAAGATTGAGAATTCAACTCACCGTATTAAAGTCCACATCTTTCAAGATCTCAACGATTGCATTCTTCAGCACTTTATCGCTTGGCCCTTTGTTTTTTTCTTTCCCTTTTCCAGCCTTTTCTACTTTTAACATAGGCACAAACACAGATAAACATGGTGTCAGAAAACATAAGTGGCTGCAATATTGGTTAGCTTCTGCAAACTAAGTTACATGAAATAAGATTCTTCATCGCATCTGACAAACCCTACACTTATTCTACTAAGCGATCATCTTAGTGGAAGATAAAAAAAAAAACAGGATAATAACCAAACCTGGCTTCTCTTTTGATGCAGACTTTGAAGGCGCCGAGGAGCCCTTTGTAACTTTTTCAGACTTCTTCCTCTTAGAGGATTCCTTTGGACTCGTATCATTGTCATCATCAATCTTCTTTCTTTTTGCTGATGATCGCTTCTGTGTAACTTTCTTTGGTGGACTGGATTTTGCAGCGACTGCCGCTTTTTTGGTACCGGCTCTTCCTGCTGATTCTCTCTTCCCAGCTGACAATCTAGAACCATGTTTCTTCTTTGTTGTTTCGTCTTCAGAAAGCTCCTCAGATTCATCCTTCTCCTCGCTTTCAGAAGGCTGTGGTGCCTCATCCTCGGATTTATCAGGAATACCATTTTCATTCTCCGCCTCTTCATTCTCTTCTTTCTCGTCTGCCTTCTGCTCCTTCTCTTGTTTTTCTTCTTCCTCCTCCTTCTCTTCTTCAGACTCATCATCAGAATGAGATAAACTCTTTTTGACAGCCTTCGTTCCTTCTTCAGACTTCCTTTGGCTCTACAAAGGCAATGCATATATTATAATTAGATTAGTTACTTGGATCAGAGACATGAACTAGTGGTTGATTGACAGTTGCAGATGAGCAACATTGAGACACACATTCTCTTCAAAGGTAATAGCATGAGTAGTAAACAAAGAAGCCTCCAGCTCTAAGTTATGCATTGATACCTTTGCCGATCGTTTGGAGGATGAACTCCCAGCTGCAGGTGTGCGAGTTCTCTTGCGTTTCGCTCCCTTACTCGACTGTGTCAACGGAATCTTTTTCAGAGAACGCAAGATGCACAATTAATTTCTAAAATAAACAACGTTCTCAACACCAAATACCTTCTCTTTCTCATTAACTTGAGCGTCGCTTTTCACATGAGGCTTCTCCAAAAACTCAATCAATTTTGAGATCATGTCTTCCTGTGTTGAAAATAAACATACACCAATAAGTTGCCGTATATGATTAAATGGGGAAATGAAATAGCATAAACTTGTGCTCAAAAAGAGACAAAGATATCTTTAAACCTTCATATGATGCTTTTTATCAAAAAGAGACAAAGATATCTATTCACGCAGGAAGAAATGAAACTCAAGAACAAGAAGTGAGGAATGAAATGGCAATAATGACCTTCTTTGTTGTAGTCTTGGTAATATGTATGTCAAACAAATCGCAAAACTCCCACAGTTTTTCTTTGACGCTTTTATCAAACTTTTCTCTTATCTTCTCTTTTGCTTTTTCCTGCAAATACCAAAGACACAATTATATACGAACCAAAGGCGTATATAAAAATATAAAACGAAAACAATCGTCATGTGTGATGTTGCACACCTCATTTCCATGCCAAACAAAACCAGAGAAGCCCAATATGTTTGTCCTTATCTGAGTAGCCTGTTGAAGCAAGAAGAATAATAAGTTACATATAAACATGATTCCAAACTATCGGTACGAAAACCACAAAAGTATGCCCGTGATTGACAATTTAGAGTTATGACTATCGGAGCAGCAGAATATGAAGCTCACCTTCCCTCTCCTCCCACCAAATAGAATTGTGTGCAGCTGCTTCAAAGTTTCATCAGACTTCTTCCTCATTACCTTGTTAGCAACTACATAGAAACATTCAATTTTATTTCAGCTGCAAATTAGATTAACAAGATGGAACCAACAAAAAGTATTTTAAATGATAATTTTTGGTTTGCAGGAAACCTTGGTTCTGAACCAGCTGGAATTGCTAAATTCAATGAGAAAAAATATCAAGTGAAGATTCACATAGCATGAACATACCATTGGGAATGTCTTTGAGATATGCACCTTGCCCCTGTAAAATCAAAAAAAAAAAAATTATGAACACATCTAGCAACGAAGTTCTACTCAAGTCAGGAAAGGAAAGTATTGGCAAACCTTTTCAATCTGGAATTCTTTTGAAGAGTCTTTATCAATCACTGCGACAAGCCTCTCAACAGATTTCCGCTCACGCACAGGGCGATTAGAGAAAGGAGTCCTAGGTTCTACATCCTTTTTCTCTTCCTCATTTTTTGTCTTCTCGCGAACCTTTTCCCCAGAACTCTTTCCTTTCCCACGCTTTTTAGAACCCTTGCTCTCTTCTTTTTCTATTTCCTTATCATCACCGCTCTCTGCTTTTTCATCTCCCTTATCATCAGTTTTCTCTTCTGTCTCATCTTCCTTTGCATGTTTGCTCTCCACTTTTTCATCTCCTTCTTCTTCGTCATCCACCGTTGCCTTTGCCACTTCAACTTCTTCTGTTTTATTTCCCTCCTTATCTTCCTCCTCTTTTCCTTCTTCAACCAAATCCTCCTCCTTTTTATCTTCATCCACAGTCTCCACTTTCTTATCTTCATCTGCAATCTTCACATTTTCAACCCTCTCTGTCCCTTTGTCTCCATCTACCAGTTTCTCTTCGTCTTTGATCTCTCCTGTATTCCCATCTTTTGTTCCATTTGCTTGCTCACCTTCAAGTTTGACGTCCTCCTCTGATTCTTTCCCAGCTTTCTTGTTGTCTGCTTCAGTAATATCCGTCTCTTGCTTTTCATCATCTTTGGCATTATTATTGCCTTCAGATTCCACGTTTTCCTCCATCACGGTATCTTCCACTGGACCACCTCCAGAAACACCATCATCAGTTTGCTCTTTCTTTTCATCTGCATCTTCGTCCATGTTGGTAGCCTTTGCTTGTCCCTCATCTTTTGTGACCTTAACCTCATCTTCCGTTTTTTCAGACTTAGCATTATCTTCATTTCTCTTAACATCTAACTCTTTCTCTTCTGTATCAGCTTTTTCTTCATCCTTCTTTATCTCAGCATCTATCTCCATTTTCTCTGGTTCAGCCTTCTCCTCATCTTTCTTAAGTTCTTGTGTTACCTTACCTTCAGCCTTCTCCTCCTCCTTTTTTCCAGCCATAGCCTCGGATGGTTTCTCAAGAGAGCTAGTCTTGCTTGCTGTTGGCTCGACGGTTGCCTTTGTATCTTCTTCCCCCATTCTTAAAACAGTTCAGTGTCGTTATCAAAGGCTGCATGAGAAACCAGTTTCGGAGGATTAAAATCGCTGAGATTGCAAAAATTAATGTTCTCTGTAAACAAATTCAACATTTACTGAACTAAAGCTAGACCCAGAAAGTGGCCATAAAAGGTATAAAATCTCATAAAGATCTGAACCATTTAAAACGCATCGACTCCACACAAGAGATGTACGCAAAAACAATTGAACTTCAGGAAAACAAAACTCAAAAGTTTAACCTAAAGAGGAGGCTGGTCAACATCAGATCCACCAAAATCCTTATCAGAAATTCAATTTAGATCTCATGCGTGTTCCATAATTATCTCTTATTACAACTTTAGATCTGAGCCAGAAGAGCTAAATGGAATATATGAGCGGAGAATTTCAAATTATACAAGAAAATATGACATCCAAGAAAGACGTCCAGAAATCAAATCTCTAGGGTTCATCGTTAATCCTCACTTTCTATACATTCTGGAAAAACGAAGATCCAAATGGATAACTGAGACCAAAAAGCCACGCTGCAGCTCAGACAAATCTCATAATATTACACCACACAAATTCAGACAAAACACAAAGCCATCTCTTTTTCACCTGAATCTCTCGTAATTAGTCAATCAACGTCAAATTCGTGCATTTTTAGGCTAAATTAACAGCTCCATATGGGAAAAAGACAATAAATTCTCAAAGTATCGAAATTCGAAAATCAAATAAGCGCATGAGAAACCCTAACTTCTCATCACATCTTTAACAAACACACAAAAACACCCAACAAAAAGAACATGCGAATACACACAAAGCTCGAAACATACAGCTCACAGAGATTTATGAAGTATCTACAGCGTTCTAAAGCACAAGACTTTGGAATCTCACCTCACTATCCCAAGACTCGGCACTGATGAGTTTTTTTCTCCTCTGTTTACTTTTTTTTTTTTTTTTGCCTTTCTTACTTTCGAGAAACAGAACAAATAGCTTTTTCTCTCTGAAAGCGTTTCTGGGAGAGAGAAATTGAAGGATTCGGACGCAAAACCAGATTTTAAATACAGTTAAATGCCACGTGGGATATGAGATGAAGCATCGCGGTCCATTTCCAATGCCTCAAGAGACTTAATGAACGCTCCAGATTTCATGTTTGATGCATCTCGTGGATCGATGACGGAAGAACTATCCCAACGTTCGGTTCCCAAACACGTGGCGAGGCGAGCCCTACATCTTCTTTCCACGAAGGAATAATTATTATTATATATTTTTTCACTTAGGTTATATTTTGCAAAATCTGTTTTTAAAAGAATGAAATATTGTTTTTACTTCTTTTTAATATGGAAGTGAAGTTGGTAATAGCTGTAACTTTGTAGAAATATAGCTGTAGATTTTTTTTTGCTATAGCTGTAGATTTTATTTCTTTAAAATTTTAGCTATAAAACTGTAAAATTTAGAAAGCATAAAATTATGTGTTTTAGAAAAAATATTTTATACAGTTAAAAAATATTAAAAAGAATAAATAAATATTTTGACTGTAAGCAAATAAAAAAAAAGATAAAATTTTATAAAAATGATTAATATTATTTAGAATTTTAAACATAAATATTGTTGTGCATTAATGAAGACTGCTTTTAAGTTTCAATTAAGAGAATTAATGAAGAATATAGTGATCTAATCATCTAAGTTTGGTTTAAAAAGGGTGAATTATGGTATGATCTAAAGTGGATGGACATAAGTAAATGACGTTGACAAATATAAAATTTGAGAAATGACTGGTAAATAGGGCAACATTGATTGGTATACTTGCTTGTGGCCCAACGACCGTCGTGGACAGTAGACATTTGTTCGTAGGAACCGGTTTTGGTCTATCAAGTTGCACAGAAGACTGGAAGAGATGCGAAAAATGTGAAGGATGAATATGGAGAAAAGGGTTTTGGATCATGCCTTTGTCTGCACCTGTGTGTGTTCTTCAGTAGAACTTATCGAGAAGAAGAAATAGTTTGTAGTAGTTATATATTTATGTTTTCTTGTTTTTAAAAAATAGCATTAACATCTTCTTGTGTATTTTTACAACACACTTTAGAAACTCAAAACAGGTGACAAATACAAATATATATGGTGGAGATAGTTTAAATCAAAGATGAGCTCTCTATAGAGAAAGGTGGGGGAATCATATAGAACAAGGTCTCATCCCATTCCTAACCTATGAAGAATCCAACACTGTTGTTTCTTTTGTCTTCTAAGGACCAGATTGTATTCTCCCTATGTTGTGCGGATATGGGTAAGACGACGAATGGTTCATGGACGAGATGTCACCATTTTGAGTCTCGTTCTGTGTTTCTCTAGGGCCGTACTGATTCATACCGCTGTTTAAGCTAGCATAGTAGGATGACATGGGAGTAGCTGCATGAACAAACCTGAAACCGACTCCATTTGGGTGAGTTTGGTTAACGAGTTGTTGATTCTGATGGTGACGCTCGTTGGAAGTGTGGTCAGGTCCATCAGATGAGATTCCAACACCAAGATTGAGGCTAATGGTGTCTGTTTCATCTGGTCTGAACCGAGGCTGGATCTCATGATTGCTGCTAGACTTTGAAGTGGGAACGTCGTGATTGTGTTTGCCTTCATATGTTGTAATCACAGCTTTAGGGTCATGTGATGCCCTCTCCACGTGTTTTCTCACTGGGCATCCAGCAGCTGTGCATTTGTAATAGCTCCTACAAAAGGCCGAGGAACATTATGAAACGTCATTTCTCCATTACACACATGTAAAGATCACCACCATATTTCATATTCTAAAACCATTTCCCAATAGAACCAACACTTTATGCACAAAGCAAAGAACTAGCCTCTGAAGACAAAGATTAAACTGTTCTAGGCTTCTAGCTATCATCTTCAACTGCAAGTTATGATTTGAGCAGAAAGAGAGGACTTTATTGAGGGGATATTTTGTTAAAAGTTATGTACGAACCTGGGATTAGGGTTTCCCCTTACGACTTTCTGCCCATATTTACGCCACCTATAACCGTCGTCCAGTATGTCAACCTCGCTCAGAGTTTGAACAACAACCCGAGGCTCCCGGATAGGTTTCACAAGTGGAGTTATCTCCATGGTCTCATCCAACCTCCTGCATAAAGTTACAAGAAGGTCTTGATCCTGTCAAATCACGGTTTCAAAGCAAGCACCTAAATCCTTTGTTAAATTCTAATACCTCCGTTTTGTAAATGGATCATCGTCATCCGGGTCATCTTTATTCCTATTAGACACTGCAACTTCCCCACCATCGTCAGTTGCTGAGATAGGATGTACTTCAGGGTTGCCAGTTTGCTCAATCGCTTGACACAAGTTGTAGACTCCTTTCTCTGTAAACAGAAGAAGAAACATATGAAGCTATAGATGTTGTCAAGGGGGGGTAAGTGCAATCTCGTCTCAAACTTTTAGATATAGTTACCATCTCGGCCAGCCAAAGGAGGATACTTGTCTAGCCTTTCTTCTTGTGCATGCATACCAAGACCACCAGAGTTTCGGCGACCAGGCTGAGGTTTCGGATGGTCATGTGTACCCTTGTAGATAATATCAGTGATCTGCCCATCATGAGACCTTTCAAACAACTTTTTCACTTCACAATTAGGATGTGTACATTTGTAATAGCTCCGGGGAAATTCGCTCCCTTTGACATGCTTTTGACCATACTTTCTCCAGTTGTAACCATCATCCGCCAAGATTGGTGGCGTACTTCCTCTGGAGTCGTTTTGCGACGTCTGGACTGAGTCATCTTGCTCAGATCCAGCCGGAATATCTGAGCTCGTTGGTGTAGTCTGACGAGGAGGAGTTGGCCGGCTTAGATCGCTTGAGGAAGCTGCAGCCTCACTGATCGACGAAGGTGAGTGTGCGGATCCTTGGCCCTGGCCTTGAAATTGTACTGGTGGCTCACTTCTATGCTTGTCAAGCTCGGCGTAAACCTTGAATTCAATAAAAATACTTCAGCCAGTGTTTGGACTACAGATTTGGTCCATTCTAAGAACGGTACATAACATTCAAAATATTACAAAAGGCACTTCTTTGGACAATACCATATTGGACGCAGGAGGTCTGAACTCAAATTCACTGGACTTGTGCTCGGTGAAAGAGTTCTGATGGAATACCCTTCCTGTATAAGAACTTGAGCTAACGTGCACTGGCCGGGGCTTGAACAAAGAACCAGTAGTAGGTGAAGGTTCTGGCTGAAAGTAAAGAAAGTTCACGTATCCAAATTTTATCAGTGACATGAATAAAACATCATTCCTAAACAAAAGACGACAATTATCAGTTCTTTCTGAAAGATGGTATAACAAATCGGATTTTGTGAAAGAACCTGATCTAGTACCAATAGATATGGTGTTTTTTATAAATATGAAGGAAAGAACCACTAGTGTAAAACAAAACGATCAAATTATTGTTCAGTCAAGGGATAAGAAGATGTAACTCACAGATGCAAAATGAAACTGAGCAAAGCATCACTTAGCTTATTATTCACCACTCTGATATTTGAACATAATATAAGCTAAACCCCACGAAACGATTACTCTATAGCTCTAGATGATAGAAATGGTAAAAAATACTTTTTCTCACCAACAGAATCATTCAATATCTAATAGAAGGAAATGAAATTCTTATACAGCTAACAGAAAACAAGTAACAAAGAATGGAAAAAGACAAGAGCAGCACCAAACACAGGGAAAATCGACAATGTGAAGGAAAAAACCAATGAAGAGAAAGTGGATAATATATAGAAAAAGTAATGAGCATATCAATAGAAACATGATATATATATAAAGAAAAAGGGGTTATTCCAGAGAACAATCTGGACGGACACAAATGCAGACCGATGCAGAGCATAGTAACAACGTGAAGAATAGGAATCTAGGCCAAAGTCCCCTTGTCGTAAGCAAAGAAATCATAGTTTTTTTAAGCACTTGTAAATGATTTAAGAAACAAAAATGGAAACATAAGCCCATTTTTTTTTCCTTGTGGGCAAGCAGAAAGCATCTTTACCAAATTACAGAAACCAGTTAAGAAATTCCCCCACTAAAGGACTACTATAGAAGAATCGTAGCTCCACTTAAACCACACCATGAACAGTGATCCAAATTTGGTAAATTAGAAGCAACGAGAAACCAAACAAAATGGGACAAAATGTGAAACAAATATCTGTTTTTTTTTTTTGCTGAATCCAATTCCGAACCCAAACTCAATGGCACGATCCAACTTTCAAGGAAGAAAATCCCTTAGGTCTTAAATATGCAATCAGAAAACCTACTTTTCTCAATCGACACCACAAAATGAGGTGAAACCGTGGAACTTCCACAAGAGAATAAGGAAGAGAGGGGGAGAGAGAGAAGGTGCTGCTTAACCTTGATGTTGGAGATGAAAACGGGAGATTCCAAAAACGACGTCGGACTCAACCCAGGAGGAATCGTGATTTCAGTCGACCTCGAGATCGGAAGCTTCGCCGGAGACATCAGCTTGTATCTCGCACCTCCACCAGCACTGCCTCCTCCTCCTCCGGCTGAATCATGCCTTGCCGTGGGATCTACCGTCGCCGAGTAATCGACCTGAAACTCCTTCCGGTCATTAACTTGAGGGTTCATTTCAGGGAAATCTAGAGGGGATTTCAAATGGTAGAAGGAAAAGGGAAAGCTCAGCTATGGCGGATTGAGAGCTCTTTGCTCTCTCTTTTGTGTGCGTAACTGAAGATTTTGTCAGTGAAGGAAGAAAGAAATTGACTTCAGACCGCTCTTTCAATTCATTGTTTTTGCCTTTTTTTTTTTTTTTTTCTTTTTTTTTTAAGACAACAAATAAAAAAGGGGGAAGGAACATTTTCACTTTTCTTATTGTCCAGTTAATTTTTAACCCTTGTTAAAAAGAAAAACATTTCAATTTTTTGGCAGTAAAATACTTTTTAACATATTCTCATGGATGGGTCGGAAATAATCTGCGAGTCGAGTGTGAGCTAGAGTTGTCGGAGCCAGAAACATCCTAATCTCTCTAAGTAGCTTCTGAAAGTTAAGAATGATATTTGTGGATTGAATCTACTTACATTCAGTCGTCTCATGAGAAATATATAATATATATATAACTCAAAATTAATGTATTACATTATTTCATATCCTCAAATGTAGCTACTAGATTCAATATCAAAGAAGTGACGTATCAATGGTATGCAACTGCAAGGCCACGTATCAACAGCCTCAGATTTTGGAGGGATTTCAGAATATTCACCAATGCTCATAGATCTCGGTAAAAATAAAAGCTTCTAAAAAATTGAATAGAAAAATATTTTACTGTTTTTCTAGGATTCCCGTTAGTCCTTCTAAACTATGATTCTATCAAACTTTATTTTTTGTAATTGAAAATTTTCATTTTTTTAGACTTAAAAAGTTTTATTTATTCTATTTTTTTTTCTTTTATTTGAGCGAAACGATGTCAAATAAATATATTCTTACTTCTAATATGCTTTGCTTAATGAAAATAATAATATTTTTAGAATGTATGTATTCTCTCCTTTGCATTATGTTCTAAACAAACATGCTTACATCCACTTAAATGTATTGTATATCTTTTTTTTCTTTTTAACTGCAATGTATTGTATATCTATATCACTTAAATTTGATATTTTGACTGAAATTTTCGGAGCTACACCTCTCTTGGCAAATTTACCTTTTCCCCCCTTTTTTTTTGGAAAATATTCTTTTATTGAAAGGAAGAGGATTAGCGTAACCTCCTCCCCTATATATATATACACATTAATAGAAGAATATTAAAAACAAAAAAAAAAATTTGGAAGATGGCGAGAATATGTGATCTTTCAGGGGATATGGTAGGGGAGATACTCTCTAGGGCTTCATTGACATCTCTAGGCGCAGTGAGATCCACTTGCAAAAGCTGGAACGATTTATCGGAGAAACAGATATTTGGAAAAGCTGGGAAGCAATTTCTAGGGTTCATGCTGATGGATAATAGGATTTATTCAATGAGGTTCGATATCCAAGGAATCATCCACCGCTTGGTTAAACCATCCGTAGCTGAGGTACGTATATTTAACCAGTTCGAGATAATAAGGGTGTATCACTGCGACGGTCTAATGTTATTCGCCGGCATCAGAAACGGCACGAGGTCCCTGATGGCGTGGAACCCGTATTTGGGGCAATCCAGGTGGATCCAACCCATAGAGGAGTTCACAAAATACGTCATGTTTGGTTTCGGGTACGTGAACAACAACAAGAGCCGTGACCACAAGATCTTAAGGTTTATGAATGGGTGTGTCCGTTCACGCATCTACTTCTTTTACGAATCTACTGTTTCAAGTCTGATTCATGGAGGGTTCTTGACGTCGATCCCGACTGGCAGATATGCTACCATCAACGCGGCGTGTCTCTCAAGGGAAACACTTACCTAGTTGCTGAAGAGAAGAACACAAACGATGCAAGGATTGGAGTTTTCTTGCTCTGTTTTGATTTTACAGCAGAGAGATTTGGACCTCGTCTTCCTTTGCCGTTTCACTCTTTCAGATGGCGGGTAGAATCCGCGATTCTATCTTGCGTTAGAGAGGAGCAGCTTGCTTTGTTATATCAGTTTTACGAGGCAGCAGGAGGTCCGGTGTTCCAGTTTTGGATCACAACTAAAGTCGAGCCCAATGCGGTATCCTGGAGCAAGTTTTTCAAAGTGTATACGAGATGGTTCTTTGGTTTTCCAGCTGGTTTTTTTGCTGGGAGCTTCTTCGTTGACGGGGTGAATAAAGTCGCCGTGGTTTCCGACCAACGTAGACCCACACCCACCTGTCCCCGCCGAGCCGCTACATTTATGGTTGGAGACGGTGGATACTGCAGAACTTTGAATCTCAGACAACCTGGGACGCCTTGCGATCAATTCCGATGCTTGAGCGAAATTGCCTTCACTGCTTATGCTCCAAGTCTTGTTCAAATCAACCAACGGGGCAAGAAAAGGAAGCACATAGAAATTAACTAGTTCCATTTGCAATACACTCTTTGTTTCTTGTATCGTTTTTTAATTTCATGTCTTGTTGAACAAGATTGCTTATTGTTTTATATCACCTAATGTATCTTCTTATAAGTGTTTGTCAGGTGGGTTAGATGCTGGCTCGGCGTTTATGACCATACTTCTGTTTCTAGCACTCCGACGAAAAGGCATTCAAGTGCAGCGGTGGGGAAGTTCCGGCGTCCTTTTAGCTTCCTGTCCTACCGAAAAAGGCGTTGTCATCAAAGCTTGTCCCGTCTTCTAGCTCACCACAAGGACAGTATGTAACAAGTGCTTTGTACTAATATATATATATATATATATAACTCACAATTATGTATTACATTATTTCATATCCTCAGATGTAGCTCTTACAGAAGATTATTCAATATCAAAGAAGTGACGTGTCAATGGTATGCAACTGCAAGGCCACGTATCAACAGCCTCAGATTTTGGAGGGGTTTCAGAACATTCACCAATGCTCCGCTGCTTCGGCTCTCGTCTCGCTTCATCTCTGCGTAAGAATTCCAATCTTAGTAGTTGTCTCTGAAATATGTGTAGTGGCTGATCTTCAATGTACAAGTTTCTCTTGTGATGAGGTCACACCTCGACGCTATCATCCACAATGACAACTCTTAATCTCATAGATCACATATAGATGTTCTACTCAATATACAAATATACAATGTAGTTTCTTAATGCTCCCCACAGATTTTTCGTTTTTTAATTAGACTCTTAATCTCATATAGATCCTTTCTTGTGGGGTAGTGGTTGTGTTCTACTTGCGTGGATAACAGTTAGGACATATAATGGTGACATTCTCTATCCAAGCTGGTCCACCTCAAATCTTGATAGAGACTTTGTACAAAATATTTAATTTTAGATATGTGTTTCTTATTTTTTTTTTCAATAATCATATATTATGTGTTCCCCATTAACTATTTTTATTGTAAAGTTTTATATTACTAAAATAATATTTTTCAAGAATTTTTGACATTTATTATTACATATGAAAAAGAATTCTGATTGTAACTGTAAAACAAAAAATAATAATACCAAAAAAACAAAATAATTTTAAATTTTATGTTAAATTTAGAGAGGAAAAAAAACACCAACTACATGTTTTGTCACTTTAGTAAGCTATTTGCGGCAGAAAAGAAAGTGTTCAACATTTTTTTTCACTAAAATCAAAAAGAAAAGTAGCAGAGGAATTCCAAAAAAATTAAAGTAAAAATTATTAAAATAAGAAAACAGTAATATAATTGAAATAAATTACAGTTATATAATAAATATACAAGATTATATGATTAATAATTTTTCCCAAAGTCCTATAATTACTCGTAATCTTGTCATGTTAACTTGGATTAAGCTTGAAGATAGCTTGAGATATAAGCTATTCTAAGACGGCAAGAATTAGGAATATATTTAGGAGTTATCGAATTAATGGTTGTATTCTTAATAGATTTGGGTTTTGGTTTTTGGTCTTTCATTATATAAAGAGATGTCAAGCTTGTGACATAACTTAAGAGATTTTGAGAGATTGAGTGCTTTAGTTTTGAGTTATTTTCTAAAGTTTAATAAGAGAGGTGTTCTTAATCAATCCTGAATTCTCTAGTTCTTGATATAGATTCTATAATTGGTATCAGAGCAAACCAACATTTCGTCTTTCTATTCTGTGAGGGTTTTGTGTGAAGTTCTTACGAAGATAGAGCTTCTGCGTTTACCAAAGAAGAGAAACGAAACTGATTACAAAATTCTGAGCCGGACGCTATGACCGACGCCATCGTTACAACGACAGAGAAAACAAGAGATGGAGGATCTCTTTCGATCAGATGTCCCATGCTGAATTCAACTAATTACACAGTATGGGCCATCAGAATGAAGAATGTGCTCAAGGTACATAAAGTTTGGGAAATCATAGAGACACCATCGAATGACAGCGACAAGAATGACATGGCTGTAGGTCTGCTGTTTCAATCAATTCCAGAAACACTCATACTGCAGGTTGGAGAGTTAGAAACAGCGAAGCAGGTCTGGGAAGCTATCAAGACGAGACATGTGGGAGCAGAAAGAGTTAAAGAAGCAAGACTTCAGACTTTGATGGCAGAGTTTGACCGACTTAAGATGAAGGACACCGAGAAAATCGATGACTTCGCCGGCAAACTATCAGAGCTCTCATCAAAGTCTGCTGCACTTGGAGAAAACATCGAGGAATCAAAACTTCTTAAGAAATTCCTCAAAAGTCTCCCTCGAACGAAATACATACATATCGTGGCTTCCCTTGAACAAGTTTTGGATCTTAAAACAACAAGTTTCGAAGACATCATAGGACGTTTAAAAGCCTATGAAGAACGTATCACAGAAGATGTAGAAGAGACCCAAGACGACCAAAGCAAGCTGATGTATGCAAACAATGAGACACAATCAACTTATTCAAACCGAGATTCCAGTGGAGGAAACAGAGGCAAAGGTCGCGGAGGACGCTACAATAACAGAGGAAGAAGTCGTGGGAGATCGTACGAAGCAAAAGATCTATCCGAGATAATGTGTTTCAGATGTGATAAATATGGCCACTTCGCTTCAAAGTGTCCAGATCGATTACTTAAGCTTCAAG